GGGGGGGGGGGGGGGGGGGGGGGGGGGGGGGGGGGGGGGGGGGGGGGGGGGGGGGGGGGGGGGGGGGGGGGGGGGGGGGGGGGGGGGGGGGGGGGGGGGGGGGGGGGGGGGGGGGGGGGGGGGGGGCAAATGCAGCCAACGGACCTGGAGCGCATGCTAGGATAAGATCCCAAGGATCCCTACAAACATGCTGCTGATGGAGTCCCATTTGGTGATGCATTTTGGGAGTGCGGACTCGGCGAGATCGCAGGCGAACCGAGAGGTGAGCCAGGCCGAGGCCAGCAAGCTTTGAAACTCTAAAAACCTGAGCAAGTTGGAAAACCTTGGTCCTAGAGCTTATGCAAGTACATCCGGAACAACTGTTTTTGAGAATCGCAGAGCTCGAATTTAAATTGTACCGTACCTATTGAGGTAAAACAAAAGAATTCAGCTGAGCTGAGCTGTCGAGCGCGAAGCTAGTTAAGAGTCAAGAGAAACCGCCTATTTTAGCAGGTGCGGCAGGCCGCTCGCAGCAGGCTTCAGAAGGTTCGCTCAGCTCCCGGCAGGAGCGATTGATTGGTCATTCACGGACACTCGCGCACATGAAACTTGCAGCTGTCAGCCAGCTGACAGAGGTCCAAAACCAGCTAAGCCCACACCTGTGGCTTGGGCATCGCCAGCCTCACTCCAGCCCCTCGGCGGAACGCTGGCCAGCTCGGCGGCCAAGGCATCAACCCGCCCAACCCCCTCGCTTTGCAGCTTCGAGGCCCGAGAACCAATAGACTCGGAGGTGATTCACCTCGACATGGGGCCACTTGGCACAGTCGCCCGCCTGTGACAATGGGCTATGCAGGTGAACGATGCTCGAGGTGAACCCATTACCTCACTGCTTCCCCTCCGCCCTCCTCCCGACTCCCAATCCTAAATTCAATATATCTCGAGTCTGGTCGGTTCAGGTCCCCCGATACACTCTCCTCGACCCAGCATGCAGACATGCCCTTCATAGCGAACACCCCCGAATCCCTTCTCGGCCGCTCCGACTCCAAGAACCCCTCCACGACATGCCGCGGTATCACCTCCTCCGGCCGGCCCTGCCGCCGCCCTCTCGCGTCCTCGCCCGAGAGCACACCGCCGAGGAGCCGGTTCGGGAGGAGCAATGGCAGTAGCCTGCGTGCAGACGACCCAAGCGACGAGTCTCTATACTGCTGGCAGCACAAAGAGCAGGCGAGCCTGTCGGCGCGGTCGAGCCCCGGCCCGCGCAGCTCAGTGACCCCGATTCTCGAGGAACCGCGCACCAGCATCGACACCCTTGCCGACCGCCTCGGCCTGCTTGACGTGTCGCCCGAGAAGAGGAGGCAGAGCAGGAAGCACTCTGGCTATGGGGCCACAGCGACCGCCAGGCCGCCGGCCCAGATGACCCGGCCGAAGCCCAAGCACCACGTCACCTTCTGCTTCTGCTTCCGCATGCCCGTCGAGGAGGTCTCGCCCCCGCCGCGGCCCAAGCCCACGCCGGTGCAGCAGCCCCAGATGGCCATGAGGCCCGGCGCCGCCAAGATGCCGGCGCACCTGACCTCGCACTCGGCCACGTCCCAATACCTCTCCCTCATCCCGCCCGGCGCCGCCCCGCAGACCGCCTCCTTGCTCCTGGCCGAGCTTGCGAAACCCGTCTCCCAGCTCGACGAACCCGGCTACATCTACATGTTCTGGCTGACCCCCGAGTCCCAGCCGGCCACCCCGCCCGCCGACGCCGCCCGCTCCCTTCTCGCGCCCCCGTCCTCACGGCCGAGCGGACAGCGGCGCACCAGCGACGTCCTCGCCTCCTTCGCCGCCAACACCGGCCCCGCCCCTCGAGGCGGAGGCGGCCAGCAGACAAAGAAGGTCCTCCTCAAGATCGGCCGCGCCACCAACGTCCAGCGCCGCCTCAACGAGTGGAAGCGGCAGTGCGGCTACAACCTCTCGCTGATCCGGTACTACCCCTACATCCCCTCCTCGCCGTCCCCGTCGCCGACCCCGAGCCCCTCCCGCGGGCGCCACAACTCTTCGGATGCTGCACCGGGTATCCCCCGAAAGGTCCCGCACAGCCACAAGGTCGAACGGCTGATCCACATCGAGCTCGCGGGGCTCGGGCTGAGGGTGGCGGACCGGGAGGCGTGCGAGGCCTGCGGCCGAGAGCACAGGGAGTGGTTCGAGGTCGAGGCCAGCCGCCGGGGCGTCGTGGTCGTCGACGAGGTCGTGAGGCGGTGGGTTGGGTGGGATGAAGGGGCAGAGGCGGTGAAGAGGAAGCCGCGGTGATACACGAAAGATTTTTCATCGTCGCTCCGCTCGCTTCCGACGAGCGAAGAGGAACAGGACGATGATGACGTACGAAACGACGACGCAGACGAGCATGGCCAAAGTGAGTGAGGGCTGAACTGGGCAACAGAGTACTGGCGTTTCTGGTTTTTACGATGGCATGAATAGCATGAGCATTTGTCTTTTTGGGGGGAAAGGAAGGAGAAATAAGCATCCTTCCAGCCTTGTCGCTCGATTTACTTGTACACGAGTAGGCATCCACCATTGATGTGTGCCCACATGCATCCAATAGAGCGGGCGAGATTTGCTTACCTTCGCCCTGCCTCGTACATGTGCCACTGTCACATATCTCGGAGGTTAATATTGGCAGACAAGCCTCTTACGAAACTTGCTTAGCTCCGCCTGACTGAGCGTCAGATCAAATACGTTTCTAGAGCCAACCTTCTTGTGACCAGACAGGGATATATCCGACAGTACCTGGCCAGCCTTGTCTCCCTATTCCGCTCCAATCTCATGCTACAATATCACGGTTTGCGCCAACCTACTGTCCCAGTAGCTTCCAACATCCTAGACCGGCTCTTCTCGACAAGGGGCATACTCCCGTGTTTCGCAGTGGTATCACTTCACCAATGTGGAAATGGAGGGAGAGACGCCAACGGCCGTCTTTCAGATGGTCTGGTCGGACTTCTCAGAGAGACGTCTCGACCTTGGCAAATGATCTCATGCTGAATTGAGCAAGCATGAACAATGGGTCTCCAATACATTGGTAAGAAAGAGGATGACTCCATCAGCTTTGACGCATGTGAATGATTCGAATGTAAATGTTACACTAGAGCATGTCGCGCTCTCCACGTCTGATCCGGTGCCGATGTCCCGACATAGTTTTGCACTGACAGGCATAGCTCTGATGATATGAGGAGCTTCACGGATTCAATCCCGGGCTGGTCGAGCGCCTGGCCTCCGCCGGTAGGCTCGGCGACGGCAGTCCACGGCAGGACGTGCCACAGCGAGTAGGCATCCTGCAAGCAGCCACCGACCTGGCAGAATGTTTCCAGCTGCCACTTTCCAACTCGCCTCTCTTCAACTCGATATAGATCTCCAATCGTGGTGTATAGTGTGTAGACGCCACAGATATCTCATTGTACGACTACACCAACCAGGTTGTCGGCGCCATGAACGGTCTGTTCTCGGCGGGCGGTATGACTGGCGCACTGTTGATGGGCTGGCTGTGCGATGCCAAGGGTCGTCAACAGGCTCTCGCCGTGTCCTCCATTGTTGCTATCGTCGGAGGTGCTCTGCAGGCTGGAGCAGTTGCAATTGCCATGCTCCTTGTTGCCAGATTCATCACTGGGATCGGTGTCGCAATGCTTGTCACTCTGGTCCCGATTTTCCAATCCGAGATTGCGCCCCCGGCCAGCCAAGGCTTTTTAGTAGGACAACACGGCTTCATCCTAGTCGTTGGATATGCTCTTGCCGGCTGGACAGGCTTTAGCTCCTACTTTGCAAGGACCATACTATTTCAGTGGCGTTTTCCCTTAGCACTGTCACTACATCTGGCCTCTAGCACTTCTCATGGTTCTTTTATGGATCCCTAAATCTCCCCGTTAGTATAAGTCACAACTATCTCTCTATAAGATTGTCACTGCTTGCTTTAAGGATCAATTTACTAATTCCCCTGAAAGTACTCAGTCAGGCTGTAAAGAGGAGGCATAGAAGGTTGTCAGTCGCCTTCATAAAAGCCCTAGCGACCTAGAGCAGACATTCACACATAGAATATCTCTAGATGTCTCGCTAAGTCAAAGCTGACCAAGCCAATATAGAAATATTAGTGTTTTAGGACTTATTCGACATTCTGGCTTTTAGGAAGAGGATGATAGGCAGTAGTGTCACTATATAGGCTGTTAAAGCCTCTAGGAACTTAGTTGTCTTCAGTAAGACTTCTAATGATATTCAACATCCAGGCTAGGAAGAGAGGATCAAAGCTAATCATTCACTAAATAGACTATGCCGTGATTCTATACCAGGGCCTTGATTATAGGAGCAGTACTCCCCTCCTCCTATCCACTATATATGTCAGTTACACAGCCGTCTGGAACTATATTAGTGCCCTATTAATAGACAAAGTTAGACATATCCGCTTGATATATAAGGTGTCTAATATCTAAGATACTAAGAAGGACTATAGCTGATAGGGTGGTAGTTATCAGCTTTACTAGATGTATGATCTGTCTCTATAGTAAAGCAGCTATGATTATGAAGTTCACTGCCACCCTAAAGAAGGTTGCCGGCCTTTATGAAGGCGTCTTCTTTCTATTCCTCTTTATTACCTTATAAGCTATTCCTAATATTGCACTCTAGCTGATGAATCATACTAACCACCTACTAGTTATAGTGGCTGCCATAATGCTACAATCTTTATCTACTATGTAGAGATCTTCCTGACTTATATCCGACCTAAGGGTATGGCGTATTGCATTTCTTCCGTAAGACTCAAGGACTGTCCCTAGAAGATATCAACGAAATTTTCGGCGAAGAGGTTGCGATATATCTGTCGGATGTGTCCAATACTGAGAACAAGATTGTAGAGGGCACCGATGGCAATACCTCTCGCACGCTTCTAGACCAGGGGTCGGGCAAGAAGGAGGCGAGTCATCATTATGAGTTTAACATATAAGCTACCTCTCGCTCCCGGACAAGTCCTATGGAAAACAAATGCCCTCTATTAACAGTTACACACAGCCCTTTGATAGTTAGAATAGCTGCCAGCATGTCATTCGATTGATGTCCATGGAGTCAAGGGGTAAATGTCGCCCAGGACGTATCTAAGCAGAGTTCCAAATTGTATCTCGGAAAGAACACGATTGTCGCATATCCAAACAATTCTCAAGCCTTGTGCTCGTGAGGAATGCATGATCCACTACAGGGTGTGAGTGACTCTAAATCGAGGCCTTCAGCAGAAGGCTTTCCACTGGATATTGTATTCACCGACTAGCCAGGGTTTGTCCTTGTTCCAAAATGGGTGGAAAGTTTCGCTGATCGTATGACAAGAAAGAGCGGGACTAGATCCCAGTCGGCTTCTTCGCCAGCAAGAATCACCGCATGCACAGCCTTTCGCTGAACCACAATCATGACGTTCACCACCTACTGTTTGGACAATAACCACAGAAATAAGGCTATTGAGCTACAATTGACGGTGGGATTACTGTATCAGATTGTCATTTATTACTTCTCGTATGAGTAATCACCAGTAGGTACCATGTCTTCTCTGGCCGACATGTTCTCCCTGCAGGGCAAAACTGCCCTCGTCACCGGCGCCACCGGCGGCCTGGGACTGAGCATGTGTCTGGTGCTTGCGGAAGCTGGAGCAGACATTGTCTCAATCCAGCTCCCTAACGACAAAGGCTCCTCATTGCTCGAAGACGGGGTACAGGCACAGGGACGAAAGCTTTCGGTCTTCACAGCCGATGTTGGTGATTCCGATGTGCTCCGCGCAACGATGAAGCATATATGGGCAGCCGGTCATGTCTGCGACATATTGCTCAACTGTGCGGGCCTCAATCAGCGATCTCCGATCGAACAGAAGACAAGACTCTTTGACTTGGTCTGTTCTCGCTCCTCATGCTCGATCGGTAGGCCATTCCTGAGACTGACAAAGGGGAACACTTAGATTCTGGGTGTGAATCTCAAGGGCAGCTACGTGATTGGTCAGGAGTTCGGTCGACGGCTCGTTGAGCTCGGACGTCCTGGAAAAATCATCTTTACCGCCTCGCTCACGTTGCCAATGTTAATGTGTCCGCGTACGCTCACTCCAAGGGAGTCGTGCTGCAGCTGACCAAGACCTTCAGCAATGAATGGGCCAGCATGGATATCCAAGTGAACTGCATCTGTCCAGGATAAGTCTACCATGGTGGAGTACCCGCGGTGTTGTAAGCGTGTACTCATCAAGACAAACTAGATATTTCATCACACCCCTCACTGCTGATCTAGTGAAGGACGAGGACTTCTTTTCGTTGATACTGAAAAGGACGCCAGCAGGACGTTGGGGCCAACCGAAAGGCCTGAAGGGCGCTTTGGTCTTTTTAGCCAGCGCGGCCAGTGATTTCGTGTCTGGGCATAGCTTGGTGGTGGACGGCGGTATGCTGGGAGGTGAAGACTCTCTCAGATTGATAGCTGTTAGCATTCGTATAACTGTACATTGCCCTTACATGAACCATGACGTCTGTTCCTCCCATGGAATAACTACATTTTTCACGCGAGGACCTACGGATCCTGGAAGGCACACTGAGTTGGGGAAAGGGTGGATGCTCGGGTTTAGAGCCAGCCTTAGATTAGATCTTGGAAGTATTAGAGTATAGGGGGCAACTCCGCATTGCCGTACCGGAAGACTCTGCCGGTCTCTCTACAGGGAGCGAGGATCCGCCGCAGGCTGTTCATGAGAATCCCTCTCCAAGCAGCACGGCAGTGTCATCAAGCATCTCGATGTGGACTTTAAGAAGACACGATGGCTGGGTGTTGGCTAACCCTAACCCAATTCCCAGGTTGGATGGCGAGGAGGAATATGCAAGGACGAAAGGGATATCGACGGCATGAGTTAACTTTCCCAAGACTGCTGAGGATACTGCAGAGGATACAAGTCTGATGATAATCATGTTCACAGAACAGGATAGTAGCTCCAAGACAATAGTATGTGACGACTCCCCCATAATGAGTGACAGCAGACCCCCCGATACTGGTCAGTACTGTACCAGAACCTCATTTGTCCATTTCCAAAGCTCATCCGCAAGCTTCTGGCTCGTCGCTGTTTTGTCGAGCTTGTCATTGCTCATGACTCCAATAGGGTAGTAAAAAGCCCCACTAACAAGCTCGTTCCTCTTTGCTCCAGCAGCTGCCCATACCTGATTCAGACAACCTTGCCAGGGCTCTATGAGGGGTCTGCCAATGAGAAAATTACCGATATGAACAGTGGCCTTGTGTCCAGCCGGCAGGTTGTTGACAAGGCCTGTGTGGGCTACACCCGGGTGGATCGACACTGCCATAATACCAGGGTACTGTCGTGCAAGCTCCCGTGCGTAGACGATATTGGCCAGTTTACTTTGCCTGTTCATGAATTGAACTCAGTGGACCGATTTCCTGAGGATAAGAAGAGTTTTGATCAAGTCGCAGTGCTCAACATACCCATATCTGATCCATGGCCCAAGCACCATATCCATCGGAGTCCGTAGCTGTGAAAACAGGATACCTTTTCGGGGGTGGCCGCCCCAGCCTTCGGAGGTGAGGCATACGACTCTGACGTCGGAGCCGGGTGCTTCTGCTGTTTGTTGAAGGATCGGAAGGAGGTGCTGGATGATCATTGCATGGGCCAGGTGGTTTGTCGCAAATTGCATCTCGAAGCCGTCCTTGCTGAGCTTCGGTGGCGCGGCCATGATGCCGGCGTTGCACATGAGAATGTCGAGTCGGGCGTGAGCGAACTTGCTGACGGCAGCTTTGACGGATGCTAGGGAGAGCATGTCCAGTTCCAAGAATGTCAGCGGCGTGGACGGGCACGCTCTGGCAAGTTCGGCGATCAGAGACTCAGCGGCTGCGACATTGCGGCCTGTGAAGTACACGTGCGCTGGGCCGCGCTTTGCCAGCGCCAGGATAGACTCCCGTCCAAGGCCGTTGGTACCTTTGATCCTTGTTAGTAATCTTTTTGGCAGCTGGTGATTAGAGCGACAGAACCTCCGGTGACGAAGATGACCTTGTCCTTCAAGGAGGGGACATCTTTGTCCGGGGTGAAGTTGACGAAGCCCGCAAGCGCCGGCATCACAAGTTGTTGGGTCTTAGTGGCAGTGCAACAGAAGTGCAAAACGACAACTTGCACACGATCAGCCTTGTGTCCGTGTAGTTGGAATAAGCGAGGAGGGCAAGGCGAAATAATGATGGAAGCCTGGCGTATGCATATTAATATCCACGAGACGAGACGACGTCAAATTTAAAGACCGAGCCAGCCTAGATATATTATGCCATGAGGCTTGCCCTTGACCCAAGGTCCAAGTGCTGCCAGATCTACCGGTGTCCGCCTTCTTCTCCTTATCCCCCATGGCACCTAGATCAAAGCCAACGTCCCAAAAAGGCAATTGCAACGTCAATGTCTCGTTCATATCATACTAGTCCGGAACCAGTCTTAGTGCATAAGCAGGGTGCATGTGGAGCCCGTCCTGACGCTCACCATCCGGATCCGATCCGTGTTCTTGGACCATAAAATGTCTCCGCAGTCCCTCCGTCCCGAAAGCCTGACCGTCACCTATGTCCCTGTAACTTCAATATTCTTCGGGTTAGCACATAAGCAGACTGCATCGATTTTCCTCTTTCGCAGCGATCATACTATTCTTCGATTCCGAATCTTCTCCTAAACGAACACGCGTCACTGGGCTGGGCTTCTGGGATGAGCAAAGTGGAAACATGAGCACAACGATGATGACCCATATACCAAAGAATCTGCTTTCTGAGGTGACTATGACCCATGAACGCCACTGAACACGTAACATTGACTCTCTACCATATAAGACTGATCAGTTGGACGATGACTGGGCTGGCGTGACAGATCCTGTGGAGAGGAGGAAGCGGCAGAACAGACTAAGTCAGCGTGCTTGGCGTAAGTACCAATGACCTCAATGTATCGCAGTCTACATAGCTGAGTTTGCCTATCAGGCCGCCGCAAGGCACTGAAGACACATGCCGCTGTACTGGCTCGTCAGGATCAAGGGCAGTGGTGTGGCTTCGGCATTCTCCAACCCATGTCACTCAACTCACTCAACCTTCCATCAAGCCAAGTAGCTGAATATCTAGCGCCGGAATCAAACGACACTAAAAGCCATATGTCGGCCAAGAATCATGACCTGATTCTGCAAGGTCGAGCAGCGTCAGGAACAGAAGCTGCCACCAAGCTCATACCTCCCCTGATTCCATATCTAGAGGAGGATGTCATTCTGAAGGCTCGACACTTCGTCGTTTTCCCTCTGTCGCTGGACCATCGACTCATCACTCTCATCCAATACAACGTCCTCCGCGCCACCATGGTCAACTTGTCCATCTTATCGCTCACTCACACTCTACCTGTTGAATGCAGACTGGCCCTGTCCATCTTTGACAATCTGCCAACGCCGGCCACGGTCCCGCCCTCTCTCGAGCCGACATCGCTCCAGCGGTCGACGCCCCATCAGCCGTGGATAGACTGTTTCCCCGCTGCAAGGGTGAGGGACAACTTGATAAGATGGACTGGCCGCTTTGATCCGGACGATTTATGCTGCGATCTGTCTGGCGGGCTGTATGAGGGCTTCGACAACGTAGAGAAGCGAGGCATGATCATTTGGGGCGAGCCCTGGCGAGAGGACGGCTGGGAGGTCACCGAGCGGTTTGCCGAGAAATGGGGGTTCCTGCTGGATGGGTGCCATGAACTGGTCGAGTCTACCAATCGATGGCGGGCTCAGCGAGGAGAAGATCCACTGATAATTGAAGTCTAGGGTTGATGCTGTGGAAGTGATAGCATAAACCTTTCGCCCCCTCTGTCTATAGTATCACCGGTTTCTCACGATCCGTATCGACCCAACTCTTGAGACTACTCATGTTCAGCATCTCACTGCGATCGAGACGAGACAGAACCTGGGCAAATTCCTGTATGTAGCCAGCGGCGCGTCGCGCGGAGGGTTGCTGAGCGTCGAAGGGACAATTCAGTAATGCGACTCCGACATCGCGGACCTTGTATGCCTGAAACTCTGTCAGCATGCCAGTTGAGCATCAGACATCGCGTGATCTTCAACATACAAGATACAGTCCATTGGGCTCCTGATAGTCGTAAGGCATGCTGTGGAGCAGATGGAGCATCTGACGACAGACGTCCTCGCGCTCCAGCCAGCTTGCCTTGAGGGCACCCGTTGACTCGTGTCCCGGCTGCTGCTGTGCCTGTTCCTGCAGTATGATGTCGATGCGGTCTAGAATCGCACTCTGCACCCACAGGTGCGTTCCGTGAAGATTAGCTCTCATGGTTTGGAGCTGGCCTGGCAGTGCTCTGGCATTTGCGTCGTCTGGTGACGCCGCGGTGTCGACGGTCCGGTCCCAAGGACCGGGACTTGGAGTTGAGGCTAGATTATTAGAAACAGCCGCTGGTTCATCGGTGGCCCAAGGAGCCCACTGTCGCATCTGGCTTGGGATGTCGTCCAGCATGTACCGAACCTCATCTAGCAGCTGGCGAAGGTCGGATAGCCGCTTCTCCGGTGGGACAAGGTGCTCCCACTCGCTGTTTCCCGGAGCAAGGGCTATGCGCATGCTTTTGAAGAAGACCCTGGTGTGAATGTTGAAGCCGCTGGTGAGATTTGAGGATACGATCTTTTCTTGGTCGCCGGGCGTCCTCGAGCATTCGGGACTCGACGCTGATGGGCTGTTCCTGATTTCATGTTCAAAGATCTGCTCGTCGTCAACTTCGAGTGGGAACAGGGCTTCGAAATTGATTTCGTGCATCTTCCAAGGGTCGAAAAACGACAACCGTTCCTGGCGTCCACAGCATTGATGCCACGCATGCCTGCGGTCACCCATGTCAGCGCCTTAGGGGACAGCAATAGAAGAATGAAGTTTGTTCAACTCACGCTGCGGTGTAGAACAGGAGCCAGAACGCCTTCTTCCGAAGCTGCGTCTCGATGCAATTGAGCCCTTCATAGTCGGCGATGCGATGGATACCCAGCAGACGACCGACTTGCATCGCCTCGATCTCAAACATACGGCTCCGGTTCGTCTGGCCCGTCTGGAAACACGCCACAGATATGCAATAGCAGACGGCCCACTTCCTCTGGCTGACGTGGTCCCAATACGTCACCGTCCGCAGGTGCGCGCAGCGCTCAGCGCAGAAGTTGATCATGGCCGTTCTCGTCTGGAAGCGTGACGCGAGCCCAGAATCCAGAGACTGGTAGTAGGGGAACCGCGACGGAAGCAGGCCGATCGTCAACGCGGTGAGGGCCAAGAGGAGCTCGAAGAATTCTGCGTCGTGGGCATCGCGGTGCGAGGCCAAGTGGGCGCGAAAAATCGGGCGGTGTACTACTGGGACAAGCGGGTATATGAAGTCGAGATAATCCCCTATGATGATTTCGAGGACCTCTCGACGGCAAAGCTCATCTGTTATGACTCCCCTATCGCCGACCATAGGAGAGAAGTGGTGGTGAGCTTCGATCGCTGGAGTCTCGCGGTGGAGATTGACTCTTGCATCGGCTACCTCGAGACCGGGAGACTGGCTCTGGGATGCGGCAACTGTAATCGCGTTCCGCTGGTGGGAAGGACTCCTTTCATCTGCCTTCCCAGACCGGACGCTGACCGGTGAGCGAGCAGTCTCGTCCATCTCGTCTCGAATTACATTCTGGCCGCCATTGAGAAGGCGATCCCTGCTCAATCTTCAGCCGGGCCTTCTGAATAATTCACAAGACTCAGACCTGGCCCATCTGGCCGGCTGATTCACTGACTCACCGGCGTTTCGGTCCCCTTGTTCGCGTCGGGACCAGGAAGCTACAATTGATCCCCAGTCTCTCGCAGTCATGGCACCGCGGCTGTGGGTGGTCCTCGCTAGCACCAGAGACTTGGCTTGCCTTGCCAAGCGAGCGGGTGAAGAAGCATTTCCTCCGCCTCGCACGGCACGCATCGCAGGCGCGTCTTGCGAGAATGCGCGTGGCCTCCCGGCATCGGGTACCCTCGACGGCTTCTGCCGCCTGTCCAGCTCCAAGCCGAGGCTCCTCGATCCGGGAAATCGTCGACGCTGTGGGTGACTGCATGGGCGGCGCGGGCACACGGACTTCGTCGCCGTCTGGGGTGACGAAGCTTGGGGATGGAGGGGAGAAATTTCGAGGCGGAGAATTGTGAGGCATTAGCAATTTCTGACTCGGACCATGCTAATAAATACGGGCTCGAGGGGAGAAAGGGGGAAAAAACTAGCGGAATCAGAAGATCCAACGCGTGTTCGGTCAGTCCAGCTAGTGAATGCCAGGTCCACACATGGGGCTCTGGACTCCTGTCGGTTCATCCACGCGGCATTCCACACCTCCGGATCTGACCACGTGCTAACGAGGATGGCAATTCGTTTCTCGGGTTCGAGAACATGGTGCTCTTTGATGGGCTTCCTTCAGAGGCCACCGCCGCTAGTTAGTTCACCTCCCACACGCGGAAGGCAGTGCGGTTGGATGGTGAGTGCGGTTTCTGATCATCACATGCCCGGCCACACGAGTAGTTTCTCCACAAACTGGAAGACTGTTCTACCTAACAAAAATACGAATACGGCAACTCGAGGCTACGGATGCCAAAAGTGATTTGTCCAAAGATGCTAATTACTGACTGGCTTATATGACTCTTCTATTCACAGTTACTACAAGGTCACACGACACTGTAGTTCTTCCTACTCTTCCATATGTGGTCGTAATCCCCGCCACCTCCTAGTAACGGGAAGCTCGAACTCCTGCTCGAGGAAATCACCTCTGCTGCTCGTGCCGACAAGAATGGAGTAGACCCCTGCATCACTGCGCCAGCAGTCTTCCGTCTCACTCCAATAGCTCGTTGCCCGCAAGACATCCAATTTGATCTGAGCCGTGCTGTTAGATCCTGGGCCGACAGAAACCTTAGCAAAGCCCTTGAGCTCCTTGGCCGGGCGGGTGATGACGTCCCGGGCCAAGGCCGTCAAGGGCGTCGGCGCTGGAGGCCTCACGTAAGCCTGGATGACCTCGGCACCCGAGCGAGAGCCAGTGTTCGTGATCTGGACATTGACCAGGAGCTCCTCTGCACCGCCAATGACTAAAGTTCTGTTCTTGTCTGTAGCTGCTGACTTGCGTGCGTTGCTTTTTTCTTTGCCACAGAGCAGTTCCATGTCAGACAGGTCAAAGGTGGTGTAAGACAGACCGTGGCCGAAGGGGAACAAGGGTTCGATATCAAGCGCATCGTACCACCGGTACCCTATGTAAACGTCTTCGCTGTATAGAACCCTGTGGCTTTCAGAGCGGAAGCTGAGTGCGGCAGGGTTGTCGGCGACGCGGCGGGGGATGGTGATAGGTAGTTTGCCGGCCTGGGAATATTAGTACGATGCACACCAAACTCAGACTGTCTCTGCTGAGAAACACTTACGGGGTTGACAGCGCCGAAGACAACGTCGGCGATGCCATTGCCGCACTCATTGCCGCCAAACCAAGCTTGTACCACGCTGTGAGCCTGATCAATCCACGGCATGGCAACCGAAGTTCCACTTTGGACGACGACAGCAGTCTTGGGGTTCGCATCGAGAATAGCCGCAACCAGTCTGTCGGTTCCTGGTGGCAGAGCCATATTGGGACGGTCCTGCCCTTCTGACTCCCACTCTCCGCTAGTACCGATGCACAACACGACCTGGTCGGCCGACTTGGCGACCTTTACTGCTTCTTCGACTGCGGCGTCGGCATCGAGCTTCGGGCACCCACTGAATCGGAGACCGCCTTGTCCGAAATCGACACCTCCTGACACCTTGAGGTCGCTGGTCTCGGAGCATCCCCACTTGACCACGATGCGGTACTCTCGTCCGGCCTCAAGGACCTTTGTGCCCTTCTCCTCTACCGTACCCGATCCCAAGAAGCAGGTTCCGGGCTTCTGATTCTTTTTGTTTGCGACGATAAGTTCGCCGTCGATGAACAGCTCTCCCGTGCCGTGTACTGCCAGCCCAAATTCCCACTCTCCACCACTCGCTGGCGTCAGGATACCCTCAGCTTCAGCGTACCAGACCTCGGCTTTCTCGGGGTTATCGTAGTCTACAAACCAAGGGTTTGTCTCGTCCAGCACCCTCTCGTCAATGATTTGCCGAGCGTCGGCAGCACCCTCGCTGGGCGGAGGGTCATTGTAGACGCGAAGGGTGAACCCTTTGCGCTTGCCGTCCACAGTTTGCAGCTGCGACCCTAGCAGTGGGAGCATCTGGTGGCCATAAGCACCCTGAGAGAAAACGGCGTCGCTGGCATACTGCCGAATGCCCTCCAGAGGTGAAACGGTATTATAGGCGCGCAGACTGGCGCTGCCTCCACCACAGTACGTAGCGATATTGGCGTTCGGACCAATAACAGCCATTGTCTTCTTAGGGTCGAAGGGTAGAACATTGCCCTCGTTCTTGAGGAGGACAAGAGACTTGGCGGCGGCTTCCCTCAGCAGTGCGATATGTTCTGGGGTGTTCAGCTGCGCCTCGGGTGCGTTGGGAGGTATAGACGTATTCTCGATGCCATGCTTCACCATCTTCAAGACATTCCGTACTCGTTCGTCCAGTGCAAATGCCTTGACTTTGTTGGATGTGATAGCGTGCTTGAGGGCCTCGCCTCTCCACCGTGTAGGGCCCGGCATCTCGAGGTCCAAGCCGCTGTTGATGGCCTCCGAAGTGCTGTATGTTCCGAACCAGTCGCTCATCACAAGGCCGTCCCACTTCCACTCGCCGCGCAGGATATCCGCCAGCAAATGCGAGTTCTCCGCCGCATGCGTGCCGTTGACCTTGCCGTAGGAGGTCATGACAGCCCTGGGCTTGCCTATCTCGATGGCTAACATGAATGGCAGCAGGTAGATCTCTCGTAAAGCGCGGGCCGTCACCAGCGAATCCACGGCCATCCTCTCGCTCTCCATGTCGTTGCACACGAAATGCTTCAGTGTCGCGCTGACGCCCGACTCCTGTATCCCCCGCACGACATGCCCGGCGATGACTCCCGAGACGACCGAATCTTCCGAGAAGGACTCGAATCCGCGTCCGCCGAGAGGGCTTCGCTGGATGTTGATGGTGGGGCCGAGAACGACGTGGGCGCCCTTTGCGTGCGCTTCATCCGACAGCAGGCGGCCGATGCGCTCGGCGAGCTCAGTGTCAAACGTCGCTCCCAGGGCAGTCCCGCACGGGAGACATGCCGAGGGAGTGCTGTCGAAGAAATGTGTTCCCCGCAGGCCGTTTGGGCCATCGGATAGACGAATTGAAGGTATTGATAGGCGCTCAATGGCGGTCGTGTGCCACCATCCCGTGCCTAAGTGAGTTTCGCGTCAGCATGATGAATCGTAGAGACTTTGCGGTATCTTGAAATTACCTGATAGTAAAGCGACTTTCTCATCGAGCGTCAACCGCCCGATCAGTTCTTCCACATCCATGCTATGATTTTGAGCTTCAAAGCCAAAGGTAATCTTGATGTTTCCAATGGGATTACAAGGGAATAGAGTCAAGAGAGTAGAAACAAGACTAGCCTAGCCTTTAACACTATATGATTCCTCGTCTCGCGTGATCTTGAACTTCCCCATATTCTTCAGGTATTCGGGATTCAGCGGGGAGCATCTGCGATTAATTGCGATACTGATGGCATCCGGTAATGTAGGGTGATTGAGCGAAGTGGACCTGGTCTGGCCTCGCACGATCATGAGGCGGAGAATTACGAGGCGGAGAATACGATTCAGTGATTAGTGGACCACTAACCAGCCGGTACAATGGAAGATGCCCCGAGACGAGGGAATTCTAATAGCGGGATATCCCCAGCCGACTCTCCACGGGGAGGAAGCCGATGTGGATTTGCAACAAACATCACACGATTGGAACGGAGGACCTCGATGCGTGATCTGAAAACTTCCTCCAATGCTGCGGGTCTGGATCGTGGTTGCGGACTTACAACTTTGTTATAAGAGAGCTTAACTTCCCCTGTTACTCCAAGTTTCAACTAGAGTTTCCATTCGGTCAGTCAAAGTCTCAACTCAAAGGCATCAGCAAATCTTTTCCTCGTCCTGTCTCCCTTCGGACAGCGTCCTCTGAGCAACACTCCCATCATGTCTCCTTTAGTCAATCCTCTGGCAACATTGCCATCCGACAATACGCCATGGTATAAGCATGGCTACCTTCTCAAGTTGAACTATATCATCATCTCTCTAGTTCTGTTCTGTAAGGCTCCCGCCAAGCTTCTGCCAAGAAGTCACAACTCTAACCCTTCCCGTCTTGGATAGCTTCCTCCAACGGATACGATGGCTCCGTCATGGGCGGCCTGCTCGCTTTGCCTCGCTGGAACCAGTTCATGGAGTTCCCTACAGGCGCTTATCTCGGCTGGATCACCGCGATCTACTGGCTCGGCAATGGCGTCGCGTTCCCTCTGGCCGCTTGGGTATCCAACAAATACGGGCGTCGGCCGGGTATCTACCTGGGATATCTGTTCATGGCTCTAGGAGTCGGCATGCAGGGCGGTGCACAGAACAAGACTACCTTCACCGTGTCTCGGCTGTTCATAGGCATCGGCTCGGCATGGCTGGGGAATGGCGCTCCTCTCCTGATCAACGAGATCGCCCACCCCAAGCATCGGCCAATTGCCAACGCTCTCTTCATGTGCGGCTGGTACGTCGGCGGCACGGTCTGCGGTTGGGTCACGTTCGGGTGCCGAGATATCCCCTCCGAGTGGTGCTGGCGTATCCCCGTCCTCATCCAGCTTGTCTTGCCTGCTCTTGCTCTTCCAGGCTTCCTCATGTCACCTGAAAGCCCCAGATGGCTCATTAGCGTCGGCCGGAAGGAACAAGCTCAGAAGGTCCTGGCAACCTACCACGCTGGAGGTGACATGGACAACGAGCTTGTTACGTACCAGATGCTCGAGATCGAGACCACCATCGCTGCCGAGATCGAGGCTACCGCCAGTGCCTCTTACATGGACATGGTCAAGACTCCAGGAAACCGTCGCCGCCTGCTGATCTCGGTCTCTCTGGGAATCTTCTCGCAGTGGGTCGGAAACGGAGTCGTGTCGTACTACCTGCCCCTTATCCTCGACTCGGTCGGCGTCAAGTCAGTCACCGACCAGACCCTCATCTCGGCGTGCCTTAATGTCTGGAATCTGCTGTGGGCCATCTTCGCTGCCTTGAGCGTCGACAAGCTGGGCCGGCGCCTTCTGTTCTTGCTCTCTGGAAGCATCATGCTGTGCAGCTTCGTCATTGTCACCGGCCTCAGTGCTACGTTTGCCCAGAATGGCTCGTCGAGTGTTGGCCTCGCCGTCATTCCGTTCCTGTTCACATTCTTTATGGGTTACGATATCGCCTTGTAAGGGACCCTCTTTCTATGCATTATCTGCCGGTGACTCCAGCTAACAAAATTTTTGTAACAGGACTCCATTCCTCACTGCCTACCCTTGCGAGATCTGGCAGTTCAGCCTCAGGTCGCGTGGCTACACTGTCACCTGGGTCTCGGCTGTGGCGGCCATCTTCTTCAACACCTTTGTCAACTCGATTGCCCTCGAGGCTATCGCGTGGAAGTACTACTTTGTTTTCATCGCAGTCTTGGTGGTCATGCTTATCACGGTGTACTTCTTCTACCCAGAGACTCGCGGGTACACTCTTGAGCAAATCGCGATCGTCTTTGACGGAGAAGACTCTGCTGCGGCAGTTGTCGCCCATGAGAAGATGGACGAGGCTGCAACAGAACATCACCAGCCAGAACAGAAGTCCGCAGTATAGATCTCTTGCTTGCGTAGTCCCTTCATCATGGGGATATTAAGAAGGATTGCATGAACAATTTAGAGAAGGACTACGAGAAAATGTGGAATCCTATAGACTAGACAGAAAGAAGCATCGCCTCCAATAAGAAAGATTGAAGACAAGCATCGACAACCCAACTCCAAGTATTTGAAGAGCTACTAATGATTCAGAGCTTAAGTTGGACGATCTTGCACTCATAGATCACAGGATTTGAGCGGGTGAGTTGCTATCTCATCCGGGCTTGGGCAACACTAGCCACGCCTTTGACTAAAAATTTCTGACAGCAACCAATGAAGACCGGACCTAATTGGGACACAAGGATGGGGTTTCTTTCGCCTTGCTTTGCTCCCTGGCCAATGTATAAGCACAATCTTCCCCGCATCCTGGTATAAGTCAGAAAGGGCTGCTGCCCAAAGAGGAAAACCCCAAACGACATTCTGCGAGCGACTTTCGCTCAAGCAGCAATCTTAGTTCCTCGAAGAAGTGTACCAGTCCTTTTCTATCCACTTCGAAATGTGCAAATCGCCTCTCCACCAGTTCCTGGCCGAGCTGCCAAAGTGCGAGCACCACCTACACCTCGAGGGCTGCCTCACGCCGGCCCTCGTCTTCAAGCTCGCCGCCAAGAACGGCGTCGCCCTGCCCAGCCCGGAGGACGACCCGGCCTACGCGTCGCCAGAGTCCCTCGCCGCGCACTACGACAACTTCGGCAGCCTCGAGGACTTCCTGCAGTGCTACTACCGCGGCCTGCGCGTGCTCGTCGCCGAGGCCGACTTCGAGCTCCTGGCGTGGGAGTACTTTGTGACGGCGGCCGAGCACGGCGTCCGCCACGCCGAGGTCTTCTTCGACCCGCAGAGTCACACGGAGCGCGGCGTGGCCTTCGACACGGTAGTGCGCGGGTTCAAGGCCGCGTGCGACCGCGCGCGCCGCGAGCTAGGCATCACGACGCGCCTCATCATGTGCTTCCTGCGGCACCTGCCGCCCGCCTCGGCGGCCGAGACGCTGGCGTCGGCCGTCGAGGGGGGCCACCTCGACGGGGACGGCGACCACCACGACGACGACAACGAGGCGCGCAGGACGATCACGGGGTTCGGGCTCGACTCGTCCGAGGTCGGCTTCCGGCCAGAGCTCTTTGCCGACGTGTACCGCGAAGCCGAGCGGCGCGGGGTGCGGCGCACGGCGCACGGCGGCGAGGAGGGGGACCCGACGTACATCTCGGGCGCGCTGGACGGCCTGCGAGCCGAGCGCATCGACCACGGCGTGCGGCTCGTCGAGGACCCGGCGCTGCTGCGGCGCGTTGTCGAAGAGGAGATCCTGCTGACCGTGTGCCCGCTGAGCAACGTGTGCCTGCGCGTCGTCGAGCACGTCGGCCAGCTGCCGATCCGCGAGTTCCTCGACGCCGGGGTGCGGTTCAGCATCAACAGCGACGACCCGGCGTACTTTGGCGGGTACGTGCTGCACAACTTCTGTGCCGTGCAGCAGGCGTTTGACTTTACTATCGACGAGTGGCGACTTATCGCCGAGAACTCGATCCACGGCAGCTGGATTGGGGAGAAGCGCAGGTTAGAGTTGTTGTCCGAGGTGGCGGAAGTGGTTGAAAGGCATAGGTGATGACTGTCATTAACTGAAAATTATACAACTGAATTATCATATTGGACTGTTTGCCATCCTGACGCTATTTCATCTAATGCTTAACAGTGTGCAGACTTTCACGTTGCCATGCATACATAAGAAGATAATTCTTATTTCTCTTGTTTACTCGTTGAAAATGACATAGTTGGGCCCGTTGTTCTCGCCCTCGCCGACAGTAGCCCAGGCGACGAGATCGCCGAGCTTGCCGGAGCGGACGTCGCGCTTGTAGATGACGACGCGGTTGTCGTCCTGCAGAGCCGAGGCGACAAGCGTGCCAGCCTTGTTGAGCGTGAATCCGCGCGGGTTGCGGCCGCCGGCGGGGGCGACCTGGGTCAGGGTGAGCGCGCCGTTCCAGGGGTTGATCCTGAACGAGATGATGGGGTCCGAGGGGATCTTGGTGCTGTTGGTCGCGTCAAAGTTGTCGATCTCGAGGCTGTTCTCGCCGCGGGAGGAGAGGATGACGAAGCGGTTGTCGGGCTATTATGCATTTAGTCGCGTGACCACATAGGAACATATCCAAGACGGAAGGGTTCAAGAACTCACCGAGATCTCCAGCTCCGCCGCCTTGGTGCCGGCCGGCACACTACCACCCTCGCCGTGGTCGCTGTAGTCGAACAGCAGCTTGAAGCTCAGCGTCGAGTCGGCGTTGTAGGTGACCTTGTAGCCCGTGACGGTGTTGGACAGCTCGTTGACCGTGTAGAAGAAGGTGTTGCCGCCCAACCTGGCGAAGCCGCCGTGGCGGGGCCCGGAGCCGGAGACGGCCTGGGCGGGCGGGATCTCCTTCCACGCGTCGCCCTCAATGGCGAAGAGACGGATCAGGTCGGCGCCCAGGTCGGGCACGGCGATGAACCGGCCCGTGGGGTCGAGGATGGCGTCGTGCAGGTGGGGCACCTCCTGGCGGTTCGGGTCCGGGCCGGGCTTGTCGAGGGTGTAGGTGACGTTGCCGGTCAGGGCGATGTCGCTCGGGTCCCTGACGGTGAAGCTGCTGAAGGTGGATGTGTCGCTATGGAGTTCGTGTTAGTTGGGCTGTCTCGGTAGTCTCATGTTGATGGAACGAAAGTAACTCACTAGTGAGCAACTGCCAGGTTACCCTTGTTGGGACCGTATAGGGTTGACGAAACGGGGCTCTTGAGCACCGGGAGGACGTCGAGCGCGGACAAGCTGCCGTCATTGTTGGTCTTGTAAGACGTAATGGAAGCAGCGCCACCCCATCCCTCGTTCAGGCAGTACAGCAGCGACTTGGGCTTGTCCAGTGTCAGCCAGGTTGGCTCGGATCCGCAGTCGAGCGATTTGGAGAGGACGGTCAGACTGTTTTTGTCCAGGTTGAGACTCGTCACCGTATGGTCGTTGTAAGAGGTTGCCCACAGCAGGGTGGCCGACGACGGTGCCGCCAGGAGCAAAGAGACAATGCCGGTAGAAATCATGATAGACTGGCAAAGATAAAGATTTCCTATATGGCAGCTAAATCAAAGTCTCTGATATGGCTAAAGCGAGTCGACTGAGGCGAGCAGCTCTTGGACGCCGTCACGGACATGGGGTTCGTGTCAACGGCCTTCTATTTATTGGTCAATCCGACTCTCAGCTCTTCCACATCATGTGCATCTCAAGTAGTTACGGTGCATTCGAAGAGATCTCAACGAGTTTTACCGCCGGGTTGGGATTCCGTGGCCCTGGTCAGGGTTCCATCGTTATTGGGTAAGCTTGCATCAGCATCGAGGCACAGACGTTGCAATATTGGACGGCCATGACTACGTATAGCCCGAAGCGGTCTAGCATCTCTCGGCATGTCCAGAATCCTTCAATTCGCGCGTTCAAGATTGCCTCTGCTATCCATGTACGCTGTACGCTAAGATCGATTGCGTTCTGCAATGCTCGGCCCGTCTGGCGCGATGGCGGGGGGGTTTTCAAGCTGGAGAACGGGAGCGTCTGGGTTCTTCCGCCAATAGACCCTCTATGACCTGTGGCCGCCGCACCCACGCATGCGGAGTAAGCATGTCCAATTCCTCCCATCCGATGCCATTATAAGCTTGGACCCCGTCAGAACCGATGGCAGCCTGAGAAGGATCTAGAAGGAAGGGGCCAGTAACATTGTACTTGTATAGCTCCGGAACGCGGTGAGACATTCCGCAGCTGAGAAAGAAATATCGGATACCCCGGATTCGATGTTCGGGGCTTTCTATTCCAAGCGGGCCGAGGCTCGATCATACGTAGGTCGGGAAGCGAGCGGCACAGTGATCATGGAACCCGCGGACCAGATTTGGGTTGCGTGATAATCAACCAATCACCAAGCCTGTTCTGAAACATCGTCTTTCCTTTTCGCGAGACTTTCTCAAGCTCTCCCGCATCTTGACGTCTGGGTATCAAATTTCAGATAAATGAACACAACACCCACAAAAATACATATTGCATAAATGAGGACAGCAACGCTGAAAGCTTATGTTGTGGTGGATGGCTCACAATATTGCGTTCAACTTGTGGAAATGTGATTAGAATGCACCTCTCCAATATAACGCTCCGGTTAAGAGCTTGGTAGTAATCACGGAGAATCATGATCGCCACTGCCCCAGCAGTAAGGACGAGAGCTTACCACATCACTTCAACTTACCCACACATGGGAGCTGGATGATGCTCTTACCAATTTCCCCATCTCGCACAGCCGAGTTTTAAGAAGTGTCCACAGCTCCAGGGTGCCATCTATTTAACCATCGGAAATTCGCCTTGATTTGATTGTTGAAGCTGTTCTGATCGAAGGGGGGGCATTTGAAGACAAGGCTTCGGCTTTTACTTCAAAACTAGAGGAGCGATGGTAGCTTGACAGATGACATTTCCACCTATGCTGAGCTTTGAACCGAAGCCATGTTGCTCAAGAATTTGTCCAATCTACACTGGAGAAAATACAGTATAGTTGATGATCTGTGATAGACTAAACAGACCTTGGAGTTCCACGAAGCAGACAATGAGAGACTCAGCAGCATAGACCGCAATATTTCACCCGAATGGCATTCTCTCATTCGTTCCTCTCAAGGGCAACCTGAATATTCATGGGTATCACAGCAAAAGTGTGTAATCATCTCTAAACGAGCTTTCATGGAGGGTTACAGACATCACTTGGCTTGGTTCAGCCTGTATCTGTAGGTTTAGCCCATAACATGAAATGGATGGAGTTGATAGTATCTGAAACACTCCTGTCACAGCACGTCACCACATATGTGGTTGAGGATGGGATTGTGTACAGTTGGTCAGTCTGTCGACCTCGAGCCAATATTTCGATTGATTGGTTCCAGCATTGTCCCAACGACTTCGCACCAAGACAGGACCGAATAAATATGGTGCAATATCCAAAGCTGCTTGTATACTATTCGGCATTGCTTTGTGATACCAAGAGCTATCTCCATACACTGATGGTCGACTTGTAACTGTGTTGCGGATACTGTCTGGGAGACACAGCCTAGGATGGCGAAACATTAAGGCCAAACCCTGTTCAACTCGGGAAACGCATGTTGTCCGATTTAAATGAATACGCCAAACTATTAACTCTTTAGTCTTTTGCTTTGATTCTATTTCATACAGTTGGGCAGCTCAGGAACACAGGTGAATGAATAAAACTCAGTCTGTTGCTGAGTCAACTCATTCTGATTCACTTGCAATCAAGTCATGAAATGACAGACAAGGCGGGTGCCTCCTCTGTGACTAGCTAGTGCGTATAGGGCCTTAGGAGTAATCAGCAACCACTGTTAAGTAGGCTATTTGGGTTCTGCACAGTCTTCAATTCAATGACTGCCTGAGAAGTCATACATGTAAACTTCAGGGTCTTTTCAAATCTTCACTGACTTCTGAACAATCAAGTTGGGGCAACTACTAGCATTAGTCATTCAGATTGCCTCGATATTCAGTATAAAAGCTTGATTTTGTCCCCATGGTGTGTGGCAAGCAACGACAGGATAAATCACGCGACAGTGAATATGAGTTGAGGCAACTGTCACTTGAAAACGCGAAACAGACTTTTGTCACAGCCCAACCAGGCGCGTCGTTGCCCACGCGCCTATCTATAAAACAAATACCTTCTCTTCTCAATGACTCTTTTTCTTCCCCTTCAGAACTTGCCCATCTCTCAACCAACAAAGCCTGCCACTATCCCTCCTGCCTTCTCGATTAACCTCTCAACTGCTACCCAGGTAGACAACATGTCGCTCACCAAGCTCCCAAAAGAACTCCTCACGGCCATCTGTCATTATCTCTTCCCGGACTATCCCAGCAACGACCACCTCCCCGTCCAAGCCCTGGCTAGCCTGGCCCACACCTGCAAGGTGATGAACGACATTAGCGTCCCCATCCTCTATCGCCGGATCCGAGTTGGTAGAACCGGCAACACCATCACCTGCGCCCGGACGCTTCTCGAGCGACCTGACCTCGCCCAGTGTGTTCGGGTCGTCGAGATCTACGGCCGTGATAGGAGGTTCCCGCCACCACAGTTCGACTTCGAGCTGATGGCCCGGATACTCACCAAGCTGTCTGTGGACCTGCCCCCCTCCCTGAACATCGCAGACCTCAAGTCAGAGGAGTTCCACGCCCACATACTTCTGATGCTCACGCCAGAGGCAGAGCGGGTCCACTACCGCCTTCATCCACAGGACCCTGGTGTTGACCATCGCGATAAGCTCGAGATGAGCAACACCATGCAGGCCACGACCGGAATCATCCCGTTGCTGGAAAACGTCAAGCACGTCGACTTTGAAGCGCGGCAGGCTAGCTACGACTCGCAGCTCTTTCGCCAAGCTCTGCTTCTGGAGAGGTTCCAGATGCAGTGCATTGCCAGCATCGTGGGCATACCGGACGAATGCTACACGCATCTCAACACGCTCAGCCTCACAAACTCCTCGATCAAGCCCGAGGTCCTGCTTGAGCTGCTACAGGAGCTACCCCGGCTAGAGCGTTTCGCCTTCCGCTCGGTCAGGAGGCGCGACAAGAACACCACGCGCCCCCACGAGGTCATGGGCGTCCTGATGCTGACCTGCATGGACCGGCTGAAGCGCCTGGACCTCGACTTTAGCGACGGCGAGACCGGGCGGCAGCGCTTGGGCAATGACTACGACTTCCGGGGTTTCACGGCACTCGAGGAGCTGGCGCTCGACTACGAGGCCCTGACAGGCAAGAAGGCCCGCGGGCTCTGCGCGACCAAGCCCAGCCCCTTCCTGATCGACATGTTGCCCCAGCAGATCAAGTCGCTCGACATCCACGGGTGGGAGCCGAGCGAGAAGAACGGGCGGCGGCCGACCCGGAGCGGCCGGTCGCCCATCTCGAGGAGCCTGATCAGGCACCTGCTGCAGGAGAGGGAGCATTTCCCGGAGCAGTTCCCGGATCTGGAGCTGGTGCGGCTCAACGGAAAGGAGATGTATTGCCGCGAGGGAGCCACCGCGCACCGGCCTCTCCCGCTCGATTTCGACCAGTACGATGCCTTCTTGTCCTAGCCGGCATGGAACAAAATCGTCTGAATAGGAATAGGGATGGGGAATAGATGCCCCAGCACCATGGCTGGCGATGGAGACTGGATGGAATGGAAGGACTTGTATCTGGATCAGTGTAGGAAATGTCTGGGGACTGTGCACTTGGCATGTATCCGGTTTGGCGAGTGGAGTTTGCGCCTTTGTTTCGTCTCGGAGCCGAAGAGTCTGAGACTACTTAATATCTGTATTGCGACTGCTCTTGGCCCCTCATCGGCTGTGATGACTAGGATGGGTTCAAGGGGCCAATGCTTTCTTCTCAGATGTAATGCATAGAAGTCATGAATGATCGAGTGATGTACACAATGTCTGCATGTGGTCTGAAATTCCCACCATGTCTTTGCCATTATTTGTGCTGGTTCTTCAGCACCAGACCAATATACTTAAGGGTACGAAAACAAATGCATTTATGTCTCCGATCAAAGCTGGCACCATTTTTCTTCACCTCCCTGCCCCTTTTCGGACCTCTAACGCACATCGCCACGATGCCTCTGGATATCAAGCGGAAGAGGCCATTTTCCTGCTTCCGAGGCGTGTGCAGCATAGATTACCTCCCCATCCAGCCTCACAAGCTCAAGGTTTGGGAAGAGGTCGCGAAGTTCCAGGAGGTGCTCAAGCAGGCGTCCCAGAGTAGCCTGTCGCAGAGCTGCCATCTCTTGGCTGTCCGGTGGGTCGAGCTGTCCTCGATGCAAGTCTAGCGACTTGAGGTGCCGGGGTAGGCGCTCGACCAGAAGGGATTCTGGGAGGGAGGGAGGTCCAGGATTCGTCCAAGAACTTATCTGCATCCTCCAGGTGCATTTGCTGGAAGGTAATTAGCGTCGTCCATCGCAAGGCCCTCGAGAGCAGTAAAGGCAGGGAACCCCGAGGTAACAGCTGCTCGCATCGGTGCAGTGATAATAGGACTGAGATATATCTCATGCATTTTCTCATCGTTCACAGTGAGGTCGAGGTGTACCAGGCGGTCACACAGAGGGGTTGCCCATGACAAGAAGAAGCTAGGATACCGCTGGGCTGAACACACCCGACAGGCCACCCTCGTCAAAGCTGGGAAAGCTTCCGCGAATATTTCAAAGTACGCCCAACAAACGTGGAGGTCCGTGAGCTCCAGCGACATTAGGCCGAACAGGGAATCTGAGGAAGTATCCCTTTAGACGCCGTAGGAACACATCACGTGCAACTGTTGCCCTCTTCAGTAAGAAATCCCTGCGAAAGATCCTTGTATCTGGAAGATCAGTGGATGAAAAACACTGGAGTGTTCCTACGGCGTTTAAAGGGATAGGTTGGGGAGGCCGCCATAATCAAACACCGAGAGGTGCTCCAGGTTTGGGACCACTTCGACGAAACTAGCCTCCGCGAGACCAATCGCGCTTATCCGGACGGAAGTCAGCTTTCTCTTGCAGATGGCTGCGCGTCGTAGCGTTGTGGCGAAGCTGAAGAGAGCAGAGTACTACTTCTAGGGACAATGCAGATTTTCGAACTTTGGGAGCAAGGCTAGGATGAGATAGACACAGTCCGCCCGTCCCGCCACAAGATGCATCCACACTGGCCATGTTATACCGCAATACTCAGCGACGAAACTCAAGCACACGAAAATCCATTTTCGTCTTTCGGAGTGAGCTCGTGCCGCCCTGAGCTGAGCTGATCCTGAGCAACAGTGAGCAACACGGAGCCGAGACTGAGACAGGGTGAGCCAGGGTGAGCCAGGGTGAGCATGCGCCTGAAAATGGGCCCCTGTGCATGAATGGGTCCTTCTCTGGGCATGCACGCCTTGCCAGGTCCCAACTCTTGGCCAATGGCCTTGTATTGGGCCTCGGCTAGACTTTCCACATCAAAAATCATCATCATTATTATTATTATTACTTTACGGAGTACAAGTACGTACACGGATGACCCATAAATGCAATCCCCCCCCGCCCCCCCCATTTATTTTGTTCCTCTTGCGGTGTAAAACACTCAGACCCCCATCACTATCACTTGTTTCGCAGCGCTTGCGAGCCTTTCCTTGTCCGCACCTCTCAACAAGTCGAAATGCCTGAGCTCGACGACGTCTCATACTCGTTCGACGAGTGCGTTACCGCGATTCGCGATTATTATACCTTCCTCACCAAGATGTACATGGATGAATCGGAGGTCCTCGAGCCGCCCGAGCAAGGTTGGCCGAGCATTGTCAACGCTAGACCCAAGATCCTAGAGGAGTTTGGCAAGAATGCTGAAGTACTCAGGCTCCTATCACACCTGCCCTATGTGCAGATTCCTGCAGATGGGACAGAAGCTCAGTCGCTTCCTAACGGGAAATTTACCGACTGGAATACTCTCTTTGCCTGGGTTGAAAATGGCTTAGTTGATATTGAAGGACTTAAGAGTGCAACCGAGGGTGATTTTCACGACTTCAAGGTCTCACATGCTGTGGGCCTCTCGTTTGTGGACGATATCTATACCACCCTTATTCTCGATACACAATTGGGTATTATTCACTATGGCGCATGCCCTGGTAAAATCCGCCACAGCCCATCACAGGAGCCTATCTCGGATGATTTCTATGACTATGCCGACGAAGAGGACGAGCCTGCCTGGCGGGAGGCCGAGTGGTGCGCTGATGCTCCAGCCTGGACCATTCCAGCCTTCTTCGAGCTCCTCAAGGACCAGTTTAGGCAGCTCAACTTCGTGCCCCTCGGCCGGCGAACGGTTGTAGACGTCTTTACCACCTGGCCTGACGATAAAGCCGGCTTGATACCCATGGTGCAAGATATCTACCGTCAGCATGGCTGGCCTGACCTAAACCGCTACAATAAAGACGAGTGCATCCCAGCAGTGCAAAAGGCGCTGAGAGAGAAATACCCCAACGAACCCTGTACTTAAAGGTCTTGTGGGCTGTACATTAGATAAGCATGAGCAGTCAATACTAAGCACACTTGTGGACTTAAATAACATGTCAGGATATGCCCACACTGACCATAGACATAAAGCTGTGTACAAGATCACAGCATTGGCTATGTCCGGCCAGATACGGAGAAGCAATGGCATGCCAAGAACATGCCGAGAATCGAGCTGCTTGGCGGTCTCCAGGGGACGTAGCTTTCCCAAGTAGGGGATGATCTTTCGAGACCAGGCGCGGTTCACGTCCGCGCCAGCATCGACGAGACGGCAGGCAATGGCAAAGGCTCCGTCGATGCAAGCGAGGTGCAAGAGCGTGAGACCAGCGCCCAGCCGGGCGTCTATATGGAGTTGTCTATGCTCTAGCAACCAGAGGAAGGTCTCTTATTGATGGGTTGAGTAGGCGTAATAGAGCGGTGTCAGGCCTATTAAGTCCTAGAGGTTGATAGTATCGTTCTAGGTATTGTCTTCTTTAACTAGGAACTTAATGACATCGAGACAGCTATAGGTAGCTGCTGTATGGATTGTGTGTGATTTCCAGGTCTTTGCGTCAAAGGTCTGTGCTACATCTCGTCAGAGAAGCATCAGTATCATCTCCTGCCGTTGGTGGCAGAGAGCGATGTGCAATGACCTTGCATTATAAGACAGGAAAGAATATTAACATACTCGTCCTAGATTTGCATCATTTTTTCATAGTTTCGCCTCACTGCAGGCTGAAGTTCTTTAAAGATAGGCTTGCTGTTTATAATATTGTTTCCTCTTCTAATGATTCTCTGGTCGCCTAGGCGGAGTGTGTCTGCTGTACTCTTAGCCCTCCCTATTCAAGCAATGTTGCTTAGGAAGTAGAAGGGAGAAGTATTTAGAACTTGTAATAGATTCTAGCCTTTGATAAAAAATCAGGATGTTAATACCGCAGAAAAAAGATAAATGTAGGAGAGGATTAACCATCTATTAGAAAATATAGGTATAAATACTAGACCTGAAGATAGAATGAATGTGAAGGAAGGGATTTAGGTTTAAATATTAGTCTGAAGCCTGGATTAGTGTGAGTAGGGGTATAATATGGATGGTCTTTATGGAGGTTGTAGGTAAAAGTTTTTATCCCTCTGCTAGGTATTACCCCTACTTGCTTATACACATACCGCAGTCTTTCAGCACGTTATTGACCAGCTCGGGGTCGTAGATGGATATGACCGCCTGGTCGACCGTAAATCTTGCGACTTCTGCTCCACGAACGAGTTGTCCGAGGTCGGGTTGCTGGTAGACTGTGCGTAGAAGAGAGACCAACGAGTGGGTGCTGGGGCCAATTGTGATGTTGCGATAAAGGAAAGGGTTGGCAATGCGGTGTAGACGCTTCGATGTTAGGGAGAGACTATATATGTCCCTTCGATGGGCAACGGTGATTTTGTGCTGCATCTCCGGGCAGAGGTGACTGCATATGGCGGCCAGCACCTTGATGGGGAGGTCTGGAAACGACATTTTGTTGACCGTCAAACTTGAGTCACCGAGACTTGAGGTTGTTTGCTGACACGTCTCCTGTCAACAAGGGGGCTGACATCTCTGACCTGCAAAGCCAGGGAGAAGAGCCCTATCTTAACAGCACAACTCCAACCATCTGTGTGGAAACTGTGTGCTTCAATAATTAGTAGTTAAATAGCACCACATGCCACTCACGCTGCGAGTGAGTGCGAAAAGGGCTGAAGGCAGAAATTGTCAGGAAGTCGGCGAATTTAAAAAGACCAAGGAGGTTGGTTCCTCTCTGGACATCGACAACTCTGCTATTGATAAGAGAGGCAGTGTTCTAAAACACAATCTCCAGCACCGCACCTTCGCCTACATCTTGGCCCTCTTACAAAGCTTAGAAAGAAACCAGTCAAACATGCCGACGGTTACTCTCGTAGGCAAAGAGATTCCAAAGCGAAAGAAACCATCAAGACTTTCATATTAAAAAGACATCCGACTACATCAACAAAATGCCATGGGTTCTCAAGGCATTAAACAAAAGGTATAGCCCAGATCTAGAATATCCTTCTTCCTTCGTTCCCTCCCACCAATCTACACGAATCGTACTTCGTCAAAGAGCGCCCCGCGGCTCTGCACGAGGCTAGCCAACTCGAGCAGGAACGATTGCAATATGATGGCGTTCGTCAGGATGTGCGAGACAGTGACCTGCTTCTCCTCGGGCGGCGTGCCCGCCGCAACTGCATCGCCGATCTCAGAGGTCGGCACCTCGCTCTGCGTCTCGATGGTCGTGTCCTCATCAGCCTGTGAAGGATCATGGCCATCCTGCTCCCCCTCACCATCCCCGTGTTCTCCATCCCCCGGCACAACCGGCAACTTCTTCCCAAAGTCCAACGGAATCGGCGCCGGTTTCTTCGGCGGCAGCCCGACCCGCCTCGCCAGGATCTTCTGGTCGACCGCGTGGAACGCAGCCGCCTGGCTCGCGACGGCCGGGTCCCTGCCCTCGACAGACCCCGCGTGGCTGCTCGGCGAGTAGCTCCTCGCCATCGCGGCGCCCGCGCCGGACCTCGAGGGCGTCTCGTAGTTGATGGGGAACTCCCTCGGCGGGATGACCGTGGGCTTGGCGGCGGTCGGGGTCGCGAGCCCGTACCCGCCCGACAATGTCGAGCCACCTCCACCGGGAGTGCCGGAGCTGCGAGATGGCTCCTTGCGGCCTCGGGGGCTCGAAGAGCGGCTAGGCGTGCCCAGCTCGGAGAAGATGCGCTGGGCAAAGCCCTCGAGTGCAGACGGGCGGGCTGGTGACGCATTCCGGGACTCCTCTAGGCTGGTCCTCTCCCTACCAGGAGTGCTGGGCTGAGTGGCGGTCGGGTTCCTGGTACGCATTGTCGCTTGAAGCGCTACTGCAGCATCGGCGGTCTGGAAGGCTTCGCGGCGCTGTTGGAGAAGATCGTCAAAGCGGGGTATGGTCTTTCGGTAGGCTTCGATCTGGTCGGACAGGCCTTGCAGGACTTGGAGCAGCCTGGGGAGACTCGATGTATTCCACCTAGGACGTCGTTTGCACTTCTTCATCGCCTCTCCAGCCTTGAACTCGGCATAGGTCGGCGAGTCTGGGTCCAAGGGCTCCGCTGGTGCCTTAATATCCTCTTCGTCGTCCTCATCATCGTACAAATACTTGTCGGGGTGGCGAAGAAGCCAGCCCTCGACGTTCATGAAGCCGCAAACCCCCAGATCGAATAAGGTATCCGTTACACACAGGTTGGTCTCCACTGGGTTGATGAAGAACGTCTCGAGGCGATCAAGAACAATGTTGAGAAGCGGGTCTTCGGGACGGAGTGTGTGAGATCTCACGTCCCGCGGAGCGCCAGGCAAGGTATCCGGAATGGCTGGCAATTTGTGATTGTTGGTCGATACTTTCGGTGCGACCAGCTTGAGCGAGCACGGATGGCTCTCCAGCCGTATGGCAGTGTCCTTGAGGATGTCGTCATAGATCTCATCAAAGTTATCCTGGCCCCCGATGACTCCAGCCAGAGACATGAAGAACTCGACTTCTTGTTGGTGAGCGCCGACTGTTCGATGTATACCATCGCCATGGGTGCTCTCTGTGTGGAGCAAGGTGATAACTGCGTATCGGTGATGCCTTTTAAGAATCGTCGACACGAGTTGAAGCGTGACGTGGATGGTCTGCTCCGAGTGGGATCGGAGGCAAGCCAAGATCAGGTCGATAAGGTTGAAGAGGAGGGGCGTGGCAGTCGTGTCATTCTTCGCTGCCATCATGGTGGCAAGGTCCATCGACTTCCTCTTCCTTGCCAGGCTGACTGTGTCCCGGGTCCCCGGCTCGACCGAGGGCACCATGTCCGGCAGTGCAAGTAGGTAGTGCAGGATGAGATTAATCATATCGGGGTGGTCGAGGGACTCTAAGATGCGGCGCAGATAAGTAAGAACAGCCACTGAGGAGCCACCGTCGATATCGGATGACTCGAGCAGTGAGGGGTATCTGGTAGATCACTATTAGGGTCTGAGAGAAGACGTATGGTATGGTGTGCTTGCTGACTTACAAGAGTTGCTGGAGGAAAATGACCTGGAAATGCTCAAGAAGTGTTTGCTTGACCTCGACCGACCTGCAGTGATTCAAGACGTCCTGCCAGAAGAGTAGATGGGAAAGAAAAGTGTCCAGTTGGACTTGGTATTCGGGTGTGCATGAGCTGACGATTTCGTATGTAGATTTGGGATGTTCGTAATCGGAGAAAGCAAGGGCGGGCGGGAGGTCGCTTGGCGGGTGGTCGATGACCAACTTCCGGCTCAGCTGACTGTAGAGCGCGCCGAGACCGGTAGCCATGAGGGTGCTCAGGTCACTCTCGACGATCCATTGTTCCAAAGCAACCGAGCTGGACGCGGCCTCGATCACGTATAACAAGCCCGTGCGAGCAAAGTCGCCCACTTTGCCCTCGTGGTGGATGTAGTCGACCAGCAGGTAGAAGAGGGGGAAATCCTGCTTCTGTGTCCTGCCTGCAAACTTCTCGTGACTATCCTGTGGCCTGTCGACATGAGCGGTGCCTTGGGGAGACTTGAACCAGGCCGGCAGTATGGTCGGATCCAACCTGATCTTGGTCGTGATGTTGAAGGCGAGCTCCACGACGCGCGCTTCGGTATCGGACGCCAGCCGTATGCTGTTGGCCCCGGTTATGCGGACCAGCAGATTCGTCAAGCTGGAGGCGAAGGCCTGCTGCTCGACGAAGGCTTCCTCCTCGCTCTCGATCAGGGTTCCAAAGAACCATACTGACTCTTTGATGATCCACTCATTGTAGGATGTGGTTGCCACTTTCGCGATCGGGATGTAGATTTGTTTGAGAGACGCGAAGGATATACACGGATGGGGGAGAGGGCGTCGCGACTCGTCACTGAGGATATTGGTGAGCTCCTTGATCCGGTCCTCGATGGCTTCGGCAGCGTCTTCGTCGCGGCTCAGGTTGGAGGAGTTTCGCCATATTTGCTACAGAAGTATCAGCGCGTCCGTCCTTCCCAACAGCTTGATGTCGCGATGCAAGCGTACCAACAACTGGCTGTACTCTTTCTCGAATCGATGAAGCCGCCTGACGGGATCCTTGGCGGCGTCCTTGCGGGAGCTGCCCGAGGACAGGGGGTTGCGGGTTAACAGTCTCGACCACTGGGGTTGCATGCATTAGCTTCCATGATCTGCTTCGGTAGTGTTCGTGTTAGGAGGGCTGCTGCTGCTCACAAAGTCCATGGCGTCGTCGTCCAAGGCATGTCGGTGGTTCCGGTGCACTCGAGAGGTTTATTGACAGAGTCCGCCGTGCGTCATGACGAGGAGAGAGCGAGCCGAGAGTGCCTGGTCGGTTTGCATGAAATGTGCTTGTCGCAGATGTTAGGCCGGGGATGTCGCGAAATCTGTTTAGCCGCATCTGGAGTTCCTGGTTGGCTCGGGCGTGCAGATTGGAGCTTGGGCGAGCTGTTATCGTTATCGTTATCAGCGACAGGGACATGGATCAATGAATTTAGCGGACTGCTGCAGAACTGAGGCCACTGCTCCAGCGGTTGATGGTGAAACGATCCCCGCTGAAACACCCATCCATCATTGGCCAGCCCCTGTGTGTGATGAACTCAATCTCACCTTCTTTGATTCATGCTTTCCGGTCTACCGACATCGTGGGTTTAGCCTTATCAAACAAGAAGTCCTCATATACCATCACTGGAGCAGTTTTGGAAAAGACTTGTTTGAATTTGAACGAGCATGAACCAGCTCAGCTCATGAATGTTTTCTGACGCCGGACCTTTAAGGCTTGAGGGGATGTGATGCTATCTGAGGTGTCTGAAGACCAAACTCAAGCCATCTTCCACACCCCTGATCACCTTGCAAACATCAAAATTACAAAGACAAAACAGCAGACAACCCGAAAAGAAACAACCTTGGCCCTCCCTCTCGGTCCATCCCTCGGCTCTCCATCACCACCGCGGCCGCTTCACAAAGAGGTCATTGTTCCGGGCGTATTTGAGCAGGTGGAACCCCTTCTTCTCAGACGGCACATTGCCGCTCTGCCACTTCCACACCTTGTCACCGTCGGTCAGGTGCTGCGACCAGTCCATGGCCCACAGGTCGTCGATCTCGAGGACGTGCTTGGCCCGCCAGTTGGGTCGCTGCTCGGGGCCCCATTCCCGCTGCGGCTGCACGAACGCCGTCTCCAGCCGCCACGCGAACTCCACCCCCTCGTCGGCGTCGCTCTCGCCGTCGGCGATGTAGCCGTCGTATGGGCGGCGGGGGTTGGGCCGCATGCTGCGCCGCATGGCCTGGCCGCGGCGGTAGTCGCGCCAGGGCCGGGTGAGGCAGGCGGTGGCACGGCGCAGCAGGGGCCGGCGGTGCTTTGGCTTGATCACGGCGGGCAGGTCCTCTGCGCGGATGTCAAAGTCGGAGCGCTTCATGAAGTACGTCGGGGCGACGCGCTTGTGGCAGAGGCACGGATCATTGTTGTACACGGGGCAGTGGCAAGGAGCCTGGAGGCTTTTCTCGTCCCGCTTGGGTTGCTTTCTGCGCATCGCCTTTATTACTTGCTCCCTTAGCCCCTGGTGCGCCGTGATTCGCGTCTTGTGTGCTTCCTCGATATCCCTCATTAGGGCTTTCTCGTCGCTCTCTCGGGACATAGTTGGGGACCTCCGTGGTTTGAGGGAATAGATGTTACTCAGGGTTGAACGACTGGGGTAACGACCGCTGCTCAAGGCTGAGAGAGCTCAAACAAAAAGAAGAATGAGGAGGAAGGGAGGCAGGAATGAAAATGAAGGTGGAAGTCGAAGTTGGGCATTATTATAACAAAGTCTAGTTGCTTCTCGCCCCTCTACAACTAACTCCCTCTCCCAACAGGCTATCGCGAACCTCAAGATACAAAGTCTGGTTGCTTCGAAATTCTATCTCAACCACGACGAGACACACCATGGCTACCCGCCGCATTCCTTCTCTTTCCCCCGCAACTAGCCTACTCGATAATCCACTTGACCAGGCGGTGCTTCGCCGTGAAGCCACGCGCCCTCTTGCCGTAGATGTACATGGGGATGGTCGTCAGCACGACGGCGACCGTGATGCCGCCAATGACAAAGAAGCAGTTGCGCACGCCCTGCACGGCGATCCAGTCGTTGGCGTAGAAGGTCATGCCGAATGCGAACAAGTTCTTGACAAAGTTCATGAGCGCAAAGGCCTCGGCCGCCTGGGGCCGGTGGCAGTCGGCCACGTAGGCCACGACGCCCGTGGTGCCGAGCTGCACGCCAAAGTTGATGAGGCCCATGCAGACGATGACGGGGATGGCCCACGCGTCCTGCTTGTAGAGCGCCTCGCCCCAGGCGAAGAAGCCGGTCGCCGTGAAGAGCAGGTAGGTGACCATGATCGGAAGGCGGAACTCGGGCTCTGTGAAAGGGAGGGGGTGTCCCGTTAGTATATTTGGAACGACATGGCTAGCGTTGCGCCTGTTTTGTCAAGTAGGAAGTAAAAAAAAAGCTTACCGAATGTACCGCCATTCTTGCGTGACATGACCTTGACAAGGCCATCAATGGCCGGTCCGGCGATCGCGGTAGCCAGTAGCGTCGCCACAAAGGACGAGACATTGGTAGCGCCGACGGCGCTGACGGAGAAGTTGTATGGCGGGGCCGAGAAGATCTGCGACAGGGAGATGCTGATGAGCACGAGCCAGGAGATGCAGGTCGTGAAGAGCAGGGTCGCCCAGAGGACGATGGGCGAGGCGATCATGCAGAACGGTTGGAGCAGCGTGCGCCAGAAGGACACCTTGTCCCAGTACCCGCTGTAGGGGAGCATCTCCTTGGCCCAGGTGATCGGCTCCTCGTTGGCACCGTTGTCACCTGCGGCCTGGTTGCCAGTGGCTGCAGCGGCCGCCTGGTCGTTGTGCTCGAAGCCGCCCTTCTCGGCGGCGCCCTCGACCTCGACGTTGTGGCTTCCGCTGTCAATGTTGAGAGTGCCGACGCGGTGGTAGGCAGACTCGGGCATAAACAGCCAGGTGAGAATCGTCTGCAGGACGAAGGCACCGCCCATGGCGTGGAGGCAGATGCGCTGGGAGCTGTACTGGATGATGGCGCCGGCTGATGTTGGTGATTAGCAACCGTCATATTGCAACAAAGAGATAACAAGATGCACATACCGATGGGTGAGGCAAGGTTGATGCCACCCAGGACACCCAAGTTGAAGATAGCATTCCTGTATCCTCTCTCATGGACGAACCAGATATCGGCAATGGAAGCCGGTACCAGTGCCTCCATTGGCGCCATGCACAACCCCTGGATTGCACGGGCAGCAGCCAGAGAGCCAAAGCTCTTGGCCTCGGCAGCCCAGAAGCATGTCACGAACAGACCGACGGACGTGACGAGATAGACCGGGCGCTTGCCAATCTTCACCGCCAGTGTGTTGAAGATGATACTGCCGACGGCAATGGCCGCGATAAGGGAGCCGTTGACGCCGAGAGTGAAGCGTGACAGAGGCACGTTGAACTGCTCAGCAAGCGGGACGAAAGCGGATGTTAGGAGGGGCCCGACGGCTGTTTGGGAGTTACACGAGTCAGTTATGTTGTCTTCTCAACAAGGTCTCAAGTCATCCGCCCCAAGACTCACCGCCGACACAGCCGCAGCCGTACGCAATGGCGACGGTAAACATCTCCTTCTTCCATCGCGGCCAGTTGTACGGGTCGTTGGGCGAGTCGGATGGCTGTGGTACGAGGACAGTCGTGCCGGTAGGGTCGTGCTTGAGCAGGTTGGAGTCGACACCAGAGACTTCAGCGTCTGCCCGGCCGACCTCGCTCAGGGGCGACGTGCCCGGCACATGCTCGAGCTTGCGATACTCTAAGATACCCAGCGGCATATTGGCTTGGCAGGTGGTGTGCGTCACAAAACTTGGACAGAGGAATTGGGGAAAGTTTCGATGAAGAAAAAGGTACGCTTTTTTTTACGGCAGACCCCAAAACTATTTGTAGATCCCTATGCCATCATGTTGCATGAACAAGGGGAGGCCTAGGCCCTTGTCTTTGGGGATGCGTGGCATGCCAGACCTCCAACCTCCTCCCACGCATCCTACTCATGCTAGTCAAGACTATTTACTTACTACCGAGGGTGTCGCATTCATCGAAGCGAAAACAGCCCTAGGCTTGGCGGGTCATGTCCAAAAAAGAGCGCCTCCGCATTGGACAGAGCTCTAGTCTCCAAACTAGTTGCAATTACTCAACTCTTACACATCGTCTCTGTTGTGGGGGAAGCGTGGAGAAGAGCGTGCGGGGAAAACGCCCAGTCTCCGCAGACTCGTGGCGCTGGTCGCGCCTCGCGTCGTATTCTTGGCTCGGCAGATGCTTGGAGAGTCTACGCCGGATTGGGTGGCAACGATCATCACTACCGGGTTGCCGGGCTCGGGCCATAGAACTGCTTCCCGAGGGTTCTTCATCAAAAGGACATGCCAGTAGCTAAGTCTGGTCACGGTTTTCCCTGTGATCTACTGTCAAGAGTGCCATTGAAAATCACAAGAGAATGATAATATAAAACATACTCCAAGGCAGACAGAATCTAACATCCCGTCGGTATCTGGTGTCACATCATTGGCGGATTGTCTCTACCTATTCCAGATGTCGTGCCAGCCTTTTTGGGTCTGTTCCCAAGCAGCCTCTATACCACGTACGCAATGGTACCAAAAAAGGAGGGGCTTGGGCTGCAAGAATTCATCAGGACCAGCTTGCTCTCCAGCGCCGATCTCGCCTCCTGGCCGCTGCGCAATGCTATCCGTGCAAGTGAGTGCCTCCTGGTGGCTGCCGTACGGTGTTATCTCCAGGCCAACCATGAACCACTTGCGGTTGTCCCACTGCGAAGTAGTCACGGTGAAGCGCACAAGGTGACGACCCACGGCGTGAAGCCTTGTGGCGGGCGAAGGACGAAAGCCGTGGCGCAAACTTTCAAGCGTCGCGGGATGGTCGTTGGCCCACTCAACGACATGGAACCCGACTTCCCCATTGTCCAGAGAACCTAACAGGATGGCCATGGCCTCGCCCTCGCGCTCTATCACCAAAACGCCCGAGAGCTGCCTGCCAGCCTTGCCGAGTGCGAACGATGAGTGGGTGCGCTTTGGCAGCCACACTTTAGCGACCCTTCGACTCTTCGGGTGCAACCTCGGCCCCTTTCCCGGAGGACGGAGAACTTTGGTGGCGAAATACGACCCGTTGGAAGGCCCTGTAGCTAGTTGCAATGTAAGTTTTGGGAAACCTTGGTCTCGGCGTGCCCCTTGGTCCTGATTGATATAGATCGCTTTGGGCGGCAACGAGTTGAAGTCGCATGTCGCTTCTCGGAACGTCCGGACCCCGATTCGAGCAAACTCGTCTTCCAGTCCCTGAACCGTCACTTTTCGAAGAAGAATGGATACAAACTTCCTGTCGCTTGGGTTTGTGGACGCTGAGCAGTTGAGCAAGGCAATCCTTTCGCCCATCCGGTTCTGGCCGACTGGTAGGTGAATCCGTATGCCACCGTTACCTAAGCTGTAAGGCTTGCGGCTCGTGGCACTGTTATTGCGGGGGACTACCTCGCTGCACTGTGCAAAATTGAGAGGCGACTCGGCAAGAAGGCCACGCCACTGTTCATCCGTAGCCGACGCGGAATTGTCAATCCACGCAAAGATGGATTCATCGTTGGAATTCTTGATGATCTCCTCTTGAAGGCGTACGAATGCCCTGGCACCCCCTTCGCCATAGATCATTGGCATGTACACGTTGAAGATCCCCATCAAGGAATACGCCATGTCCTCTGGCCTGGATGTCTTTCGTTTTGCCGCCCACGACATACGCTTAGCGATGCTCTCCTGGCGCAAGTCACGGTCACCAGTCAGGATGTCGCTGTCGATGTTTGTAATCTCGGCCAGCTGTCCCTGGAGATGTCGCTTGTCCCCAACAAAGGACCAGTCTCTAGAGTAGAATCGTAGCTGTCCCGGTGCCAGGAGTTCTTGCAAAGTCCAGCCTCTGGTAAACCAGGTGGAGTTTTCCAAGCCCCTGCCGTCATTTGACACATCCTCAAGATAGGCGTAGCAGACTCGTGCTTTTCGGTACCACTCAAACATGGAATTAATGGCTTCTTGGAGCTCTGCACTGCTTTCTTTATCGATGCAGCATGTGTCGATCCATACATATCTCAGATTGTGCGTGACGGCCTGTCGGCAGGTGTACTGGACTTTCTTGAAGGAGGCCTTTTCCCGGGCTGTACCGTTCCGTAAGTCGCGGTAGGAAACCTCCTCATCTGGCGGTCCCCACCGGTGGGAGAGGATGGCATATGCGTTGGTGTCGTGGCTGTCGAAAGGAAAATCTTCGACTATTGGACCTCCAACCTGGTTCCAGGTGTCTGCCACGAGAACTTTCATGGCCGAAGAGTCCACAATGGGCCTTAAAAATCGCGAGGGTGTCGAAGCGTACAGGAAATTGTGCGGACACCTCGGTGAGCACTGTAGATATTCACGGGGAAAACTCTGGAGTAGCACAGAATGAAATGGTTCAAAGTTCCGTCAATCCTCCGTTGCAAAGAATGCACCTGGGTGGCTTTCATATACCTGGCTTAGAGATTCACTTTGAGGGGCCAGGAGCATTGTTCAGTTTCAGCTGAAGATGATCAACGAGACAGCACATTTCACGGGAACATCCGTGGCCAATAAAATGCTTGAATGTGGGAGATTAAGCTATTCTAGGTTGATTACAAGGAGGTATTGTGTGACCTCAGCCCGCTTGCTCGCGCAGATGGCGCGAATGATGACAATATCCCTCATATGCAAGGTGCATCGAGTAGAATCAGGCTGCGACTAGCCGTCGGTAGATCCCGTCCGAGATGGCATTTCGTGATACAATAAACCGTTGAATCAGACCTGTAAGAATCCCCGTCTGGCCATGCAATAAGCAGCCGGCCCCCAAAGGTGGCGAAAGTTTCTTTCCGCGACACATACCAAAGGCCAAGACTCGCATGGCGGCAGATCCCAGCGAATTGCGCACGTCTGCTTTCGTTTACGCAAACCCCAGTGCCCAGAAATTGTCCAAGTTCTTCTGGCTGTCCTCGTCCACGACTTCGTGCGGTGGTCTCAGCGTGACGTTGTCGCCGTGAATCTCAGCCACCTCTCCGGATAATGACGGGTTCTCGACAAACTTTCGCACACCGTTCACGAGGGTTGACATGGGCGTCAAGATCATGTCGGCGAACAACGACTTGGATGGCGCGATATTCGTCTCTGTAATGAATTCGTCAGCCACTGTTGACATGGTATGACCTGGAGGGAATGAAATACCTAGGACAGCAGGCGCGAGAGCATTCACTCGGATCTTGACCCTCTCAAGGGGCAGCGCCAGGGATCGGACTAGGCCGATCACGCCGAACTTGGAAGCTGAGTACATCGGGGCTACTGGTAGAGGATAGAGCCCAGCATTGGAAGAAGTGACAACGATCAAGCCTCTCGAGTTGGTAGCCGAGTCGACCTCATTCTTCTGAATATAGTGTACCGCCAGTTTTACGGCTGCATCGTGTGTTAGCAACCATTCGTCTGGGGGCAGTGGGAGGAAGATTGCGCACAGTAGATTGCTCCGAACAGGTTGACATCCAACACTTTGAGGTTCGGTTTCGAAGGCTTTTCTTCCCCCAACGTGACCAGGCTGCTCGAGCCTTGCTCTGAGATGCCCGCATTTGCCATCACCACATCGATCCGTCCTTGCTCCTTGTACACTTCCTCAAAGGTGGCTGATAGTGTCTCCCATGATGAGACGTCGGTCTGCTTGAACGAGACGGTAGCCTTGGGTGACTCGGCGGCCACGCTCTCTGCTACGGATGCGCCGGATGCGCTGTTCACGTCGAAAATCACGACCGCGTACCCTTCCGATGCAAAGTATTTGGTCATGGACAGGCCGATGCCGCTTGCTCCACCCGTCACGATCGCGACTTTGCGTCCACCTCCGGCGCCGCCACCGGCTTGTGAGGATGCCATGGCTACTTAGTGGACGGATTATGTGTCTAAAGAAAGTTCAATAGTAACGATCGCAAACAGGAAGGCTATGGCAATACTTGCAATTGCATTCTGTGAGAAAGACGCGTTTGATATGCAGATACCCCAAAGTCCGGATATATGCCGCCGAGAGCTGAAACCCCAACCCCAACTTCTACGCCTTGCCCCGCACGCTACGAACTGTGGAAAATCTACGCTGCGGATTGTGGGAAATCCCCGCGAGTCTCGGCGCGGGGTGTGGCGCCTCTTAGACACGGCACTAGTTTAGGACATTTGTAATTCCTTATGTTATGATGAGTCTGGATCCATCCGGATGGAGGACCGGCGGTGTTCATGATTGCGCCTCGCTACTACATTGCGCTTCGATGTCTGGAAGCCCGTGCCTCTTCTCTTGAGAGTTTGCGGAATACGATACCCAATTAGATTTGAGACCACACCAGCTCAAGTTCAGGAATACCCAAGATTGCAAGATGGCGGCGGTTCCCTTCTCACAGCAAGTACTGGGCAAGTTGAAGGGCAAGGTGGTGGTGCTGACAGGTATGAACGAGTCTCGCTTGGTTGCATCCCCCTGGTTGCCAGAGCTGACAGAGACCCCTGTCCAGGCGGCGCCCAAGGTGTCGGCGCCGCTACCGTAGGCATGGCACACCGTGCTGGCGCGCACGTCTTCTTTGGCGACTGGGCGGACGACAAGGGCAAGCAGGTCGAGGCGAGCGTCAGAGCAGAGCACAGCGGCAGCTCAGGATCCGTACACTTCCAGAAGGTCGACGTCAGGCAATATGCCTCGCAGCTCGCCCTCTTTGACACGGCGTACAAAGCGCACGGGAGGGTGGATGTGGCAGTCTCGTGCGCTGCAGTGACTGAAGCGCCGGGATTTTTCGAGCCCGAAAATCTGGACCTCGAGGCTGTCCGGGAGGTGTGCTTGAATCCTGTTCGACCTAGTTCAACTGAACAAACACTGATCAGACTGGAATAGGAGCCGCAAGACCTTCGATCACGTCTGGACATCAACCTAACCAGTGTCTTGATGTTCAGCCGCATGGCTCTGGCCTACATGAAGGCCAGCCCGCCTGCCGAAGACTTCTCTCGCTCGATGGTCCTCGTCTCCTCCATCGCCGGTATAACTGAGGCACCCGGCTTGTTCGCTTACTCCACAGCCAAGCACGGCGTCATTGGTTTGATGCGCGCTCTGAGGCCATACACGCCGTCGCGTTATGGAGTGAGGGTAAATGCAATCTGCCCCTGGGCAACGGATACGCAGCTCCTTGCCGGAGTCAAGGACCGTTGGATTCAGGAGAAGCTGCCGCTCAACCAACCCGAGAATGTGGCCGAGATGATACTACAATGCGCCGCGGACGAGACACTCAATGGCAAATCTGTGTTTGTAGCGGGAGGGAAGGGATATGATACCGAAGAGGGCTATGACAGGACACAGGCGCAATGGATGGGTGAGGAGCTAACGGCCGAGTTCAACCGAGGACAAAAGGTTCTTGGCTTGGTAAGTTGTCTTTGCCTTTGACAATGAGAGGAAATGATGGCTGACTGTAGCATAGGGCGATGGATGGACGTCAAAATAGGACTTACCTTGACAGTGTTGACTTTGAATAGAGCGCCTTGGGTCAAAACCATCTCAGTCGAGACGGGTGACCAGACTCGAGTATTTCCGATGAACTTCAAGGGTACACTGGTATCACATACCCAACACACTGTGACGTCGTGAAAGATATGCTGGCAGTACATAACACCAGTGAGGTTAATGTTTCTTAGTCACTCGATGACTTACCAGGAAAGGTACTTCATGTTCTCGTACAGCATAAGTGTGACACCAACGTCTGTCTTGAGATGTCATCGGTCGAATTTACCCAACTTGCTCCCATGATGTTCTCTCCGAGTCATATTTTGCCTTTCACAACCAGAGGGCAAATTTCTCACTCATCAAACATCACTCTATATGATGCCCACCCCGTCATCACGCATCAGACGCTTGCGTGTCGGCTCCCGGCCTCGACGAGTAGCAGTCGCCTCAACCGGGTAACCGCACCATACAGACTGCAGATCTCCGCGACCTGGCCTCCTCTTCTTGGCAAGCTGTGAGCTTTTTCCAAACATTCAACCACCCGAAGAAAGCTTTCAAACGTATCCCACATCAGGCTGAACTGTCCCCAGATATCTCTGTTCGCCATTTCACCCGAAGGCGGGAGTCGGCCGGCCCCGCATCATGATGCCCAGTGCCTCGAGCCGTGGCTCAGTCAGGGTGGTGGGGACCCTGGAAGGAGACGATTCCCCGGATTTGCGCGCCGGGCGTGCTTGTTGTGCGGCGAAAGATCGGCATGAAGATGTACCCTGCTCCTTAATTTATATAGTAGGGGGCGAAGCCACTCTGGTGAAACAGGAGGCGCACGAATCACACGAGGCACATGTGGTGGTGACACAATCACTGCAAAAATATCCCTTATTTGACCACCCCTCTTTAGGTGAGACTTGCAGGCGGAGGAGTGTTCCCCGAAACGGAGTTTTCCTTGTAAGTGATGGAGACAATTCTCCATGGTGCATTTCAGGATGATGGGTGATCGGCATGGATCTACACGACATCGATCTAGAAAATCGTTCAACATTTAACCGCTTTATCCCAGCCGCCCCCTCATGTGGATCGACTGTAAAACGGTTTGCATATTGATTGATATTAATGGGCGCTTTATGTGCGCCCGATATCGAATTTGCAAGAAATGGCGAGATGGCTATCAGACACCGCCGTAGTCGTCATGGATCACTTCTTCAGCGAAGCCTCTGGTGTCAGAGCATTGAACCACGGTTCTCAGAGGCACTACTCGAGCCTGCTTCGTGCTGTGGGCTGTGAGATGTATCCGTGAAGCCCCTGGGACGTATCCTTTCGTGGCTTCTACGTACAATGGGTTATTGGTCTCTTCGAGCAACGCCCAATCCCGATGGAGATTTCGTGAGGCATACGAACCACCATCCCTGTCCACGCTACGTCTCAAGGTCCCAAATACCACCCACCGGACGGATAAATCTCTGGCTAAATAGACGACTCCCGTTTGTGGGGTACAGAGGCACTCAACTGCCATCGCGGAGCCGTTGCCCGCCGGGGATAGAGCTTGCGCGGTTGTGTGTGTAATCGTAATCTATTCGGACGATGAGCACAACGAACCCCTGGTCTTCCCGCTGCTCAATCCTGTTGGCGGGATGTGGAGATGGGTTTATCATGTCGTGGGCGCATAGTGGAACAATTGAACGATACTATGAGGCCATCGCCCAAACACACCCCTGGTTCGACCCCAAAGATATAAAGATCTGGTGATATCTCGTCCTCCTGCAGAACGATCTACACCCAGGTTCCCATCCCTCCCTCAAGCTTTCCATTTATACTCAGCCAGCCAAGTCAAGTCAAGCTCCACAAACTTCGACCACGTCCTCATAATGGTGCAGTTCACCCAGCTCGTCGCGGCCCTGTCCGCCCTGGCCACCACCGCCGTCGCGGCCCCGGCCGCCGGCCCCGAGAACGATCCCAACGCCGCCCTCAGCGCCAAGATGCAGAACCTCGCCGCCCGCGGCATCCCACAGGGCACAGGCACCAACAACGGCTTCTTCTACTCCTTCTGGACCGACGGCGCCGGCCAGGTCAACTACAACAACGGGCCCGGCGGGCAGTACAGCGTCCAGTGGAGCAACGTCGGCAACTTCGTCGCCGGCAAGGGGTGGAACCCGGGCGCCGAGCGCGTCGTCAACTACACGGGCACCTGGAACGCGCAAAACGTAAACAGCTACGTTTCGCTCTACGGCTGGACCAAGAACCCGCTCGTCGAGTACTACATCGTCGAGGCCTTCGGCTCCTACAACCCGTCCTCGGGCACGCAGAAGCTCGGCAGCGTGTCGTCTGACGGCGGCACCTACGATGTCTACAAGACGACGCGCGTCAACCAGCCCTCCATCGTCGGCACGGCGACCTTTGCCCAGTTCTGGAGCGTCCGGCAGGGGCGCCGCGTCGGCGGCCAGATCACCATCAAGAACCACTTTGACGCGTGGAAGAAGGCCGGCCTGAACCTCGGCGCGCACGACTACCAGATCCTCGCCACCGAGGGGTACCAGAGCAGCGGCTCCGCCCAGATCACTGTTGCCGGACCCTAGATCGCTAGGAAGCTCGGTGCTTGAGAAAAGCTTGTTAGGGGGGACCTTTCGGCAAGCGAGGTTGAAGTGGCGGTGGTTTCGTCAGGAACAGCCGGGTGGGGGCAGCCAATGGAGAACGTGCGGAGGTTGCTGACCGGGATATTGAGCCTGATATAAGCAATCGGAGCTTGGCAATGTACATGTTATATATCCAATAAAATGTCATTCTCGAGACTTATCAGTGTTTCTCTACTATGTGTGAGCCGCTTGGCTCGCACACACTATTAGACAGAATGCTTGATAAGGCCTATTGGTGGGAGTCCTGTTTCGCTAATGATGCGTACTGTCTCCAGGTCCGGGAATCGCCACATCTAGTACTTGCTCGTGAGTTGTTCCAAGTCGTTGGGAATGAAGTCGTACACGTAGGTGACGTGGACACATTTGACCCACGCCAGCGACATATCCGCGAAGTCCCTGTTCACCCGCTTTTGCTGATGAGCAGGGGCAGGTGTTACGCGTCTGGTGGTATCAGGCAAGTCCGGACAGTGGATCACACCCTGATCTGGTGCGAACTCTGCAAGGTCCTCCAAGTCCTTAAGCTGTCTGGGAAGGGCAAAATGCCAACGACAACTGGCGCATGCGTTCCGCACCGCGTCCTTGTATGGCGGAAATTTGTCTAGGTCAGTTGTTAGGATGTAACCCCAGCACAACCTGCGTAGGTTTTTGGTTCTGGTTTTCTTGACCAGGCAGATATGGAGGTCTATCGGCCAAGTGTAGTCTGGCTTGTCATCCGGCAATACTGTAGGCGTCCAGACGAACTCGAGTTGTTCTAGGTTGAGAAAATTTGTGAAGTTCCGATTCAATATTCTCTGTGAAGCTGGTTAATAATGTGATTTGACGAACAAGATAGGGTTGAAATGCCGTGCTAGGACAGACATCTCGCGGAAAGCGCAGAGGAATAGTGGGAGCATGTCGTCTCCTCTCAAACGCCGCCCCCGTGTGGGATCGGTTGGCAGGATATTCCCCAGTACTTAGTAACGTTACAGTCCAGGCTGCGCAGCTTATGCAAGCTTTCTCAAAGTTCTTGTGAAACTGGCAATGGCTCGGTTGCGGTGCTTGATGTCAGGAATGTCGGGGCTGGGAAAGCTCCTGTCCTACAGCAGTGAAAGCACAACTCGTGGCAGTTAAGAGTGATGATCTCCGCTGGGAGCCTCTCCATATTGAAGCTTGATTGCCTCAAGTCATAGTAGACGTCGCGGTCTCCGATGGTGGGTTGAATAGAACATTCAATCTCTCCAGTGTCTCGGCGTGGCCGCAATAATCAACATGCGAGCGGAGCGGATACTCCCCCAACCTGCTTTCTTGTGGTGAGGTTTAACTATCCGACGACAACAATGATGACTGGGTCGGATCGGCGCCAATACTCTTTCGATAATTTGCAGTTCTCAGTCGGAGTTCCCGGCGGAGCATCAAGAAGCCTCAGCAAAAAGCAGGACGATTTTATTCGAGAACAAGAAAAATAATAGCTCGTGCAATCCCACATGCAAGACCTCCCGGCTCCTAGTAGTCGACGTTGTTCACGCCCTCGTCCTTCACACCAGCACCACCATCTCGACTTTACCCTCCGGAACGGCTTCCATAGCCTCTCCATGCATAAGACCCCAGACAAGACACTCGCCAATCATCTCAAAGGCCCCGCCAAAAGTCTCCCGAAGCACAAAAGGCACGCGGGCTCCGGCAATGATGCAGATCGAGTCCCCGGGTCGCGCAGTCGCGGGAGCCAAACCTACAAAGCCGGCGTCGGTCCAGAAGAGATGTCGACCTCTGAAGAACCTCTCTTCGCCAAGAGCAGGCATGGTGGCTTGTTCCGCTCGGTTCATGGCCGCCTTCAGGGCGTCCTGGGTATATGAACCGGCTCCGTCGGAGGAGGAAGATGTTGTGATATCAGAGCGTTGAGATGCGCTCTCCTCGCGCAGCCACAGATCCAGGCCTGTCTCTACTGTTCTTGCGGGATCGCCCTTACTGTGGCGTGTTCCGCGGTTTATTGATAGCAAGATCTCAGCTGAGACCAGGCTGTTGATATGGAGGGTATCCTCCTTAAAACCGGTGGCATGCCACATGTCCCACGCGTCAACCACTGCCTGATGCGAGTTCATCATGCTGATATTCATGAGTCGAATGCCCTGAACTTCGAGTCTAGGACAACGGCCTAGGCTATCGTCAATAATCGCAGGCTCTACCCAGCTAGCTGAGGCGCGGTATCCTTCTTCGTCGATCAATGGCTGGACGGCGAGTGGGCAGCTCCAGTCGGGGACCCAGCTTGGAATTTTCTGCTCAGGCTCATTCACGTGGCTAAGTAACGACAGGTCTGGGTCGCGGCAAAGCAAGGGACAAGGCCACTCGTCGTAGTCCAACTGCTTCCTGGCGCCTCCCATCTGGCCTTGTGTGCGGATCCAGATATTATCTTCGGCAGTTGTCATCCAGTACTTGGCGACCGTGAGATAAAGCAATGGGACCTGATCTCTTTGATTCGGGAGCTCAATCCGGCGCCCATCATCATGGGCGAAGCCGATGACACCCAGCACTTTGTCCTTGGGCTCCGTGGCCTCGTTGCAACGCAATGCTGGTAGGACTTGCTTTAGGCGAAACTTCTTGAGGTCTGCCACATGATCGCGGGTGCGATACTCTTCCATTGCTTTCAGGTAATCAGGATGGCTGGCACCCCGATTGACGATCGCTTGACGGGCATGTTCTCGTCTGAAATCCCCACGGGCGACAACCCCAGCAGCGATGGATAATGCAGACGCTTCAAGAGAGCTGCACTGAGACTGGGGCACCCCTTGATGATTTTCAAACAACCTGCACGCGTCGTAGAGAGTGTCCCAGTTTCGCGTCCATTTACCATAAATGACCATGGTGTCATGCCCCATAATGGTCTCCTGGAAAGTCCACGAACGCCGAAACCAACGCGTTTCGGCGAGAAACCTCATGAAGTGCTTAGCCCCGAAGAATAGTGGTCTCGTTCTGAAACTCTCGGGCTCTGTGAGAATAGCGCCCGGTATCATCTCACGGATGGTTCGCTCTAGGTCTGCTGGCCCAGTGATCGATGAAGAGAAGGAGCGGTAGTCGAGGCCCTCAAGGCAACGACCCCAGTCTGAAAGTTCATCCCCTCGGAGCCATTGCAAGAATCCCTCATTTTGGCCCGGGGACTGATGGTAGAGAAGCGCAAAGAGGTCCATGGCAGCGAAAATGCTATCTCCGACTGTATCGTCGACTCCGTCAGCATCGCCCAGCCATATGAGAACACGGGACGCGTGACTGTAGATCTCCGCCATGATCCCGATCTGGCGCACCTTGTCATCCTCATCCCACTGGTTGATGCAGATCTGGTCTATCCACAGGCGTCGCGGACGGTCTTCAAAGCGCAGGCCTCGCAAGACTGCAAGGAGGTTCCTAGTGACCTCGAGCGTCGTGCTTGAGCCCTCCTCATCAGGCTCAACAGCTGCCCCAGCGTCTCTGCGACACGTGATACGGCCAAGACTCTGGGAGGCGCCCCAGGTGTAGGATATGGCTTCGTAAGCTGATTCTGGGGATGGGATAACGTCCAAGGCCTGTGTGGCGAGATGGCAAACGACCGGGTCCTCTCCGCGCCCTGGTTGCAGGGAAAGAACCCTGGCCCAGCGGTTTTGCAAGCCTTGTTCGCCGATAGTTGGATCATTTCTTAACAACTCTCTGGTGACTGAGTTGGTCAATAGAGCCTGCATTTGGCCGAGGAGTTCAAGCACCTCTGGTGGTAGGGGTGGGCGATCCGTTGTCTCGCGATCCCCGCTTGCAGCCACCGGCTGTACCAGCTGTCCTCCTTCGTCATCCCGCGAATGGGGGAAATTGTGTTCTTCCATCGACATGGAACAATAGATTATCCTCAGTGACTGATTTCAGAGGTGGCTCCCAATACGCTAGTGATCTGCAAATGGCTTCGTAGCTTTTGTTGGATTAGTCTGCTGGTGGCGACCTCAAAGCTGTGCGACCTCAAAGTTGTGCGGCTGAATTGACAACTTTACACAGCCACAATGAAAACACCTAGCCAACACAGCTTTCACAACTCCCCGCACTATTCAATCACAGCACAAGTCACGCACTAGAATTGAAGCAAGTGAACAGATTGTGCAAATGCAAATCGATTCCATTCTGCATTTCTCAATGCAGAACATCCATCACTTGCATACCCTTCAGCACAGAGCTGAAGACGCCAGCCGAAAAAGCAAATCAGCCCAGCTTTGTGGCTTGCAAGGGAAATTCCGTCTTCCTTGAAATCAGAAGCCCCGTAGGCCAGGACTATCTTCTGATTGAGCTTAGTCTGAGGTCCTCTTGGGCGAAATAAGATTGGTCTCTGTCTCATTGCCGGCCGCAGAACCTGGGCTCCAGTCGGTTGGCCGCAAACTGAAACCGTTCCCCTTCCCATCGCGGCGACTGACGGCACGACAGCATCCAACCATCTATCCGTTGAGGCAGCTCGGCAATGCCGACCATCCATTTCCCAGGATTGCGCGCCACCGTTGACACTTTTCAATTCTGGTTCTAGCTCCGGTTCTAGAATCTCAGGCAGCACGAAGCCACGTCGCGTGCGGGAGGCAATCTGCCTCCCGTCATTGGTTCGTTGTGCGCTCACATCGGTTCTTTCGCGTTTCAGGGAATTCGAACCCCTCCAGCCAAACTGTTAAAATCAATGACCTCATATGTCACTAGTCGGGGGAGTATCAATGCCGGGATGATGATTCTGAGGTTGCTCTCCGATGCTTGACTGCAGAGTTGGCAACCGGGAAAGATAGATTTCACGCCACCCGAAACTATTGCTCTTTTCCCCGGGAACATTAGTCGATCTGAGCAACCAGTGATCAAAATAGAAAGTGCCCTTACTGCATCGTACTCTGACAACTGGGGCTTGCTGCAATGCGGGGCGCGTTGTTGTTTGTCCTGACCTCTTGCGCACTACCACCCCGGTAATTGAGTGCGCCAGAATCAGATCTCGTTGGAACCTATGGCCGGCCTAAGAGGACAGTGGTGGCTAAGAGAAGAACTCTCACATTGTGAAGGGTCATCTGTGCTCGTCCTGCTCTGCCCCAAAACCGCCCAAGTTTCCCGGCAGCTTTCTTGTTCTTTCCATTTTCTTTCCATCTTTCCACCATCACCTAGCTTTTCTCGCTGGACCTTCACCTCACCCATTCTTCCTGGACCCTGATATCTTGTCATTCGATTGCACTACCTACCACCCCGCCTGTTGCCGCCAGGCGTTCTCGTGACACGATGCCGGCGCTCGGTTCCAATCGTGAGGCGAAACGCTCGGATGTGGTTGACACGGCCTGGATGAACGACCTGTGGAACGATGCTTACAACGCGATGGCGTCAAACCACAAGACACTCGCCGCTGTGTTCGAGGGAATTGTCATGAAGGAGTACTCTAAGATATTGGAGGCTCGATCATCCAAAGGTTTGAGCTACCAACATCAGCGCTCATCGCTGGTGGCGGTGAAACGTCAATCTGGGCTAGTGAACAAACAATTCTGACATGTGCTAGATGCTTCTCTCTCTCGCGTGACCACCTTCCCCCAAGATGCCGAGACAAGACGCCAAGTAATGCTGGCATTAACCGAGCGCCAATTGACTGGTAAAACCTCTTCCCGCATGCGCAAAGCCAGCGATGCTATCCGGATCGCCACGAACGCTCTGGATACACTGCGGGAGATATTGTCTCCTTTGCTGGAGTCGTTCCCGCCAGCCGGTGTGGCGCTCGGTGGATTGTGCGTTGTGCTCAGAGTGAGTGCCATTCTAGTGTTTCGAAGTATCACCGCTAACTCGAGGTGTCCTTTTTTTTCAGTTCGTCGAATATGCGGTGACGTTTAGCAAAGAGATAGTAGCTGGCCTCGAACACATTGCCCAGAATGCTGCGTGGTACCTTCAGAGTGGCAATCGCTCGATATACCAGAGTACAAGTGGAGACCCCAATCACCTCCGCACGGACCTTGTGAATCTTTACTCGGCTATGTTGGAATATCAAGTGCGGGCATTGGTCATGAGCGGACACTCAAGGCGGCATATCTTGTTGAAGGTCTCCAGTGGCTTGTCGTTGCCAGGTCTCTTGGTAACCATCAAGGTATCGGAGAGCTGCCTAGAGAGACGAATTTCGCTCCAAACGAACGTGAGCAGCCTCGTGTATCATCGGAGGGAATGTGGGGCCCGGCGAGCCGCTTTGGTTCACGAGCGCATTCAGCAATTCGCCCCCATGGAATCGCAGAGGTTGCCCAGCGACAGAGACGAGGTCGCCGCCAGAGACCTTACTGCTTGGCTGCAAGGAAGGCTCGAGTTTAACAGCTGGAGAAGGACTCAGAGGGGCATTTTCGTCGTCACACACTCCAGCGAGAGAAATCCTGCCCTGGCTGAGAGACTGGCCTTAGACTTGGAGGACGAGCGTCTGGTTGCATATTCCCCATCCACAAGCACACAGGAGGAGACCATGTTCTGCAACCTAGTGCGTCAATTCATTCACCACATGCTCTGCGCCAGGGAGGAAATTGCAGATGGCCCCGCCCTTGAGGGCGTTCAATATTTCCAACGGGTGCATGATAATGAGCCACTTCTCCTTCGGTTCTTCGCGGCGGTTCTGGAAGAGCTAGCGCAGGATGAGCGTATCGTCTTTGTTCTTGACCTCCCAACCACTCTTCCAGATGCGTACAAGGACGGCTTGAAGCATCTAATCACAAAGATGTTCTACCCAGAGGCAAAACGGCCTACAAGCCTCAGACTACTCATCACTTCTCACGTTGACACAAATATCAGCCAACTGCTGTCAACGTTCCAGGACATGACGACATATCTTCGCATACCATCGAGCCTCAACTCCGTCAGGTCGCCCTCAACGAGCGAGTTCGAGATCGATGGCGAGCTTATACGGGCTGCTTTGCTCATGATGTTTGGCGCTAGTCGACCACTCGCTCTAGTAGAGCTCGCCTCTAGCGTGGCCGCATATCTTTCTATCACTCGAGGCTCGTCCTCAATGGAGCCTCTGAGGAGTGCTGAGTTGCGCTCGCACCTGTTCGCTGCGGGTTGCGAGGAATATGCAACATTCGATGAGCATCAGGTACTTTTCAACGACGAGGAGGCTGCCCATGAAGCCGCCAAAGAGTACGGATTAGGAGACAATCCCAAACGATGTGGAGAGCTGGCCTTGGCCGAGGCGTCAACGCTTTGCCTCGCGACGTGTGTCGACGGCATGCCGCTGGAAAGAATTGACCATCTTGCGCGCGTGGTAGCCAACACCGTCAAAGCGGGGAGCAATGCGCTGAGCACGGAGCCGTGCTGTGGCTCCGCAGCTGCAGAAGTCTCCTGTGGCCTTCAGGGTGATCTGCTCAATGCCCCGCTCATCACCTATGCCGCCGCGCATTCGGCAATCTCAGCTTGCCGCATTCCCCATCTGCCATCGCCAAAATGCCGCGCAGATGCGACCCTCTCTAGTAGAGTGTCAACGGCTGTTGTGGGAGCCAAATCATTTCTGCGTGCGGTTCTGGTATCATCTGCGCAACGCACCATCACAGTCAGCGTCCGACTTGTGCGTACCGTACCAGCAATACTCCCAGGCTGTTGGGCCAATGTCAAAAGATTTTGGCGACAATCTTTTTCTTGCCGCCGCGGAGGTGAGTCATCTGGATTTCGTCGAAGAGGCGTCGAGACTGCACCACGATGTCAATGCGACAAATCAATTCGGCCATACCGCGCTGCATATCGCCGCCATTCACAGGGACGTTGAGATGGTGCGAGCCCTTCTCTCTCTCAATGAGCTGGGCGTCAACATGCTTGCAAAAGACAAACTTGGATTCACGCCAATCCACCTCGCGGCAGACCTCAAGCACCCCGACCTCCTCGAGATCCTCTTCGAAGAGGCTCGGCACCTCAACCACCAGCAGAGCCAAGAGCTCCGAGCCATGGTCAACAACGAGCCGCTATTCTCAGGCGAACGGTTGCGGTCCTTTAGTGGACTTCGAGACCTGAAATCCCGATTCAGGTGTGGAGTTGACCTGGAGCCTTACGAAGAAGAGGCCTTGGATACCGCTCTCTTAACATTGCGCGCCCGCGACCTAGGCAGTGCTATGATATCTCTCGTCTGTCAGCGGCATCCATCAGTGGCAGCGACCCTCGTCAAGCTGGGAATCAACATGGCACACATGCGGAACAGGTATGCAGATCTCCAATTTCCATCGCGGCCGAGGATAGTTTTATAGACACAAAATCCCCTCATGATATGCATATTCTAACTTTGATCGCGTTAGAAGAAAATGATTAGCTACCCAAAGCTCAGATGAGAGACAGCCCTTTGGTGCAAGGAAGTCGCTTTGGTCATAATGTCGCCATACAAGATATTGAGTCACTCTTGTCTAGAATTCCTTTGTCTTTTTTCATTTTCTTTTCATTTTCTTTTCTTTTGTTTCAGGGGGGAAGGTTATTGGGGTTGTCCAGTTTTGTAGATACAAGATACCGAAACTAGCCAAGCAGCAGAGATAGAGGTAGCATGGATGGAAACAGAACGTAAGCGAGTGAAATGGGAACAAGTATGAAGAAGAAAGTGAAGGGTGCAGGATGGAATGGATAGTGAGGAGGAGGAGGAGGACAGAAAAGACGGTTTGAAACATCGAAATCAATCACAGTCGGCGGAACCTAAAAAATCTAGCCGGTGAGTGTGCTTATCGGCATATACAATTCCCCATGCATTCATTTCTTTGTCCCAGCCCGGGAACTCATGCATTCGTGCCTCTTGTAGTTCGACTGTTGCGGGGCATTTGCAAAACCGGCCTAGAAGAGTGACGGGATGGGTGAACTCGGAGAGGGGGCCAAGAAGTCTCCTGAGCATCAGTGAAGCCAGTTCGTAAATCGGTGCTCGGGCAGTGTCCAGCATGCCAGCGGCAGCCATAGCTTCGGCAGTATGCTCCTCTGTCAGGCTTGTGTAAGGGTGGTGAATTTGCTCGGCGTACTTGAGAATGGTACTAAAGCAGTACTCGATGCAAGAACTCTCGTTGCAATGACCTGGACAGCACGCAGTCTCGCCTTGCTTGATCGTCTCGGTCTGGCTAGTTCTGAGCCAGGGCGGCTGCATCATGTAAGGCACCACCACTCCATTCTCTGGGAGAAGGGACAAGCCTGGCAGGGAATACCCCGGCGGGCCTGAATGAGCTATTCTCAGCGCGATCTCCGTCAATCCCAGAGTAAAAGATGACTTTCTGGTAAAATACTGGCAGGAGTCTAGTACCCAATCCAGGATGTCCAGCATTTCCGATAGCATTTCAATGTGTTCCAAGAGAGATTCGGGATAAGGGCCTGTCTCTTGATGGTGTTTCCAGGCATTTTCCTCGTCAGCTGATGGGGCCTCGTTAACTGTGCCGGATTTGCCTCCTTTGCCATATTTGATGGATTGGACAGTGTCATTGAGGATAGCCAGGAGGTGTTGTTCCACGCTCTTATGTATGGTTGCTCTCTTGGAAGGCCGGTACAGTTTTCTGTTGAGAAGGCTGCTGAACGCTGTGGATAGGAAGTCTAGTTATATTGGTATCGGCAATTAGTATTGGCCGGGATGAATAGTGATGGATGAGGCACCATGTAACTTGTTGGCATTACCTTCAGAGTTCTCTGCAAGTGTCTTTGCAGTGTCGTGGCGAAGATCATCGCAGTCGCCCAGCGATGGGTACATGTAGTAGTCGCCCAGCGATGGGTATTCGAACCCTGGGGCTCGGCTCCAGTGTCTGACCATGTTGGGCAATAGTGAACAATAATGTGCAAGGCTGTTGCTTGGGAGGATGGAGAGTTGCGCGGACTTGTCCACAAATATTCTCGCACTCAGCAGAAAACAAATTCGAAGGAAGAGAAGGGTGCTATTTATGCGCGACGTTCACGAGTAGGAAATCCAACACGAACAAAGCATGCGAAAAGTTGGATTCTTTCCGCAACCGGCAAGTACCCAAAACCTTCGACATTTCTTTGTTCTTCCTGCAAGCGGAGACTGACCAGCAAGAAATCACAAAGAAAGATTCAATCAGAGCAGTTGCCCTATGTATTGGCGCCAAAGCTTATGTCTATCTCCTATTGTGCTGTCTCTCGATGTACCCAATGTGAAGCACTGCAAGTTTATCAAGGCGTAAGAATTAAGACTCTATTTCAGTAACATCCACTGTACCTTGCGAGTTCGTTGGGACAAGCTTGCTACATGTCTCTCGATCTTGACCACCACACTCTCCGTATCCAATCTGAACCTGGCGTAGTTGTCGATCGCGGCTGCGGAGTAGCCAAACGAATCCATGGCAATTGACGCCGTGCAGTAGCGACCCCAGATGGTAGAGACGTACGCCTCGTAAGAGATGACGTGTGGAGTGGCCGAGATGACCTCGTTCTTGTACTCCTCTGTCTGAGCATCAAACAGCCTGACGCAGGGCATGCTGACCACCCACGTAGGCGTGCCCTTGCCGGTAAGGATCCTGGCCGCCTCGACGGCGAACGCGAGCTCCGATCTAGATGAGATGATGGTAATATCGGCCTGGTGCGTAGGTCCGTTCTGTCCCTCCTGTATGGAGTCGTGCGTGGCGATGTAGATGACGTGCAGCCTGCTGAGGGCGCGCCCATGCGCACGCCGGCCGTGGCGTAGAGGTAAAGCACGAAAGAGGTGGTCGTGATGGGCACAAATGCCTGCGGGCAGTAGGCGGCGAGGCCGTTGGAGATGGATGCCATGGCGTGCTCGCGGATGCCGTAGCGGGCGATGCGGCCCTCGTAGTAACCTCGCTCAAAGACGAGCTCGCCCGGATCGCCGAGCTTGTTGGGCCCCCAGACATCAGCGCCGCCGGCGAATAAGCTCTCGAACTGCTTTATCAGGGCCTGAAAGAGGAAGCCGTTGGACTCGCGGGTAGCCTTGGATGCCATGCCGTCGGGGAACTGAAAGTCGTTCAAAAAGGCCTCGTAGTTTGCGCTGCCCGCGATCCTGGATAGAAGGCGCTGATGCTGTGAGGCAAATTCCCTGGAATAGTTTTCTAGTTGTCCATCCCACTTCTGGACTTCCCGCTCCTTTTGGGCCACAATCGCTTTGAAGGTGGCCTTCGTCTGTTCAGAAACCGTGTGGCTCGGCGTTTCGGCCGAGTACTGGAAGAGGGCAGCGTCCTCCTCGGTTTAGATTCCGTGGTGGGACTTGGCAGTTCCAGCTGTAGAGGTGCGATAGCCAATGGTAGTACGGATGTTGATGAAGGTCGGCTTCCAGCATATGAATTTGCAAGACGGATCGCACGGACAATGTTGTCGACGGACTCATCACCATCAAAGACGTTGATGACATCCCATCCAGCCGCTCTCATCTTGCTGTTGATGTCCTCAGAGTCGATCTATGACAGTGGTCCATCGCAAGTCACGCCATTGTTGTCGTATAGAAGAACCAATTTGTCTAGACCCATGCTTCAAGCTGTTTAGCTACGCTCTCCACGCATTGACATTCACCAGGGCTGCTTACTGCCCTGCAATAGAGATAGCCTCCAGAGCCACACCTTCCTATAAGCATGCGTCGCCCGTGATGCAGAAGACCCGACCCGAGATGATCTCATGCCGTTCCATATTGAACAGCGCAGCCTGTTGCTTGCCGGCAATAGCCATGCCCACAGCGTTCACAATGCCTTGCCCGGGGGTGATCTCAATGCCACCAACTTCCCTTTCTGGATGGCAATGCGCATTCGTCGACACGGCGGTGCCAGTAGCTTTGTCAAAGTGTTTGGGGTCGACGTAGAGCTTTAGATCCTTCATGGTCATCGACTTGTAGCCCGTGAGGTACAGCATAACATACTGAAGGATACCGGCATGGCCGTTAGACATTACAAACCTGTCCCTGCCGTACCAGTCAGGCCTGGAAGGGTCCATCGTACTGGCCTCTACACGATTAGAGAAGGTCAAGTTCTTGCGCCCATGCTCGGCTTTGACATCGGGGTACTGTTGACCATTAGTCTTGTCGGCAACGCTTTCGTCAAAAGGGCAGACTCACCCCCGGTGCGGTGAGACCAGTCCAGACGTTACTCGCACAGTAACAAATCACTATGGCTTGTTAGCGGCAGATTCCTGTTAAAGCCGAACAGTGATATATCAGCTCACATTTCAGGGCCACAAAGTTGGGTCGAATGAAGGTATCGTTCTCGAAGGGTCCCAGCTGGTCCCCGTCATCGCCCATTCCGCTCCACGGAAGCTCAAGAATGAACGAATGGGCCTTGCTGGCGAGGTTTGAGAAGGCAGAAGTCCATTCCTTGTCTTGGCATGTCACCAGCGCCTCAAACTCGCAGCGCACGCCACTTGGATCACGGCCCGGCTCCAGGAAGCCAGACCATGTCTCCACTATGGGATCTTTGTCGGCAAGCCAGGCTACCGATGCTTATTTGTGTGTTTCCATATCGCCTGAGCGATAGGCCAAGATAAGCTTTTCAAGGTAGTCTCGCTGAGTTTCGGTTGCAAATTCGATAGCCTTCTCCAAGCTGAGACACATCTGCTCCAAGCAGTCTTCGTAATCACCGTACCGGATGGTTACCTTGGCCTTATCTGGAAGCATCAAGTCGAAAGCCTCATCTGCGCGGTCACTGGCTGAGGCCACAAGTATCTCATACCGAATACTACCCTCAAGTTCTGACTTTGAGAGCCGAGTGTTGCGGAGGGACAATCTTGACCCAACTCCAATCTTCAATTGCTCAATCTCGGCTTTTGAAGGAGGTGGGGATCCGAGATAGTAATTACTCGTCCCGCCTTCGTCCGGGAACCCAAGACTGGCCGGCACTTCGGAATACATGGCGTCCTTTACGAGAGTGAAGAGCGACTGAGTACTTTCTGTCAAGGAGCATAGTTTCTCAAAGGCGTGGGAATCAATGCGAGTGACGAACTTCTGGTCTCCATAGCCCTGGTATACGTCAGTGTCATCCTGCTGGGGCGGTGCCATCTGCCAAACTTTGTAATTGCCAAGGTTCGCCATCAAAGTCGCTGCGTATTCGAGGAAGTGAACCATCGAAAGCTCGTCAACGCCTGCTGCCAATCTCAAGATTCCCAATCGCCCTCGCAAGGACCTGCTAGCTCGAGAATCATGTCAACAATGGACTCTGACTGACGGCGAGACCTGACGAAGGATGATCTTGGATCCATGAAACACCGCCCTGAAATACATCAGGTTTCAATCAGTAAAATGCGGTAGTGCGCATAGTGCTTTTTGTCGACAGCTGTGTGCGAAAGCTGCCGACGCACACAGCAAATGAGCCCGAGCATCAGTATCGCACATGGCAGAGCACATTGTGAATCTTTCGCGGAGCCGTAGGACCCCAAAGCAAGACAGCTGGAGAGCAGAACTCTAAAACCAGAAAGAAGATATCTGATAGAGATTTCTCGGGCTTGAGACTGAGGTCTCACCAGCCTGGCGTTCGGGCATCACCCTCGTATGCACACCCCACCCGTGTGAGGATGCCAAACGCTCAGCCTGGTTGTTCACAGATGATGCTGGTACTTCTGTCACTTGATCCTGATTGTACCTGTTGCTTCTGACTGAGTCCAACTATCTTCATGCCGAGATAGTGTCTCACCGAAATCCGCCCCCACCAATGTAACGACAATTCTGCATCTCAACGCTTTTCATATCAGGCGATGAAACACCAATCAAAGGCGGCATTCACCCAAGAGACTCTGAAGAAGAGCCACCCAACATTATGCAAGCTGAGCGATTTTGATGACAAAAGTGCAGCTTTTTCAATCGGTTAGTAGGTCATGCGCCATATATCGCGCTTTTCAAAAGAAGTTCTCTGGTAGGACGGCAATGGATGCAACGCCAATCCCCCATGAAAGCGATTGTGAAGGGGAGGCACCCAATATTATGCAAGCCTAGCGGCTTTGATGACACAAATGCAGCGTTATCTATCACTGAGCCCGTCCAGGGTCATGCACCCCCGCCTTGAAAGTGATTTCTTTGTGGGACAGTACTGGGTGTAAGGCATCAACGCATCAAAGCGCTTTCTCTTGAGAGGAACTCAATTGGCTGAATTGATGTGATCTTCACAGTTCCTTCCCTCAGGGGTGCCACACCTCGATAAGACACTTAGGCTAAGATACACTGGTCAAGATGAATTCAGAAGACGAGGCTCAGATGGGCAATGGGTACATAATTTCAGGGTTCCGTGCTCTCCCCCTTCCCTTGACTGCATTCACAATCGTCCAAAACTCTCAACTCTTCCCAAGATACTAGGCAATCCAAAATCCGCTGCTCTCGGAGTATCCATCGCTACAACACAGCAACCTCGGGTCACCATCTCAAGGGAGGTCATCATCTACAAAGGCAGAAGAGGCTTGTCGGCTAACTTGACGCAGATGTCCGCCATCGTACAGGACGTAAAGAAGGTCGACACCTCCATCGATGAGGACTTCGGAGAGCACAGTGTCTCTCGGGTCCTCAATAGGCGCAAGATTCAGCCTTGGAAGAACACATACAAGGCTAATCCTGAGGATGTTCCGACTACAGCCTCGCTTCATGACAAGCCTTGGTTCAGGGCTGAGCAGCTTGAGGAGGACTACGACGCTCATTCTGGTGCCTAAACAAAACAGCCTTGTACGGTGCTGCCCTCTCATCAAGTGCATCAAGACCGGAACATTCATTGGCACTTGTTCTCAATGTTACAACTTCACTCTTTAGTAGTTCGTTGGAATCTCAAAGCTAGTCCAAGAGGATCAATTCATCATCACTATCATTAACACCCATGTTTCAAGATTCAAATTTGTCTCTTTTTCTCGACTGTGAATGAACGTCTTTGGCTTGAACATCAAGAAGAACCCCTCATTGATTCTCTGTCTTGTTGAAAACGACCACTTTGATCTCAATACTCTCCCGCAGCCGCACTGACTTTGCCGACTTGGGTAGTTCAAACCCGCAATGTGGAACGCCTGTAGTGTTGCAATTTTAGTGCCCGGAAGGCGTGCTAATCAACTGCTGCCCTACTTACACTGTTGAGTACGAGAATCATAGTTGGTAATGATCAGTAGCTCATCTTTATTCTGACCGGGGAGGTAAAACCACTTGTGACGCTCCGATTGTTTGACTAGCAGGGACTCGCTCTCGAAATTGGGATAGATATAGTCACTTTCCACGAGGTCGCTGTCTTCAACCGAGTTGGCATCGCAAACGGCAAGGGGATAATCCTCCAGAGGAGAAAACAATGGTCGCCACAAGCTGGGACGTGCAATCGGTTAGATTGGGCCTGGTCAGACGAACCAAACACCCACCTCAAAAGACGATAGCGCCCATCAAGGATGCGTTCTGCCTCATCTGGAAAGCTGAAGCGAATCCGGGCCTCCGCGCCTGCTCGAGAGACATCTATCATTCCATGAGCGCTATGTCCATAACGGCGGAGCGACATGTACTCACCGACATGGACAAAGTTGCTAGGTGGACGCACTCGCGGATCCTGCACATCAAAGACCCTTTTCCTAATCTTTACAGAAGCGGAGATATCAGATTGGATCGGGCACCATTTCTTGGCAGCGGCTACTGACCTGGTATTGGAACGTCTTGACCATGTCGGCTCGCAAATGTTGCTTTATGAATGCTTCCATCTCTTTGATGTGTTTGGAAATGCTGGTCTCGGTCTCCAATGATTCTTCTGTGACGTGAGTCGCCCATTCAAACCCGTTCTCTTCCAAGTTGTTGAGTAGCGGAGACTGTCGAGCATCGTGGATGATTACGTCGTGTGGAGTGAACTCGAAATTGTTTTTGGGCTGTCCTGGCGCAACGCGACCAGAGATCTCGTAAGGCTTGATCTCTTCCCACTTGTCAAGAGGGGAAAGATAGTTGAGGACTCCATGAACGGACATGATGGGAGCGATATGAAGTGATGATATAATGGCGTCAAATGCGTGGTGTTCAAAATGTTCCTGATGTTCAAATGAGGGTCAAAGACTGGCAACAGCGTGCGTGTGGAGGGGGTGAGCAACGATTTATTTCAGACTGTAGACACCCAGCGATCTCCCCTGTATCATCGCCCTGGCCAATCGAAGCCTTTTCGGTTAGCACTCCGTGCGAACACGCGGCGCCATCCATGTGAAGCCCTCTCCAGTCCGCGAATCCAATATTGCACACGAGAGAGTTATGGCATTTCACTGATTCAGAAAAGAAAGCAAATTACATTCTAGATACATTTTCTCTCTTACCAACACGGACTCATGTTATTTGTTGAAGGAACACACGCAACATCAGAGCATTGACGCCGCTTCTTTGTCCGGGAGTCGGATGTCCGACGGTATTACTGACTTTCCAGCACCCCTCACGGGGGCGGCATTCTCAAACACCGAGGCCGTAGCGATTAAGGAAGAGTCGTCCCAGCGACGCTCGACGAAAAAAGGCCGAATCTGAGGAAGGTCAGTAACACTGGTCTGACAGATTCCATTCAAGGAGATTAACTCACGAGACATTCGGTCCGTTACTGACCAGTCCATTGGTCTGTCGGCGATTCACAGGCGTGTCTTCTGGGAAGAAACCCAGTGGGACGCCGAGGGTAGGACAGCCGCCGACATTGGCATGGCACAAAGATGGAATCGCAGTTCGTCCGGCCGAGCAATCGGCCAATCTGCTTCCCGATGCTATGTCTCCAAGCAAGAGATTTCTTGAAGATTCTGGGACCGAACTTCTTACCGAGCTCTTCGTACTTGGCCCATTCGTCCAGACCCCATTTCTCGTTTTCCTCAACAGCAGTCTTGCGAGTATACTCGATTACGTCCGACAGGGTGTGAAGGCCTTCCGGATTCGTCTTGTAGCAGGCGAGCGACTCTGCCATATCTAAAATAGTGAGCATATTTGAAAATCTTCCCTCATTGATGGGTTTGACTGACTTTTTTCGAAGACCAACGCGGATCCCAAGTGTCCAGTCTTGGGAATCCGAGAAAGTAAAATTGGAATCAAACTCGGAGTACTTGACGTTGTCAACAATGATGGCGCCTCGGGACTTGATCACTTCCAGCGCGTTATCGAACGCATTATTGACGACTGAGTCATTGGGGAAAGGATGACGAGGTACCTAAAGGACCAGTAAGTCAAGTGATGTGCGACGCCTAGTACGGAGGAGCACTTACTGCAACGCGTATACCTTGAAGGCCAGGCAGCATACAAGCCCTGGCAAAGTCTGTGCCAGGGGTTGGCTTTTGGACGTCTTGGGAGTCTCGTGGATCCAAGACAGTGAATGGGTCGTCAGGATCAGGCCCTACAGTTATGAGCTTCCCATCACGAAACGGGGGGACCAGTACGCCTACCAGCTATAGCTGTCAAGATATGAGCAGCATCGCAAACACTCCGCGCCAGAACACCGACCGTGTCCTGCCATTCACTGACGGTGTAGACGACGTATCGAGAGGTGAGACCGACTGTCGGTTTGAGGCTGACCACTGCTGTGCTGGCGAGCTTAGACTTCCTGATGTCTGAAGGGTGTCAGCACGACCGAAAATGAACTAGAAAAGGGTGGAAAGAGCCATCGCCAGACGTACCTCTGTTCCAAGAGCTGCAGCGCAGAGGCCGAGGGACGCAGCAACTGCACTTCCGGAGGAAGATCCCGACGGGTCCTGCTCCTCGTGATAGGGACCGAGACACTGGCCTCCAACTGCCGACCAGCGCCCCGATGCCCGGCCGGGATTGCGGTAATTGGCCCACTGAGTTGGAACAGTCTTGCCCAGTATGATTGCTCCTTGTTCTCTTAGCCGTTTGATCGTGCTGGACTCGAATTTGGGGATTGCATCCACCAGACCGGAACATCCATCTGTCAAGGGTTCACATGAGTAATTATACCTCAGTGCCTGGAGCGGACACACCCACTGGTTGATTTCAGTTTGTCCGTAGTGAGGAATCAATCCTTGACGAGAATTGGAATGCCATATAGAAGGCCTGCAGCTTTGCCTTCCTCTCTCTGCGTCCTTGTGTTGAGCAATTGCAAGTGCTTCAGGGTTCACCTGCGATACGGCGTGGACTGTTGGATTAAGGTCTTCTATCCTGTCAGGGCAGGCCTAGTGATGCTCTCGGCGCCTCCACATGTATACTACCAAGTCCACTAGTTCGCACCTGTACCAAGTCCACGACGGTGAAGTGTTCATGCTGCAAACCATGCTGTTGCCCCGGGATTTTGGCAGTATCTAGTCGAATTGGCATGGCGCACTGGGGTCCCGACCGACGCAACCTGCAGAGGCTGCTTGCCCGGAAAGAAAGCAGTGGCTTTAGAGGATTTGTCAACAGAGCCAGAACGACGATAAACACGGCGAGTACCCGAATAATCAACGGCAGAGACGCCATAGAAGTTGCAGGTTTTAATTTGAGAAGGTCTAGGGGTGCTTCTGTTGCTCACAGAGAACCGAAGGAAAAGAGTGAAGTACTGTGCCTTCCCCAGGTCGGCCGCTGCCGTATGGACACTGCGATACTCATTTTTGTGATATTGACCGAGAATTCTTCGAAGGCCCCTCAAGAGTCGAGGGTGCTTAAGGAATGTGTTGGCCAAAATGGTATCTCGGGGAGTGGACGGCGGCATCAAAAGTTTGCCAGTGTGGTAGTGGGACAACTCTATACTCTACACGCTGTACTACAAGGGTTATATCCAGTGGTTCTTGGAACAGCGGCTTGATGAATATGTAACCCATCTTGACTGTGTACAGCGCCGGTTGAAACTCCAAGGCGATCAGCATTTCACGACTGGTATCTCCCTCCACAAGGTTGGCACGCTAGCCTACGAGCTTGGATAAGAAGATGACGGCCTGCGCTATCTTCAGCGGTCCGAATGACATTCCAGCACTATCATGACGATCCTGGTGTATGACCACGAACTTGTCTGAAACTGGGTAATATTATAGTGGAATTAGGCACTAGGAATCAAGATCATGATTATACGCGTCAAGGTAGTGAGCTCTGGACAAAGGGATTAGAGGAGGCAAGGAAGATAAAGAAGGATTTTGAAGGAAGGGATGATGCTGAGATTGAATTACTGGTTCGTGAAGTCTATAGGTAATAGCAGGCTAGTATCACCAAGGGCCCAATCTTATCCTCGACGATGTTGAAGAAAATAGAAAACAATACCAGTACAGCACCTGCACTGTCATAGCCCTGACTTAGACCCTGTGTCATACCGCAACATTGTTCCGGTGTAATTTTCGGTTGATGTGTCATCCTCGCTCTCACCCCCTCTTCTGAATGCTTCAGCAGCAATGGTTCTAGAGCATACCTCCTCAAAGCCAAATTCCCTATACCACGAAAGGCTGGATGGCGTAGCAAGTACGTAAACGTCTAAACCCAAGCTGCTCGCCAGCTCTAGGCCCTCTCTCACTAGACTTGTGCCACAACCTTTCCCTTGGCTTGTCGGATGGGTAGCCAGAAGGGAGAGATCTGGGGGCATCTTTAATATTTTCCGGTAGACCTGATAAGTTGAGGAAGGTCTTTCGACTTACAGGCGCATTTACTTCCGCGGATGACCTCCTTTTTCATTTCGTCGGTCATGCCGTAGACCAGCCGAGCTGCCTTGACATTTAGGTTTTCGCTAGCGATCGTCGTGTCGGGCTGGAAAGTGAAAACCTTCTGCCAGTCTGAGATCGGGCGGTCCTCGGTCCAGATGTACCACCGCGCAAAAGCGACGATTTGCTGGTCTGGTGTGGTGGTGATCTTGACATAGCGCACATGCGGTCGATGGAATGTGTGTTTTTTGGCCTCTGTCGCGCTCGAGAGAACATCGGGCGTCATACCGTGTGGCCATATGATCCGCTCTATCGCCATGCTAGGGAGGAAAGCTTCGAACTGCAATCGTGCAATGGTCTCCATATCATCGTATGAGGCCGGTGAAATAACTGGCGTAAAGACTGTTGAGCCGCTCATCATGCAAGACTTTTGGCTTCCGATGTGTGTGTGGGATAAATCAACCTCTCAAGTGGTCGCTATCGTGCATACATTAATCAAAACCTTCAAGGAATGGTTGCGTTTGGGGAGGGGGGTTGGCGACCATAATAAGCGAATCTCCGAGTTGCAGAGCGATCAATAGGTCTGTACATGTATTAAGTGTTCTAAGTCGTAAAGGTTGATCCGCGACACCAGATATTCAGTCATTGCACCCCTGGGGTCTTTCTAGAAGCTCTATTGCAAGATGGAATGGTCCCATTCGAGTGAGTATCACCACGCTCACCCTAGGAGCCAATCTTTGGTAATGCAAGGAGTATTCTATTATGAAAGACTTAGGAGTGTTTTTCGTCACAGCTGTGATGCATGATGTGGGGGTTCATCCGTTCTGAAAGCTTCATTTTAAACACTGTCCGTCCAGATCTTTTGGGTGAGTTCACAACTCTTCCATTTCGTAGACAGCATATTAACCCCATGATCAACAGATGTCCAAAAGCAGCATTGAAAGAAGAGCTGTCAGCGTAATGCAGCTTCCGCCAGGAATTGGATGGCTGGCTTGCTGCATGTCGCCTGCTGAAGTGCTGGGGAGCAGCTGCTGTACCTCTGAGCCAGACGTGTTGCTTTTTGTGAAAGCGCCGATTTGGTGACGCGGAATCAAGCGATGGAAAGGGCGATACGAACCAGAATGTCGAACTCATCCCCAAAGGAAGGCGTCCTTGTCCCACGTCATGAAGAATTTTTGATTCGATTTCATCTTCTCATTGAAAGAGTCAACCTTCCATTGTGTTTCCGAAGCTGCTTCTTCCAGTCGTGCTCCTGTCCTGGGTTGCATCATTAATATAAGTACGACAAAATTAGTTAGCATCATGGCATCACGCGCCGAGTCCTCAGATGATGCGCGCATCGGCCAGGGTACTTGGAAAGCCAATAGACGCGAAGCCAAGTGTCTCTTCAATCTACCGAACGAAGTGTTGGAACAGATATTCGACAATCTAGAGACCATTGACCGCCCTTCTCTCCTCGATGTGAGCCGGACATGCTGGAGGTTCAACCTTGTCGCAACCGACTTCCTGTTTCGCCGGATCCGCATTCACCCAGCGAAGAATGCTGTGACCATTCTGCGACTGATTAACGATCGTCCAATATTTGGAAAATTGGTACGAGCCGCCTCCTTTGTCGGGAATGACTACCCAGCTCTTGCAGTTCTCCAAGGCCGGCGCATGCATCCAATGAGTCAGGAGGCGGTTATACCTGAGGCTTTGGGACTTCTGACTGAGCGCATCTCCCCATCGGACAAGCAGTGGCTGCTAAAGAGGCGAATGCCACCTCGCTATGCCCATCGCATACTTCTGCTCTTGTCCCGCCTCGAGAGGGCTTACTTCATGACATGGAGATCCCTCGAATTGGTCAACCTGGCGATAAAGGAGTCTCCGGGAACGCTCCTCCCGCAGTTGAAGAGGATGGTGATCTGTCAAGGAGATATGGAAGGCTATCCCAGGCCCAATGGTTTCTTCACAGCTGCACCGAACCTCACGCACCTCGAGATACGATTCCGCATCAGCTTGCCCCTTGACGATCTGCCGGTACTGCAGCACCTTGAGCACCTAAGCCTCAATGAATGTCACATTACCAAAAATGACCTACAACGACTTCTCTCGTGTTGTCCATCACTGAGAAAGTTTGCATACCGACACTCTTGGCTCTGGCCCCAGGTTGTTCCAGTCACTATGGACGAGATGATGATTTGTCTCGAGCCACTGAGGGAACAGCTGGTACGCCTCGACCTGGACTTTCAGCATTGGAGATCGCAAACTGGACCTCTGCTAACCCTTGGGATGGATGTCCCTTGTCTGAGCATGATACTCCCTCACAATTTCCGAGAATTCACCGCGCTCGAAGAACTTTGCCTGGACTGGCAAGCGCTTACCGCATGTAGACGCATCGCCAAGCTCCCAATGTTCGGCCTCCCTGCATACTTCTTGGAAGGCATGCTGCCAGTTCAGCTCAAGGCTTTGGACCTTCACGGCACACTACCGCCGAAGAGACACAGTTCGGACGAGCGTTACAAACCAGAGTTCACTCCTCACGATGCAGGAGGTCTGGAAAGCATGTGCCCTCACATCGAACTGGTCCGAGTGAATGGTGGCCGCCAAAGGAGTTACGTGTGGGGACAACCGTCGCAGCACGAGCTGCCCCTCATGTACCACCCTGACCAGTTCATGGGGGAGGATGAGGATTTTGTCATGAGAGGGAAGGGATTGTATGGAGCTCGCAAAGAACAGGACCCCGACTTTCACGGCGATGCGAAGATGAAAACGGGTCTGGTCGAGTGGTATGAGTCATGGAGGAGGAAAGAACGGGACTGATACAGTACTCAAGGTAGAGTATCGAGAGAGAGCGGTCATCCTGGTTGAAAAGGCTCCTCTCTCTCTCTCTGGAGATGTTTACAGGGGGAACAAAGGGGGACATTTGTTTGCAGTACGCAGATGCAAGGACCGGCGTGTACCAGTCAGTTGATACTACTTCCAGCGATGTATTGATATGTAGTATCGCTTTTGAGCCTACAAGCGTTAGAGAATGAAGTCTCAGCACAATAATCCTGCAAGCATATCGAGCCGAGTGATACGAACGACTTGGCCGTGGTGCGATCCGCGTGACATTTCAAGAGATACCCACTGCTTCCCAATCCGCATCACAACAGCAATTCGGACCTACATGTCCCACAAGCCTTTTCTCTTGCTTATACGTGGGATTCAAATCGACTGGCTCAAGGCTGTGTTTGCTGTGCCCAACTCAAGCCTCGGGGTATTTTCATTCGTCTTGCCTTTGCCTTGGAAGAGACATAGCCCTTTAAAAGCCGAGACAACACCTGTCAAGGAGTGACCATTCACCGACATTCAATTAAGCGTCTACGACCGGATACTTGGTTGACATGGGTTTATTAATTCTCTACAGGGAAGAGAGACCCCCGTGAAGGACTGACATCGACAGAACCTTATGAGTGATGTTTTCCACAAGCAGTTACAACAGTCGCAGGCAGTGCAGTGTAAAAGATCATGTGCCACCGCCACCACTCACAAACCTCCCACCCAACAGGACCAGGGCGATAAACGCCCAGCGAAATGCGCCTAATGCAGGCAACGCTCTCGACGGGCGAACCGGTGATGCGGACGCAAGCATCAGCGCCGGCCAATCGCCGGGCGCAGCAGGGGTGGCGGCAGGGATCATGGCGGGGGCTTGCAGTGGCGGAGCTCCCTCTTTGGTGGGAATTGGTCCGGGCCAAGGCAAATCATATGCTTCTTCTTTCTTCTTCCTGTGGCCGGTCGGATCGAGAACCAGTTCGTGGGTTTTCTCCTCCCATGTCTTCTGTTTTGCTTCTTTTTATCTCCTCCAACGACAATGCGGATTGTTTGCAGGGCTGTCGGAAGGACGAACCAAGGTTTCACCAGTACTTGTAGAGGAATTGCATTGCTAGAACTTGGGCCTTGACGGGCGCCCCTCCTCCTCCAGCTCTCACCCAGTCCGACTGCACGCAAACTCAACATCGTCAGTGATGCTTCGCGATAGACACGATTCCTCACAAGATGGGATTCTTCAGCCGCTCCAAGAAACCCCAACAGTCTCAACCGGGAGGACCACCACCGCCTCCCAATGCCGCCGGATTCCTGCCTCCTCTGGGCCCTCATAGTCTCGGCCTCGTCCTCGGCTCTCCTGCCCCACCACCGCTCCCTCCGCACCCAGCGGCAAACTACCCGCAAGCATCATCATGGCAAAATACAGCGCCACCGCCGCCGCCGCCGCCGCCGATCATCGTGAACCAGCACCACCACTTCGGGCCCGCACCCGTGCTACCCCCGCGGCAGCCCGTCGGCCCGTACGCCTGCGCCGCCTCGGCCGCCGCGAGCAAGCTCAAGCTCGGGCCCATGGTCAACCTCGCCAACGAGGTGCTCGACGAGAGCCTCTCGCGCTGCCAGGGCTACGGCTCGCAGGTGCTCGGCCAGAGCAACGCCGTGGTCGACGACATCTCGGCCAGCCTCAGCGACGTGCTGACCATGATCGACTGCGACCGGCTCCGCGGCAACGAGCAGGCCCTGTTCGTCTACCAGACCCCCTCGCCGCTGCAGCAGCCAATGTTGCAGCACGCGCCGCCGCTGCCCGGGCCCGAAATGACGATGATGACGACGTTCGACCGCTCCCTCGGTTTTGGTAATAGCAGCAAGAAGGACAAGAAGGACCGGCAGAGGGAGCATCCCACCCCGAAGGGCAACCAGACGTGCAGCGCCGTCTCATCAAGCAACTACTTCTCCAAGGTCGACCTCTACGCCAACTCCAGACTCCCGCTAAACCTCCCTCCCCTCAAGCTGTAAGCCAACCCATCCTCCTATCGCACAAAGGACAAGCCAAAAAGCTCACACAATCCCCTCCCCACAGCTACATGCCCACCTACCCCCTCCTCTGCCTGGCAGCCCAGTACTCAGAGAGCGTCTACTCCCAGCCCCGCGGCCCCCACGAGCGCGCCGCCCACGTCTCCTCCTCCTGGCGCACCGGCACCAAGGCCATGGTCATAAAGTCCCTGGCCCAGGACGACATGAACACCATCGTCTTCGCCATCAGGGGCACGACCTCCTTCGCCGACTGGGCCGTCAACCTCAACATGGCGCCGACCTCGCCGAGGGGCTTCCTCGACGACGAGGGCAACCTCTGCCACGCGGGCTTCCTCTCCGTCGCGCGCAAGTCCGTCGCGCCCGTCGCCGCCCGCCTCCGGCAGCTGCTGCAGGAGGACCCCGGGCGCGCCGCCTGCTCCCTGCTCATCACGGGCCACTCGGCGGGCGGCGCCGTCGCCGCGCTGCTCTACAGCCACATGCTCTCCGCCTCCGCCGCCACAGAGTCGGAGCTCAGCGTCCTGACGGGCTGCTTCCGGCGCGTGCACTGCGTCACCTTTGGCGCGCCGCCCGTGTCGCTCCTGCCGCTGCGGACGCCCCCCGGCCGCCCGGAGCTGCGGAAGAGCCTGTTCCTGTCCTTTGTCAACGAGGGGGACCCCGTGTGCCGCGCCGACAAGGCGTACGTGCGGTCCCTGCTCGACCTGTTCGCCGCGCCGGCGCCGTCGTCCGCCGTGCCGAACCCGGGGGGTCAGAAGAGCGCCGTGCAGGCCGGCGCGCTGTCGGCGCTGGCGACGCTGGCCGAGCCGGGTGCGGCGGCGGCGGGGAACAAGCAGGCGCGCAAGTCCAAGTCCAAGGCCTCGATTGCGTCAACCACCACCAGCAACAGCACCACCAGCAGCACCAAGCACAAGAAGCAACGCAAGACTGCCACCACCTCGGCCGGCGCACCCCCGCCGCTTCCCAAGCCCGTCTGGCCCGTGCCCGAGAGCGTCCTTAGCAACGCAGGCCGCATCGTCGTCCTGCGGTCCGGCGCCGACCCCAAAAAGTCCCGGGCCGGAGCTCCGGGAACGCCGCAGGGCAGGAAGACGGTCGAGGAGCGGCTGGACGAGGGCGTCGTGGCGCAGGTCGCCACGGACGAGCAGCTGCGGTCCGTGATCTGGGGCGACCCCGTGTGCCACGTCATGAGGCTGTACGCGGGCCGCATCGAGACGCTGGCCGTCGGCGCCGTGACGGCGCAGAGCAGTCGTGGGTGAAGATGGAAGTGGGCGGCACATTCATTGAGAATGCGGCGGGGGGCGTAATGGACGAGGGAAAATGAACTTGTGACCAAGGAGGAAACTTGTCCTGTGGGAGTTGAACTATGGACGGCGCTGTGTTGTTTTCTAGGGAGGCTGCTTTGGGACTCTTATGATACCATATTGTACTTTCAGGCGTTCTACTGATTTATTCCCAATGAGAGGAACGTTCCGAGGCCATCTACGAGACAGGCCGCTTACACGGTTAATGAAAGTTTCGTCAGGGAAACACTGTCACTGGTTATCCACGTTAGACACGGACTCTATCATCCCACATCAACATCCATCAAGTCACGTCAGCACATCGCAAGCACATCACCCACAGAATGCAATCATGAATAAGGTCAAAAGAATCTCTGAATTGTATGACACATGCCGCTGCCTCAAAGTCTACCAAAAGTCCCGCTCTCTTCACACAGGATAGCTACACACACGATCCCCAGATCCCACCACAATGGCAAGATCTCTGCGACCCGTGTAGCAAAACCCATGCATCATCAAGCCGGAAACCACGGTTCGCCAAGAGCCAAGACAGCTAATATCCCACAACAACACAGCAGCAAAGACAAACAAGAACAAGCACAAACACAAGCAGTCCGTCCGTCCCAGAAAGCAGCACCCGCACTTCCGACCAGACAGCCAAGGTCAGAGCTCAGGCCCTTACACGGGACTCATAGGGTCCCTGTTGCTCCCGGCGCTCCCGTCGGCACTGTGGACACTACTACGACCAGAGCCGGAGCCGGAGCCGGAGCCAGAGCCGGAACCCGTTCCCGTGCCGGAGCCCGAAGCGTCGCCGCCGGAACCAGAACCCAGACCAGACCCGTAGCCGTAGCCCGAGCCGGACCCGGACCCTTCTCGGGGCCGAGTAAAGGCAAACGACGGCTGCACGCGTCCCGAGGAGGCATTGTTGGCCGACTGCGCGAGGTGCGCAGACGGGATGAAGGGGCTGGCCGTGGCGCTGACCACGCCGCCGCCACCGCCATTCAGCCCTCCTGACTTGTTGTGCGTGTGGAAGTGGCTCGGGAGGAAGTCGTCGTCGGTCGACTGCGTGAAGCCCGAGACGTCGCTCAGCATAGACGACGAGCGGCCCCGGGTCTTCGGCCGCATGGGCGGCTGGCTAGTGAACTGGAACGAAGGGCCGAGCACCGGCGGAGGGGCGCCCGAGACCATCGAAGCAGCGCCGGGAGCCGAAGTCGACGTGGGCCACATCGCGCTGCTGCTTTGGTATGGAGGCGAGGCTCCTGTCCATGTTTGCGTGGCGGGGAAACTGCTGCTGTCCTGGGCCTGGCGGTCGTCGTACGGCACATCGCTCCGGAAGCTGTTTACGTAGGCAGACATGGTAGCAGCCATGGCCGACACGTTCTGGGCCTTCTCGTTGTTGCTGGCTTGCAGGGCGGCGAGTCGCTCGTGGTAGTTCTTCTCCGCCTTGGTGATGTCGGCCTGCAGCGCCGCGCGCTCCTGGCGACGGCGCTCAGCCTCGTCGAGACCACGGGTATTCGCGTCGGTGATGCGAGCGTGCTCGTTGTCAGCCTTGGCGATACGGGCGGCGATCTTGTTGCGCTTCGCCTGCAGGGTGGCCTGCTCCTCCTCGAGGGTCTTGATATCCCGGTCGATGGCGTTCTTGAAGCTCTTGAACGAGGCACGGGCACCGTCGTACTGTGCCTTCTCCGTGCTCCACTCGCTCTGCTTCTCCTTGTGCTGCCCGATGACCTCTTCCGGAATCGTTGACAACTCCTTAAGTTCGTCCTCGAGCTCCCGGATGGACTGTTCTGCTTGCTTTTGCTGTATGTTGTTTTGTGTGATTTTCTGTCTTAGCTTCTCGTCGTTGCCGCCAGCAGACTGGACGGCGGCCGCCAGCTTGTCGATCTCCTTCTTGATGGCGTTGGTCCTGCGGTTGTTTTCCTTCCGCAAGGCTTTCAGCTTGGCCTTCTCGTCATTGAGCTTGGCTTCTTGGGCGGCGATCGACGCCTTGATGGTCGTGGCTGGGGACTCGTGACGGCGACGCTGGTTGCTCGCGGCCTTGGTCGGATCGGCATCCCTCGTCTTGGCCTGGATGGTCCTGACGCTGGTCGAGAAGAGCACAGCCCCAGTGCGGGTGCTGACAAACTCGCATTCGTAGCTGGACATGGGGGTCAGGCCGTAGATGTCGCCAGTCCACCGAGTGCCAGACGAGTTATCCTCGTTGCCGTCATCGATGGGAAGGATCCGAGTGGGCTGCCAGATGGCGTGGTTCACCCTGACGTAGAACGGCTTGCTTGTGTCGATCCAGGTAGCGCTGCCTGGTATGTTGGACTCCTGGCACTCTTCCGACGCCGGAGGGTCGGGGAAGTGGCTGGTGTTGAAGCAGACCTCGTCCGAGCCAACGTAGCAGATCCAGACTTGTTCGGGCTGCGTATTGAAAGGCGCGTTGCCGAGATTGTCGACGTCGGTGGCGTTGGAGCCGGCAGACTCAGAAGCTGCATGTGACAATTCATATTCTTTGACCATGACGATTTTGGTGCTCGCCAGAGCCGCCCAGAGGGGCTGTCGTATCCTTACTTGCGCACTTTGCTTCCTCCTCTTCTTGCTAGAGAGATTCGAGGAGTTGGTCTGCAAGCTGGTGTCGGCCTCTGGGGCGTCCCCCGGATTTTCGGGGAACAGCACTTTACCGGCCTCTGGGTCGAGATGATTTTGTGAGAGTCCCTCGCGCCGGAGGTACCACTCTCTAATGTACCGCACAACACCCTGTGTCAAAATATGTATCGCGAAAGAATTCCTAATCCATGAATATGCCTCTCTCTTGCCAAAAGCCCTCGCCACAGGTTCGAGCGGGTCGTCCTTGTCCGGAGACCCAAATCGATCCGACCCGAGAAGCGCGCCGAGTTGAGACAGCTTATGGATTCCGGCATGTTTGCCGAAATGGGAGAGGATGACGATGCTCATGCAGAGAAAGACATTGTTGCCGGACCCGTTTCTGGACGTAGCACCGCCACCGAGAGTCAACGCGATGACTATTTGTGCAAAATCGAGGATCAGGTTCTGCAACGGCCCCCACAGGAACAGCCACACCAGGAGAACAACGATATCCATGCAGGCCAGGGTCGTCAGCGACGGCGTACCCAAAGTGCCCTCGAAGATATCGGTCAGGCTCAGGCCAGAGCTGGTCGTCACGGGCGGGACAAAGGTGAGGAGGGTGAACAGCATGTAGATGCCCGAGAGGGCGACGGGTGAGAGCTGCATGAGGATGATGAGGATGGCGATGGTGTCGTAGAGAGGGCAGGATCGGAGGACGGTCAGGGCGAAATCGAGCGGACCGGGATCGCGGTGGACGTTGGCATTCTTGGCGGCGTTGACATCGATGCGTCGATGGTTTTCCTCCATGTTGACGGCGTGGGGAGTGAGGGACTCGGAGGAGCCGGTCTCGGAATGGGCGTCTAGAGAAGCCCGCCTGGCGGCGGCGGCGGCGGCCTTGTTGTCGGCGCAAGGCATGGCGTCGGGAGAGGATCGTGGGAGGCCGTTTGCGGCTGACAGCGAGGAGGGACGACCAGAGGATGAGGCATTCTCGGCTGGAGCGCGAGAGGCTCCATCAGGATGCTGGTGCTGATTTCTCGAGACGGGTCGCCCGGGTCCTACAAGACCATTTTCGTGCCTGGTGTCGCGCTGGTTCGCCCCTCCTTGCTGTCGCTTTGTCGAGGTAGAGGCTCGAGGCATACGCCTGGGGCCGGCTCAGGAAACACGAGGTTCCAGGGCCAGCAGTGAAACGGGAGCCGAGAGAGGGAAGGAGCAGGTCCGGAAGGCGATTGCGAACCGGAGTGCGAGAATGCGCTGGTTTTCGCTCGACTCCACGATTTGGGTCACGGACTCGAAGCGATCGTGGTTCCAACTGCCCTCCCCGAGGCCCAGACAGTGCCGGAACGATTACTCGCGGCCGACTCGGTATCGAAGGGAGGCGAGCTCGCAGGATGATGCAGCCGGGGCATGCGTGGTCTGGTCGTCAGCGCAAGAAAAAGGGAAGGGATGACGACGACAGAGGGTCGAGTGCGATCAATCAGGCAGCCGTGTTGGAGAGGAGGTCACTTGGCGGGACAGGCTGCGAGATATCGATCGAGTTGGTGGGATTTGTGAACTGGGGGAGAAGTGAAAAACGGAAGAGGGACGACACTAGAATTTTGGCAGTAGCAAACGGTTTCTTTGGCGGCGGCGTTGTTTTGGAGGTGGGAGGCATTTGGCAGGGTGGGAGGGTCTTGGCCGAGTCCGTGGGTGGGTTCCAGGTTGTGTGCCAAGTCTAGACCAAAGCAAAAGGCAAGGCAGAGGCAGGTCACAGTGCGTCCTCCGCTCCAGCCGAGCCTGTAACGGTGCAGCAGCACCACTGACAGTGAGAGTTCAAAGGGAAAAGGAATCAAACTTGGGAAATGGAGCCGCAGCACTGGACCCAGCCAATCGTGCAAAGCAAGGCACGGAAACTACGGGGCGGCCTCAACTTTAGCGCATGCCAGCGCCTGAACCGCCAGCGCCGAGCGCCCTCCGGCCACTGATACAGCCCCAAAAGGCACTGCAAACTCCATCAGCCTCTGCGATTCATGGGATTAACTGGGGCTGCATCGCCTCCAGTGGGGCAGAAGAGGGCAGATCGAGAGCACTAAAAATCGACAAAGCAATGCACAAGTGACTCACTGAAACTGAAGGGTCCCGAGTCGTGCGGCTAGGTCTCTGCAAGTACTCCAGGGCTGGCTGTGTGTACGGAGCGTACAAGACACAGCAGATACATTAAAAGCTTAAGTCCCCAGACATCCATCGGCATATGATCACGTAGCATCTCGGCAGCCAGCATTATTAGCAGGGAAAAGGGTACAAAGTTTGGTAATGGTACCTTACAATTCGGTGCTCTGTGCAAGGCAGAGGTTACGGTTGGAGGGAATCAGGCCAGGCAATCAAAATGTCCATGCCAGTCACCGCTCTTGACGAAATCAATGCTACCGTACCCCGAGATCAACCTATTGGCTGCATCGTTCTGCGACCTGGTAGTGTGATCATGATGTTTTCTCCCCTCCATCTTCTTCTGCCGATGCTTGATGTGAAGGTTCGACTCTCATTACAGAGGATTTCTTTGGTATGGATAACTACAGTCAGCGACACATGCTTTTAACAACAGTAATGTAGACGGGATCAACGGAAATTCTCCGTTCCCAGCTTGTAGCTAAAATTTTATACGCTGTCCAAAACCCGCTACACACTTGGTAGAACAAGCCTTTTTTCTCGTCTGGTGTGTGTGTGGGCTTCACTGGTGCTGCTGACTCGCAAGCTAAAACTCAAGAAAGCAGGCCGGTGCGTGCGGAACGACGTCAATGCATTCCTGACGACAAGTCCTATCCCTTTTTCTTCTTGGTCGATGGACAGAAAACAGACGACATGGCACGAATTTCTGCCAACGGCCAGGGCATATGACCGGCCTCTACTGGTTCCGACGACAACAACATCAAAAGCATGACCAAGACCCGGGGAGTTCGGGTCGTTTGGAAACGTTGACAACCAAAGTCTGGAGAGCCTTTGTCTCCTGGTCCTGGCCCTTCTGGTCCAGAAGGGGCAATTCCCGGCTGGTACCTGAACAAGGGAGCGTCAGAGGCGGCGGCGCTACTGTGTCTCGAGCGTTTGCGACACTGCCGACCGAGGGATCCGCAGCTAGGTAGCTTTCGCATCCATGGCATCGCATCGCCAGACGCGCTTTTGCAAGTACTTGGCTGTATTAGGTGCGTGTCAAAGCCAAAAGCAGGCATAGCACTGGCAACTAGCGAGAATGCCAATTGGGGTCTTTTGCTTATCGTTGATCACCGCATACTCCGTACAGGGCATACAGCAGTTTCTCTGCTGTGCATGATCACAGGACTCGGAGCACTTGCATATGACAAGGGAATTGAGCCCACAATTGGTGGCATGCCTCGCAGTAGCGTGGGACTCTTCTTTTCTTCCCTCTCATGCTGACCTTGCAATCCCAGACGAGACAGAGGGAGAAAAGAGAGGGCTGGCCAAGCATCTCCAACTATGTGGGGATGGCCCAGGATGCACCATGCAAGTCTGACCGTCCAGTTGCAGGCCGACGTTTAAAATTCCCTTGTCGATCACTGCTCCCCTCGGCCCTTCGAGTACCCCACGATTGAGCTGCTTATGTGCGATTTCGGCGAGACCTGTGCTGGGAGCTCCCCTGCGCAGTGCGGCGCTGCGTGCAGCTCATTGCCCAATGTGCCAGTCTCGAGAGGCTAGACCTCTCTCGAGTACCGAACTGTTGCGCACCAGCTGCCACATTACAATACTTGTACTTATCATCCTTGTGTGCCAGAGAGATCGATCGATGGGCGGTGTGTGTTTCACAATGTTTTGACCAACTGCTGCGGAGAGCGCAGAGGTCTCTGGTTGTGAACTGGACGACTGTGTATTTAGGATCCAAGATGCCATCGGGACTCACGACCCTTTGACCAGCACATCCCGCCGTTTCTCTTTCGAATGGTAGAATTGCTGGTCTTGGATTGCAGAACCCCCCAGCTCTCCATCTCGCAAGCATCGACATCAACACGCACGCGTTGCATTTGCCTCGGAATTGCCAGCGCTGGACCCGCCGCTCTCTCCGGATTGTCGGTCGATCACCACAACCCCCCCAGCGCGCGTCGAGCCAACCCCCCACCACCTGGACTGAAAGAGAGCCACTACTCAGCCAATCAAGGCGCCGATTAAACCTCCGACCATGGCAGATCCGTTTTCTCACCCGCCTAAGCTTTTGGCTCCGAATGAGGCAGGAAGCTCCTGTTCCTGTTGTTGCAGTAGCTCGATTGCACTTGCCTCGTTGGCAGTTGCTGGGCTGAAGGCACTCCCAGGCACTGCAGACGCTACAAGCGCTTGGCCTCTCGAGCATGATCATGGTGCTTGTTGGATGTGATCGACAAGTGACTTGGCCAAGGCCATCCCATCCATCACAGTCTCGCTCCTTCAAGTGTTGGGTTACAGCAGGCCAAGTGACGAGAATGCAACCCGACATCAAGCCAGCCAGACAAGCGGGCGCGCCCAAATTCCGACACAAACTCATCCATCTCCGCACCACCCTTACTTGGACACTTAAGAGAGAGACCACACCCCCCTGCTGCTGTTCTTGCTGCCGGTAGGAACTCGCATGCTGCCCTGCACATAGGAAGATGCAACATGGGAGAAAAGCATGAGGTGTGCATTGGCCATTGGCCATTGGCGGCAAACGGCAAAGCAGGGGCGATCTTCGGCATTTGGCAGCCAACAGACACCACCACTACCACTACTACCACTCACTCACACGCACCACCCTCTGAAAGCCGGTATTGGTCCAGTGCGGATAATTAATCTCTTGCTGGGGCCCGGTTCCTTGCCTGATTTGACAGGACATGCATGAGGAGCAAGCACCTACGGAGTACCATCGCGTGACGGTCATGGATTACTCGAAGCCTTGCCCCCCTAGATCAAGTAGAGTTGAGTATCCTGGGGAGAAGCAGTGGGCCATCTCCTCTGCCATTGTGAGTGCCGGCCGTCTCCGGGAATAACCAGGACGATAGATGCTGTGAAGATGCCAAGCATACCTAACCTAGTATGTTTATGTAATACTTGTACAGAATGAGATCAAGTAGTGTCTTGCCTTTTCCCTTTGCACCAGGTGGCCGGCTAAAGCTTGGTTTCCAGTCCAGAGGAAGGGAAACGGGGAAACGTTTACCTGATGTGCGGGGATTCACGTTGAAGCACGGGCTGAGCTGTGTGTGCATCCGATTTTACCCCGGCCCTCCCCCAGATCGTACGGGCGAGGCGGGATCATTTTATTATTTGGAGTTGCTGTTATCGCAAACCCTGCCAGGGGTGTGACACCACCTCGAATAGGCAGTCCGAGCCGGCCGATAAACAGCACGCGACTGTCACTCGCGATGATACAACGAACCCCTCGTTGGACTCAGAATTTCAGGATTGCTGTCCAGAAATTTGTAGCTTGCTGTTGGTTCGGAGAAAAGTAATGGCGTCGTTCCTTGAGAGGAATAAGCGTTGTTAGTTCGATGCTCATGTTACTTTTGCATGTACTTTACCTACCTGCAGACTTTCTCGGGAACCAGAGGTATCAAGCTTGGTTTAATAGCAAGGTTCCTAGGAGAAACCATCTTCCATCTATCTCATCTATCATGCTTGCCTATGACATGACACGCAAAGGCTCTCTATGTTCTATCTCCCCTCCGTGACGTCTCCGCAAGCCTCCTAGCTGTGCGCAGGGCCACCATATCTACACCCGGCCCCGGCCCTTCCAGCCAGAAACACACATGCCAGCGAGCTCACCTCTTCGTCGCCGCGCTCCCCAGGTCCTCCACGGCGCCCTCGCGGTTCCACGTCTCCCCCTCCAGCGCCTCCACCTCGGCCACGAGCTCCCAGATCCGCCGCCGGCTGCGCCCCGCCGCCGCCACCTGCTCGTCCCACGTCCGGTCCAGCATGGCGTGCATGAACGCCGGCATCGCCGTCTTGGCCGCCCGCCTGTAGTCGTAGATGGCGATGTCCTCGAACACGCGGGCCGCGATGCGGCGGTGGTTGTGCGACAGGACCACGCACTCGAGGATCAGGCTCGTCGGCGGCGCGGGCGACTCGGAGGGCCGGTGGGTGAGGCGGTGGTAGACGGAGACCTTGTCTGGGTAGACTATGGGCTGTGTGTATGGGGAGTAGAGAGAGTTAGTTGGCCGGCGTGTGCAAATGGGAGGGAAAGGGTGATGAGCATCACGTACAAACTTGTAGTCACACCTGATGCTCTTCAAGATCAGGCCCGTCCCGACCGGCTGCATCAGCTCCCTCCACTCTTTCCTGTGCGCCGAGTCGGCGTGCACCGCAAAGTTGGTCACCCAGTTCACCCGCGCCGACTCCGCCCAGCGGATGTACGCGACGTTGTTGACATGTTGCTGTTTGATATATCATCTTTCCATCAGCCTCCACAACTGGTTGTAGTAATAGCAAGTTCCCCTCTCGTCCCTGATTTGTAGAGTGTCTTTTCCCCTCTCCATATCCCGGGACACTGGGAAGCAAAAAAAACTCACAAACGAATCCATCTCCCCCCACACGACCCTCTGCCCGTCCAGCCCCCGCCGCCCGCCCGTGAGGAACCCCTCCGCCCCGGCCGTCAGCTCCCGCCACTCGCCCGCCAGCGCCGCGAGCACCCTGCCCGCGCGCTCCGTCTGCGCCGCCGAGCAGCCGAACATGACGACGCGGCCGATGCGCGACCGCAGGTCCGACAGCCACCGCGCCGGGGGCTGCTGCTTCTCCGGCTGCTGCTTGGCGTCGGCGTGGGCATGCTTACTGCTGCTGCTGCGGCGGGATGCCGGAGAGGTCGAGAAGGCCGCCGGTGCCGCGCGCGCCGAGGTGATGGCTGTGCATGGCCGCGGATGGTGCCATTGCCGCGGCAGGGTGCTGGGCGTTGTGGTGCTGCGAAGTTTTAGTCTGGGACGTGGCGCCATTGTGTATATGTACAGAGGTAGAACAGAGAGAAGGCTCTTTGGAGGAGAATTGGGCGCCGTAGAGGGAAGAAGGTAGAGGTGAAGTCGTCTTGGATGAAGTCGAAGCTGGGGAAGCAGTGCCGAGGTGGTCGCTTCTCCACGGCTGGCGCCGGGAACGGTTTGCGGGGCAAGCTGGACTCGGCTACGGTGATAAGATAGTGCCTGGGGATGGCGTCAGAGCTTCATTTTAGCCTGACGCAGCTCTTGAACCACAACCAATTTGCAGGTAGACGGTCTTCCATCAGATGAGATTGGCGACCATTGGGCAGCTAGAAGATGCCGCCTGTCAACCCGGAGCTCAGGAGACAAGTCATTGCCATTTACAAAGGTATGCCAGCTGCTCCTCTCACGCCCTATCTCACCCGCACAGATAAGCCACGGGGATCGTTTCTTAAACCTCCCGTCCTTGAAACACTTCTCGGCTTCAACGTATATGTGCCCACACAAGCAAAACAGCTAATTGGCTCACCATCTTCTATAGAACTTCTCTACCTAGGCAGAGAGTACCCTCTGGGCTACGACTACTTCCGGCCGCGGCTGCACAAGGCCTTCATGGCCAATGCGGATCTGCGCGACGAGGAGCAGATACGGAAGGGTCTGGAAAGGGCAGATTTTGTCAGGAAAGGTGAGATTTTGTACCTTTCAACTCATCACACAGAGCAGCCTTGTGGTCAGAATCAAACTTGGGAAATGCCTTCTGACGAGAATTCTTTGCATTGCACAGAAATCGAGGCGTTGTAAGTGAATCATCTCAGCTCATCTCGTCTCATTCATCTCCATGAAGACCCCATCAAGTTCAACATATCACATTGAAACCATTCACTATTCGAGGAACAAGTCCTCTGCAGAAAAGCCCAGTCAATGCACTCCAATCATGATAATTGTACCCTATGAACAGGAAAGCCATGCCATTGTATCACTCATATCCTGCTCTTTTTTCACATTTCATCACAAGACACCCACAAGACACACCAACCAACATCCAATCCTGAAAGGAGAAAAGAAGACGGCACAGCGAAAAGAGAAGGAAGGAAAATCCGAATCTATGTTTCATAAAAGTTGAGGACCGAACGAAATGGGTTTCGCTTTTTGCAGTTGCCATGCCGGCTTTCCATGCTATCAAGATCGAACCGAGATGAAGCCCACAAAGAGAAAACAAAAAAAGACAACCCAGGTGTGGGAGAAGAAAACAGCATGCTGACTTGACTTTGTGGGGTATAAAATAGGTACTATCTCAAGCGATACCGAACGCTGAGGAAGAGATATGACGGAGCTTGAATGAAGTCTTTGGGCGGGTGGAACAGGCCAGGGTGTTTGTATATGTACCGCGGAAGATCGAGGGCCGAGGGACAACAAGGTTGGGATCGAAGACGTACATGTGACCGGAGAGGATATCATGGCCCAGATAGACAAAGATCGAAAGGTCAAAAAACGTATGAGCATCGAGAGGGAAGATCGAAGACCGCTCCAATGATGACCAAACCTCCTCAACGTAGTGCAACCAACCAAGAAGAGCAGCAGGAAAATGAAACCCCGAGAATCATCATCACTTCCTCTTCTTGGCCCACCACGCCCCGACCTCGAGACACTCGCCCCACGACGTGCCGTTCTCCTTGACCAGGTCGTTCATCATCTTGCCCGACCACGCGTCCCACTCGTCCTGGCTCTTGCTGCTGACCTCGCGCAGCAGCGGCTCCAGGCTCTGCACCATCTGCACGACCGTCAGCAGCGCCGTGCGCCGCAGCGCCGCCTGCGGCGGCGAGAGCGACTTGCCGCCCCGGCCTTTGCCCTTGGCCGCCCCGGACTCGATGTAGCTCTTGCCGTCCTTGGTCACGACGCCGCCGACGCCCTCGCGCTCCCACTTGACCTCCGAGAGGGGCACGGCCATGCGCCGCGAGCCGATGCCCATGAGGTCGGCCGACTCCTGGATGAGCAGCGGGGTCATGAGCGTGCAGGGCACGGGGCACAGGTCGCGCAGCTCGAGGGCGCGCTGCACCCAGCCGTTGTACTCGACGATGTAGTTGTTGAGCGGCGCCGAGAGCGGCGTGTTGGGCGACAGCACGTAGGCGCCGATGCGGGCGGCCGCCTCGTGCTCGTCCTCCTCGTCGTCCGTGTCGGCGTTGGCGGCGGCGGCGGCGGCGGCGCTGCTGCTGGACTCGGGCACGTGCGGCCGCAGCATGCGGAGGGTGTAGTCGCTCTCCCAGCACTCGAAGACGCCGCCCGGCTTGAGGCAGCGCAGCCACTCGTCCGTGATCTCCTGCTGCTTGGTGTTGGTGACGGCCAGCGTGACGTCCTTGAACATGATGAGGTCGAACTCGCCGTCCTGGAAGGGCCAGGGGGTCTTGAGCATGTCATGCTGGACGAAGCGCCACTTCATGTCTTTGTCCGGCCGCATGTCGTGGCCTGTATTTTGTTGCTGTTGCTGTTGCTGTTGCTTCTCGTCTCTAGAGCCGGGGTCTGCCTTTTTCCTGTCGAATCCCGATCCGATGGGGGCGACGTCCATGCCCGTGAACGAAATGTTGGTGTGCCCCTGCTGCTTGCAGTACCGGTGACACATCATGCTCCAGAACCCGGAGCCGCAGCCGACCTCGAGGACCCGCGTGGGCGGCTTGTTGGCAAAGGCCGGCGAGCACAGCGGGCCGTTGAACAGCTGGAACAGCATCAGGGTCCGCAGCGACTGCCGGTGCAGCTCCGCAAGGTCGACGGGGAGCGGGTAGGGTATGGAGGGATCGGACAGGTAGGTCCTGCCGTTGCGGGTGACGACGGGCTTGGGCAGGTGGTGCTGCGACGAGGAGCCGCCCTCGGCGCTGGAAGGCGGCTCGCTGGACATCATGGTGCGGGAGCTCAGAGTCGTGGCTCCAGAGTTGCTCGAGACGCTTTCGGCGCGGCCAAAGGCGATGCCGCTGATTTTATTGCGCGCCGAGGAGTCGGGTGGCATGGCAGCATGGTGGTGGGGGTGGCCGCCGCTGCTGTGACTGCTGCCGCTCTTGTCCCTGTCGAGGGTGGTAGTATTGGCGTTGGCAGGAGAGTGTGACGAGTGCGGCCCGCCGCCGGATTGTCTGTTTCTGCGGCTGCTGCTGTTGCTGCTCGAGACAACAGAGTTCTTCTGGAAGGTTTCAAAGACAGAGTCAGCGCCGCTGTCCAACGAGGGTGGGACGTGGGACGCCCTGCAAGCATGCAAGCAGGGAGATAGATGTCTGTCGGGTTTGGTCGATGCAGGCACCCGCTTTCGATGGGACGCTGGTGGAGCGACAGCGGCGGGGTACTTTGTCTGCAACAGACAGGGGGCAAGGTTTTCTTCTTCTTTTTTTTTTTTTTGCACTTACAAGTACCGCAACAGCAGGATGGGCACGCGAAGCACTAGCAGAAGAAGAGGAAGGGTTCGGGGAATGAGGTACCTCGTGCGAGTCACGGCTCCTGGCCGAGCTGCTGTCGTCGCTGGCCGAAGTAGTCCGCCTGTGGCCGGGGATGCGCGAGCGCTTGACTGTGGTTGTGGGAGGATGTTGTTTGGCGGAATTGTTGGTGCGATTCGGTACGGCGCGGAGGGTGGGTAAGGGGGTCATGGCATGGGCCCAGAGGTACTCCATTTTGGGCGACTCTGTCGTTTCTTTAGGTTAGGTACCTGTATTCGTTTTTCGTCCACTCGCAAAACACCACACACTCTTTGCTGCTGCTCTCCGGCAGTCTGTAATTTTCCAGCGGCTTTTTCCCTAACCAGAGTCGGCCTCAATTACCGGTCGGCCACTCTCCCGTCTTTTCTTCCCTCGGCTCTGGGCCTTGCCAGGTTCAGTGAGAAAGTGATTTGTAGGGCTTGCGGTCGGGGCGTTCAGTGGGCGCTGGCGGCCTGACTGTGGATTTCGACCAAGGGTTCCGTGTCTTTGGCAGGCCAGGGCGAGTCCCCGGAGACGCCTAGGGTGGTTCCCGCCCTCTGGGATTGGCCTCGGGGAGAGCGGTACGGGGCCTTTGGGCTGTTTCACAGCGCCGGGTAAGCTTCCGCAGCCAGCTAAATGGGGCCCTCAGTCCACGCCCACCCCCTGAAAAATTCCAGGGCAATGCTGCGGGTGCGGTGCGCCAAGGTGACCCAAAAAGCAGGATTGCCCCGGCTCACGCAGGCTTGTTTCGTCTCGCGGCCCGCCTCGTTTCTCTGTGTCTTTGCTTGCTCAGAGGTGGGCAAAGTCGGAGCAAGCGCAAAGCAAATAAAGCCAGGGGGCCGATCTGTCGGACTGTTTGCTGTACACAGTCTGTATTTCCGACCCGGGCGGCCACGTTTCTCGCCTCTGCCAGTGTGGCTGATTTCTCGCTGCAAGGCGGTTCTCAGACCTTCCTCAATCGAAGCAAAGCCCCGACACCCGTGGAGGGGTTTGGAAAGTGAAGTGTGCGCCGCCCCTCCAAGCGAACGCTGGCGACCAAAGCGCAGCAACAAACTCGGCCTGTCCGAATTGACTTCCTGCAGGATCCTGCTGAGAAGCAACAGCCGCCCTGCCAGGGCCAATTCTCCAATGCCTACCCGGTCGTGCGTGCGTGCAAACAAACTTGCAGGCCAAACCGGTGTGGTCTCCGACCCTGGCCGTCTGTCCTTGGCTTGTCGAGCCACTGACCGAGGACAAATCGAGCAAACAGAGGAGATCGATGCTGCAAGGATCAATTCCCTGGCTCTGAAGCCGGCCAGTCTTTGGTAACAGCAGCCGACGTCTCTTCGTGCTTCGTAGTGTTGGCTGCAGTCTGCGCGAGTTCTGTCTGCAGTTATCGCCAACGCGATACTGTAGTGTCCTGTATCAACCTAGACACACACAGCCCATGACAGAAAGTAAAGAGTTTCCCAATGCTGTGGTCGAGTAGATTGCTGTTGCGTTCGCTTGCTCGTGCACGGTCAATTCCAATCTCAAAGCAGCGGGAGTCTGTGAGTCTGCTTCGGCTATCGTGTTAGTTATTGCCTTTGAAGCACGAGCCGCTCGCTGTCAGTTGACGAAATCCGCAAGATGCGGGGGGATGATCGCAGGCGAGTCCGTTGTTGCACACAATCTTTGACGGATCCTTCGCCGTTCCTCTCTCTTTCTCTCTCTTCTCAAACAATCCGGCTCTTGAGATTATCCATCTCTCAGACTCTTGCAATGCCGCTCATGAACTTCCGCAAATTAGTCCAGTGGGTGTTCCTCGGGTGTGGGGGCGGTGTTCGTCGAAGAGTCTCCGCCAGGTCCCTTGTTGTTTCGCTTGTATTGATGATCTTGATGTAAAAGACGCAAGCCTTCAACTTGGCGGTCAGCGGCTCCGGAACAGGATTGCGACGAGGTATGCTCAAGACAACAACACCCAAATCCACCCGTCGTGAACCACAAAACGCAGAGAGATATGCTCAAGAGGGAAGGAGGAGATGCTTGGGGACGACTTGGACGCGAACCTCCTCTGTAGGTAACGTTATATCTATTGCTTTCGAACGGCGGTCGTCAGGTCCATCCTCAGACAGGTTTAATGCCAAAATGGACAAACAGGCCAGGTCAGAATCCGGAGCCACAATGCTGCAACTAGCAACGAACCCATGACAAGGATGGAGGGCCTTTCCCTCTTTTCTCTGCTCGTCTTTTTCTACTTGGGGCTATGACTTCCTCTAACGGTGTTCCGGTGCGGTGGAGAAGGATGGGCCAGGCCAAATCGAGGTGCTGCTTCTGGCCTCGTCCAACATTCCCCCGCACTCACGCGCGCCAGTGAGGCACGAGAGGGGAGTCCTTTGGGAAAGGAAGTGGCCCGGATTGGATGGGCTGGGAGCTGCTTTTACTTTTACTGGGTCCGTCTCGCTCCGTCTCGCTGCCGTGCTTTCTCAACTTGTCTCGTGCTGCTTCCCTAGGGGGCAAACGCCGGTTGAGTCTCGGAAAGGCTCTCCCTCAGAGCCGGACCGTGGCGTCTTGGGTGGACGACATTTGCATGCTGATTGGGTGCGAGAGGCCTGGCGGTTTGGCTGCTTCATTTCTGGGGGTGTCATTTCGTGGGGTAGCGTAGCGGGCCATATCACGAACCTAGCACTTATTGAACCTGGCTTTGGCGACGGTGGTCCATGTGTGTGCCTGCTCCTCTTTGCCCGCGCATGCCCAGACGGGCTTCGGAAACCTTAGGTAAAGCACACGAGGCTAAGTATCTATCTAGGTGTGCTTCTCGTGGGCACTAGCAAGAGGCAGCATCGCCAGGTGCAAACCGTCTTGCACCTCTCACTGCCTGAATCATCTGATACTAGACAACCGGGCATCGTGAGCGCCACTTCGATCATGCAAACCGATTCAGAGAAGTCGCATCTGCCTGCCATGAGAGGGGAGACGTGGTACCGAGGGCCGAAGAGCTGCATCTAGATTCCCTTCTTGCACGTGTCACGTCTGCCAGAAAACGGTCTTGGAAGCTTTTCGTGATTGGCCTCTCTGGCCAATGACTGCAAGGACATTCAAGATCAATATCGAGATTCCTGTGTTATAAGATCGATCAAGTGGCTGGACAGTGCCGACCTGGAGAGCCGGCGGTAGCCATTCCATGCCTTTATCCGCAGGCCCACCAGAAGGGAACCACAGGTCCGAGCGATCATAGGGCATGTGTTTGTTGTCATGGTGTCGAGGTTGTGTGGCGTCCGCATATCCGGGTTCATGCGATGACACACCGATAGACAACAAGTTCTGGTCAAGTTGGCGGACTTGCCACGGCAGGAGATGGTGAGTCGACATTGACCACGTCACCAACGATCATGGCAATGGTGGTTTGCACAGAGGGCTGGTGCACCGGCGCGACGGTCCGAAAGCATCATCTCAGATCAATCACGGCGGGGCTCGGCGTACGTTGGTTGATATTGGAGACACCATGGTAATACGTCGAGTAGGGAGTCTGAATAAGGTTCAGTGATGCTGCGGGTTGCGAAGACGGCAGCTTGATAGATGAGGTGCCTCGTGGAGGGAGAGGTAGGTGTTGGCTTTCAACTGCTCTCCTTGAACTTTTGAGCTCCCTGGCTGCTGTACGTGAACCTCACTTTCCACATGCACGTACTCGCGACTTGAATCCACTAGATTCACTTACATGAATGTTGTGAGGGTATGAGAGCTGTCGCTAAGTCAAGAAACAATCCCAACTCGGACGTTGAATACTTGGACTCGGCGCTGCCAAATTGATGACATGACAGGTCAGACGGATGCCCAGCCAGTCCAGTCAGTGACGCTGATGGCGCTGATGGGCGGGGAGCTCAGGGCATGTTGAGGTAGCTCTTGCGTGGGAATCTCTAAAACGTGACCTCCGTGGGAGAGAGCTACATCACATGACCTGGAACCCACCAGGCTCATCGACACGCAGCCTCTGACACTGGCAGACCAAGTGGCAGCGCAAGTACTTTTTGTCGCACAGGGCCACCGAAACGATACCTTCCTCTGCGCTCCACAGCCAGGTGGTGCAACCACCTTACCTAAGCGACATCGACGAGTTCTCCGTCTCTTGCTTGCTTGCATGGACCAGGACACCACAACACTGGCCCATGACGAGCTCGACAGCCACATCGCAGCCATTATCATTCACTTCTTAGTATCCATTGCGGCACATCCGATTATTGCCTCCCACAGCGCACATTCATTACTCAAAGGTCCGTGCCTTCTTTCGTCTGCTGCCCGTCACCAGCCCCCCCAATGGCAGTCTGTCCTGCTGCCAGCTTGTCTGACTCGATCACACCAGTAGCTTGACCACAGCTGACTTGGATAGTCACCGCAGCCCTGTCTCTTCTTCCTGGAAGTGAACAGGATCCAAATATTGCTTTCCTCTGCTGCCAGCTTGCCGACCGCCATCGACCTGTCCCCAATCCCAGCCGATAGCGCCCGTCCCCTCCTCGCACCGAGCAAACATCATCATCGACCGCAAATCCTTCGAGTCTTGTTTCATGGACTCTTAGGACGGCCCTGCCATCCTGCAACCATCCGGCACCAAGTCGACCGCGCCACAGAGTCTCGATGCAGGAGCTACGGTCTACTGAGATCCATGAACCGCCTCCGAATACCCAACGCGTCGCTCCACTCGTGCCCTGCATGAGCCCTCCATCCCTCTCTTGAACAACTGAACCCGCCCACCTGGCATCAAACCACCACAGCTGCTGTCCATGACACCTAGATGGCCGATGGTTACCGATTTGTGCAACACACAAACAACTCTTTCCGCTTGCAACACACCTCTAAGAGCTCTGCCGCTGCAAACGACACATATCACATCACCTCTCTTCTCAACCAGTTCCTTCCCGAGCTCCCGTCCCCGTCAAAGTCTCCAGACCCGGGCTTGAGGGGCCAAGGCTCGCAAGGCATGTACAACCAGAACCACCAACAGGGACACAACTCCCGGCTGAATGGCAACCATGCTGGGCGGGGCGGCATGCCGATTCTGTACAACTTTCAGCAGCCGGCCGCCCACCACCAGCAGGGCCATGCCCAGCATCAGCATGGACTCCAGCAAGACCATGCCTCGCACAACACCAATACCTCGGTCCTAGGACACCACTCTGGTTTCTCCAGCGGTGTTCTGTCCAACACCAGCCCTTTCGCCAGCTCCATCCAGAATGGCCACACGGCGACTACTCGAGGCGGCCAGGCGCAACAGATCAACGAGCACTGGGCCGAACAGCTGCGCCTGCACAAGGAATCAGAGGCAGCACACGCCGCGATGGTGGAGCAGAACCAAGTTAATTACTACGCTAGGCTCAAGGCTGGGGAGAACAAGGGCATCGGCGGTCCTGCGCTCAACAGCGATGCCAACAATGCCGCCGTTGATGGAGAGATCGAAGGAGTTAGGAGGCCCGTAGGTATCGACAAGTCGACGCAGCGACAGGATTGGCACAATCTCGACCTGTCCGGCCAAGGCTTGCGGGCATTGGCGCCTGCCCTCTTCAACTACACCTTCCTCCATGAACTCTACATCGCCTCCAACAAGCTTACCGTCCTCCCGCCTGCTATTGGAGAGCTACGCGCGTTACGACTCCTGGAGGCATCAAACAACCAGCTGCAGGAGCTGCCTGCTGAGCTCGGAATGTGTACCATGCTGAAGCAACTGCTCCTTTTTAACAACAGGATCCAGGATCTGCCGACTGAGCTTGGTTTTCTCCATCGCCTCGAGGTGCTAGGAGTCGAGGGAAACCCGCTGAACCAGGAGATGAAGAAGAAGATTGTGGAAGAAGGCACCAAATCCCTGGTCAATTGGCTACGGGAACGTTCTCCCGGTAAGTATCGACAGCGTTTGGCAGGGTTTAACCAAGGGCCTCTTGCAGTACTGACTTTCTCCTCCTTTAGTACCTCTACCTCCCTTGGAGCGCAAAGTCATCACCATCCAAGAAGACGTTTCACCCAGCCTCGAGCGTGTCAAGGTTCTTTCCTGGAACATCCTGTGCGAGAGATATGCGACCCAGGCTGTATATGGTTACACCCCTACTAGTGCCCTGGCATGGGACTATCGACGAGACCTGATCTTGGAGGAGATTCGGAGACGTGACGCCGATATCTTGTGTCTCCAGGAGGTCACCACGGAGGCCATGAGAGAGGATTTCGGACCCGAGCTGGCCAAGGAGGACTACCGAGGCATCCACTGGCCGCGATCGAAAGCTAAGACAATGGCAGAAAAGGACGCCATTGCCGTTGACGGTTGCGCCATCTTCTTCAAGCAAAGCAAGTACATCTGCCTGGACAAGCAGCTCATCGACTTTGGCAACATCGCCATCAACCGGCCAGACATGAAGAACCAGCACGATATCTTCAACCGTGTCATGCCCAAGGACAATATCGCTATTCTCGGTTTCTTTGAGAGCAGGCAGACTGGCGCACGGATGATTGTTGTCAACGCGCATCTGGCATGGGAGGGCACTCTGAACGACGTCAAGATTATCCAGACCGCCATCATCATGGAGTTTGTTACGAAGCAGGCCGAGAAGTACGCAAGGTGGCCAGCCGTCAAGGACAAGCGGATGATCAGCATTCCCACCGGCGACGACGAGGCAGATGCCCGCAAGGAGCCCATGCCGGAACCTGGCCCGTCTCAAGAATACCGCAACAATACGGACATACCCCTGTTCGTCTGCGGCGATTACAACTCTCCCGCCGATAGCGGTGTCAACCAGCTGCTTTCCACCGGACACCTGGCACCCGACTATCCGGACCTGGTCAATCACCACTACGGTACCTTCACGAGAGACGGTATCGAGCACCCCTTCAGCCTACGGTCAGCCTATCAACACCTCGACGGCACGGTGGATGCTTTGCCCTTCACCAACTACACGCCGACTTTCGCCGACTGCATTGACTACATCTGGTACTCAACCAATACTCTCGAGGTCGTAGAGCTCGTTGGCCCACCGGACCCGCAGTACTTGAAGAGAGTGCCGGGCTTCCCCAATTACCACTTCCCGTCAGATCACATCCAGCTCGTCAGCGAGTTCGTCATCAAGCCGCGGAAGGATAAGAAGGGCAACAACGTCTCAACATGATGATTTCCGTAACCTGCATTCGAGGTGTTCTTTGTCTTGGTCTAACGGTTTACAGCGGACGGCGGGTGGCACTGCGAGCGGGCGAGACGGTCGGTCGTGTTGGCGATGGTGGAACAGAGCTATCACGGGATCATATTGGTCTCCCTCTTCTTCGTTGCGAGGAGGGAGGGAGCCAGGTTGGTTTTTATAACTTTGCGTCTCGAACGGTTGGTTGGTTGGAACTGGCTGGTGTTCTGGATCTGGTTAAACCTAGGGACTTGATTGACTGCGGGTGCGTCGCGTCTTTTTTGCCTTTTCGTTTTCCGCGCTTTTCTCGTTTCTCTTTTTTTTTTTGGAAGTGGAAGGGCGAGAGGACAGGAGGGAGGGGGGAAAGGGAGTGGGATAGCAGATACATGTGAGAACTCATCGACACAAAGAGAAAGGGATCTTCTTTCTCGACTGCCCAGCAAGTCCTGTTAGCCAAGGCGCGGGTTCGTGTGCTGTTGATGTCGTGTTCTTCTTTTCTTGCGAGGTCTACGCTTGCATGGGCTTGGCGGATCACGACCCGATGGGGTCGAGCAGCCGATGCTCTGCTGGGCAGCTGAAATGTAGGAATATATTCGTGTTTCTTGTCTGGACAGACCTAGGAAGCCCCCTGTGCTTTGTTGTTATGACTGTCTGGCGGGAGCGGTTATGATCTTGACTTCGGTCTTTGCACGGCGACTATTTGTTTGGACCAAGTCGGAGTTCCCATCATGCACAGGCTTGGACATATTTGTGAAGACTTTCGTACTGGTACCACCGCGTCAGAAGGTGCCTACTGCAAAGGCAAAAGGACAAGAGCAAGGGTCTGTGAACGGCCATGGAGGAGGACTTCACGTAGTCTCTTCATTGCTGAACCGTCTGTCGCTAGTCTTTCCCGGCTATGCATTTGATTTTTACTCAGAGTAGTCAAGATTTGCACTCCATATCTCAGCTCAACCCATGCGCAACAACGGTCTCGGGCTCTGCCCACAAAATAATGGCACTCATTAAGTGCGGCTGAGAGTTGTCCAAGCCTGGGGTAGCCCTGGCTGCCCGCAAGAACCTAAGGTGTTGTCCTTTTGATGCCAAGCAGCGCTAGAGCTTCGCGGTAATCAAACAAGAGTCCTCCCTTTCCTCATTCTCTGCCAACACACAGCTGCGCCGTCGATCATCTTAGGGCCTACGATAATTTTCCCCTGGTCTTTGCCTGAAAGGAAGCGCCCTCAGCTGTCATTTTGGCAGCCTACCATACCCAGAACGGGCTGGCCACGCAGATCTAAGCTGTTTACGGCCGGGGCATCCCGGCAGGGCGGGCAGGGGCCATCCCGAAGAAGTCAAACGGCGCGGACACCCACAGTGACTTCACGGTGGCCATGTGTGTGTCTACGTAGTAAACTCTCGTGCTCGGATGTGTTGGAAACGAGATTCATTATTTTCATGTTGGTCTAGTTAGTAGAGCCCCGGCTAGGTAGACTCGTTGGGGATATAAGATGAGGGTGGGAGTGAAGGTCGAGTTCCTGTCCCGGTTCCATGCTCTGCTTTCCTCCTGTTCAGGTCCATCTCTGTAGAGCTCCCGGTCTCCGTCCAAGTAACTCCTGTTTGCCTGGCCTCTCAAGAAAATAATGGCTGTCCAACGTATGCTCGTCGGCGCCGGCGCCCTCCTGGTCGCCCTCGGCAGCGCCCAGGCCCACGCCATGGGCGTCAAGGCCAACAACAACGGCCTCGAGGCCCGCCACGACGACACGTGCAAGCCCACCGCGACAGTGACCTGCACCGTCATCGAGAAGGAGATCGTCACGGTGCGCGAGTACTACACCGTCACGGCCACGGGCGCCGCCGCGTGCAACGTGACGACCTCGTACAGCGCCACCACCCTGCCGACGTCCATGGTTACCACCTCGAGTTCGAGCTCAAGCTCTAGCTCCAGCTCCAGCTCCGTCTCCAGCACCTCCGAGACGTCACCGACCTCCTCCGCCCCCTCGTCCACCCCGACCGCCTGCTCCGCGCCCGTCTCGTGCGGCAACCTCGGCTTCGACTGGGCCTACTACAACAACACGGCCCGCAACACGGACGAGACCTACTCCGCCTTCCGGCCCGACACCTTCAAGAGGGTCCGGCCGCTCTACGTCGGCACGTCCGACCGCGTGGGCGGCACGTACTCGGCCGAGGACGGCACGCAGTCGCGCACGGGGCCCATCTACGGCTCGGCCGTCAGGAGCCTCAAGCTCGACTTCTTCGCGCTCAACCACCACGCCTACATCTACGCCTGCGAGGCCGGCACGTACCGCGTCGACGTCCCCTACGCCAACGACGCCGTCTACCTGTGGGTCGGGGCCAAGGCGTACGCCGGCTGGGCGGACGGCAACGCCGACGCCAAGGCGCGGTACAACCAGCCCGACCACATCGCCGGCCGGGCCTCGTTCAAGTTCGACATCCCCGCCGACACCTACGTGCCCATCCGGTTCGTGTACGGGCAGGCGCAGTACGGAGGGGGGTTCAGCTTCAACGTCACGGCGCCGTCGGGCCAGGTCATTGTCAGCGACGCGGCGAGCGACAGCCCCTACGTGGTCAGGAGGTCGTGTGACGGGGTCATCGCGCCGGCGTATCCCCCGTTCGGCGCGGAGATTTAGACAGTTGGAAAAGTGGTGTATTTGTGATGCAGGGGGCGGACTGCCGTGAATGAGTTGGGGTATCCTGGTTCGACGAGCAGTATGTGCCGGGACACTTGAACATATCATAATTCCTTAATTCGAATGAATTGATGCCGTGTACAAAACGTCCGCAAACATTCGTGTGGTGTGAGTATATTTTGACGAACAATAATCTATCTATTTTGCTTCGAAGTGACACTACGATAAATTCAATACCTGCAAATGACCACTGGTGTCTACATGGACAGGCAAGACTGTTGAGCCTTGTATGGTATCGAACCAAACTCATACACGCCACCCTCAATCCTAGAAACCTTCTGAGACGATACCGAAGCAGGTTGCATCGATCATTGCGACCAAGTCTCCCTTAAGGAACGGCACGCATCACGGACTTCTGCCTTGAATTTGCCTTTTTATTCTCTCATCATTATCAAAAGCAAATCCTATTTCGCATTCGTAGACACGAAAGCAAATATCCAGATAGCATTTCTAATCTGGAAGATCGTGTTGATTGGGTTTCGAATTCCATGGGTTCGAAAATAACATGAACCTATTGTGTCATAACATCGTTTCTGGCTAACCTCGGGTCAGAGCCTGGGTACATTATATCTTGACGCCAGTACGATAACCACATCGGACTCAGCGATCAGATAGGATTCCCCAAAACACTCTCTGATCCTGTGAGGAAAGAACAGAATTGTGGGAATGAAACATAATCAAGTGAAACGAATGTCTGAAGGAAAGGAACTTAAATCAGAACGCACACACAAGCCTGGTCGTGACCAGCTGTGGAAACTCTTGAACTTCCTTGACCTCCGACATCGCCACGGGACTACTTCCCTGCCGCTCTGCATACCGTGTGGCTCTGCAAAAACAGTTAATTTCCTCTCCAGGTCGGGCGTCTTTGCCAATGTACCCGTGTGCAACATGACTTGTGACACATGCGAAGTACCATCAGCACTACTGAGGGTCGGGAACGAATGAGTGGTAGATATAGATGCGGGTCTCTGAAGGCGATATTTCAGTATGTGACGGCAATTCTGCCATGGCCGTAGTCGTGTTGCTTTCGAGCCAACAACTCCGGTGAGCCTCGGAATGTTTGGTGTGCTCATGAATCATAAACCGGTCACACAACCTCGCCAAGCTTCGTGTTGGTGGTCGGGCCAAATGCGAACACCACATTCAACGCTGCCCACAACTTGACTTCGAGGGCTAGAAACGAGTTATCGTTCCTTGCACCTTGAAGCCTCGGTCGCTTTGGATGAATTCCAAGTCCACGTCAATCCTTTCGGGACCCTTCGTCGTGAAGACGATTCATAGCTCCGAGGAGCTACGGACGATGCCTGGGAACGGGAACGGCTCGCGTGGACACGGCAGCAATGACACCCGCATGGATGCCCTCTGTTTTGAGAATAGTATGGTTCTGGGCGAGCGAGCATGGGCGGCTGATATGGATCTTGTGCAAAAGGCCATGCAGGGTATGGCACCCAAACTTGATTGAACTGAATGACCATCAGAGGCCCAAGACTAGTAGGCGCGTGGTCTGGTCTGGGGTTGAATTTCAGGTTTACTTTGAGAAATGGAGTTTTGAGTGTCTAGAATATTGCCATGGATATTGGGAAGGAAGGTCTGGAGATCCGACAGATAACGATACGTGGGGCGACTTTAAATGCGTGTGCTGTCTGGTCGAATCTCGCAAGGCTGAGCCCAGGCAGCTGGAGATATGGCCGGGGGGAGGAACATGGTTCTATCGAGTAGCTATGGATGTGCTGTTCCTCAGACTGCAACGTGGGCGAATAGATATCATGTTGTACCGTGTTTTGGTTCTGGTCAGGTGGCTGCATATTGCCTAACCATTAAAGTATGCATGCGGGCTTCGGGTCGGGCGCGAACAGTGATAAACATCACAAACGGTCTTTTGAGGGGAGGAAGCCTTGCGAAATGGCTGTCCGGAATTGAGCCGACGCTAGGTGGCGCTCACCCTTGTAGTCCTGGCGCGTCCGACGCGTCAACTGACTGAATTCGCTGCCCAATCATTTATGTTCGCCCACATAATGAGAAATGACAATGCGCTGGCTAGATGCCGTAATGAAGCCCGGCCCCTCACATGTCCTTCAGCTCCTGGGTCTCTGAACGGGTCGGGCCGTCATGGGATGGATCAGAACTGAGACCACCGCCAGTTGATCTGCTGCTTGCAGCGCCATATCTAAGGTGTGAGCTACCTTTGGTTGGACACAGGAGATATTGACGTTCCACGATGTGCAACACGGACTTTGAATTATGCCTTGCGGTTAGGCTGTACGTTGCGTATTCGAAATGGCCCAACCACATGAGTACTGGGAAGTTCTGATCGCTTATCACCCAGGACCCAACCTCAAAACAATAGTTGCTGAAGGTTTGCATTGATCAGGCCCTTTTCATGACGTTTCAATCTCGGTAGCGGGAGGTCTTGAAATCAGGCCGCCAATCTCACCAAAATTTGGATGTGGCTTTGGACGAATGAGATGAGAACAGCAGTAGTAAGGCCTTTCTGATTTGACGATATCTTTGTGCTCGTAGTCTTCGTCAGGAGGACACGTGGAATGTACGCTCGGGATATCGCGGTGATTGGGCTTGGAGAGTGTTACAGCCGAAGGCATTGACAGTATTTGCCAGCCGGGCAGCAACAGCAGAAGCGAAGAGATGGGTATGAATGGAGTTCTTGTGAACAGACTCAAGTCTACAGTTGTGATCAAGCTTTGAATGTCTGTGCAAAGTAGAGAGCTGAGCAGCCTTTGTCCTTGGCACAGGTCAAGTCATCCTGGCAACTGTTCGCCGCGATTAGCGTACGTGGACGTTACTCACGGTCTTCCTGTCTTTGGCAACCCCACTTCGCAACTTGGGGTCACTTGATTGCACCGATAACCTGGGGGGAATGTTCGAAGGGTGCATTAAATGACGTGATGTTCCTCTTGTGACTGCGATATTACTTGTTACTTTGACACATTAAGATTTGTAAAGCCCAACAGTGCCAATGACAGTAGTCGACTTTTGCAGCTCTCTTTTTGATTTGCGATAGATTCAAGTCAACATGGAAAAACCAGACAGACGGACATGAAAGCAACCAGCTTGCTCTTAGTGGAGCTTCGATTATTCATGTTCACTGCCTGAGAAGATATACCTGATTATGCTCAATCCTTGAGAATTGGCTCATCAAAAAGTCATTGTGCCTCGAGTCTCCATCCAAAGCGATGACGAATAAACATATTCAACGAAAATTCATGCCAATCGACTTCTCCAACGGGACGAGTTCTACGAGGGATGAGTGAGACCTCTTTCGGTACCTGACCAGCAGGACTGCTTCTCTCGCCCTTGCCATATCAGCTCGTAATATCCTAGTCGATGTAACTGGGCAACTTCGATGCCATCTTTGAGATGTGACACAGCAAGGATTCAGCGGATTCATAGTCAGCGGAGCTACCCACCGATGCTAGAACCTGGTGGGGAGACGAGAATGAGGCCGGGCCTGCCGGACCGTTCAGAGTCTTGTGAATCCTACACGTTCCTCCGCCACCGTGACGGCTCCTTCCGCATGTGTTGGCATGTACGTAAGCATGGATGTGTGGTTCAAGCGTCGTAACGCGCTCTGGGGTCATGAGAGAATATCCAGACATTCCCATGCTGATAAGTTCTGTGCAACTTCGGCGGCAAGCAGCGGTGTAGACCGAAGGAACTTCACTCCTTTGAGTCAAAGGTGCGACTGATCAAGGGAGGTCCTACGATTCGCGATGACTTACGCACAGCATGAGCAATATGTCTGCTTTGCACAAGCGGCACTGCGGCCATCATAGAGATCTAGGCCTTGCAGGATGCCGTGGTATCCATTCAGTAACGGCGTCTTCGGTATTATGTCACTCCAGCGCTCAGGTGCTGCTGCAGGCGCTGTGGATACGTCTACAGGCGGCGAATACGAAGAGCAGCTTAAGCAGCAACCCTGCTTTTCATGTGCCGATCCGATCGGCAGTGCATGGGTTCCGGCTCCGCATTTTGGCATGCAACGTTGAATACGAAGGGTGCACACGACCAGTCCCATGGGTGGTTTCTTGATTTTAAGCCGCCTGCCGAGGAGACCTCCATAATTTTGCTTGGACAGAGAGCGCTCTGCGCGCCAACACATTACCACGCCAAGTGTCGCTTTTTAGCAGCACTCGTATTTGAGGCTTCGCTTATGTCGGACGGGATGCGGTGGGACCCCCGGAGCGTGATCATGAGGAAAATACCCGGTTTGAGGTTGACAATGGCGGTACTGCTGCTGGCCGAAATATGATAAAAGGGCCGGATATCCTCGAGCTCGAAAGCGAGAGAACAATCAATATCATCAAACAAAACAGCAATCACAACACAATACAACTCCTCCTTCACCCCAAGTCTCCACCAATCCAACATCATGTACATGCTCAAGGGCCTCTCCGTCCTCGCTGCCGCGACTACCGCGCTTGCCGCTACTGGTATGTTTGACGCCACCAAGACAACCGCCCCAAAAACAATCTGGATATTGATATTGCTTCACAGTCTCCTACGACACGGGCTATGACGATGGCTCCCGCTCTCTCACCGCCGTGAGCTGCTCGGACGGCGAGCACGGCCTCATCACCCGCTACGGCTGGCAGACGCAGGGCCAGATCCCGCACTTCGCCAACATTGGTGGCTCCGACAGCATCCCCTCGTGGAACTCTCCCAACGTAAGTTTCCTTGCACCGCGGGAGGACCGCTTCTCTACTACCTGCCGTCCGAGCAGAGCGTGTTGCTGACCGTGACTACCACAGTGCGGAACTTGCTGGCAGCTCAGCTACAACGGCCAGTCCATCTTCATCCTGGCCATCGACCACGCCGCGGCCGGCTTCAACATTGCTTTGGATGCCATGAACAAGCTCACCAACGGGCAGGCGGTCGCCCTGGGTCGGGTCGAGGCTAACGCCGTGCAGGTGGATGTCAGCAACTGCGGCCTGTAATGATTGCTGCATTGGAGACTCGCTGAGATAGACCTATATGTATAATGATAATGAAGCAAAGATCTAGTCCTAATATAGAACGCTCATATCCTGGGCCTCAACAAGCCTCATGTCACTTTTCGGATGCTTTCAAATGACGGGAATCCACCTTGACTGCCTCCTGCCTGGGCTCTAAATCTGGAATCGCCATCTGGGATCCTCATCGCCTCGCCAGTCGGTTAGCTCACCGACTTCCCTGACCTCCGCAGCAGTACTGTCTCGCTTCTCATTCTCCCTCTTCAGAACCCAGTACAGCAGACCCGAGACAACGACGTTGCCGAGCAAATAGCCCAGCGCGAAGCTGTGCCCGACGACGTAGCGCGGCCCGTCGAGCGCGCGGTACAGCTGCGTGCCCAGCACGGCCCCCAGGTTCCCGATGCTGATCTGCATGGCGTTGGCGACGGCGCGCTTCGTCTGCCCGGAGACGTTGATGGCCGGCCACGACAGCGACAGCGCGGTGGCCGGGTAGATCCCGCCGGCGGCGAAGAAGGTCCCCGCGTACGAGACGCCGGGTCGGCCGACGGGGTCGGTGTTGCCCAGCAGGATGGCGTACCCGACGGCCGCGAACGACGCGGAGCCGGCGATGAAGAGGCCGCGCTGGTTGAGACGCTCAGACAGGCTCGCTATGGTCAGGGTCGTCACGAACGCGAAGGCGTACGGCGGGATGGTGAGGAGCTGTGCGTTGGCTGCCGTGTAGCCGAGGGCGCTGATGATGGTTGGCTGCTCTTGGAGGTCAGCACTGACACTCGGGACAACGTGGCAGCTGGAAGCGTGAAGGTGGTCGTACTAGGAACAGGGAATAGGTGTACAGCGGAAGGCTCATGGTGTGGAAGCTGAGGCCGTACAGCCAGCACTTGGGATCTTTGAGGGCCGTGAGCACATTCCCCCACGTAAATGCCTCGTCGTGAGTTGCATCGCTGTCGGCGGCGAGGCGGGCTCGGACGAAGGCGCGTTCTTTGTCTGTGAGGAACTGTGCAGTGTCTGGGTAGTTGTAGATGAACCAATAAGCTGCGACTGCCACCACGATTGTGGCAAGGCCTTCCTGTCGTGTGATTGTTTATCAGCATGACTGCTTGTTCGAGGGAGAGGTTGGACGCTTACAAGAATGAAGATCCAATGCCATCCGTTCGCCCACACAGTACCCTTCATGAACCCGATTCCCTACATTTGGTTAGTCGATGCTCCGAATGATCGAAAGAGCGGTTTCTCAACGAGTAGGGAGGATATACATAAGCCAAGATCCCACCAAACGACCCGGCAAGGGCTGCTGCGCTGAAGAATAGGGAGATGCGGAACTGTCGCTCCCGGCGCCTGTACCACATGGAGAAGTAAAACACAACGCCAGGGAATAGGCCGCTCTCAGTGACTATGACTAAGGTCAGCTGTGTTCTGAAGTAAATAAAAGGCCCTTTGGATGTTTTCTCACTTCCGAGGAAGAGACGAGCTACGAAGAATCCGGCAAGGTTATGAACGACACCCATGAGGGTTGCGACAATTCCCCAGGCAATCGTCAGTGTGGGCAGCCATAGCCGAGGGCTCGTGCGCTTGAGGATGATATTGCAAGGGATCTGCTCCAACGACAGTGTCAGTGTTGCCCTAGAAAACATCTCTGTAGGTGATATTACCTCAAAGAGGACATATCCGATGAAGTAGAGGGTGAGACCAGTAAGGTACTGATTTCCAGCTACATTTCGAAGTGTTAGGCATAGCACGACAGTTTAAAAGGGCACAAGGAGCGGATTAATACTCATATTGAGGTCCTTGGCAAGGCCTTCGATTTTTGCGTTTCCGACTAGACGAGAAAACCAGGTCAGATACGGATGATGATCTCAAAAAGGTCTGGTACCATATACCATTACTACGGTCCAAGAAAGAGAGGAGATAGAGGATGCCGACAGCCGGGAGCAATTTGATATCGATCTTGCGGAGCAGAGACTTCTCATTGATCACGGACTCTATGTTGATGCCGCCTTCGAGCTCTGATTCGGGCGGCGAGAGGTCATCTGGAAGCTTGGTCTGCTTCTCCTCGCCGCGTATGGGAGAAAGGTTCCTGTCGGCCATGACGAACAAAGCCGCAGAAAAGGGATGGATAGGGCAAAGTTCCCCTCTCAAACAGAACCTCTCGTAAATGCAAATAGAATAAATTAGTTATAGAAACACAGAAATTTCAAGTGATAGATTCACTGCATGCAGCAATGAGGTCGGGGCCTGAAAGGATGCAGCATTTTGCCCTTTAAACTAAGTTGATGCCGTCTGCTAGGGCATCATCCTGATAAATTCCCTTTGTCGACGTGCATTGTTCAACTACCTGGGTCAATGGCGACATTGTCCTGCTAATCCTGAAACTGCTATAGTGAAGTTCGTTGAGGGGACGTGATTGGGCCACCAGTTGTGGATGCATCTCGCCTTGCCGGGGTCAGATCACGACATCAACTTAAGCCTTCCTGCCAAGGTGGTCCCCAGAGGTGCCGTGGGGGAGGCGTTCTTAGTGCAAAACTGTTGACAGCAGCCGGCTTGGCTGCTAAACACAGAGGATAACTAACAACTTAGGCTGGGAATGAAAGTCTGGGTCTTCTTCGAGACCAATTGGGGAGTGCGACTGTGTTGGTCGATTTGCAATAAAAACTCTCGGAGCCGCCCCCAAACAATTTCAAGCAGGGGCGGGCGAGCGGCAAGTTCCTCTGCACAGCGGTTGAGAATGAAAGACAAAGAGTGAAAAGACTTTGCCTTTGATCAATTGTGCTTTGTCGTCCTGTTATGAACCATGTTCATGAGAAGAAGCCTAGGCGATATCTAGAAAGGAATGGAGCTTCCGTCCCACTTCAAGAATGCTCCGTTATCTTTATGAGTAATCCCATCAATAACATTCATGATGCCGGCGATGCACGTTTCCATGTCATCTTCCCCATCCCATTCAGTCAGGCGCGTGGACAAGAATCCCGGCTCCATGCACACAATAGTGACCTTGCGGCCCTCCTTTTCCCATTCCCGTGCCAGCGTGACTGAGTTCTGATTGAGAGCGGCTTTGGCAGTACGGTATGCCATGCACGTACCGAGGGTGTTGGCTTTCGAGCAGTCAGTTTCAGTGTGACTGATGCCCTGTTTCAGGGATGACTTACTACTGATCGACCCGAAGGATGACGAGATGTTGACGACCTTTGGCTCAGCGGCCTTCTCCAAGCTCGGGAGGAAGTGTTTGGTAGCGAGGAACGGGCCCTTGTGGCGTGGGGGTGTCAGGTCTGAATCATGCGAGACACATGTCGCTCCTGGTACTTACCACGGCCATCACCCGGAACTTTTCCACTATGGCGTCGTTTGTTTGCTCTTGCCAAGCCTTGGGATGGGGTGGAAGGCCTTGTCGAGGTCAGTTGCTAATGAGATGGAGGGTGTCGGGGCAGTGACAAAGAGCATACCTCCCACGTTGACCAGGAGGTCGAGTGGCTCGTCTCCATACTCTTGAGCAGCTGTCTTGATTGTTCCCTCATCAAGGTAATCGATCTTGAGAATCCTGGCACCTGTGGCCTTCAACTGTAGCCGGTCGGTCGCAGGAGGGTTAGAACTGGTGGCGAGGTTTCAAAGGCTGCAAGGTGTCGCCTACATCTTCCACGCTTGGGTCTGTCGCGCTCTGAGGCCTGATCGAGCCGGTGACGTTCCAGGAACTACCTGCCAGTGCCTTGAGGATATTGAGGCCAATGCCTCGATTGGCACCTAGGTCAGGCGTTTAGCAGCTGGCTTGGTGTCGGATTCTGGTGGGGAGAGTGAAACTTACCAATGACCAAGGCGTTCTTGCTAGCCATCAGGTGTCGATTCCTTGAAGGATTTGTGAGGTGTCGACGATGGAATTTGTGCGAGACTGATCTGATGGCTGGAAAGGACGGAGGTGACGTGATGGATATTAAATGGGAAACTGCCTGCCCAATGTCACTCAGGTCGAGGTCATGAGGTTGGCCCTTCCTCTTCAAGCCTGCCATTCACTTGCTACCTACCTAGGTACTTGAGGCAGGAACTATTGGTTTCAGTGCTGGAAGTCACCAGCCTGGGTGGCCTGTGGCCTGAGCGCTTCGCCCCCTAGCACACCCCCCTAGCACACCCCGCGGGCTCCCGAGGTCGTCACATGTATTAGCTGAAGATGCAATGCAGGAGGGTAATACATCCAAAGCACCAGGCACTTTGGATGTACTCGGCCTCAGATTGGAAAATATTCAGGCCACCAAGAAGCTGCCAATACGATGCAACCGAAAGCCGTACGGCCACCTTGTCAGTAATACGCTGTCAGAAAGTAACACAGGCCCAAAATCCAGGCCTAGTACCAAGGGCTGTGTCTCGAAAGGCTCTCAAAAAGCTCTTGGTATCGTGAATATCTCTACATAAGCAGCAACTCGACCCGTACTCTCGAGCACAGCTGTTTTATGGTTCTGAACTTCTCAAGACCCATTCCAATACACATACATGCTCAAAGGCTTTTTAGAATCTCGAAACCGATTGTGTTACGAACTGCGAGGCTATACTTAGCTGTTCATGGAACTCTCAGATGTGGCGGAACCTTCGAGAATGGGAGAGATTTGGTCCATTTCAACCGAGGATGGTAACATGCGCCTCTTTCATCCAACCCACTGCTGAAGTTTACAAAATGCAGGAAGACAACAGATTTGCAGCCAGTCAGGGAAAACAATTTTGCCGACTCAATCCGTCAGTTTCCCATCCGCAAGAAGGACACGCACATCCTGAGTGGAGAGCATTACGGATTTCTTACGGACTTATTCTTTAAGCCAGCCACCAACACAACAACACATGCGAATTTCAACCCAAGATCCAAGAAAGATATCCGAGCCAAATTCTCCGCTTCTCTCCGATACGTTTTCATATCAACCGTGATAAACACGGTAGGCCGCAAGTATTAGCCGATGTGGATGCAGAAGACGAACTTGAGCCTGGGCTGACTCGCAGCCTCCCAGATGCGTAATCGTCTCTTCTGGTCTTTTTTGCGGGGATGGCAATCAAGCGACTGGCTCCGAGTAGTGGCAGCTCGGTGTGGAGTTGATCCAAAGCTTGTGAGGAGGCACCTGCGTTTCCTTGAGACCCGGAACTTCTAAGACATTCCTACCCTCCCATCTGACAACATCAGCATCTGGCGTCTCCAAATCGCGCCCATATATTGCAGAAGAAAGAGCTTTGGCCCAGAGAAAGTGCTGCAGCTCCGGAAGACAGAGGTCTCTAAGTCTAAGTACCTGAACAAGATAAACCACAAGAAGACTCTATCATTCGCAGATTTGGTATCATCGACGGGTCCGCATCCATCACTCAACAGGATATTTCTTTCTGCGTGCATGCAAAGAAGGCTAGGGTCTAGATAGGTGAGCTACTTTATACCTTTTTGACTATCTCTCTCTGACATGGTTCCTAGGCATGGTCTGGCTCGATAGCGGCCGGGCATTCGACACATCTCCAACCTGTCCCTGGCTAGATGATACGCCTGGGAGCGAAAGACACGACCCATATCTGCCACTGGTGTATCACCAACCAAAACATTGCCATCTCGCCGCCAGAACTTTTCGATCCTGCCCAAAGTCATACGGGCGCCGGGCCTTCTAGCGTGGACACACGAAATTCGAGCCTCGTCTTACTTCACAGCCAATACGGGACATCCCTCGACCAGAGTGTCACTAGAGTCGATGCGTTCTACGCATTTAGTGAATTGATCTCCCTGGCTTCGAATTCCGAGAATCAGTTCCTAAACCTGCTGGCAACACAAATCGATACTTGCATGAAACGCTTTCACGGATCGGAAGACAGCGCAATAGATAATCTTCAATATTTCAAGACGCTGATTAAGAACACATCAAACGCACCGAACAGCTCATATATCTGCTGGAACATGAAAATAAAACCAAGTGGCCGCAAGCAACAGACCATAAGGCAATCGAAACTCGAGGAAGCCACCCGGCTCCGACTTCTCGACAACCACAAATATCTCCTAAGGCGTGGCGAGACCTTGGTGAAGAAGATACAGGGCGGGACTAGTACGATTCAAACTGATACCAGAGCTTCACAGAAGTCAATCGAACAGGCAAGAAAGATTGGGAGAGTCACTTTATTGGCATACTTATTTCTACCCTTGTCATTTGTCACATCCATATTCGGCATGAATATGGTGACATTTGATGAAATTGAATGGGGAATTGTCGCGTTGATTTCGGTCCTTTTCGTGGTGCTAATTCCATCCTTAATCTTGTGCTTCTGGGAAGAGATGAAACCGTGGGTACATTCAAACACCAAAGCAACTATGTAGTGTATTTGAGCAAGAGGACAGCCCGATTCCCTAGATGACATCACTGACTCACATTCTATCTCCTAGGGAGCGGTACTGCCTCCTCAATCTGCCGCCCAGTGATCTCGTCAGCCGCCCAAATTTGCCCCATAGCAATCGTGCACCCTGTAACCTTCCAATGCTTGAGCAAAGTATAGACTGCTTCAATTAGTCAGTATTACTTGGTTATAGGAAGGAGAGAATATTGGGCTGTTCACATACGTTGCCGTTTCAAACTCTCCTCTTTTTGCGTGAAAGTCCCCAAGGTTCGCGTACATCTGACAGACATAGTGCGATGCGTCGCCCACCGTCGCTTTGAAATGGTCTAGAGCCTTGCGGTATGCTTGGCTCGCTTCGAGCATTGAGTTCTGTTGCTTTCATATGTATCCCGAGCAGCGATAGAGAATCCCCAACCTGACATAGTTGTTAAGTACTCTGTTGCCATATGGCAGAGGGGATGAAGGGAATGCTCACTGGAATGAGTGCGTTGTGCTTGCTCGCTTTGACCAATACTCGAGGCTCCGATGGATTGGCGTTATTGCTTCGCCATAGCGCCCGAGAGCCGCAAGGGCGAATGCCTGATGGGTATTCGAGAAGGTCGGCCAATTGTCACCAGACTTGAACGCAGGGCTGGCTTCTGTCAATTCTATTGCAACTCTGGTGTTTTCGATAGCTACCTCATAAAGACCAGCAAGCCTTTGGGCGTGGGCCAACTCCCCGTAAGCCATCGCCATGCGGTCTTCTCTGAATTGTGCCCTGTCACAAAGCTTGAGCCGGCAGTCGAAATGATGCTGGGCATAGTCAAGATTTATCTTGGGATGTTCATTGACTTGGGCTGATAACGCGGACAAGGCAAAGTATGCATCGGCTCGGGTTTCCTCCATCTCTGCCGCCAGGTCGCTCGATAACCGTAGCACTTCAAGGAAGTGAGGCCGAGCGGCTTCGAAATCGCTTCGCTCAAAGAGGTACGTATGATCAAATCAGCGGAAGTGCAACGACTTTGCCCGTCTGACTACTCACCATCCCGCAAAGACCAGGAGCTTTGCCATGGTATGCTTCAGCTGAGAAGAGCCGATGATGTGGGAGTACTCCGGGATGAAACTACTGAGTTTCAGAATATGAGGTAGGAGCTCTTCCGACCGTTTCCATGTGGCCGTGTCGTGATCGAACCTCAGAAAAGGCGTAGGCCATGCTTGAAAGGTCGATTGCGTAACGAAATTGATAATATCAAGGCTCCGTTGCTCCGACATTTGAACACGCACAACGTCTTGTACGAGGCGATGGAGTGATAATTCTCCCTCCATCTTGTTCCGCCGTACAAGCGAAACTCTGGTCAACTCAGTCCGAGCCTGGATGTATGACGGCTGCGTCATGGGAAACCCCATGGGAACCTCTGTAACTTCAGGTGCGTATTTGAGGAAGATAAATTCCCCAATCGAATCGGGACTCAAAAACGACATTGCTTGCAGAAGCGTCAGAGCTGACTTTGTGAGGCTATCGAGAGCCCATACGGTGAAAAGCGAGTGTGGATATTGCTCTTGGAGCACCGGGGGTCGCTCACGAGCAATCGTCTCAATCGACGCCTGCTTTTGGAGGAAGCCGAGAAATTCATCCAGCGTCATTTCCCAGCGGTCAATCAAGGCGGCCACTTGGGTTATCGCGAGGGGAAGGCCACCGAGCCTGGTGGATATCTTAATGGAAGCCTGCTTGCCTGTCGCCAGTTCTTTGTCAGGCGCAACGGTAAGGTGACGAAGGACAGTGACAGCCTCATTTGGCTCGAAAGGTTTGATGTCAACCCCGGGCCGACCACGCATTGCCACGGGATCTCGGCTCGTAATGAGAAATGAACCTCGAGTTGTGACTGGCCAGAACTTTTTTAAGAGTTCCAGGTTATCCGCGTTGTTGAAGACTAGGAGCCAATTGGCCATTTGGCTCTCGACAGGGGTAGTTCCGCTTGTCGTTGATGCATCACTATTTCGTTGACGCTTCATTGGATGCTTGAGCCACTCCAAAGCGATATTGCGGCTGACCACTTTATTGGATCGGTCTGTATGTCCAATTTGAGCAGCAATACTTGCAAACCCTTCAGAAAGCTGTGTGAGCCGGTCCGCTTCTACCCAGAATATCGCATCGAACCTATGTTGGTGCGTGAAACAAAATTCTTTGGCGATCTCTGTTTTGCCTATTCCCCCAAGCCCACAAAGTGCAAACTCATGTTGAGTCAATTGACCATGAGTTGTTTCGTCCAACTCGTGGAGAAAGGTGTTGTCAATCAAGAGAAGGACGTCTTGGTGACCGCAGAAGTCCTTGTTTCTGATAATTCCGGCCAGCGTATAACATGGAACAAGCAACGTGTTCTTGGCCGTCCCTGGCTCAGAAGGCGAGGTGATCTCATCCACAGAATGTGCAGAGGTTTCATCACTCTCGGAATGAACTGTTACTCGATTATTAACTGTTGGCGAGAGTCGTCGTTTGAAAATTTCTCCTCATCATCGCACATACCTCCGACCTCGTCTTCACTCACATGATACAGACTTTCAGCCAAGTCGTCATTCACAGTTGCCCTAGAAGCCGTTGCTGGTGTATCGGCTCCTGATGCGGGGAAGTACCCAAGCCAGTATATTTTCGAGGAATCCTCTGATACTTCTGGACATCTTACCGCCTCTTTTCCACTGAAAGATGCTGTAATGATCGGCGTTCACTACTGCCAGCTCCTCAACAGGAATATCGATTCGCCCAAAATCCTCATCAAGAAGCTGCCCATTTTGGAGCGATTAGATTGTGCAGGGTTCAACAAGATCAATCGAGGAAAAGGAAGAACAACTCACGATGTGTTTGCTAGTTTGGAAGGTTTTGTAGCAGACCTTTGTTGACTGGTCTTCACAGATTGAGAGGATTGGAACCTTGTTGGCTGTTTGTTTGAATCTATGCGAAATGTCGAGTACGCTCGGTATACAGAGCTCAGTACTTGAATAGCACCGTGGGGACAATTTGAGCTTCAGCGAGCGTACAATTAGTGTCAGCCTCTGACGTTCAGTTGGCCAGTCTTCCTTGAGATGTGGCGTTCCGACAAAGACCGTTCCCTTATGGTATCCTCGTATATTTTCAAGTTATTGTGACGACTTCGAGCCATGGATCTCTGTCAGAGCCTGCCACCCAGTCAGCTAAGGCCATGAATAAGCTACGTTTAGACATCAAAGAAAGAGTCCTGTGACTCTTTAACCACCAAGCCACCTAATCCGTGGCATATGAACACAACAGGACAGTTTCTAATCTGTGAAGTGAATATCATTGTCAGTGAATGACGGGTGATATATGCAATATGATTTATGCGAACACCAACCTTGTCGCTTTCAACTAGCAAGTGCTCAATGAGTTTCTCGGATGCAGCAGAGAGCGAGTCCCAGATTGCATGGTCTTCTTGACTCAGCCCGTACTCATAAGCAAGTACCAACGAATTAGTATAAGACGCGATAATATCCGCCAGAAACGTCGACGATGATTTCAAAATCGTCTTTGCCGGCTTCACGGATAAGTCGGGAACAAATGAGATGCTAGAAGGTTCAGAAAAATGATGACTTGTTCCCTTAATCACTGGGAATCGAAATTATCATACCACAGATCGAAATTGCTTGAGCTAGTTGCCTTTGTCGGGGCTAGCTGATGGAGTCGTGACGTATGAGTCTCTTTGCTATCCTTGTGTAGGATTGGCAAACTCATGATGCAGCTCGCGGGATGCTGGGAAGAAAGTGTGGGGTGATGTCGATGGCCCGCGTGTTCATCTGGCACAACCCGAAGCCAGTGAGGGGAGGAGCTGTCTGGTCCTACCAGCACAGCTGGTAAAGGCGTTTTTGGTTTTCCAGAGACTCGCACGCACAGCAATAAGCGCACCACCACACAGCCTGTGTCTATGATGGCTACATGCAATGGTCTGTGGGATGGGAGTGTGGTATTCAGAGTGTCAGAAGAACGGGCTGAGCTGACGAGGCATCCGGACTGGCTCCTAGGGGGAAGGTTCACTTTTGATCTGACAGAAAATGACCCGCGCGGTCATCACAGGTTGTTCTTAGGGGATGCAACCTCACTTCACGAAAAGCCCTGGCATGTACGTGCTCTTACAGGTAAGAAAGAAAGGGAACCATGGAAGCTTGGTCTCTTGGATGTGTTCGAAGCATGCAGAATATCGCATTTTGGGGCGAGGATGTTTGATGGTTTGGGTAGTCAGGTTGCGAAGCATATGCGGCAGCCCGGACTTGATGGATGGCCGAAACCAGTCGGGAGTCGGCACGTTGGAAGTTGGGCAGCAGGTGAGTTCCTGAGGCACACTGTGAATTGTACTGTGTTGCATTATCGTAGGCAGCACAAACAGAGTGTTCAACCTACAACGTTGCCCGGGTGTAATATGCCATGAACTTGCTACACGAATCACGGCACAAGCGACCAATCATAGCATTAACCCATGTCGGGAGAGTGCAGATGCAGCAACTTGCGAAACAAATGCGGCCGTGTTGGTTTCCAGCTGCAAATGTGGCGTATGTGATATCGTCCCGTGCTGCTCATGTGCAGCGTGACGATTCGGTGAAGGCTGCAGTCTCCCAGCGTTCTCGGACACATCCTCTCACCCAGATTGTTTCTGTGATCCGCCTGAGATCCCGTTTTGGTTGCGTGATCACTTGCATGGACCACTTATCTGCAATGGCTACCCTGTTTAGATTGCCGTAGGGTACAGCAGCGGAAAAGTGTGTCTCCCATCGGTTCATCTAGATGGAGAAATGGTATGTGTGACGGTAGGATGTGTTGTCAAGCAGTCAAGTGCCCCCTTTGGTACCTTGGGATTGGCGGAGAAACCACTAGCTATCTCTGCTGATGACTGTTAAAGGATGGCTGGTCTTTCTGTGGGCTCGGTCATTCAGTGTAGTAGGATCTTGAAGGCTGCGAACTTTCGCCTGAGCTTCCAAGCGCTGGCCACTAACTTGGTTCACCTTTCATAGCGGGCAAAGAGCGAAGACATCACTACTACCATGAAAGATAAACTTCAGTATCTGTGCAATCTCCCGATCTATCGAGAAGAGCAGCCCTATGAGCTCTATGGCTTGCCCGAGAAACACTCAGAGACCCGCACGAACTGCGACTTTGAGTCAAGAGATATCGACGTGACAGACTGCATGTCTGCCCAATGACATTTCAATCACAACCCATCAATACATTTACCACCCGTCATCCTGCCCTTTGAAGGCCGAGTACTTCGAAAAGGTTGGCGGCGAGAAGACGGTGCTTATGGCATACCTGGAGGAGACGCTACAGCTTGTCAAGGACATCTTTCAGCCTGTGAATGCTATCTGCTTTGATTGGAGGGTATGTATTATGCTTATATACTGATTATTGACTCTCTGGATACGTCACATGTGTGAAGCGGAAAGCTGACCTGGTTCATTGTAGTTTCGTCGTCGAGATCCTACAGTCAGCGGCCGGATCCCACCGCGTGCACTCGAAGATATTCGCAGTTTTGCTCTCCCTACAGGTGATGTGGTTCATTGCGGTACGGTTTAACACGCTCAAATCTGAAACTAGAAACGTGATAATGATGACAATGGCAGACTACTCTGCGTCAGGTGGGCTTGATCGTTTGAAGGTTCAGCTTCTGGAGAACGAGCTTCAAGAATTCCGGCTGAGAAAACAGAAGGCGATGATTATCAAGTAAATATCATTATCAAACCCAATACCTCCATTACTATTTCCTGTCGTTTAGTTGCTGACAAAAACTGATAGTGTATGGCGTCCTCTGAACGACAGTGTCAAGAACACGCCTCTTCTCTTCTGTGATCGCCGATCCGTCCCAAAGAAGGACCTGATTGAGGTCCACAAGGTGCGGTCAGACAAAGTAGAGAAGTCATATTTCCTATTCCATCGTGATTACCATCGATGGTACTACTTGTCTGGCCAGCGAAAGGAAGAGGTCGCCATTTTCCCTACTTGGCAGTCTGATTCCAGGGATGACTTTGCTGGTAAGCGACTGTTTGCAACCGCGATAATATGGTATTTCTCAGTGGAGTCTCTTTAACACAATGTAAGACTGTTGTCCGCCTGGCGCTGGAGCGTCAGAGACCGATGGGTGGCAGGATCCTCGTGAAAGTGTAGAGGTGAGGATTCTTGTCATTCTGAACGAAGATTTTCAACAAGTGCTGTAGAGCTCGTTGAAGTGAGAGACGGTTCAAGGGCATTGTTGTCAAGAGCAAGAGAGGCGCATTTTCAGATTCAAACGAGTGTCATTCAGTCCTACATAAGCAGCCTCTGCTACATGGTGAACTATCGCACGAACGAAAGAAGTCCAGTATCCTGCCAAAGAATCCCAAGCCCTTGGGATGTGGCCGTTTGTAGAGCTTCACCGGAAGAGGAGAGTGGAGAAAGAAGGCAAACAGTTGGCTGTCGGGCGTGCAATAAAGACTACAAGAAGGTTGAGCTCAGCGTCTTCTCTGTCTGTCTACACAAAGAGTCTTGCTTACCTTGACCGTTCACCCTAGCGGCTCTTGCTGTCGAGCTCTGACAACAGGCAAATCTTGGAAGCAGATTCAGCCTTAGGAACATCCTCGAAGAAGCTAGGTTGAGAAAATTCATTCTCCTTGATCACTTCCCTCCATGGCTGTTTCTTCGTAATCTCCTCGGTGCCGATCTGTGCTGTCGATCGTCTCAGGGCCTATAATAACTTCCTCTGGTCTTTTGCCAGAAAGGAAGCGTCTGTCAATGAACCTGACCATCACTTAGCAAGTAAGGTAGAATGAGCATTGGGTGTAGTAAGTGGGGGCAATGCAATTTGTGCATATTGTTGCCTGGTTTGTGTGAAGGTGGCGGGGTGAAATCATGTCACACATGTTAGACATGAAGGCGCCTTGGTTGGCATATCAAAGGGATCAAAGCGAGCGCGTGCCACCTGTAGGCCAATCAAGCATCACTACCATTTCAGCGGCCAGTCCTTTGGATGGATTCGTGATTGCTACCTAGGTAGGTAGGTACCTAGGTAGGTAGGTAGCTGCTTGCCCCGTGCCACCTCCCACCCATCACTCCTCCTCCATTGACAACATCAACAAAAAGTTCAACGGCTGGACTATGTTGAATGCTCAATAAAAAAAAAGGGATTGATGCCAACAATGATGTCCATCTCCTTTCCCCGTCGGAACTGGCTAGCTAGGATTTCTGCTTTGGTATTACTCCTGGGGTTCTTCGCGATGCAATGTAAGTATTCCTTGCAGTCCTTGCGAGTGTCAAATGCAAACGTTTCGAGCTGATGCAGCTAGAGTCCTCGGTGATCCACAGGCGCAGAAGCCTGTTCCTCCAGAACATCAACACACGGTCCCAGATCCAGATCTTCTTGGGTCTATCGTCGAGAAATACCGCCCAGACATGGCTTTGTACGAAGCCTTCTACCGCCAGGTCCACCAAGACCCCGAAATTTCAGGCATGGAGGCTAAGACTGCCTCGATCGTTGCCAGCCATCTGGAGAGACTTGGGTTCGAAGTGCATACAGGCATTGGCGGGCACGGGGTCGCTGGAGTTTACCGGAATGGTCATGGGAAGACATTGCTCATGCGAGCCGAACTGGACGCGCTCCCCATCCTCGAACAGACGGACGTCCCTTACAAAAGCACAAAGCGGATGATTGACCGCTACGGCAATGAGAGGCCGGTCATGCACGCCTGTGGTCACGACATGAACATGGCCACCCTTCTTGCTGCTCTGGATCTTCTCCGGGCGGCGGCGGATAGATGGAGCGGCACCGTGATTGCCCTCTTCCAGCCTGACGAAGAAGAGACAGGCGGAGCACAGGCCATGGTGGATGACGGCCTGTATTCAAAAGTCCCAGTACCGGACCTGATGCTTGGCCAGCACGTCGTTCCCTCCAGAGCCGGCACCGTCGCAATCCGTTCTGGGCCAATCCTCGTCGCTGCAGACTCTGCCAACGTCAGGATTGTCGGCGGCCCCTGTCCGGGAGTCAACCCGCAGCTATGTGTCGACCCCATCGGTCTCGCAATGAGCATAATACCCACCCTAGAAGATGCAGTACACCAAGAAATCGGCCCTCATGCCGACGCTACCGTTGCTTGCTGGGGCTTTCATGCAGGCATTCCAGGCAATGACTACGTCGCATATGCCGACTTCCTACTTGACATCAAGACCGTCGAGCCTGACATACGACAAAGGGCCCTCTCTGTGATCGAGGCGCGGATCCGCGAAGAATGCAAGAAGGCCAACGTACCCGAGGATCCTGTGGTGAACTTTACAGTCCGCGCACCACTCACCAGCAACGATGCTTTGATTTCCGGCCCAGTCAGCCAGGTGTTCCGGAACCATTTCAAGGAGGATGCGGTAGAGATGAAGTTTACCCGCGCATGCGAGGACTTCTCGACCCTTGGAAGCAGCCACAATGTGCCGTACGCGTACTGGAACTTTGGAGGCAGTCAGGAGACGGCGGGAGACATTCCTACCAACCACTCACCTTTCTTCGCGCCCGCAGTTCAGCCCACTCTGCAAGTTGGCGCTGATGCGATGGCGCTTGCTGCTTTGACTTTCCTCGTGAGTTAGATGGCTTGGGACGGATCACTTCCCGCCGCAAGCATCGCATAGCGGTACGCAGAGTCAATGCTACAAATCTCATCGACTTACCTGACTATTCAACTGCTATTACTTAAGAATACAGAACCACGCCAAGGTTCCTGGCCTGATATTTTCGCATGGTGAATATCGTTCCCTCTGCTTGCAATCTTCGCACTTCACTTGATGTCGTAGTCGTTCGTTAGTTTTCCCCCTGGTGATGATCTATATCAATCTGAACGCGTGACATTGTCCGGGTTGGTATGGAACGATGCCATGATGTCTCCTGTTGACTGGGAGTTCATCAAATGGGGTACACATTGAACCATCGCTTGGTCTGCGTTCCGTCCCTTGTGCAAGGAACCTCCGATACAGGCCCACTCCCGCCGGTAGCTGTCGGCGGCAAACCGCTCCGGGCTGCCGAATCTGCCTGGGGTGAGGCCAGTGGAGCATTGAATCCGATGACGGCGGCTTTCTCTCCGATGTCAATCTCCAGCAAGATCCCCTCTCTTGCAAAGTCCCAGTAGTACTTACCAACAACTCTTTGATCCCTCAAGCTGACTCTATCTCCTCCTGTGAATCATTTCTGGCACAATTGTATCTCGTCACAGGCCTGTATCCTCATTTCTTAGTCGCAGATCCTACGACGCCGAATCGAACGGACCATGTCGAACCCGGGCGCAACGGCCCAGCTTCTTATGCTGGGCCCGGTTCACCACGCAAAGGCGGAGTTCGAACAGCTCACAAAGGAATTCAAGACTATAGTAAGGATGACGGGCTTGATTTTGGCAAAGCTCGAGGCTAACCATGCGGTCGCATAGCACCTCACTAGTGGCACCCGCGAGCAGTTTCTCGACGATTGCGCCAATGGCGGCGTCTACGACGGAGTCGTGGCGATATCGCGTACCGCAGACTCGGCAGCAGTAAGTGATGATCTCAGCCCTCACGAATTATCCACAAGGCGTCTCGCCCCAATCAGCTATCCACCCTAGTTCACCGGTCTCTTCGACGCCGAACTCATCACCCGGCTGCCCAGCTCGGTCAAGTTCATCTCCCACAACGGAGCAGGGTACGACCAGATAAACGTGCCCGAGTGCACCAAGAGAGGCATCCAGGTCTCCAACACCCCGGACGTCGTCAACGACGCCACGGCCGACACCGCGCTTCTCCTGCTCCTCGCTGCGCTCCGCAAGGCGTGGATCCCCCAGTCGACCATCCGCAGGGGCACCTGGGACCAAGGCAGGCCCATGGGCCGCGACCCGGCCGGTCTGACCTTGGGCGTGCTGGGACTGGGCGGCATCGGCGTCGCCACGGCCAAGCGGGCGGCGGCGTTCGGCATGAAGATCCAGTACCACAACCGGTCGCCGAGGGGGGACCTGGCCGAGCATTTCGCGGCCGGCCCTAGCCCCCAGTACGTCGGCTTCGAAGAGCTCCTGCGGACCAGCGACGTCGTGTCGGTGCACCTGCCGCTCTCGCCGGCTACGAGGCACACGATCGGGGCCAAGGAGATCGATATGATGAAGCAAGACGTGGTCATCATCAACACGGCGCGAGGACCCGTCATCGACGAGGAGGCGCTGGTCCAGGGGCTGGACTCGGGCAAGGTCTGGAGCGCTGGGCTTGACGTCTTTGAGAAGGAGCCCGAAGTCCATCCTGGACTGCTGGGCAACAACAATGTCATCCTGCTGCCGCATATTGGGACAGCGACTGTGGATACTCGGGTAAGTTCATAGAGCAAGCCTGCAATCATGAGGAAGCGAAACAACTTGCTGACTTGGGTCACGTCAGAAACGGATGGAAATTCTCGTGGTTGACAACGTGCGGAGCGCTTTGTCACAGGGTAAGCTGCTGACACAAGTTTCGGAACAGAGGTCTGGTCGAGCACAATAACTTCCTTAATACTTCAGCACCATCTTCACGAAAAAAATCAGATATCGCAGGCCCATGAATACTCTGCAGCTGGCAGGCGAGCTCGACCATGGTACTGGTGATCTACATGTACCTGTCTGTGCCTGGGCTGCGAACATGCCTAACCTCGTTCAGTTATAGGACTTACCAGATGTTCTTTCATAGTGGACTGCCGCCAACACCAATGGCATAATCGTAGCAAAGGTACAAATATCAAAGCCAGTTGTAAAATGTCACAAATACCAGAGTTAGAGGTGGAAGATGTGTGATCGTCGCCGGCTCAGGCAAAGAGCGCGCCACGCTGCCGAGCAATTTGGCGATGCCTTTCTCATCTTTCTAGGGCCTCCCCAGAGGCAGAATATCATCATCGCGATTCGATACCCTTCAAGGTTTAAGACTATTAGAACCTCATAAGCACTGAGGTTTGTTGATGCTACATCGTGCTGAATCGTGACGCAAGATGCACTGACCCGTGGACGGCATTATTAGTGCAGATATAGAACATGAATGCCATGAAGAGGAATTTTCAGAAGAGGTCTCGGTCGCAGTTTTCCCCATTAATTACTACATAGGTAGATTGTACAGTGTGTAAAAAGGACATCCTATCATACAGCTAGCCACTCTCCTCGAAATGCCGGGCTCTGCTGTCAATCAGCCAGGGCATTGGAAAAGGTTTTGATCAAAGAGTTTCCGTTCGACAACTCAAAAGGGCTTCCGTCCCCAGCCCACCGGCCCGCGCTCACATCATGCGGCAGAAATCCATGGCCTTTCCAAAGAGCGACTCAGTGTCCTCTCGCTCTTCTGGGTTTGCTGACCATCCGCCAGGCTGGCCGTGCGGTTGCGCACCCTGTGAGTTACCATGTGAGGTCACCTGTCGGTCGTCGGGAGAGTTTGCAGGCCGAGCTGCTGAGGGTTGCAGTCGTTGCCGGGGCTGCAAGGCCTCCGCGCCTTGGCCCGACGTGAACGACAGCGCGGATGCGTCACCCACCTGGACAGACTGGTCAGACGTGGGCTTCGTCGGTCCCTCGTTTATGAGCCAGGAGGACAGATGGGCACGGGCAGTCCCAGCCTTCGTACGCTCCATGTTTGCCTTTTTATGTTCCTGATGCATCTCTTTACGCATAGTGGTGAGCAGTGTTCTGACATTATCCTGATCCACGCGCTCCTGGGATTGTGCCTGGCGCTCGTTGGCCAGGCCCTTGCACTCCTCTCTCAGCTCTGAGTGGAAGTTGCGCGACTCCGTTCGTAAGCCTTCCAGAGCGGTTTGTTGCTCCCTCTGAGTGGTCTGGATGTTTTCGAGCGAAGTTGAAATAGCGGTCAACTGGGTACCAAGGGTGTGGAGAATCTCTTCGCGCACAACATTACGCAAAGTTTGCTGGGATTCGTTGGATCGAGTCAGCACGGAGTTTGGCTCGGACAGTGCAGGTTGAGCATCCTGCTCTGCAGGAATTGGGCCCGTGTTGGCCGCGGGCCTCAACGGGGAGCCGTGGACCGAGCTGTCTGGGTTAAACGAGGAGGCGGTGCCAAGAGGAGACAGGTGCTGATCAGGAAGTGATGCATTTGCGCTGAAGCTGAATTCGTAATCGTCGGGGACATCGAAAAAAGACGCGGCACTCGGTCCGGAATATGGCTGACTGACTTGTCCCTCAGAGGATTCGACAGACATCGACACATCACCACTGACGGGGCGGCGTGGCGAGGCGTCTCGCATAGAAACATCCATATTGGACTGTTCAGCGATGTTAGAGGCATCTCGCATTGAGATGTCCATGTTGGACTGTTCAATGGCTTGGGAGGCATCCCGCATAGAGATGTCGACATCGGCCTCTTCAGCAGCAGCTGTATGCATGGAGACGTCGACTTCGGGCTCGTCAGCCACCGTTGCACGATAAGGGTTGGGCGTGGCTGCATTGCGAAGAGCAGCATTGGAACGGAGAACTCGCTTGGCGGGGCGACCAAGCTCAGGCTCACCGTCCTTGTTCATTGCGCTGAAGTTCCGCTTTCGTGCAGGCTAGAAGAAAAACCCAGTCAGCAAGAAACCTCACTGGCAAGTCTCATGTCATCTCTCGAAAGTGTCCACCTCCAGCATCCAGCGATTGCTCGTGCCCTTCGAAGAGTGAGTGCCCACAAAGTAATCTGATGTACTCTCGGAGAGACCAAGCCCCGCGGGAGACTCAATCTGCGCACCTCCCCAAAGCCGCAGAGGTCAGTTACTGCGGCGATGGTTCGTCGATGATAGAAATTCCCTTCACAGCCTCGTTCCAGCTCCAGAGCCCGGCGGACTGGTTTGGTGACTCTGTGTTGGTTCATTCAACGTCCTCGACATCTATCCACGCGTCCACACCAAATCGGCGAGCAAACAACTGCCGAAAGTCGGCTCACTATATATGCAGAGCAATCTCCGTCCCCCCTCCGCGAACTCGGGCCCCAGCGAGTGGACTGCGCTAAAAAGGTGCCGAAGAGCCGTGCACCGCCATCTTGCTTATGTTGTTCAAGTCTCTACGGGAGGCGTATCCCTCTTCATCCAGAATAGAGAGACCGGAGAAGAGTGGAGCTGTGGCTCCTGGATATCCTGAGGCCCGGAAACATATTCCAACATGCCGCGAGATTGTTTGAAGCGGGACGATTTTATGCGGTTTGGAGACGGCGACAGGCTGAAGGTGGACGTCGAGAGAATGACATGCTGGGTCGCGAAGAGATCGCGGACGGACTTACCTTCTTGTGAGGGGCCATTGTGAATCACGGCCGAAGTGTTGTTCTGCAACGAGGCGCGCTCGAGATTGCAACTAGGTTGAGTGAAAAAGATTGTTAGAGAACACGATGGAGAAGACTAGTGATGATGAGAATGAATGAAGGAAGATGCTGAGGGGAGATGCCGAGGTGGGGGCCGAGGCAAGGATTGAGGCGAGGGTTGAAGTGAGAGAAGGTGAGGGTTGAAGGGAGGAATGAGTCGAGAGAAGAGGTGGGTGACGAGGTGAGGGCTGAGGTGAAATGTTGTTGAAAAGGCAATGATTGTTGCGGCTGGAGCTCGAGGAAGAGGGGAGTACTTACCGGTCCTTGAAGGTTGATGAGAGCAGACTCTTGGTGCAGAGCTGCTGGGCAGGGATGTGGTGTGAGAAAGATGGGGGGAAAAGATCTGAAGCTGAGGATGTGGTTGGAAAGTGGAAGGAAAAAGGGGAGAAGGGACGGAGCGGAAGACCGGGAATTAAATACTCGAAATGATTGACGCGTCGGCCAGCTGATGAGGGAGGGAGTTTGAAAAGGCAAACAAGAAAAGTCAAATGGAGGACAAAAGTGAATTTCAACCAGCTTTGAGGGGAGGGGCAGGAAGAAAACAGAAAATGTCGTGACGTGAATCTTGAAGTCGTGTGTAGTTCCCCTTGATTAGAAAGTGAATCAATTCTGAAATCAGGGTCACGAGTAGGGGGTGTTGCCTGGGATGCAGAATTGCTGCCAACCCTTGAGAGCCAGACTAGACAGAAAGATATTGGCTCAAGCTCCTCGACTCAGAACCAGCGACAACTCCTGCTATCAAGGCTCCTTATCTCGACCGGGTACACTTCGGCTGTTTGTCTCGACCGGGTTGACTTCGGCTCTTTGTCTTGGTTCGGAGAGAAGAGCAAGTTGAATTTCAAAGGGACAATAGCAGCAACGTTTGCAATCAAGGAAGCTTTTCGAAGACCTTATTCAACAGTCGCACATCACCAAGAAGAATCAACTCCATACCTTCATCCACAATGCCCAACCATGCGGAAGCAGAGGTGAGACTATGTTTCAATTTACCCCAAAGTCCGTTTTGCGTATAGACCATTCCAATCTCTCGGGTCATGTTGCGATACACAGCTCCAGCATCAAGCCCCTGCCCAACATTACCCAAGATCTCGCAGATATACTCATTCACTCACCGTGGGCGTAGCGCCAACACATCTATTCCATCGCCGAACAATATCGGCATGATCTTCAGGCGCTTTCCGCGGATATCTGGAGCGCTGAAATTGTAAGCATCTCCAGGTACGAATGAGTCCGGGACAGGCCCATTCCAAAAGCTGGCTCATATCTTTCGCTTGCTTAATCATGAGTGTAGCGTCATCGCCTTTATCTCCTAGCTGAACAGTATCGGCACCATCTCCAGGGGGTTCGCATAAATAACTGGACAGTAGTAGAGGTAAGTCTCTTCAAGTGCAAACGAGTCCGCGAAGGACTCATTCCAAAATGTGGTTCAATGCTAATGGTACGATAAGTTACGGGAGCTCTTCAACGAAGTGAGGAACATTGAGAAATGCTTCTCTGTTTGTGCAACCCTAACCCATCATAGAAAGTCGTCAAGTTGCTGACTCAAGATTACTTGCCTTGCAGGATTACCGTGGTCCTGATGATATGGTGTTCGTGGCCAACGCAATACTACCGATCCTGGAAGCAAACAAGGATTATCTTCAGGTAAATAGACTTGTGTGCAGCTCTAAAGAATTGCAACTTTACTGACCAGCCACAAACAGTATTTCGATGAGGTCCTTTTGAGTATCGAGTACCCCCAGCAGAGGATTTGGCAGCGTGAGCAGTTGCTAGCACTTTGGAATCACGCAAAGTCCATCCTACTTCCCGTGACTTGGAGGGACTTTTATGTGGCAGCATACGTCCTCCTGATGATGGTCATCTTTACCTAACGGCTGTTGGGGTATTACATCAAGGTTGGGGAGGATCTTGGAGGCGACATATGCGGGGAAAGATGAACAATGGGAGATGTTGATTCACGGCGGAACTGGAAGTACAACTTGGGCCATCGCATTATCAAATGTTGATTTCGTGAGCATTAACTCGGATCCTGCCGTGCGCCCGACAGTGTCTTGATAATAGAATCAGAGGTGGTGAACATATGCATTGATTCCAAGGTCATGGTGCCTGCACGTACGGGTAGCAACCCCAAGTGCTTACGCCGAGCCCAACACTGTCGGTTTAAGTCACTATTTACCTAGTAGCATTGCAAGACCTGCACCTCTTTGGACATTATTGGCGCACCGCACACAGCTCGCATTGAAAAGATCTGTACCTCGTCGACGAAAATTATCTGCGAGAAGATTAGGTGGAACTCTGGCCAGAAAGGACAAGTCGATGGAGATGAATGCAGCCTCGAGAAATCCTTAGCGAATCTTAGACCTCGCCTGTCAGCACAAGACAAAGACTCTCAAATCAACGGGTCAAAACGGCATCGACACAGTATCAGACATTTTCTCAAGCCACACAGACCTATGGAGCAGCTACGACAAGGGCCTGGCCTGGCACTCCAGAGAGCTCCCTGAACCGCGAGTTCGACTACCACCACATGCAGGAACATGGCGGGCAACCCAAAACAGTCAACGACATAAGCGCCGGCAACGCGACGTTCAGCGAGAAACTCCGTGCCGAGTTCGATCCCGTTGTCGTCTTCGTGCTGTCGCCCGACAACGCTGCCCTTGCCGACCCGTGCCTTGGCAAAGACATCTTCACTCAACGCGTCGACGGCGCCGAGGAAGTGGACATCCTAGCAGAGGACAGCGCTGACATCGTCTTCACGGCCAACCTGATGCACTACTGCGACCAGCAGAAGGCAGTTGCCGCCATCGTGGAGCAGCTCGGGCCCTGCGGCTGAGAGCACATATCTGCAGACTGTGCCTGTGGTTCCGACAAGAAAAATGAGCCGAAGCATGGCTGGCGCTGGAGGAGCTGGTTGGCGATAGGCAGGACAAGGGTGTGTGGCCTCTGGAACCGAGTCTCGCAACTAGGCGGTGAGTTGAAGAAGAGAATTGCGGAGGTTCGTATCTCGGGTTTGCAGTTGCAGACCTAAATATTGGACCAATCGGTTTCTAGCCAATACACAAGGCTCGCTCATAAACCCGTTGGACGGTGGCGTAATATCGCTCCGAGCTTATTACTTGCCAGACGCTAGCCGTCTCAGCCAGGCAGGCCGAACAGTACTAAACCAATCATCCGGTGCACCAATATCACCAGTCTCTCAGGGGCCGGGAATGTGGCTTGGCGCTAACGAGCAAGACTGTAATAGGCACAATGCTAGCCACGTCACGGCGTCGACATCAGCTTGCGAGTTCCCATAAACAATTCAACAATGACGCGCGAGCTGACGATGCTCTCAATATATAAGAGTCGAGCTATGTAGTATACGTATGGTCAAACTGAACCCGACCCAGCCAGCCAGTCCATAAATCTTGTTCTTGTCAAAGAAAACAAAATGACAATCAACCACGTCGTCATCCTCGGCGCCGGACCCGCAGGCCTGGCCGCCGCCCTCGCCCTCGCCCGCTCCCCGGCGCCCAGCCCGCGCGTCACCGTGCTCGAGCTGCGCGCGCACCCGGCCCCGGCCCTCGGCGGCACCATCAACCTGACGCCCCTGGCGATGCGCTACCTGGACCGCCTCGGTGCGGGGGCCCGCCTCCGACCCCGCGGCATCCCCGTGCGCGGCATCGACATCCTGTCCCTGCGGACGGGCCGCCCTCTCGGCCGCATGTGGGACGGCGTCGACGCGTTGCGCGTGCTGCGGCAGGAGCTGGTCAGCGCGCTCGTGGAGACGGCACGAGAGGCCGGGGGTGTGGAGCTGAGGTACGGCGTGCGGGTCATCGAGATCGAGGAGTGGGGTGTCGCTGATGGAGGAGAGGACGCCGGCGGTCTGGTGCTCAAGCTGGAGGACGGCGAGGAGATCAGGGCTGATATGCTGGTCGGCGCGGATGGGATCCACTCGGTGGCGAGGAGGTTGGTGGTCGAGCCGGAGCGGAAGCCCGAGTACTCTGGCAAGGCGGCGGCGTACGGGTTCGTCCAGGTCGCGGAGCCGGGAAGCGTGGCGGTGACGCGGTCTGACGGCAAGCCTGCTGTGGAGGATACGACTGTCGTCTCTGGGCAGTTCGGTTCCATCATGATGACTTTCGGGGAGCCGGACAGACGAAATCTTCATATCGGAGCCGTGATGGGCATGCGAGAGCAGGGAGAATCTCGGGAGGGTTGGAAGGCTAGGGGAGACGACAGGCTGCAGGTCAAGTCCGACATATTGAAGAGGTTCGATAACGGAAGTGTCCGGGGATTAGTCGACGTGGTGCAAGAGTTGGAGGACTGGACCTTGTACCCCGTGTATGTGCTACCGCCTGGTGGCAGATGGTCGAAGGGGAGAGTCCTGCTGATCGGCGATGCTGCTCATGCGGTAAGTAGGCCCGATTCTTGATCACAAACCACACAGCCACTGACAAACCCCAGATGCCCCCTCAAGGTGAGAGCACTGGCCTCGCCATTGAAGACGGCGTACTCCTTGCGAGGGTCTTGCAGCGTCATACCAGTCGCAGCGTCTCGCAGCTGTGCGACGACTTTTTCACGCTGAGACAGAAGACCATCGACAAAGTGTATAAGGAGACGCTGTGGAGGTGGCAGCATGCCGGAGGTGAAGACTCGGGCTGGCTATGGGGGATCGTCGTTGAGTGGATGTCTATGGTTTTCCTTACGCTGATGAGCTATCGCAAGGAGGACTATTTTGCCAGCGATGTGGATAAAATGCAACTTCCAGAGTAGAACAGAGTTCAATATTCGTATCTTTGCAAAGAAGGGTTGTCTCAAAGTGACTGACTGTGGGTGGATGGGAACATTGAAACTAACAATCAAACAAAGGCCAAGCCAGTCAAGCTCTGGCTAGTCAACCTTTCTGCCCACGCGACAGAGACCTCTACGTTCATTTTTCTCAAGTGAATGCAATTTCATTGACAAAGACCAATTCTCTCGTTGATGAAGATCAAATTCTTTCTTGGGACCCTAGCCACCAAGACTTCTCAACAACACTAGGTCATTTGGACCGATCCAATTAGCTCTGCCTCGACCGCTTACTATCTGGTTGGTAGATTCTTAGCAAATAAACCTTTGCTCATCTACCGTTGCTAGTTTCACTGGCAATTTGAGGACTGATGCCATTCTGGGCAAGGCCAAGGCCGGTTCCGGGAGCTGAGAGGCTCAGAAGCCTTGCCAAATCGTCAGTTTGTCAGCAGATCTGAGCTGAACCGCAGAATTTTCACCTGGAATATGCCTCATCCGGACGAAACCCTGGATGCAGATCAGATAAGATCCTTTACACGAGATATCTAATCAAAAACCGGAAATGTGGGCTGGGAAGACCCTATCACGGACACTGCCAAGCTTCTGGCTGTGGAGCGACTGAGACGGCGCAATGACTTAGATCACTCTAGCTGACCATTCGTGCCGTTTTGGCCTGCAAGCGAGATGCATGGCCCTACAGCCAAGACCAACGGCTGCCATCAGTTAGGTACAGGTTAGCCTCGACATGGCAATGATCCCCGGAGGAAAGATCTCGAGTGGCCAGACTGGAGCGGACTGGATCGGAGCCGACAGCCGGTTCCGGGCACGATTCGCGGCAGGAGGCCCTATATGAAATGCGCCTGCGGCAATTGAGATGGCGGCAGGATGTCCCTGGATCTTACGCTTCTTCTCTTCTCTACCAAGGAAGCTCTCGCCCGAGTCAACAATGGCGCGCACTTCGCAAAATGACCATGGTCCGCCGGCAGCGGTGGAGGAAGACCCGAGACCTCGGACTATGACAGAGGCGCTGCGGAAGCTATGGACGCCCAAGCTTCTCGCTGTCGCTATTGGAGGGTAAAGAGGTCTCATGGGAATCGTCGCTATGCGGTTGGCTGACGGGCATCTAGTCTCCTCGTGATGAACTTCTTCATGAACTTCACCGTCTACACTCAACACGTCTATGAGCCCTACGCAACCAGCCATTTCAGCAAGCACTCCCTCTTGACCACTGGTTCCATTATCAACGGCATTGTGCGAATTGTCTCATATCCTCTCTTGGCTAGGCTCGCCGATGTATGTCCTCGATGTGCTCTCTCACTAGCAGAAAAAGTTGCAATTTGCTAACTCTGCATCTCCAGCATTTTGGTCGCCCTCAAGGCTTTGCTGGCGCTGCCTTTTCCATGGCGTTGGGCAACGTCATGTATGCCGCTTGCAACAAGGTTGATGTCTTCCTGGTACGTTGAACTTATTCATGCCATTGATAAAAGATCCTAGAGCTAACAACTACGAAAGGCAGGAGGCATCTTTGACTCATTTGGCGACACCTGGTGGAACATTACGCAGCAAATCTTCATCGCCGACGTCACCAGCCTGGTCAACCGCGGCATCATCTTCACGCTGCCCGAATCAATCACTGCTATCCCGACCCTCTACGCTGGCACCTATCTGGGCGAGCACATCCTGCTGCACTCGACCTGGAGATGGGGTTACGGCATGTGGGCTATCGTCCTGCCTGTAACCGCGCTCCCCACAATCGCCATCATGGTCTGGATGAACCGCCGCGCGAAGCGCATTGGGCTCTACGCCGAGCATCTCTCCCTCTTCCACGGCGCCCCATCGGGTGCTGTCGGCAGAGTCAAGCACGTCTTCAAGCAGTTCGACATCATCGGTGCCCTCCTGCTCATCGCCGGTCTGGCCATGACTCTGCTGCCTATGACGATCGCCGGGCGCAACAACACCAACCGATGGAAGCAGCCCTCGTCCATCGTCCTGATCATCATCGGCGTCCTGACATTCATCGGCTTCCTCGTCTGGGATGGAAAGTTTGCCTCCAACCCGATCATCCCCTACCGCACCATCCGACAGCGCAACGTCATCGTCGCCTGCACATCTGCGTGCGTCATCGCGATGTCGGACAGCATCTACCGCCCCTTCCTCACCAGCTTCCTCCAAGTTGCGGGCCACTACGACCCCGGCGCGGCGACCCGTGTCGACAACGCCCAGCGCGTGGCGGTCAACATCGGCGCTTTGGTCGCCGGCCTCTGCCTCAAGTACGTCAAGCACACCAAGCCTTTCATCATGCTCGGCGTCTGCCTGATCATCCTGGCCTCCGGCCTGCCCATCTACTTCACCAACATCGGCGGCACACACCTCGCCAACGAGCCGTCCTTCATCACCTCCAAGTCGCTTCTCGGCGTCGGCCGGGGCTTCGCCCAGGTACCCCTGCAGGTCTCGCTCCAGGCCGTCCTCGCGCAGGAGCAGGTCGCCGTCGCCACCGCCGTGTACCTCTCGTCCCTCGGGTTCGGGTCCAACCTCGGCACGACCATCAGCGGCGGTATCTGGAACTCGCTGCTGCCGCGCAAGCTGATCCGCTACTTTGGTGAGAAGGAGGGCCAGCGCATCTTTGGCTCCATCGTCGTGGCGAAGAAGTTTGAGGGTGCGGAGCGGGCCCAGATCGACGAGTGCTACCGGCAGACGCAGCAGACGCTCGCCATCGGCTCCGTCTGCGTGTCGAGCATCCTACTCGTGCTGGTGTACCTGATCCAGAACGTCAGACTCGCGGAGGAGGATGAGAAGAGGGCTGTTCAGGCCGATGAGGAGCTGGCGTGGGCTATCAAGGGAAAGGAGGCGGACGGCGCCGCAGAGGGCCAACCAGATACTGTCGAGCTCGAGAGCCAGCGGCGCGAGAAGTAGACTTGACTGAATTGCAGAGCACCAAGGGTACTTCGCCACCTATACGATAGAGAGTAATCAGAACGCCATTCACTACCGTTTGTGATCCTTTACATCACTAATTCCATCAGATGTGTGTACTAACTTAGGCGTTGCTGGCCCCACGCCGCGATGTGTAAATATGTGTCATCGGGTTTCTCCGACACCAATGAGTGCGCTGAGGGTATGTCCGAAAACCGCTTGTCCACATTCCCATGCGCGATTCACTTGGTAGATGATTGCTTTTATGTCGTTCCGTTCCCACCTGGCCCTCATAGCATGAAATGCATCGCTTTCAAATCCGTACACCAACACAAGCAACAGTAGAGCAATTTCGCCATGCACACCAATGGAGTCATGAAACAGAACGGACACCTGGAGCGCTTCCACGTCTCCGCCACAGGCCACAGTCTCAACTACCTCCCGGAGTACATAGCCGCCCGCCATGGCTTCTTCCGCGAGCAGGGCCTCCAAGTCACGGTGTCAGTCCCCAACCCCTGGGACCTCGTCCTGAAGGAACTGGCCGACGGCACCGCCGCCGCTGCCCTGGGCGGCATCTGGGTCCCATCCATGTACCGCGGCCGCGTGCGTCAGTACACGGCCTTCGCGCAGGTCGCCAACCGGGCGCCGCTCGCGCTCGTCGGTCGCGGGCCCCACGCCGGGAGAGGCTTCAGGTTCACCGACGACGTCGCGGGCCGCACGGTGCTCATGAAGGGCAGCAACGGCGCCAGCGTGGGCCTTTTCTTCAAGATGCTGCTGCGCGAGGCGGGTGTGGACCCCAAGGCTGTCGACTACGTGCAGGACCTCGACGGCAAGATGCTTGGCGAGCTGTTCGCGGGCGGCATGGGCGACTACCTGCTCATTGACAACCTGTCGGCGCGGGCGCTCGTGGCGCGGTACCCGGGCGAGATGTCGATCGCGCTCGAGACGGTCACGGAGGGCGGGGATATCCCCTGGAGCGTGTACTACCGCGAGGCAGCCAGCGTCACGCCCGCGGTGCTGGACGCGCAGGAGCGGTTCTGCGCGGCGCTGGAGAAGGGAATGCGGTGGGTGCTGGAGCACGACGCGGAGGAGTTCCGGGACGAGCTGGCTGAGATCTTCCCCGCCGTGCCTGTGGATGTTGCTGTGGAGTTGACGAATGTCTTTCGCCGCGACAACATGTGGACGACGACGTCGGTCGATAGGAAGGGCTACGAGAGGTGGCAGAAGGGCATTGCCGATGGGGGTCTGGTCGAAAAGCCGCTGGCGTATGAGGACATTGTCAATGATGGGCCAGCTTCAGCGGCACGTAAACATTCGCATTAAGCATTGAAAGAACCCCATTTACTACAGTTACTGCCGAGAAACACAAATTTTGACTGTCGTTTCAAGTGTTCCGCTCTGGGGCTTCGAACCCAAAGCCGTCAAAGTCCACGTCCTGAAAATCTGGCCACTCAGCCGCCGAACTCAGCGTCTCACCGAACTGGAAACTTCCCGCAGACAACAAAGACAGGGGATCCAGGACACCCTGTCTACTCCCGTCAGCTTCGCCGCCTGGGAACAGCGGCGGCAACTGCTCTTGCATGTCATGAAGCTGCTTCTCAAAGTCAAGGCGGCTGCGCTGCATGTCTTCCGCACTTCTGGTGACCAGCCAGTCAATCGTCAAGTCCGACAGAGTCTCAAACACGTCCCGACACCCGCTCGCTGCCGGCCATCTTTCTGCCAAGGCAGACAGTGTTGAAGAGCAGCTCTGTAATATCGAGATACTCTCTTTAGCGCTTCCCACACCGGTCAAAACACGCTGTAAAGTTGTAATCCTGCTGCAATTCTCCTCGTCCAGTGGCGTCTGTTGCTGCCAGAGGCCGTAGAGCACCGTCAATCCGGCCATGAACAGATGGTGCACCCATTTCCACATGATATCAATTTTGCGAGCGCGGTGCAGTATCTTGACACTATTGACGAGACTGCAAGCGGCATGAAATGAGGTGCACGTCGCCTCTGGAGATGGCTGCGAGACGATAGGGTTGGGCCGATAAAGGAGGAGCAAAGCGTTGTTGTATATGGCGTCCCAATAGGCCTGAAGGGCAAAGATAGATGATGGATGTGCTTGGCTAGGCGATGGCACCGTCACGTACCATCTCTGAAGGCGCGGCTCGATATCTCGAATCCAGGTGGCATAGTCCGGCTTGGGATACGCAATAGAGGATGTCCGGAAGTGACTGTACAGGATGTGCTTGATTTCTGACTCTAGCTGCGCCAAGCCGATCATGTGGTTTTGCGCAAGCCGCACATGTATGGCAAACTTGTCTTTAGCCTGCTGAGACTGCACATATTCCAGGCTTGGAAGCTCAACGTTGGTGCTCTGGTCGGTTATACCGAAAGGCCGGCCGAGAGTGATACAGAGGAGCCGATCAAACAGATAGGTGGAGTACCAGAGTCTCCGGCGTTCGTCAAGCAGTGCTTGTTCAAGTTGTCTGTGTTCACCAGTCTCCCAGTGCAACCCCAGATCGAGCGCCAATCGCAGAGCGAGGCCCGTCAACAACCATAAGCTGCCTTTTGAGGGGCAAAGAGCAACATATTGACATAGAAGCAATACAACCTTGAGAGTGTCAGAGTGGCTCTTGGCATATCCAAGAACTCTGTCGATATCACTGATGGCCGAGTGGAAGCAGTCCTCACTCTGAGGAGGACGACTGCCAGAAGGGTGATGAACGTTGTTGAGTGCAATAGCAAACACCATGTACGCAGTGAAGACGTCTTTTGAGGAGGAGGACTGCTCGTTGAAGGTAGCAGAGTAAGCTCTCTCGACGGCTTGATTAACCTGCCTGCGGTCCACGATGGGGAAGTGGGCGGTCTGATACTGAAAATAGACGTCTACTAGGTGCTCGGCAGCATGCCGAGGCGGCAATGACGCTCGTGTTTCCTGACGAGCCGAGGCTTGGTTCTCTTGGTACCCCGACTGATGGCCGGGAGCTGGTACATGAGACCCTTGGAGCGCCGCCATCACCAGCCTAGCGAGAGTGATTCCGCTGCTGACTCCAATGAAGCGTGGCTGATTAGAAGGCTCACATACAACACGTCCTAGAGTAGTCGACATCCAGTCTTCTGGCTCTGCGGGACTACCTGTTGTCGCGTTTGCTTCATCTTGTCGATGTGCAACCTGAACTGGATCACTGGTTGGTGTGCGGGCGCGCAGCTCCTCATTTTCTCTGGTGAGGTGGGCAACCTGGGCTTCCAGAGTCGAGACATAGTTGCGTGGGATCTTGATTACATCAATAGCCGGTTCCATGAGGTAATAATAGGTATGCATGCTTACGTCGTTCTGTCTCCCGGGATGGTAGATGAGACAGGGTGTCTGTGCCTCCTCACAGTTGGAGCATCGCGGTGACTTCAAGTCGCACTTTGAGACTCCTTAGCTCTTTTCACAGAAAGGATAGATCTATCCTATCACAGTCCAGGAGTTCACCTTTTGCTTCCTGCGACGGCATCTGCATATCTGATTAGGGTCCCGCTGCGTTTTGCACTGCCGCTTTCCATGCCACTCACCTTTGACAGGCGGTTCCGCCTCTAGGTATCCTTGACGATGTCCGAGGAGTTCCAATCTCAGCCATCTTACTCAGTCGCGGTATTCCTTGTCGGCAAACTGCGAAAAAATGCTTCTGGTGTGATGATCGGAGGAGTGAATCTCTCGTGAGGGAAACTACTTCGGAGTAAACCGAAGGATCAGTGGTTGAACCCACCTCTATCAGCCTCTATCAACGGTGAACCGATCCCCTATCTGAAGGCGTCAAACTAGGCGGTTTACTTAAACTAGGCAAGTTGCGGGGTTCTCTGTGTTAGTGTGGCTCAACTGTCTCTATTGGTATGCTCTGACTAATTTCGGGCCACCCTCTTCGACAATACCCCAGATAAGGGTGGCCCAATGGCCCCTTCGGACTTAGCCTAGGTGTAGATATGACGATCAGGCGACTGAATGGGGTGTTCGAGCTAGGTGTTTTTGTCAAAATCGCCGACTGCAGTGGCGGATAACCGTAACCTCCAGGATGGGATTCGAGTTGACCGCCCTGCCGTCCGTCATGGTTATTATGTTGCGAAAGTCTGCGCGTTGCTTGACTGTTTCTCATGACTTCAGTATTCCACAAGTTATTTACAATTCATCCCAATGGCAGACATCAAGGCACCTTCGATCGAGGACGCCAAGCCGGCGCCCGGCGAAATCCGCGATGACTCGACATCAAGTATTTACATCGACCCCGAGAAGGAGAAAGCCGCGCTGAGGAAGTTCGACAAGTACTTGCTCCCGGTCGTGCTGATCTTCCTTGTTCTCTCCGCGTTGGACCGGACCAATGTAAGCCAGCCCCAAGGATGGCCTGTGGAGAGCCACACGAAGTGCCACTGACATTGTAAACTTAGATTGGCAATGCGAGAGTGTTCGGCTTCGATGAAGACCTCGGCCTCGTTGGCGGCCAGTTTGGAAACATCAACACGCTGTTCTTTGTCACCTTCATCGTCTTCGAAACGCCCTGGGTCATGGCCATCAATCGCTTCGGTCCCAACAAGGCCCTCGGCACTGCTCTCATCCTCTGGAGCAGTGTGACCATCGGTAGTGGCTTCGTCCGCACCTACGCCCAGGCCATCGTCTGTCGTCTTCTGCTGGGCGCCACCGAGGCCGGTGTCTCACCTGGCTTCGCCTACCTCTTTGCGACTATCTACCCGCGCAGCTCTACTGCCAAGCGCATCGCTATGGGAAACGTCGCCAACACCATCTCGGGAGCCTTCGGAGGCCTGTTCGCGTATGCCATCCAGACAATGGGAACACGGCGTGGCATTCAAGCTTGGAGATGGCTCTTCATCATCGAGGGTTGCATTACCTTTGTGGTAGGCGGCCTCTGCTGGCTGTTCCTCCCTCGCTCTCCCGAAGATGCCTGGTTCCTGTCCGCCGAGGACAAGCACATCATGGAGCTCAGGAAGCAAAAGAACATCGAATACCGTGGAGAGAACAAGTTCAATTCCAAGTGGATTAAGCTTGCTTTCCAGGACCCGTTCATCTACATAGCTGGTGGCGCGTTCTTTTTCTCCTCTGTCGCTATCACAGGCTTCAGCATCTTCCTACCCACCATCATTCGAGGTCTCGGGTAAGCGATTTCTGTTCCAAGCCTTTGCATGCCACACTCGAGCATTACTGACTTCACTGTAAGCTACGCTTCGCTCAAGGTCAACTACCTCACAATTCCTGTCTACATTTGCGGCTTCCTCTCTCTAATTGTTCAGTGCTACTTCTCCGACAAGATGCAACAACGAGCTCTGTTCCTTGTTGGGTCGGCACTGCCCGTTGTGGCGGGTTATTTGATCTGTGTGGGCACACCGAACCCAACTGCAGGTTACATCGCCATGTTCATTTTGTCATTCGGTATGCAATCCAACTGTCCCTTACTTGATAGTGGATCAGTACTGACAGAGGTAATTCCGCTAGGCGTCTACTCTATCTCCACTCTCGTTGTCACTTGGGTCGCTACGAACTTGATGCCGGACCAAAAGCGCTCCGTTGCACTACCTGTCTTCTACTCGATTGGCAACCTCTCCGGACTCGTGTCGTCCCAGCTGTACCCGAGTCAGCATGCGCCACGATACGTCATTGGCAACTCCATATCGGCTGGTCTGGAGTGTGTCGCTGTTTGCTTCTTCGTCTCGGGCTGGTTCCTCCTAAGGATGCGGAACAAGAGGAAGGAGAAGCTAGTTGCCGACGGAGCGACTACAAACGGTTTGGAAGGCGATATGGCTCTGGGCTTCAAGTATGGACTATAATTACATTGCAGCCTGTGTTGTGTGTATTGGTGTGTAGGCTTCGTCAACAGGACTAGGTTGTCATTTTTGAAAATTTCTACCAGCCAGGTATGCAAGAGATTGCCGTACACAATGCGCTCTTCACCACAAGCTCATACTCTGAGATTTCAGGTACGTGGTTCGCGCTTCGCGCCGATTCTCAGGTCCCGGCACTGGTCGGTATCGGCCATTGCAGTGGCCGGCATCACGGATGTCCCCGAGTTTGTGGCCTGTCTGTTGTTCTCGAAATATGTCTCGATCATATGTTCTATGTTGTCGGCAGGTCTCAACAGTTGAGTTTGTCTCGCCTCTTGAGTCATGGGCTTACCAGAGGAAGTTCAGGAGAAGTCCGCGTCAACCAACGCGAGACGTTGTCCACGATGATGGCATAGGGTGACAGCCGCCCTCGAGACGGGCCCCCGAGGCGAGGATGGCTAGATCCCGGCAGCCCGTGTCGGATTGGAGGGATTTTTAGCCCCTTGCTAACTTACGAGAATGCCACTAACTCAGGATCTAGACCGGCAACGAACAGGAAATTCGCTGAGTAAGGGGATGTGTCCTGGAATGGCCTGTCGAAATTTCGTTTGGAGGAGTGAATCGGTTGCGCGTCCTCATGCAGAGTATGGCCGCAGTTGGAGCCGCACTTGTGGATCGAGAGACTACCGCATCGATCGACCTGTGTTAAATTTGGGGAGACAAAATGGAGCCAGGCCGCGATTCGATCGTCCATGTTTCAGTCTCAGTGGGAGAAAGCCTGCTCGAAGCAGAGTGATATGTGAGAGGACCACACTACGATCTGTCAGGTCCGCCGGATCTGGCTAGAATGGACTCCATCGTCCGAAATCCACCAACTGCGTCGCCAGCACTTTTCCCCACCAATGAGAGGTTTAACAAGACGTCGATGCTCGGCAGTGCTCAGTATTCAGTCTTGTATCGTGAGACACGCTATCCGTGAGTGCCGAAGGGATGAATGTCTATATAAGATGGCAAGAGATCGCATTACACAAACGGCTCAGAAGGCGTCTTGGCAGCACTTGGCAGCAAGACAAGCTTTTTGAGGCTCTCCGTGCTACCTACACCATCATATTTGTTCATTATCAAACCAAAGATGCATCCCTTGTCCCAGACCCTCGCGCTTGCGGCCCTGGCTGCAGTGGCAGTTGCATCACCCGTTGCAGATCCCGCTGTCACCCAGCCTCCGAGCCTGGCCAAGCGAGCAACTTGCACCTTCTCTGGTTCCAACGGTGCATCCCAGGCCAGTGCGTCGCAGAAGGCATGCGCCACCATCGTCTTGTCCAACGTTGATGTGCCTGCGGGACAGACTCTGGATCTCACCTCCCTGAACGACGGGACTACGGTAAGGCAGCTCCAACAGCTGTGCCAATAATATTCGCGGAGTACTGACTGCCGAGTAGGTCATCTTTGAGGGCAACACGACCTGGGGCTACCAAGAGTGGCTAGGGCCTCTCGTAAGCATTGCAGGCAATTTCATCACCGTCCAGGGTGCTTCTGGCGCCATTCTCAATGGAAACGGCTCCCGCTGGTGGGACGGAAAGGGCGACAAGGGCAAGGTCAAGCCCAAGTTCTTCGCCGCCCATAACCTCCAGTCCTCGTCCATCAACAACGTCTACCTCAAGAACACGCCCCATCAGGCTGTCAGCATCAACTCTTGCACCAACTTGACCGTCACTGGCATGACCGTTGACGACAAGGACGGTGATACCCAGGGTGGTCACAACACTGATGGCTTTGACATCGGCAGCAGCACCGGTGTGGTCATTGACGGAGCCCAGGTGTACAACCAGGACGACTGCGTTGCTGTCAACTCTGGCACCGTATGAATACGAATATTTCTTCCTCACCGAGGGCCAAATTGCTGACAGCTATCTTAGAACATCATATTCAAGAACGGTCTTTGCTCTGGCGGTCACGGACTGTCGATCGGCAGTGTCGGTGGCGGAAACACTGTTGATACGGTCCGTTTCCAGGATTCCCAGGTCATCAACTCGGACAACGGTAAGAGATTCACTCCAAAGGGAGAGTCTAACAGTCCACCAACTGACTGCCGAGTACAGGTATCCGCGTCAAAGCAAAAGCAAACCAGACCGGTGCTATTAAGAGCGTCACGTACTCTAACATCACCATCTCGGGGATTGCAAAGTAAGTCGCAAAAGGCTATTTGACATCTTCGTCTCACTAAACATCAACAGCTACGGTATCCTCATCGAGCAAAACTACAACAACGGCGACCTCCACGGCCAGCCCACCGCCGGGGTGCCCATCACCAACCTCACCATCCAGCAAATCAATGGCCAGGGTGGAGTCAAGTCCGGCGGCACGAACATTGCCATCGTCTGCGCCAACTGCTCGAACTGGACATGGTCCGGTGTCACCGTAACTGGCGGCAAGGACTACGGCTCGTGCCAGGGTGTGCCTGCTCCGGCCACTTGTAAGACGAGCTAAGCCTGGAGTTGAGAAAGAACATGGGTTGACTGTCAATTGCCATAAGGTCTCGTTTCAGGGCAAATCAATTCAGGGAAAGCCAACTCAGGGCAAAGGACATTGTGGCCGAAACACCTCATGAATTACCTGTTTAGTCTTTCTGTCCTCTCTTATCAACTCGGGTAATATCAGTCTCCTCGTATACATGCTTGACTATCACAAGGTCACTTTGACTGGATGCCGTCTCTCATCGTCCCGTAGCCCGCCGACCATGGAAGCATTCACAAGAATACACTGAGCCCGTGATGTGGGTCTCAGGTATTCCAGCAACAGACGTACGAGAACCCTAGACACGTTCAAGATCCCGCCGCCGTTGAGCACTGTTCGCTCATATGCTGCCTGGACCCGATCAAACTGCACCCGCTCAGTTCCAGCACCTTCGTGTACGTGGCCAAAGACATGTAAACGTGGACGCACACGCCACAGCTCCTTCAGCAGATGAACGCATCCAAGCTGCAAGTCCAAGTGGGCGAGCGGAGGGCCATGCGTTATGAGAATGTCAACCCCAGGAGGAGCCTTGTCTTTCCACACGTCCTTCGAGCGAGGGTACTGGAATGCCCAATTCCCATGCCGAGGCGACAGTGGGCTTCCGTAAATGCGCAGGTGTCTTCCATTCGGGCAAACGATGGTCTTTTCAGCGTTCTCTAGGTATACGATATCACCCCAGACCAGTGCCCGGCGTTGCCGAGCCGCATCATCCGGGGCACTTGGAGCAGATCTGTCCTGGTCCGGGTCCAGCAATATGTCGTGATTACCGGCAACCACTATCTTGACAGGATGGGGTTGGCTCTGCAGCCAAGCAAGTGCCGCTTGCAATTCCTTGAGGGTGCCCGACTGGGTGAGATCGCCAGCATGGATGAGTATATCGCCATCTGGCAAGTTTGGCTGACTGTTATGCGTGTCTGATATGCACACCACGGACACAGGCTCTGTCAGGGGCTTGATAGATGCGGCTGGGTGCCATGAGAATAGAAGCCGGGCTAGATAGACACAGGGCTGACGGAGAAACAGCTGCCAGGGGGTTGGCCTGGGCCTGTGAAGGAGCGCGTCGAGAGCGGACATATTCTCCAATATTATTGTAAGCCAGCCTTCCTTCAGCAATTGAAGTAGAAGCAGATTTAGAATTGAGGATAAAAAGTGAAAGGCCAGATGCACTTTACAATCCCGCGTGTCTGCTCCAAATCAGCGGAGGGAGGGAACTCGGCGGCGCCCTGCGCAAGAGTACAGATGCAGGGCTGCATGAAGGAATTATTTCGACTGTCGAATGAGGCCTAGATTGGCACAGAAAGACTACGTATCTCAAAGGAACAAGCCAGATCATAACGAAGCTTCAGGCAACCCATCAACCCCTCCCTGCAGTGAGGCACGTGATCTGTGCCTTGGAGCCGACATGGGAGTGGAATGGGATTCTGCTGTTTCAGCCGACAATGCTTCACCAGGATTAGAAGTCCTCGCCCGGTTCTCTCGTCTCTCTTTCGCAGAACCTCATTGAAACATGGATGCTGGCGATATGGCTGCGGCGGCTCCGGCCACGCCCATCTACCGCCTGCCTGTCGAGCTGCTTTCACTGATTATCAACTTCTGTTCTGACTACCGGGAGGTGTCCGCCCTGTCGCGGGCGAGTCGACGCTTGAACGACATCGCCGGCCGGCTCCTATACGAAAAGCAGGTGTACTTGAAGAACTATGACCCTGTCTACCACGCTGCATCATCTGGCTGCATAGGGACAATCAAGCGATGGCTTACCATTAGCAGCCCGTCGGGATCCCCGCTAGGCCCTCTGGACGTCTACGCGGTGAACACCTACATCGACAAGGCCCCCGGAACCCAGATGATAAGCTATGTACGCGGCCCATTGAGCTTGAAGGACCGACGAACGTATTTCATCTTCTCGTCGCCGCTGCACCGCGCGGCGCAGTCTGGGCACCTGGACGTCATCGAGCTCCTCCTGGAGCACGGGTGCGACGTGAACGCGCCGTCTCTATTGTTTACCAAGATGGGTCTGAGCTGCTTTCGCGATGCTAGGGACCGCGGAAACCCCCAGGCCGAGAACTGCGTTGTTCTGACCCCCTTGCATGTCTCCATCATATATGGTCAGCCAGCAGCGGCCAAGCTGTTGCTTGAGAGGGGTGCCGACGTCAGGATATGGCTGCGACACAGCGACCAGGCTAGCGGTGTGACGGCACTCCATCTCGCTGCGGTGCATGGCCGTTCGCAGACGGTGACGGAACTCGTCCAGGGGGGGTATTCGAAGGTCGATGAGCTTGACGGAGACGGAACGCCGCCGATGCTATATGCTGCCGAGCATGAGGCGAATCTCGAGTGTATGGATGTGCTGCACAGGTTAGGTGCTGATCTCGACATGCAACTTGGTAGTGATGTGAAACAACCGCTGCTGGCTGCGCTTATCGAAAAGATCAGGTTCAAAGCGGCCTCAAGGCTCATTGACCTAGGAGCAAGTGTGGATGCTGCTGGTGGACAGTCAGCCATTCTGGCTTTGTGCGAGAGGGCTAAGATATCAGCTATATACCCAGATGCTGTCGATCTTGCGGTGTGGAATGACTTGGTCGCTCGGGTCAAGAGCGCGTCTCAAGAACCACGAAAGTTTCCCGGTCGCTTCAGGAAGTTACTATCACTCGGGAGGACAGAGAAATAACATGCTCACCCTCCTGCAACAGCGAAGATTGCCGGGACAGTAAGCGCATGGTCAAGCCACACGGACGAACAAAGATGTTGATGAATAGGCTTCCATGTCAGAGCTCCTCCTACGCTTAGCCCTCCTGCTCACCTGCTGGATTCAAAGTTTACAATTGATGCGAGGTTCGATCCCGGCTTTGGCCACTTTCTTTTCCCTTCTATTTTGCCCATTTCGAATTTTCGCTTTACCGATCACCAGGTTGGCCAGAGCTTTGACTTCATCCCCTACGAAGTACATGTAGCTTGGCTTAGCTCCATGCCGTGATACGACAGGCGACGAATGGGATGCGAGACGGAATCTGCATTGCAAGGCAACCACGTAGATGACGAAAGCTCAGACCAAGGACAACAAGGACATAGTTCACAGATCGTTCGTTGGAGGGAAAAACCTTACCCCTGCGTCGGGTAGTTGACTGCAGATCGCGGATGCGCGTTGCATCTATTTTTGCGTTGCTGAGGAAGAAGCAAGTGAGTTGCAGGTCTGAAATTCCGCGAGGCCATGGAAGTAACACTCTGTAGGGTCGACATGGGCAAAGTGACGGAACAAACTTCGGTTTGATCCGTATTAAACAGGCACAGGTAAGCTTCTTCTTTTCTAAGACTGACGATGCCAATTTGATGAGATTTCATCTGACACAACAGACAGAGAGCTTGGACCTCTTGTTGAACGAGTCCGTTTCTGTCCGACCGTCGTTGCACGGGCTGGCCAAGATGGGCTGGACCTGTCCTCGAATGGCAATTACCGCTCTGCCCTCGTCACACCGGCAGATTAGGGTCTCTCCAGCTGGGTCTTAGATACGAGACATCTTCAATGTGCGAGTGTTAGGTTGGAGAGCAACAAGGTTCGGGACCCCTTCGCAAGCACATGGCCGACACACTTTGCGAACCTCTCCCGCACTGAGACCACACGAGGAGGCTGGGTCTCTCAAGGAGCGGGATCTTCTTCCACGATTTTTCCATCAAGGGATTTTGAAGCTTATCCTGGTCCGCCGAGCCGTGCCTGGCCGGTGCTGCTTTTTTTCCTGCTCTCCTCTCCTATGCTGCCGTAGCACAAAAGCAATGATAGACACGGGCCACCTAGAGTTTCAAACATGCATCCGGGTCAATTAAATCAACGCACTCTGCCATGCATCCGAAAAGGGCCAGCCCCATAGTGGACTGTCAACGTCCTGCAAGAGGGCCAATTCCATCGCGGCACTCAACAGGCTGCAGCATGATTGCTTCTTCCAGGCCAGCCCGTCACACCTTGCGAGCTGAATCAGTACGACCGGCGTCATACAGAGCTAAGAGCCAGCCCAGCCGGTCCTCCCGTATTGCCTCTGGGTGGCGTCCCGTCGTGTATCCCCAAACACGGATCGCCGCATGTTTTCTACTGCAGGAACAAGTCACCTTTCAGGAGGCAATCCCCCTCCCGATTCTCCGACGATCCCAGGCCAGCCACTCTGGGCCTGATTGCCCCTTTGATTTGCGCCTCGACCCGTCGTCGTACGGACTCGCTGGGCGTGACGCGTGCTGTCCTCGTTACCGGTGCAAGGAAGCTCCCAACAGAGCCCGCCTGTCCATTGGTCCGGCAGGTCCCCTGTTCTCCCGCACGAAAAAGCAATATTCCGGCAATGGCGGTCAGGAGCTCCACACCAGCCGCACGCAGATGAGTTGTCAGAACCCCAACATCAAAAGGAAAAGCAGAGCCCGAAGAAGATCCAGATCTGCATCGCAAGAGCTCGTAAATCTCTTAGCCTGATGCATTCTGTGCAGCAACGTGCAGGTTCAGCAGGCTGCCCTTGCACAATCGTAACCTTCCGATCTGTTCGTAAGAGCTGGAAAGCTATCGCACCGCGCGTCCGCCGTCCTACGCAATGCCGTGTTTGTGTTTCACGGCCAGGGATCAGACAACAGGATCCGGCAGACTGCCATGTTTGCAGCATGCTCAATCTCTCCAATATGACCATTCGTGCCTTGTGAGACTCAGCACCGCACATAGATGAAAGCATGACGCCATCCACCAAACGGACTGTTCCTTTCGCACACGGCTCTGCATACGAGAAGCTAATGCAGCCTTCAGGTTGGCACTGATGTGGGTGAACCTGCAGATCAGCCCCGGTGGCTGGCGTCCGATGGCTCGCCGAGAGATTAACCATCGGCGCCGTTGGACGCCCAACGAAAGGGGCGATCGTAGTGCCTCTTTTCGTCCAGGGGTCTGCGAGGCTGGGCAGATACGAAGCGGGAAGGAATTCGCGATGCTTTGAGAACAAGGATATCGGATATCGAGAACACTCAACCTGAAGCTCATGTGGCGTTTTCCCTCTCCCGACGCCGGGAGGCCGGGGTTGGATATCAGTCAGCACGGGAGGGTGCACCACTGTCGGCCCAGATCGACGGTGGATTAATCTTTCCTTTGCTTGCCCTTGCACAACCAGGCACACTGCAGATGGGCGGGGTCCGCATACAGACAACAACAGACACTCGGCCTGCATGGCCGAAAACAATGGGAGGACAGCAGCTGCAGAGGTCGTGTCCTTGCTGCGATGATGCCTTGGCAGATACGAGTTGCTCATCAGCTCCCCGACAGATATAAAGATGGCGAGCTTGTCCGCCCAGAACGGGAATGAGATCTCTTGTCTTCACTCAACACAATCGTTTCTTGAGCACCCTCGAGATACTAACATTCGTTTGCATCCGTATCCAGAGAATCGAGCTCGTACGGGACACCAGCCGCCAACATGCACGGCAGCATCTCTCGCCTTGCTCTGCTGAGCTTGGGGTAAGGCATCCCCAGCCTTGTCGATAGTTTGGAGTCACTGACTAACACGCCCTCCCAGCTCGGCACTTGCCCACGCTGCTCCGCAGCTTGACAAGAGGACCTACAAGACCGTCACCGTCACCGTGTCGGCTTGTGGCGACCACTGCCTCGCCAGCTGCACCCCCAGCACTGTGACCGTCACGGGTGATTGTAGCACCTTCGTGCCTCCAACCACCAGCGTCGAGACCTCGACCCCTCCCGGTACCTCCGTCACCTCCACCTTGCCCGCCACCGTGCCTAGCAGCGAGTCGTCGACGGCCCCTGGTACCTACTCCACGACCGTCGTGACCACGTCGTCCAGCAGCAGCAGCAGCAGCAAGTCGTCTCGCAGCCACTCGCTCAAGACGACTCGCAACCACTCGACCAAAGTCCACAGCCACAGCAAGTCCAAGACGACTCTGACCATCACCTCGTCTTCGACCGAGTACCCTACGACCCCTGGAACCACCATCGAATCCACGGCTCCCGTCTCGCAGCCCAGCAGCGGCTACCCGACCCAGCCGGTGTCGTCGACTCCTGGTACCTCCGTGACCTCGACTCTCCCGGCCACCGTTCCTTCCTCCTCAAGCTACCCGGAGACCACTCCAGGCACTGAGTCCTCCTCGAGCTACCCCGAGACCACTCCTGGCACTGAGTCCTCCACTTCTACCCCGGAGACAACCCCGGGCACTGAGTACTCAACCAGCACTCCAGAGACGTCTCCTGGCACAACTATTTACTCGACGGCACCCACTAGCGTCCCGGAGACGACCCCTAGCACTGAGTACTCGACCAGCACTCCAGAGTCATCGTCTCCTAGCACTTATGTGACCTCAACACTGCCTGCCACTGTCCCCTCCTCATCCAGCTATCCGGAGACCACTCCCGGTACTGAGTCCTCGACCAGCACTCCGGAAACCACACCCGGCACCGAGTACTCGACCAGTACCCCTGAGACTACTCCCAGTACTTACGTGACCTCGACGCTCCCTGCCACGGTCCCTTCCTCCAGCTATCCTGAGACTACACCAGGCACCGAGTACTCGACTAGCACTCCTGAGTCAACTCCCGGCACCACCATCTACTCGACTGCCCCGACTAGTGTCCCAGAGACTACCCCTAGCACTGTGTACTCTACCTCCGTTCCGGAGACTACCCCCGGCACCTCTGAGACCTCGACGCTCCCTGCCACGGTCCCTTCGTCCAGCTATCCCGAGACCACCCCTGGTACCGAGTATTCCACCACCGTCCCCGAGACTACCCCAAGCACTTATGAAACCTCGACGCTCCCTGCTACTATCCCTTCCTCCAGCACCCCCGAGACTACTCCCAGCACCGAGTACACGACAACCGTTCCGGAGACTACACCGGGTACTGAGACCACACCAGGCACTGAGACGACTCCCGCCACCACTTACGAGTGCCATGGCTACGGCTGCAGCTACCCCGTCTCGTCTCCCCCAGGAACCACCATCACCAGCAACGGCGCGATCACCGGACCTAGCCTGACGCCGACCACCAGCTATCCGGCGACTACTGAGGTCATCGAGACGACGGAGACTCCCATCACGACCTACATCCTGAGCACTACGTCTAGCTCAGAGACCACCGAGGTCCTGCCTCCCACCACTGAGATCCCTACGCCCTCGACTTACCCGGTGTCCTCGGAGACGACTGAGGTCCTGCCCCCCACAACCGAGGTCACCTCTCCCACCACCTACCCAGAGTCCACCCCTACTCCCCCGACCACCACACCCGGCGGCTATGGCGGCAGCTACAGCTACAGCCACCGCACCACCCCCACCACATTCGAGACGTCGTCCCGCCTGCCGGAGACCGTCCCACCGCCGGTCACGACCACCACCAGCCCGGGCTACCCCGTGACGACGCCCAAGACCACGACCTCCTCGCGCCGCTGGGGCTACGGCTACGGTGGCGGCGGTTACGGCTACGGCGGCCAGTACCGCCGGGCCGCTCCCGTTCCGGCCTAAACCGGGCCTGAACGAGCATCTCCGTGGAATAAAGGGAGTATGACAACACGTTTCACGACGACGAAATAGATTGTTTTGAGTTAAAGCCTTCTTTTGTTGGGCGGGCTAAGATATGCCCATGTTAACAACGTTTTATCATTCTTGACACTCCTTTTTTCTTGTATCTAAAAGACGATGAGCAAGCGTGCAACGCAAGCAAGCAACGCAGCAGAAAACCCCTCTTCACTTCTGTATTCCTTCCTTCAGATACTTTATTGGTTTGGACTTTTGGGCCGACAAATATTGACTGGTTGGCTTAAGATACTATTGCACGGATTGCTCTAAATAATTGGGATTTTGGTGAAGTGGTTGTAGAAGACATAGGTGCACACAAAAATACAAACTTCTTTCCTTTTACTTCTAGGGGACTGCCTGAGTAACATTGGTTCATAGACCTCGCCGGCACGGGAGGACTCTTTTCAATACCCTATATCTCACGTTTGTCAAAGAAATGACTGTCTTCGTACCAAGCCACGGCGCCATAGGAAGCTACCCAACAATAACAGCCATCCACCGCCCCCCCTCAAGCTCTCAGTCCTTGGGTGGAGGCGGTGGTGGCGGCGGTGATAAGCCGAAAAACGGCCCGTCCCTCTCGATATCACACGCCATTGTCGACCAGGTGTCTCTGTCCCGGCTCCTCCTGAAGCGGCTCTCGCTCGGAGACAGTATCCAGGACTCCGACCGAGGAGACGCCTGCGTCGTGTAGTTGACAGAGAAGCTCGGCGACAGCAACGACAGCGGCAGCTGCGCGTCCTGGCTGGTCTCGACAGACAGCCCGCGCTGCACTGTGGTGGCTTGCCCCGCCTTGTCGTCGATGCTTCTCCAGCCGCCTTCGGGATGTGCCCCTCCCGAAATCTTCTTGCGAGACCTGCTGTCTCGAAAGGAGTCGCGGCCACCGGCTGTTGTCGAGGACAACCTCTTCGCCACGAGGGACGTGTGGATGTCCTTGGCGAGCGAGCGGAGGACGGGGATGCATTGCACTATAATTGTTCCGGTGATTTCGGAGTTGTACCTGTTGTTCAGGGTTAGAAGTGGCGCATAGAAGGAGATGAGGTTAGGGATATGAAGCGTACCAGACCTGCGCCACACCATTACGCCCTGGTATCGTGATCAGTAAGGTCTATAGAAAGAGAAGGTATCGATACACCTACAAAAGAACCACTCATCTCGTCCATTCTCGTCGTTCTTCCACGACACTCGGACGGCCGCTACAATCGCGACTCTGTTGGAGTTCCTCTCAGCCACATCCTGAGCCAAGGTGCATTAGCGGGCATGTGGTACTCACATCATGCCAAGGCTCATCGTGAGACCGAGGCCGATCTTCTCCATCTTCTTCAACCCCAACGGCTTGAGAACCAGCCATGGAATGAACGCAAAAATAAAGTCCATAATGATATTGTAGACTAGGCGAGGGGGGGGTCTTCACATTAGCATCTGTGTCAACAACCCGAATTCGGGGACCTAGCACTGACCGTTGCCGCCCTCCTTGAAGTCCTTCCGGAACTGGTCGCTGATGCAAAAGTTAAGGCGATAGTGGTTCTGGTAGCTCGTGTTGTCGCACACCTTGGCCCACTGGAAGAGCATCCGCAACAACATCCACAGGTTCATGGTGCCGATACAGAACCAGATCGCCCAGCGCAGCCAGTCTTTGGTCATGCGCAGGAGCGTCACACCAAAGGCTGTCTTGGTCAAGGACTGCCCGATCAGGTTGCCGCAGGTCGATATGTTTATGAGGATTTGCATGCGGTCGTCCCATTTCTGGGCCGAATCTTTGGGTACCAAGCCGGTGGCGAACTCGTGGACGATGAGGCTGTTGTTCGCAAGGAGGATCACCTACAGACGGCTCATTAGCGTCCAAGCGCAGCTGGCACTGTTGGATATAATACTGACCCACGATGTGACCAGAATATGGTCATCGTACCAGAGGCCATGGCGTCGGGTGACTTTTATCCAGAGCCTCAGGGCGAGCAGGACAGTAGCGCCAGCGAAGAGCGACCATAGCCCGGCATTCAGCTCAGCATAAGGGTTCACGAAGCCATGGACTTCTCCCTTGACGTGATTGCGCGCATAGAGACTCATGGCTGCGCATTCATGCCAGTAGCCCTCCTTGACGGTGGCTTACAAGATGTCTCTGTTCTGTACACTACGAAGTTCGTCAATGCAACGCAATGCGCGGTCGCGCGGGAGAAAACCAAAGAACCATTAATGGAAGTCTAATAATGGGGCATCCTCATTGAGGGCCCGAGGGAAGAGATGAACCATGCATGGTATTCCGATCACAGGCGTGAACACCCCGGTTCGTCTTGTGTTCTGTTGGAGAAACGACCCACGCAAGGGGTTGAAACGAAATAGTTTCATTCCTTGTTCGTACAAACACACATAGGATCACCGAAGTGGTCCCAGGCCAAGCCCTTAGAGCCCACCTAAAACCCCCGCTCGCATCATCACGAACCGCTACAGGTATCAGGAGAAGCCTGCTCGAACATTTACTAGCGCGAGCTCGCTCCGGTAGTCAATAGCGTGCAGCATGGGTGGTTTGGATATGGTGCAAGGAAGCCACCGTTAGCTTGCCATGCTACCTAGGGAAAAGGCCCAGCTGCCAGGGTTATTGTTTACTGCTAATTAGCCCTGAAAAAGCTGCTATATATACATACTTGTGCACCCTTTTGTGCTGGAATAGTTCTTATCGAACACAACACATATCATGCTTTCATATACAAAAGAGTCTCCGACTCAAGTCCTCGATAAGCGTATAGAAGTTCCTTCTCTTTCTATGACCGTGAGCAAAAGCTATCGTTTCTATTTTCTCTTTCTAATGACATATTCTTAGACTGATGCTACCGTTCCTGTTTCACCCCTAACATGATATGTCTCCATCACAAGGCAGAAGAAGCGAGGGTATCAGTCAGTGTAGTGTTCACCAAATGTCGATATGGTCGAGTGCGTCCTTGCCCTTACGCAATCCATTCTTTCGAGTAATGCACGCGAGCTTTGATGATGAGGCCCGCGCCCACCAAGCCGCACACGCCTGCGAAGATCATGGCTTGGTGGAAGGAATGGTAGTGGCTGATCATGGCCCCGGTGATGGGGGTGCCTATCAAACTCGCCAAGCTCAGCACCCCGAGCGCCATGCCGATATACGACCCGATGACATTGGGTCGCGGGGCAGTCAGGGCGATCGTGGCCGTGAAGAGCCCGATGAAGATGCCGGAGAAGAAGCCGAAGAGCGCGGAGAACACTATCATGCTTCCGTGCGCGTCAATGGCTAGCCATGTCAGACTCAGGACGCCGCAGACTGCTGAGGACGCTATCAGCGCATTGAAGCGGCCCAGCCGGTTGGCAAATGCCCCGCCGAGGATCCGGCCAAAGAATGACGCCGCGTTGAAGATGGCGATCAAGTAGTTGGACAGATTGGCACTGATGCCGATGGACTGGGCATAAGAGGGAATGTAGAATGATGGCACGAAGAAACACATGATGACAAGGAACAGGCCGATGACTTGGATCGTGTATGCGGGATGTTTCCATGCGTCAAGGACGAATGGAGACCCGGTCTTTCTCTTCGGGGCGTTGGTGTTGATCGTGATGCAGGAAATGATGGCAAAGACCAGCATGATGAATCCCAGGATACGAACTGACCATCCGAAGCCGAGCGATGTGTCGTTCAGCATGCGGCTGAGGGCGATGGGGAAGATGACACCAGCAAGTGACGAGCCGCTAGATGCAATGCCCATGGCAAGGGGTCGACGTTTGAAGAAGTAATGATTAACGGCAGTCAGACTTGGAGTGTAGCAGAGCCCGTTAGTCAGTCCGCCGAGTATGCCTTGTGCGAGGATGAATTGGTAGTATTCTTTGCAGAGACTGCTGAGCATGACCGAGAGGATAAATAATGTCGAGCACGGTACAAGAATGACCTGCAATGGTGTCAACTCCTGAAAGTTCCTCTATTCTTCCATAATGCATTGCAGCAACGCACCTTGGGGCCATATCGGTCCATCATTGGCCCAGAAATCAAGCCGCCAGAGAACATGAAGAAGGCCTGGAGTGAACCAATCCATGCTATGTTGTTCTCGCTTTCATTGCGGAGAAATGTGTTCTTGTAATATGCCTGGTAGATTCTAGCCAGAGATTAGTTAGCCTCGGTCTATTCAGGATTATTAACAGAGAAGAGCAGGTGCCAACTTACCCGAATGCGTTGATGTACCCAAAGGTGTTGAACATGACGCACCAACATGCCACAACAGCCATCCATGCCTTGAAACCTCCCTCCAGAAAGACTGGCTTCGCCTGCCCTGCATTGGCTTCAGTGTCACTTCCCTTCTCAGAGGCTATGTTGCCCATATTGGTATTTAGAGAAGAATTGAAATCATCATATTAGCTAAGATTGATATTCTTGCCCTATCATGTTGCGACTGGAGGTTCTTTTATACTTGAGCTCGGTCCTCGGCTCGTTGGTCGGAGAGACCCGTTCTTATCCATCGGATTAGTTCCTTCTCGTGGCAAACCTAAGTGATTGAAGAGTAATGAGGTATCTATCATCTTACTCTGGCTTAGTCCAACGCTGAGGTGGCTCGGCCGAGTCCTGTTGTCGTGATCCACTCCTTACCCGGGAGGCGAATCCGGAACGGCGCACGGCAAATTCAAAAGTCCAGCCAATCATAGCAGAGAATCGCCCGGCAAATTGCAAAACGCCGTGTCATACAAATCTTCTGTCTTGTCTCGTCCCCTGGCCTTCGCGGCTTTTTGCAAGCACAACCCTATTCAAAGTCTCCTATCCCCGTCACTGAGTCTTACCTCGTACTTCCGATCTCCGCCGCGGCTCTGTTCAAATCATGACGTCGGCTCCAGGATCAGCGCCAGATTTCGAACGCCAACAGCCAACCGCCACACCAAGCAAGAAACGCCGCCGGCCAGCACTGTCTTGCGAGCAGTGCAGGCAGCGCAAAATTCGCTGTGATCGGAATCTACCTTGCAAGAGCTGCATCAAGCTTAAGATCCAATCTTGCACCTACGTAGCAACGCATATTCCTAAATCTCGGGCAAGGGGAATCGTTAGTCAGTGTCATGATGTTGGCTCAGCAGGGCCGGTCTTGGTCCCGGGACGGTCGGCAACAGTCGGTGATCATGCAGGGAGTTGGATGGCCGATTCTCCTCCGTCGGGAACGCCCCTCAGACATCTGGCTCCTGGCCCGGCAGCATGCCCTGGAATGGAAAGCCCAACAGAACATGCGCTCACGGCAAGGATTCAAGAGCTTGAGCGAAAGCTTGAAGATGCGCACCAGGGAACGTCGTTACCGAAAGACAAACTCTTAGATGACAGCAACAACAGCGGCGAATGGAGCGCTCCCATGAAAGGAACAAATGCCAAGATCCGGTTCTTTGGCCAAAGCCACTGGATGAATGGTCCAGACATGGTAAGTCTTAAGTCTTGCCTTTGTGGCCTTATGATGCAAATAATTGCGAGTACGAAAACTGACCTTCTGCAGTTCCCAGACGTCCTCTCTACACTCATTAATGCCGAAGCCAAAAGGATAGGACCCTATCGCAACTTCATCAAATGCAAGACTCTTGCCCGCACTATCAAAGAACACCGAGCTGACCCTGTCTCCTCGACCACCTTGGGCGAGACTGTTCCTGCGAAAGCTCTCGCTGATCAACTGGTGGATGCCTACTTCTGCAACTTTGAAGGCGCCATACGCATTCTCCATGTGCCCACCTTCCGCGCAGAGTACGAACGGTACTGGCTGAATCCCGCGACAGCGAACGTGGCCTTTGTCATACAGATGCAATTATGCATGGCCCTGGGGGCATCTGTCCACGATGATGTTTTTTCTCTACGTGCGACAGCTGTAAAGTGGGTGTGCGAGGCACAGCTATGGCTTATATTGCCCCCAGAGAAGAGTAGGATGACGATTGTGGGCATCCAGATTCTGTGCTTGCTCTCTATCTGCAAGGCTGCCTGCGCCGTTGGTCAGGATCTGGGATGGGTCACGTCGGGATGTATTGTGCGGCGAGCCATCTGCATGGGTTTGCACCGGGACCCGAGCCAACTAGCAAAGATGACGGTGTATCGAGCTGAGATGCGGCGCCGCTTATGGGCCACCATCCTCGAACTCAACTTGCAGGCGTCCTTTGACGCTGGCAACCCGCCGTTGATATCTCCAAAGCATTACGATGTTCTCTTACCTGCAAATCTCAACGACGATCAGCTCACAGATGAAGCCGACCACAGGACTGCGGCGATTGACAAGTCAGATGAGCTCACAGACATGTCGGCCCAGCTGCTATTGCTAAGGTCGCACCCTCTCAGACGTGAGATCATCAGACATGTCACCGAGTCCCGAGGAAAGAACTCGTATCCAGAAACCTTGCGACTCAGCTCTGAGCTCACAAAGGCCTGTCACTCTATGACCAAAGACCTGGTTATTCTGACAGAAGCACAGAAACGAGCTCCTCGGGCGATAGCCAATCAGTTTCACTGCAGATTTATCCAACTCATGGTCTACCGCTGCTTTGCTCCTCTCCATCAGCCAATGCTACGGCTTGCGCCCAACGATCCTACCGTGTACTACTCTCGCAAGGTCTTGCTCGACTCTTCCCTCGAGATCATCGAGATATGCAACCTGTCTCGTCCGCGGAGTACTGCAGACGCACGCGGATTGATTGACACGGCGACCGCGTTCGACCGCCTAATCGTCACCGGCTCAGGGTTCTTTCGAGTCGTACCCCTGCAAGCGATTCTATCGATCGGGATGGAGTTTGTGCACATCAAAGAAGAAGAAGAGCGTGACCTGCTTGCCACGATGCGTCCCAAGGCTAGCAATGAACTCCGTCCCATTATCGAAGCATCAATAGATTGGGCCGGACGACGCATCAGGGCCGGCGAGACAACCATCAAGATCTATTGCTTGACCTCCGCGGGACTAGTGCTGGCAGACGGCATCGACAAGGGGCTTTCTTCGGAGCAGATTCAGCAATCAGTCTTCGAGTCCGGCGAGGAGAGTAGTATCCAGTGCTGGGAGTACCTCAAGGAAGTAGCCGACCGTGACGGAGTAAAGATCAACGAGGATGATGGGTCTCCCGCAAAGGTCGAGGTGCCAGCCGACACAATGGACTTCACGTTTGATTGGTTCGGGGGTTTTGGCTGGGACGCGGTGGGCGAATGGTCGTTCGAGGTGTGATTTGTGGTAGATGTAAAGATCTACTACTCAGTGCTGTCAGGTCGATTCACGACTGTCATGCCCCAAGCAATACTAAAGGCCATTTAAGAACAGCAACTGCCAAGTTCGTTGACGAAAAGAAGCTGTGGGATTGTTGGGATCTGCAGGAATATGGGGTTCGACGTTGATCGAAAAGCAATTGCTTGTTTTGTTCTGCCCGAGCATCACAGGGCAGCAATGTCGATCACGTCACTAGCCTGCGACCGCTGACAACACTCACCGAGAATAAAAAGACAGTTCTCCTGAAGATCGCCGTGGCTATCTTGAATGCGATCAGTGCCAAAAGGAGAGACCTGAAGACCCACTGGTGTTCGGGCGCCGCGGGACACTTCCAAGCCAAGCGGGCGTCATAATAGTTGACGGAAGCTCATCAGGAGCTACCTCAACGTTAACAGTCAATATCCTTGTTCTATCCTTGCCCCGGAACTTGGAAGGGCTATCCCACTACCTAAAACCGATGGGCTTGATAGATACGCAAGTACTTCTGTTACCAGTCCATCAACTAATCTGGCCATCACTTGCAAGCCTTCTCTGTACCACGGCTGATCCGCACACTGAGTGTGGTATGTGCGTTGTGCAATCATGATGACGGCGGACCATGACCGTGAGCTTCAGCGGGTGCCACTCGACTGAGTGTGAGGGGGACTTGGTATTTCCCGAATGGGTGGTGCCGCCAGTGAATGCTACAGCATGGCTTGGCAGCATCAAAAACTTGCATATTGAACGTCGTTTTGCATGCCTGCTGCTCGGCACTGCCCGGCGATCCGGCTGGTCGGCAAATGCGGTCATGCCAAGAGGGGCTGGACCGTGGTGATGACGGACGCCTAGACTGGCGATTCCTACTGATAAGGAACCGTTGGTTTCCTGCTCCTAAAGTGCTTATTAACCTGGAGCCTTGCCGCGGCCTGGCAAAGGGAGGGCTTGTGTGAAGTAGAGGAGGGCGTGTCTTTCTCCGCCACGAGCGCTTCCATCACAGACTCTTTGCGAGATTGCAGTGGCATGTTGCAGCATCATTCCGAAATTTTTGCACGGACAGCCGGCACGAGCACGATAACCACCAGGGCGAATCACTACAGAAGAAGCAGCATCATGTGCGGCGTGATGAGGGTGCTTGTGCAGGAGGCGGTCGAGCTGTGGGATGCTATGCTGTACGGTGTTGGGAGTGTCTATTACAAAGCAAAGGGCGACAGCCATCCGTCGACTGTTCGCGCGGCGTAGGCTGCAAACACCATCAATCCAATGATGGGACAAACGGGACACCGGGACGAGGGAACAAGGGAACAAACGCATGGCACGCACAAGCCTCGATGCTGTTCGACGACGGCTTCCCAATCCATTCCATTCCATCCCAGCGAGAGGGAATCGGACGGCAATGAGACAGCGACACGGACAGTGCGGGAGGGGCGCACATGACAGGTTGCTGGCTGCTGAGGGACAGCATTCTTCCTCTTCCCCTTTGGGTCTTTGGTATGGACGGACGGACAGTTCCTCTGCTTGCCTTAACTATGGAGTAGAAGCCTTGGAAGGGACCTCAAACACCACGAAACAGCGTGTGTCGTGGAATCGATGGCCGGAAGCCAGGGGTCCCAGGGGTTCCGAGCGTCGCGCGACCGAGTTCTTCACTTCTCCACGGACGGTGTTTCTGCGGTGCGGAAAGAGTGGAGAGAAGAAGGCCCCCCCATGGTGCTAAGCTCAAACAGGCGCCGCTAAAAACTCTCCATTGCTGCGATTTGAGCTATGCCCTGGGATACGAGGAGAGCATTCGTTGCTGGAGGAGGGGATGACGCGCGTTCTTCAGATGGGCATTTTTCTCCCTTGCACGTACTTTACGTACCAAAGCAAGCGGCCCCTCTCAGTGGCACAGACCTGGGAGAAGAGGAGAGGAGGCAATCGGCTGCCGGCACCAAAAAGCTTGTTTCTCCTCTCTAGATCTATTCTTGGCACATCTTTGCGGGAAATAATCTGTCGTCAATCAAAATGACAGCGGGCTGGCGTGGTCGTGATGGTGGAGGTTTGGCCAGGACTCGCGCGCCGTTCTGAGATTTCAATCTGAATCTGGCAGGGTGGTGGTGGTCTGGAGTGTCTGGGGGGTGCAAGCTTGGGGCTGTTCGATCTGGATATGCCCGTAAGTTACAGGACGGGCTTGGCATCAACCACCAAAATATCCATTTTCTTGATTTTCATATATAGGCCTGTAGCAGAACCATACACCCAGCGAAGAGCTGTTTACTTGCGACGTCACGAGAGCAACAAATACAGGAGACAGGATGTTCATCATGATAGGCCTCGTCGTATCTGGTCACTAGTGCTGGCGTCACTGGGAGAACAATGCTTCATTGTTCGCCTTTGATTAGGTAGTGCCTCCAGGGCTCCCCGACTTTCCATTTTTATCCCCACTAGCCCCGTAGCTCCTCCCTAAACAGCGCCTGAGCCCGAAAAGGGGAATTCTGATCACTGGCACGTAAGGTATGAGGCATGCGAGTATGGACCCATCCAGCGCTATCCCCTGGCAAGCCTGGGCGGGTGGAATGTGTCTCTTTTCTGCATCTGGAGCACATGTTGCCAAGAGATATTTGGATGTGCAAAAAGCATGGAGTCGTCAGCGATCTGGGCGAGTGGAGCACTCGAGGCGGTACTTGTACAATTCTTGTAGGTAGTTGAGAGCAGCGGTCTGTCCTGCAGGCTTCACCGAGAGAGTCCTGGGAGGCCCGTCTTGGGAGTACTGATGGGCCAAGGCCGCACCCTGATGCCCCAAGAGCACCCAAGAGCACCCAAGACGGCGGGAGAAATGAGAGTAGGCTGGGCGCAATTATCGGCCATATCAACTTGAAGAGTCCAGAAGCAGAGTCGCCGGGCTTACCAAAGCTTACTTGCTTAAGTAATTGATGCTCGCCGTAAAAAGGGTACATGAATATGCGACTATTTTCTCACACGCTCGCATGTAGCCGACGATATACTTATACGAGCTTCCAACCTGCATCAAATGGGAAGGTCGCGGTTGTAAGATGATATGGCACAATAGTCGGTACAGTTGATGGTGGTGGTGTGAATGGCGCTGGCCTGCCTTGAGGCGAGATTGTATGTGGATACATGGTGGGCTCTGGACCGGTACAAGATGGACCCGGCTATTGGCCACTCATTTCGCGGGTAGCAGCGCACGTACCACACCACCCTGCACGCTGCGCCACTGCATCAAATCTCCCCTGGAACCACAGGGGAGTAGGGGCACCAAACAGCACCAGCACCAGCAACACCAGCATCAGGACGGGACCCAGGGCAACAACGGCTTCGTCATCCCCTGACGACCTCGGGAGGTCAAGCACTGAGACCCCTGGCGGCCCCAAGGCCCCTAACCAGAAGATCGCCCACTAAAATACCGACCTTTACTGGATCCCACTGCCAGATCGGGCAGGGGCCCCTGCTGCAGCCAATGGCCAGCACGCCTCGCCCATCTTTTATCACCCCCTTCCTCCGCCGTCTCGAACCTCTTCGCCTCCTCTGTCTCTTGAAACTCCAAAACATTCTATCCGGTCATTTGTTCCCCTTTTTTCCAATTATCCCAATTGCTTGTTGTTGCGTGCGTGGGAAGGCCATTCTCCTTCTCGCTGCGCCCTATTCTCTTTCAGACTCTCGTTGAATATCTGGATTTTTTTATTAACCACCCAAAACCCGCTGTATCCGTCCGGCCCCATCCGCGTCGATACTTCGAAACCGACCCCCGTCACTCCCCGTTCCACGCGTCATTCCAGTCGGGCCTCGGATCAATTCCACGAACCTGCGCTTAGTGTCAACGTGTGTGCCAGTCTTTTACGGCCTCGCAACTGTACAAAACCGTCCCGCCGCCACCAGCCCCGAGACATCTCTGTCCAGCTCCCTTTTCGCTTTCTACAATCCACACTCTAGAAGTTCCGTTTGATCCGTCAAGATGGGCTTCCGAACGCTGTCCGCAGCTGTCGCTTCCATGCTCTTTATGAGCCAGGCTAACGCCGCCCTCGACCCCATCATCATGAAGGTAAGCGCGATTTCCGGACTTCCGCACCACGTTGGGAATCATGTTGGATCGGGACCGCGGGTTCCCTCGGGTTTCGAATCTGGGCCAGCCGACGGTTGCTGACCACACTTTTTGCAGGGTACCAAGTTCTTCTTCGAGAACGGCACGCAGTTCTTCATCCGGGGTGTCGCTTACCAGCAGGGCGTCGGTGCCGCCGGCTCGACGAATGCCTCGGCCCCCTACGACGACCCCCTCGCCGACATCAACCGCTGCAAGCAGGATGTCCCCATCCTGGCCGGCCTGAGGACCAACGCCATCCGGACGTATGCCATCGATCCCACCAAGGACCACAGCGCCTGCATGAAACTGCTCGACGACGCTGGCATCTACGTCGTTTCCGACCTGAGCGAGCCCTCCCTGTCCATCAACCGCGACAACCCCTCGTGGAACGTCGAGCTGCTCGACCGCTACAAGGCCGTCGTCGACGAGATGAGCAAGTACTCCAACGTCATCGGCTTCTTCGCCGGTAACGAGGTCTCCAACAACAAGACCAACACGGGCGCCTCGGCCTACGTCAAGGCCGCCGTCCGTGACACCAAGGCCTACATCAAGTCCAAGGGCGGCCGCTGGATGGGTGTTGGCTACGCCGCCAACGACGACGTCGATATCCGCACCGAGATTGCTCACTACTTCAACTGCGGCAACCAGAGCAATGCCATCGACTTCTGGGGCTACAACATCTACTCGTGGTGCGGCCACTCCTCCTTCCAGCAGTCCGGCTACGCCGACCAGGTCAAGTTCTTCAGCAACTACTCGGTCCCCGTCTTCTTCGCCGAGTACGGCTGCAACACCCAGGGTGGTGCCAACGGCCGTATCTGGGAGGAGACTACTGCCCTGTACTCCAACGAGATGACTGGCGTCATCTCGGGCGGTATCGTCTACGAGTACTTCCAGGAGGTCCACGACTATGGTATGCGTCCCACCTCTACTCTACTCTTCTATCTTGGTAATGAAGTATCTGAACTAACACAACTTGTGCGCCACAGGTCTGGTCACGCTCGGCAGCAACGGTCAGGCTACCACCATGAAGAACTACAACGCTCTCAAGACCGTCATCGCCTCGGTTAACCCCAGCTCGACCGCCATGTCCGCCTACAACCCCACCAACAGCCCCGCCGCCTGCCCGCCCCTGAACGCCGACTGGCAGGCCAACGCGAACCTGCCCCCGACCCCGGACAAGTCCACCTGCGACTGCATGGAGAGCAACGTGCGGTGCACCGTCTCCTCGAGCGTCGACGAGAAGGACTACGGCAAGCTGTTCGGCCTCGTCTGCGGCCTCAAGGGCAACCCCTGCGCCGGCATCAACGGCAACACCACGACGGGCGTCTACGGCGCCTTCTCCATGTGCAGCCCCAAGCAGAAGCTCGCCTTCGCGCTCGACTCGTACTACCAGTCCCAGGGCTCCGCCAAGGACGCCTGCGACTTCAAGGGCCAGGCCAACCTCGTCACGCCCAAGGGCGCCGCCTCGAGCTGCTCCGCCCTGCTGTCCTCGGCCAGCGCCTCCAACAGCTTCGCCGCCACGGCCACGGCCGCCAAGACGGGCGGCGCCTCCGGCGGCGCCCAGGGCACCAAGAACGTCGCTGCCCCCGTCCCCATCCAGAACGCCTTCACTATTGGCCAGGTCGCCGTCGGCATGTACGTCCTCGTCGCTATGGCTACCGGTGCTGGTATGATGATCCTGTAAAGGTAGCAAGTGGGATCTTAATGGGAATAGAGAAAAGAGGGAGATGTATAATGTGGAGGGAGGGGATGAAAAGATGGGTTGATGGAGTCTACATGGTGTTGTCTTTTCTGTGTATGTGTGTGAAAGTGTCTTAGATGTGGAGGGGGGAGCCACCAACCCTCCCTTCGTGGATAGAAAGTATGAATTCGGGCATTTGCATCCTCATGTGCGTGTTTTCCTTCATTTACACTTTCTCTTCCCCGTGGGCTGGCTGTATGTCGTGTGGTTTTCTCTGGTTTCGTCTCGGTTTTGACGACATGGCATGCTTTTTTATATTGTAGCATCGTTGTAATTAGCTTTTTTTATAAATGTGAAATGGAAAGAATGATGGGGATCTGTACTAGATGTCCTTGAGACTGTTGGTGCATGTGATCGTGACTTTTGTTTGATGAGTTGCGAATCCTTTGATGATGCCAAGAACTCCGTTGACAAGACATCCATCACCGATGTCTTTCACATGTGGTGACAGTGGAGTGCTACACCGAGAAAATGGGATTCCTTGGATAACTAGAACAGGGTCCCTGCCTATCAACCCTTGCTCAATGTTCCCCCAATACCAGGACTCATAGAACTCACAGACAATACATAGGTTGGAACAGAATCCTCATTTGTTCGCGACCCAATACCGCAAAACGTCGGCAAATACTGCAACTACCGGACATCCGTCGCCATTGCTGTCAAGTGGCGGACCATCAAAACCGCGGATGACAAACTCGTCCGGATTTGGCCATGTTACATCCGAAATAAGCCCACTGAAGGTGGGATGTGATGATACCCGGCCTACGGACGGACGTAAGATGGGAGCTGGATAGGCTATTGGGACAAGCCCCTGCTGTCAGCTCTTCTGTATGTACAGCGTCGAGCATGTTTTTTTTTGTTTTCTTGATTCAGGATCCTCGTGCTGCCAGTTGGCATTGGCTGCCATATGTTCACCAACTTTCTGTCTCGTTCTATTGAGGATGTTGTCTTGTCCACGAAGGAAGGGGGGGACCACACCCTTTGCCCACTCTCCGCGATCCAAGTGCTTACACAAGCCGGCCCTGCACAAATAATGTTTATTAAGACTCATAATCCAGACCATGCATTTCCCAGGATCGCCCCTCCGGCACTAGAACAAGCAGCCTACCAATGCTAGTGCAACAGGATGTAAGAAAGTAGTGTCGTCGCGAGGGATATGGAGCCCAACCCTCGTTTCAGGAGAGATGGAGCATGAGAGCAAATGAATAATTACACAAGCCCGTTTCCTTTCTTTGTCGTCCCATCTTGATGGCGCGGGTGGTCGAAAGGATTATTATTTCCTCTCATCGGCGTCTCCTCTTCCCCGGCTCCTGCGCGAGACGAAAAGTTAGACACTGCTCCCCCATCTCACATTCACTCATCCACCAGTAACAGCAACCATGTCATCCAAAGATTCTGACGCCAACACGCCTGCCGCCGCCGCACCACGGCGCGGCTTCCGCGCAGTCATCGTCGGCGGCGGGCCCGTCGGCCTCGGGCTGGCGCACATGCTCGACCGCGCCGGGATAGACTACGTGCTGCTCGAGCGCCGGCCCACCGTGCTCGAGGAGTCCGGGTTCGGGCTCGCGTTCTACCCGCACGGCGTGCGCCTGCTGGACCAGCTCGGCATGCTCGACGAGGCGCGGCGGCTGTACCTGCCCATGCGGGACAAGACGACCTTTGCGCCGGACGGGCGGGAGAGGTGCTACAATCGGCTGTACGAGTCTATGGAGGAGTGGTGAGTTTCTGGAAGTTTCCTTTTGTTCTTTGGTGGGTACGTGTACGTGTGTCTGTAGGTGGAGGGGAGGAATATCCGGAGGGATGATGTTGTTTGGGTGGAAACGTGTTCGGCTCGTTTACTTTCGGGACAAATGTCTCTGGCTGACACTGCCCTGTGCAAACTTGTCTCCAGCCACGGCCACCCCTGGATGCTCCTCAAGAGACAAGACGTCCTGCGGATGCTCTACGAGCGCCTGCCGGACCGCAACTCCAAGGTCCTGACCGGCAAAAAGGTCGTAGCCATCGACTCTCGCGACGACGGCGTCGCCATCCGGTGCTCCGACGGCTCCGTGATAGAGGGCAGCTTCATCGCCGCCTGCGACGGCGTGCACAGCCCCATACGAGGGATGATGGGCGAGCTCGATGATCCCAAGGACAACACGACAAAAAGGAAGACGAAGAAGAAGAAGTCCGTCATGACGGCCTCCTATCAGCTCCTCGTGGGCCACCTCGACCCCATCCCGGACATGCCGCGGAACCACCTGCACGAGGTCCACGGCAAGGCCGGCTTCAGCATGCAGATCTTCATGTTCGACACGGAAGGGTGGTTCCTCGCCTACCGGCGCCTGGACCCGACGCCACCGGCGGACACGTACGTGCGGTACACGGACGCCGACGCCGAGGCCTTCGCGCGGGACATCATGGACCGCCCCGTGGGCGAGGGCAGGACGTTCGCGGACCTGTGGAAGGCGCGCCGGTGGGTGCGGCTCGTGGCGACGGAGGAGGGCGCCGTTCGGGGCCCCTGGCACCGCGGCCGGGTCGTGCTGGTCGGGGACTCGGCGTGCAAGATGACGCCCAACGCGGGGCTGAGCGCGAACCAGGGGTGGCAGGGGGCCGCGGCGCTGACGAACGGGCTGCGGGGCTTACTGCTGAGCAGGAGGTGCAGCAGAGGGAACAAAGAGGAGGAGGGGGGTAGTGGGGAGCCGGACACGGCGGCCCTCGAGGCCGTGTTCCGGGGGTACCGGGCGGCGACGCTGGATATGGCGAAGGGCAGCGCGCGGACGTCTGCGCTGTACATCCGCACCACGAGCTGGCATAGTCCCCTGTACCGGGTTGTGGACTGGCTCGTGCCCAAGCTGGGCGGGGACGAGAGGTCGTTCAAGATCTTTACGGCGCCGGTGGTCAGGCAGGGTCTGTTGCTGGACTGGTTGCCCGAGCCTGGGTACAAGGCTGGTACGGTGGAGTGGGTGAACAAGGCCAGGGTGCAGCAGAAGACTGTGGAGGGGCCGATGGGGGAGGAAGGGGGCGTAAGATAATGGGTTGCTGGTGGGAGGGTGTTGCAGGTGATGACGGTATTCAGGGGTAGGATGGAAGGAGGAAGGATATTCTGTCGGGCAACGTTCCCCAGGGCTTGGCCTCTGTGTAGTTCTGTCATGTGCATCCCAGCACGGTGCGCCTAAATAGACCACAATTCCAGTATAAGAGCTAGCTTCATCAGTTAGATATGCATCTTTGGTAGCAAAGGCCCCCGAACCTTTGTGGTCAAACTAAGTGGTATTTCAAATTGAGTCGAGCAGTATTTCAAATACTTGCATCCTTCATTGGAGAGGGGAAAACTTCGATAACCATGCCGTTGTGATTCGCTGCCCTGTGTTCGCGTCGAGCAGTATCGGGTCGTCGGCGTAAGCTGTGGTTACATGGGGCATGCGAGCTGGTCGCTACGTGCATTTTATCAGGGCATGGGATTGGTCCTTTCGTCAAAGTCTCATTTGGCCCCTTGGCTTCCGGTGAAGGAATATGATCACCAGCATCCACAAGCTGAGACTTAAACGGCTGACATGCCACGCATGGAACTCGCTGTCTTCCAGACTCCTTCTTTTGTTTAGATGTCATCTCCATGCACAGTAGTTCAAGACCTCCCGCAGGTATGCGGCTCTTCGTCACTGTCTTCGCTTTCCTATCTTATTCTCTGGCAGATCTGGCAGATATCCCCTGCTATCGAGTCAGTGGCCTCCGAGCACATCCAGATTGGAAGTCATGCACGAGTGATGCGGCCTCGCAGTGTTGTTCCAAAAATGACTACTGTCTTTCGAACGGGCTGTGTCTCAATGCAGGCGTCGATAACAGCTTCTCAACCCAGGGTTGTACAGATCCGGAGTGGAAAAGACCCTGCCAGTTGTACTGCAACATATCGTTTTCAGGTACAATCCACCCTTATGTCTTTGCCCAACGTCTCTGACGGCGCCCCACGATAGATCCCAACGGCTACATACGGCTCTGGCTATGCGACTTGCAAGGCCCGAACAGAAGCAGGTACTGCTGTGGAGACTCACCCAGCTGCTGTCAGAACTCCTCGAGCCTGATTTCGAATGTGCCCAGGTTCTCGTCAGTCTACAAGGCGCAAGGTGCCCTTCCCAGCACAAGCCCTACTTCAGTCATTGGGCCTACCACCACGGTCTGGGTGACAAGCCCTGCACTCTCGACAGGCCCTGCCACCTCAACTGCACAACCCAAAGGGCAGAGTGGCTCGGCTACCGATACGAGGAATCTCGAGATAGGGCTCGGGGTCGGAATACCGCTAGGGTTATTACTCGTGGCGGCGTTGGCTTTCATCAGCTTCCAGATGAGGAAGACAGCTCGAGCAACGACTACCCCGGGAATTCAACCTATAGAAAACCAACCCCACAAGAGCCCGCTACAGCATTCTCAAGTGATTCCTCGATCCGAGCTACCTAATCTGCAGCGTTCCCAAGTGTTCCCTCGATACGAGCTGCCCCAGGAACCGTGATGGGCTCACTGCGATGCCAACTTACGAAGTTGGTGGCACGATTCGACTTGTAACCAGTGCTCTGTGATAGAGCTTGCGATCAAGATTACCTCGATGAAAAAGGGTTTAGGACTAGGAGATATGGGGCACTGAATCTCGACCTTGGGGAACTTGACTACAGAATGAGCCCGAATAGGGAAAATATTATCTATGTCCTAAAAGTTAGATCGGGTTGAGGAAACTCTATGCATCCAACTAGAGTAAGGGATGGAGGGGACGAACTCTCCAATCCCTAGTCTAGTGTGTGGAACGCTCTGCTTGATGGGATGTTCTGGACTGATCGTATGGAACAAAGATGAAAGTTATGATCTTAGTTCTCAGTCCAAGTAGTTCTCGAAGCTCTGGCTCTTGGCTGAAGGTTATCCTAGTGGAGTAATATACATATTAAAGCGCCATGAATTTGGTGATGACACAGGAGCACTGTGATTGCTGACTCCATGTAATTCAGCCGAGATGTTGACACCATTCGTCGGTGAGCTGTATGTGGTTAGCGATGACATTATCGTTCAGCAGTTCGAACTCCACACAAGTCTTCCAGCTAGCATTGCCATCGCCACGACTACTCTCGGAAGTTGCCATGGACATGACTGTTACCAGCTTGAAATCTACCCGGAGAATTCCGTCCGCGAAACTGCCAAGCGTGGAACATCTAGCTCGGTGAAAATGCCAATACCACGCCTCGAAAAGGACCGAATGGGTGTTTACCATCTTATCATTGATTAGCTTAAGTCAGCCAATAAGTTTGTGTCTTTTCAGGTCCCTTTTCTCCGAATACACGGCTTTCTCCTTGGTGCATCACAGGGACGGTGCAGTAGAGGCAACCGGGGCGCCCGATCGCGGAGAGAACGGTCAATGCACGCCTCAGGCTGGGGTAAGGCGTGCTACAGCCTTGTGGGCTAGCTCAATCGGACCGAAACCCCATGTGGTTGTTCATGGTGACTGATTGGCCAGCGCGAGCTGTCCCACGTCACCAGTTGCTCCCGCAGTGCGGTCGTTCCATTGCCCCGGGATTGTGTCATATCTGATGCGTGTATTTGGCGGGGTAGCTAGAGATCGAAATTGTTTCTAGAAGATCTAGAGAACATTTAAGGTTGCCAGATCCCGCAGTCTGGGACCAATGATATGGAGTCCTTGAGTCAAGATGCACAGACTGCTCACCGAGCCTCATGAGAATAGAGTTTCAGGCTCCATGTGCTTTCCTGCTGTAGCCAGTAGAATTACACAAACGTCTGACTCGAGATACATTACCTGCCGCCCTACACGTGCTGGCACGCGACAGAATTCAAAGCTATGAGCTGTTGCCATGCTACGATCAAAAGAGACACCGATACTTGCAGAGTTGAAGCAATCCAAAGACTGGGAAGTTGGATGAAGGCATTCAGTACAAAATCTTCGAGGCAATGAAGCAGACCTCAACTATAAAAATGAGCGATATTCCTCCCCAAGGAGACTGGATTTACACACTCGGCATCAGTATCAAAAACATCCTCAATCCTTCAAAGACTTTACGGCACTTAATCACTTAGCGGTTCAAATAAGCCTGCTATCCATCCACCATGGTTGTGAGTGATACACTTTGCAATTTACAATGCATACACTGACGATAGATCTGCCCATCAATAGTACTCTGTCGACCTTTTTGCCACCAACCTTAGCCCCTGGGACTGGGTCCCAACTTGGCAGCAAACGGTCGTATCTCATGGCTACAACACATACGCTCCCCAGGTGATTGTGTCGGGCCAGGCTGATGGGAAGGCTGGTGTGTTCGAAGCCGCAAGGGGCACCTGGACTGGCACCACGGGCGCGTCTGTCTATGATTGGCCCGGAGATGGCACCAATATCGTTCTTCTGATCGACATGCCTTATGTCGGCGACAACTCTTGCCGGGTATGCTGCATCTGGCCCCCCTCCTCCCCCAACTCTTCGTCCATTACGTGTCTAGAGAGAGAGAGAGAGGTCAAGGAGACCAACTGACTCTGATGCGCTTAGACCGCTTTCTTGCCTAAGGACTTTTTCTATCCCTCGGACGATCAGGGGTGGAACTGGGATCCGAATGGCAACACGGAGGACATGGTAAACAAGTTTGCAAACAGAAACTACGGCAATACACAGGCCAAGGGCCTCGATGGAAAGTACTATGAAGTAAGCCAAAGTCGCGTCTCTTCACCATTGCCGGTCGAGGGTCCTGTCTAACACTGTTCACCAGTTGTCTTGCGTGATCAGCCAAGGAACACAAGTCGATGCCCACTTTACCATGCAACCCGTCGCCAATAGCACTACCAAGTAGTGGATAGGTTAGCTTTGGATGGGGTGCCTTTGGCCCTGTTCAGTATATATGGGTAGGGTTTTGCTTTCCCGAGGAGTCTAGTCTTGCTCTCGTTGCTTTGGTACCTTTAGGAGTTTTGCAATTTAGTTGCTTTTGGGTTCGAAGTATTGGAGTTTGGGAGTATTGAGGTGCTGGAGTATTGGAGTTTTGAACTTTGCAGTCTGTTTTACAGTTTGAATATACAATTGTTTCCTTGAAATATTTTTATATCTTGAATTTTAAGAGCACGAGTATCAGTGCCGCGGACGCATAATCCTAAGCAAATGGGGGCATCCAGGGTGCTGCCTGCACAACACTTTGTAGCTTTGTGTGATAGTCCAGCACCAAGTCAGGTCCAAGGTCGTCATAGTTCCATACTGCTTCTATGAGGCCTTGTACTCGATCCAGGTGACCAGTTCCTGACTCTTTCTTTGATTTTGAGACGATTTGCAGAACAGTAATTCGTTGCGGGTCGGTCAGGGCTTCGCATGCGATGATGAATAGTGGCCAAGGCGTTTCGCAGGATTGCAAATTGCTCATCATCCTGAGACCCTCGTTGACCAGAGCTTGGTGGGCCGGCTCTGTTCCGTCGTAGCCAAGTGCTGCGCGGTTCAGGTAGATCAGCGCTGCAAGGCAGTGAAGTGCGGTAGTTCGTGACGAAGACTGTACTTCTTCCACAGGACCTGAAGGTAGGAATGTCGAAAGCTCGCTCCGTAATTGCGATCCTAGACCTAGCAATCTCTGACGATCGGATGTTGAAGTGTTATGCCTGTAGGTAACCTCGAATATTTCCCATATGCTGTCCAAGACATTTGACGAGCAGCCGATTGTCACCGGTACCTGAATGCGAGTTGTGTTAAGAAATGCCTTCAAAGACTTGTATTGTGGCATGAGTAGCTTACGTTCTGAACTGCTGGCTCTTCAGAAGACTCTCTCAGATTCAAAGCCATCTTTCTACGGCAGCGTTCAATACGAGAATCTCTGGTCCAGTATATCTGCCCGAACTGAGCCATGGTTTCGTGATAGTAAACCCAGTTCATAAGACTTTCCCGGCTCTCAGAACTGAGGCCATGGGCAGCCATCTTGGACTGTAGGATCTGTTTGACCCCACACAAGTACACAGCCCAGCCGGTCGACGTCGATGCTTGTATAGTCTACGTTGCGATCAACTGCTTGTTCAATGAAGAGATCTCAGGGGGGGCTACCTCGTATAGATAGAGAAGCATGCTGGAAGCGAGATTGCTGATAGCTACCACAACCGAGCTTTCCGGGTCCAGCGAGACACGAAGGAAGGATGTCGCTCTTAGCTTGTAAACCGAAGCCTGCTGATAGGCCCCCAAATACAGACATGAGAGTGCCATAAGGCTGTTTAAGACTGCTTTTGATGAGGGCGAAGAGTCCAAGAGACTTATGTTGAGCAGGAGACGATTCAGGGGCCCAAGTGGAGTTGTGAGGAGAAATCGGTGGCCATTTTGCGTGTCTTGAGAAACTGTTACTCCGGGGCCAGATAGAGATTGCAGGTTAATACTTACAGTAGTGAAGTAACTTGGACTCATCCTGGTCCACCAAGGAGAGTGATATGGATCGGGGTGGTGGTAAGTCGAAGAGCTTTTGTGGCGGCGCCGCTGTCCGATCCTCAATCATCAGCTTAGCACTCCAGCAGGAAATTGAGATGGTCTTACCTCTATTTCTTCCAGACACTATGCCATACCAAGAAGAGATGTGCCAGGAATGCATATTTACGAAAAATCGATTATGATAACGATTGGAGTGACGAGTCGTGCCCGTTCCATGGTGGGAAATGTTATTCGCCAGCATTGATCTCTTTCGGTCGCCGGGTTTTGGCCAGGACAGTCGGAGTCCGTAACCTTGGCATTGCCTATTCGTCCTGGCGCAGTTCAAACAGATAGGGGACCCTAGGTCACATCGAATTCGTCGATCTACAGAGACAGTCGATCGTCAGGAAGCTGCTGGCCTCAACACTTGGTCGGTACCCACCTCTGCAGGTCCCGCAGGCCCGCCTCCTTGGTCTCTGCGCTTTAGCCATAGGCGAATACTTCTCTTCCATGTCCGCCAGTGTATGTGTTTTCGGGGGTGCTGTACTATGTTCCAAGGAACAGCGTGGTCCGCAAAGATTGGCATCCGGGCAATGTCAAAGAAGGCCCGGTGGATTATTAATCGGACAGTCTAGGTTTCTGGAGAAGCTCCACAATGCCGCGGATTCTTGCCAGACTTAGAGCGTGATCCAATCACATTGCGCGTTTAGTTCCCAAGCTAACCCTGACTTGACCCGATACCGTGTTGCCCTCCTTCTCTGGCATTCTTGCTCTGCGGCTGACCATCTGATTAAGTGTTCGCATGAATTGCACAGGTATTTCATCCAATATTGCCAAGCGTATCCAGAAGGCTAGATCAATTACTAATATTCACGCCGGTCTCTCAGCCCCTCGCACGACTTCGGACTAAGAGACAAATCAAGTTGATGTAGGTATGCCATGGACAACATTTAAAAGGTCTGGATGCCCGGGAGGCGCCAGACTGGACATTCTACATCGGTCCATGTAGTTAAATTCGAGCTTGAGAATCTTCTCCTACACTCATCTTGAGACTTAAACGAGACGAGGCAGATCTCCAGCATGGGAGCACACTGGAACCCTTACCACGATGCGCCAGACTTGGCGGGGAAGGTCGCCGTCGTGACAGGTGCTAAGTACGCTCGGTCGAATGTTACGATAAGCTAGATCATGACACTGACCATACTCAACAGTGCAGGCATGGGTCTTTACACAGCACTACACCTGGCACTTCACGGAGCCAAAGTCTACATCGGCGCGAGGACAGAAGCGAAGGCCAACCAGGCAAGAGAGACGATCTTGTCCCTTCAGCCCAGTATTGCAGGAACTCGACTTCCATGGCTGCAACTGGACTTGAGCAAGCTTGGGAGTGTGATTGACGCTGTCGAAAAGTTGAAAAATACAGAGCATAAGATCGACATTCTCGGTATGACCGCCAAATCCTTTCATACACGCTTATAGGTTACTAACCGGTACTCTAAGTCAATAATGCAGGCGTGGCGACGAAAGATGTTGAACTGACGGATGCGGGCTGGGAGATGGCTATGGCAGTGAGGTAAAATTATACCTTGGTTGATAATACTACCTAAGTTTTCTAACGAGGCCATAGCCATGTCGGCCACTTCACTCTCACGAACGGCCTCTTGCCACTCTTAAAGAACGCCGCGAGCGAAAAGGGGGCGGATGTGCGGGTTGTAACCATCACATCCGGTGCCCACTCTTTGTTCTTCCCGTCGGATTATCAGTTCGACTTTTCGAACGCGGGCTTCCTCAGTGGGGAGATTCCTTACGAGCCTTGGAGGTACCGCTTTCTGCAAAAGCCATTGTTCAACATCAGCGCCATCCACTACGGCATGGTCAAGCTGGCGAACGTATTATTCGCGCAGGAGCTTCAACGCCGCTTCGATGACCTCGGCATACCGTTCACTTCGATGTCGGTGGATCCCGGAGCAGTCAAGAGCGATGGTGGGCTCGGTGTCTGGATCACGCCCCTCCAGCCGATCATGAAACGCCTCATGGCGACTCCTGACGAAGGGTCGTTCAACGCCCTCTTTGCCACTACTGCCTCGGAGGTTTGGCGAAAGCCGGAAGTCTACAAGGGAAGTTACCTGGTGCCTGTTGGAAGAGTCGGACAACCGCACACTGTGGTGAAGGACGAGAAACATCAGCGGGCTCTGTGGGAGACTACAACGAACGAGGTGAACAAGTACTTGAAGCAACATGGGCTTGCGCCTCTGAACGAACTCTGAAACCTGTTTGATACTGCAATAATTCTTGTATCCCTTGTATGTTAGGGTCACCTGTACAAAGTTACATCAGATTTCAGTCTCAAAGCATGTTGCCCCATTTCCAAAGTCAATAACGCACCAACTTCCGCCCCTGCGCTCATCTCTCTTACGCCGCACCGGCCGAAGCGGCACTAGCGACAACATAAACGTAATACAACTGGAGCGCCGAAGTCAGCGCCGCAATCTCCCAGGCCTCCCCCATCGTGCCCGACAGCCCGCTGCCCATAAAGGCGAACCGTATCGCCTTGGTCCAGCTCCACGTGGCGTTGAGCGCAATGAGCGCCACGACCTCCTTCCCGTCACTAGTGAAGCCCGAAGACTGAGCCGCCGTGCTGCTCCCGCCGGACTTAGTGTTAGGCCCCTGCAGCCGCACCAGCTTGTAGCCCCACGACGACCCCTGGGCCAGCTCCTTGATGTCGTCCCCGCGGCTCGACCGCCACTCGAACTCCTCGGTCTCGCCGTTGGGTCCCACGGGCATGGACAGCGGCGCGCTGGACCTCGTGATGGTCGGCGCCTTCATGGTGACCGTCACGTCCTTGCCGTCGGGCCCCTGGCGGCCCGGCAGCGTGATGATGTACTTGGTCTGCATGAAGTTGGCGCCGCCCGCCGTGCCGAGGATCGGGTCGCTCTCCGTGGGGCCGTTGCGCAGGATGATGGTCGGCTTCTTGCCCGTGATGCCGCCCGTGTGCGTCTCGACGGCGAAGAGCGGGTGGTCCTTGGACGGGCCGAGGTGGAAGGTCCGCGAGAGCTTCCACTTGTAGTAGCCGTTCATGGACACGGGGAAGAGCTTGACGGCCGGGGCGACGACCCGGCCCTCGGGGTCTGTGTAGGGCGGAGGAGCAATGAGGCTGTCATCCTGGTCGTCGTACGGTGGGGCTTCGTCCGCAGCGGCTTGCGGGGCCTCCCTCTTGTCTTCGTCGGGATGTCCCATCTTGGTGACTTGGCAGGTTGATGGTGAAGGGATATTCGATTCGGTTCTTCTTGTTTAGATGGTCTTCAGAGCTGCTGAATATCACCGAGGACTCGATGCATCTGGGTCCTTGCCCGTCTTTATATCTTCAGTGTCTGCTTATCCAGTAGCTCGATCAAAGACAGCACTGCAGCTGAGCCACATCGACATCATCGCTGCCATGTTTATCACATCGTCCCCGCTAAACCGGGCGGGTCACTCTGCATCCATGGGTGTTAGTTAGATTCTTAGCGGGCGCATGCTGAGAATCTCGCCATCTCCGTATTCGTATCTGCACTGTTGACCACCACTGAATCACTGAATGGTTAGACATGCAGCACAATATCGGCATCGAGCAAGAATAAAGCTAATTGTGTATGATGGGACTCTTGTATTGCCTGTTTCTATTACTATTTGTATCACTTCTCTCCTGAACCACCTAATCCCTGCGTGTTTCTGTCTGTCCCTGCCTGTATCAATAGCGCTGGTCATGATGCCCGTGACCGCCTCTGTCATATTCGCGAGAAGGTAAGGCCTGTCCCCTTTCCGAGCTCAGCGACGGCTGATGCTGTGGATTGAACGAAGCCTCCCGCTGTGGTGGTGATGCCGGCCTGCCGCCATAGCCACCTCTCGGCGGAAAGTCGTACTCCTGAGATCGCTCCGGCGTCAGTCTGCTAGACGGGCCGGGCGAGTGCGCGTAGGCGGGCCCTCGCGATGGGTACGACCTCGAGTCTTGCCAGTGCTGCTGGCGGCCGTGATGCGGCGAGGGCATGTCGCTCATGAGCGGCCTGCCGGCACGCTCCTCCCTCTGCGCGGCCAGCTCGCTGTCCGTCTTGCGGAAGATGGTCTCCCTGTAGGTCTTGAGGTCCTCGATCGCCTTCTCGATCTGCTCAAAGTGCCTGCGGCCTAGGTACGGAGCGCTGCCTTCCGAGTCGCCCTTGGTCTCGTACGCGAGAGACGTCGCGATCTGGAAGGCATTGCGGATCTGCCGTCCATTCCACCAGGTGATTTGCTCCCGGGACCTCTGGAACGGCTCGATTGCAAATTGCCGGAGCTCGTCTCCTCTGATGACCAGCTTCGGCTCGCCTGTGATCATGGCGCGCTGCTCGGCGATCTTCTCTGAGCGGTCGATGTTCATGTCGAACAGGGCCAGGGTCTGGCCGAGGTCTAGGTCTGGGAAGTCGACGCTGAAGTGCACTCGCGAGCTCACTGCCTCGTCGATGACTCCGACGCGGTTGGTCGTGAGGAACAGGATGCCCTGGTAGTACTCCATCGTCCTCAGGAAGACTGGCGAAAGTGTTAGTCATGGATTCAAGCCCTCATCACTGGGTATTTGTTCTTGCTTACTGGAGACCAGAGCGTTTCTTTGGATGTTGTCGTCCTTCTTCTCTCGCTGTGAAAGCAGGATATCTGCCTCGTCGAGAAGCAAGACACAACCCCACTTGTTAGCCAGCCGGAAGACCTCGCTCAGAGTGCTCTCCACCCTATCTAGGTCAATACCGAGATCGCCGCAAGTGATCGGGAATAGCGGTCTGCTGTGGGACGAGGCGACTGCTTCGGCGGTGGCTGTCTTTCCGACGCCGGGAGGACCGTGGAGCAGGATCGCCAGCCCGCGACCTTTGCCCTGGATGAAATCTTGTTCGAGAATCTCCATGTTGAGTGCCTCCAACTTCTTCTGTAGATCCTTCTTCTTGAAGTGCTCCCTGACAACGGACTTGAGCATCCCCTTGACATTCTCTGGGATCTTGAGGTTGCTGAAAGGGTCGTCCACCACTTGCTTGCGGGGCTTCAGGAATCGAATATCTGCGTTGAAGAACTCCCGGTCGCGTAAGGAATATGCACAGAGACGCGATGGCAACAAGGCCAGATCTTCATCAGTGAACGTCTGCTTGCTGGCCGTCCTCTCGACCTCCCGGACATCGAGATCGATGACAAAGTTGTCCTTGTCGGCCAGGTGGTTCCACTCGAGCGAAGAGATGTCATCGTCTTCAATGACAACTTCCCTCACCTTGTTCACCGTCGAGGACCTGCTCTTGTTGGACCACTGAATGACGGAGAAAGGGTCGTACTTGGTGGTAGGCGTGAACGTGCTCTTGAGGTAAGCACCAAAGCCGGGCTTCCAGGCGGCGTGCAGCTGGAAGGCTTCTTTAAAGTCTATGATCACGTCGCTCGAGATGAACTGCGGCGTCCTCATCTCATTGCCCTCCTCGTCCTCGATCATATCGCCGGCTGGGTCGCGAACCTGCGTCCATCCGTTGTAGGTCATGTAGGCCATGGCGTCCTGCGTCTTGTTGATGATCTCGCGGAAACGCCGGCCCCTGTTGCGGTAGGACTCGAACAGCCCGTCGAAGCTCTTCTCGAACCGCGCCGGGTAGCAGATCAGCCTCGTCACCGCCCTCTCGCCCTGGAAGAACGGGATGTTGAACTTGCGGGTCACGGCCGCGTACGAGTCGCCGTCAAAGTCGATGTAGTAGGCCATGATGTTAGTGTCTGACGGTGAGCTTGCGCTGTCGCGGCGGAGCTCGGCACCCGTCTTCTCCAGGTCGTCGACCTTCCAGTCAGGGTTGTCCTGCCAGATGTGGAATATGCGCCAGAGCCTTGGCCCACCCGGGCCCTCGAGTGCTTTGTAAGAGTGCGTTTCGGACCCCTCGGACTGGGAGTATGCCTGGCTCAGGAAGGCGTCATCCCGCTGGAAGATCAGCTGTCCTGGCCGGAAGAGATACCACAAGTCCTCGAAACGAATCTTGGTCCTTCCGTCCAAGGTCCCACTGTCAAACTTGTGGAAGTTGGGGAGGATCTCTGTCCTCATGAAGTCCATGTAGCACTGGATCTCCTTGAACTGCTCGGCAGTGATGGTGTCAAGATCAACCTTGAACTCTTCGGACTCCCCCGACGTCTTTTCTGACTTATCGTTGGCCTTTGAAGCAGTCTCGGAGCTTTTGACGGGACTCTTCGGTGCTTCGGATTTGCTTGACTCGTGAGCCGTCTTGACTGGAGTAGCAACCTGGTCCTCGGCGTTTCCAGAGGGCACATCAGCTTTCTTTCCCTCGGAGGAAGCAGTCTCTGGTGCATCAGGGACAGCCTCCTTTGCAAGCACATCAGTAGGCTTGGAATTGCCCTCCTCATCCGGAATACCAAGCCGCTTTTTGATTGCCTGCACTTCCTCCTCGACCTTGGAGTGGAAGAAGATCGAGATCTTGAACGGCTTGAGGAATGTGTGCGGCTTGGACGACCATGAGACCTCGCCGGTCACCTTGGCGAGCAGTGCTAGGATAACAGCAGAGTTGATCCTCACTCGCTCGATAATGCGACCCTCGTCTTTGTTGTCGATCTGGCCCCGGCGGTTGATCCGCTTGCGAGGAGCCTGGTCAAAGGGCTTCCTCTTGTCGACGGGCAGTCGCTTTAGCTGCTCCTCCTCCATCTCCACGTCGAGCTCGTCGGATGCGAGCAGCGTCTCGATGGCATAGTTGCTCTCGTCCTCGCTGTAGCGGTTCTTGAACTGGTCCCAGCTGCAGTGGCGCACCTCGGGTTTCGTCTGCACCATGTGCCGCTCCTTGGACTCGCTTGTATCCGCCGACGTCTCTTCTTTTTCCTTTTGTTGGACTTCGATTGTCGCCATTCGCGAGTGCAGGTCCTTCATCCAGTTGAATGCCATGTCGCTGGTCAATGCACTGTGCGAGAGCTTCGAATAGTCCTCTTTCGCGGCATCTGCGTGCCTGAATTAGCCATGCACCTCGGTGACCCAAATGTACAGTTCTCCAGCTCACCTTTCTGGGCTTTCTCGGCGGAGGAAGTTTCTGCTGGCTGCTTTTCTTCCGTCTTGGCTTCAGATGCGGTCTCGATAGTGATCTTGGGAGCGGACTGCTCTACAGAAGCTTCGGGCTTTTTCTCGGAAGACTTCTCTGTCGATGCCTCGGCAGCTTTTCCTGGTGGTTCTTGAGATTGCTCCTCGGTTTTGTCCTTGGGCTTCTCTGGCTGAGCTTTATCTTCCAAGTGCCCGGCCTCACTGGTCGAGACCTCGTATGAAGGGGGGTCATCAGAGTCTGCAGCCGCCGGGGCGACCTCTGCGACCTTGGTGACCTCGACTGTCTCCGTCATGTTCTTCGCTTTGTGGGCTGTGAAGCAGCTAGATAAAGCAGGAACACAGCACGTCTCAACGTATATGATCTGCCACGATACTGCGAGAGGAGCAGCCCGATGCTAATGCCAGCTAGCATCTGCTGGGAGAAGTGAGGAGAAAACTTGATAAGTGACCGTGTCCAAGCATCGCATGCGAACATCTTTTATTCAAGACTTCTGAGCAACTCGCACACAGTGCTTCTGGAGCGATGGGGGCCAAAAACTTGGCGCCGACGATCAGCAAGGGTCAGCATGCATATTTCACAAAGGAGCTGCAGCTACAAAACACATTCCATGTCGTCTGAACGGAGCAGTGTCGCAGAAGAACGGTATCTTTCAGGGTATTCTAAGTTAGGTCAGTGCTCCGGGACGGGACGGCCCCAGCGATCCAATGGATCCTCAGCCCATGGAGAAGGGTGTGGCCAGCCCCCCGGTCCAGGAGGCTTGTGATTGATGTTTCAAGCCCACAACTGGGTTGTTAGTGCTTGCTTTCTGCTGTGCTCTGGGAAACAATGCAACATGAAGCGCACAGCCGCCTTGTACGGCTGAGAGAGGAGGGGTGCGTCAGCAAGAGCCAGAGGTAACTGGACGGTGGCCATGAAATGCTCACCGGCTCTGGTCTTTCCAGTAACTAACAAGAGGTATGGTGTCGTGCTTTGGGTGGTAATTGGACTCCCCAGTACGCAGCCGCTTTGAGAAATGACACATCTACTGCTCCTGCTCCTGCTGCTGTTGCTGCAGTGCCCGTGTTCAGCCTATTGAGCAGCCAGGAGATGACTACGTACAGGTTGGAAGTGCAGTCCACAATACGACGGGTCTGCCTTGCACTTCAACCTGTCTTCAGGGAGCACAACCCCTCCATCTTGACGACGAACCGCATGACGATTACAACCCCCAAGTCCCCTGGGCAGCTGCGTACCGTATGGGACTGAAAAGTGTCCCTCTTCCGGTTCACAGAAGAAAGATATTAAATGCTGTTGCTGTCCTCGGTTGAACGAAAGAAGGGAGCCCGTTTCCAAGATGACCGCGTTCGCGAGCGAACTGCCCTCATCGCTGCGGCAGCGCATGAACGACGACCGCGAGATCTTCATGTTCACGTCATGGTCGCGGACGAATTCGGCGGATAGCGTGGGACAGTCGCTGGATTTTGACATGACGTATTCCAAGCAAAGTTCTCAGTTCTTTCTGGCGCTCGAAGACAGGTGAGAGGATCAAACGGGCCGTGAGGAGAGGTCGCAGCTAATTAATGATGAATCGATGCAGCGCGCTGAGTGCCGCGTTAGAGGAATATGCAGCGGCGCAGCCAGGGGACGAGTTCTGGAAGAGCTTCGATGCTAGAGATTGTTCCTGGGAGGATGTGTATCTGGAGCTCGAGACCGCAAGGGCTACATACGACGAAAAGGGTCAGAACATGATACGGGGAGTCTTCCGCCACGGCGCAGGGTTCACCAGGAACCTGACCCCAATGCTGGATGGTCTTCCCCAAGATAACGGCCTCGGTTTGATCAAAGGAGCTCTCAAGGTCGTGTTCAATGCACGTTGGCCCCTCTTCAGAGCTGTTCTGTGCCTTCGACTAACGGTAAACCATAGGCGGTCCAGAGGCGGTCGAACGCGTGTAAACGCATCCTCGACAGCTTCGAGCGTATACCAGACACGATGACGAAAGCAGAGAGGCTACGCCAAGTCTACTTGGAAGACGAGAACCTGTTCCAGCTCATCAAGAAACTGATAGACGAGTTGGTCAAGTGCATCCCGAAGCTCATCGGCATCCTCCTCCGCAAAACGAACGATTCTGGTACGTTTCACACCCCTTCCCCTTTACCACAACCAAATCCTCCAGCACCACCCCGTAGCTGACACTCACACACATACGTACAGCCTTCAAGAAGATGCGCAAGACCATCTTCGAAGACGCCGTCGCCGAGGTCGACGAGCTGCTCCGCCCCCTCGCCCAGGCCGAGGCCCGGCTGGACGAGTGCCGCCGCGAGCTCGACACGCGCGGCATCGCCGAGACCACGCGGCGCGCGGCGCGCACGCAGTCGGGCGTCGAGTCGCTGCGCCGCGACGTCAAGGCCCTGCGCAAGAGCCACCAGGACCTGCACGAGCTGTTCGAGCTCAAGTTCAACGCCCTCTTCGCCATGACGCAGGACGGATACCGGGACCGTGGCGGCGTCGGTGGCGCCGCTGCCTCGCCGTTCCTGAACCTGCACTGCGCGCAGGTCATCGGCGCGCTCTACGAGTCGTCGTCATCGGCGGCGGCGGCGGCGGCAGCCACTTACGAGCGGCCGGCGACGCCCAGGGTGTCCAAGGACCAGCTGCTGCGGGTCCTCTGCAGCGGCGAGGTGGAGGAGCGCGCGCACGCGCGGGACCTCGAGGGCGTGTTCCGCAAGGTGCACGACTTTGGCGGCCGGGCGCTCGCGCAGGCCAACTACTTCGTGTCCACGGCGGTGTTCCGCGAGTGGCTCACGCAGGCCGGCGGCGGCCCGGACGCGCTGCTGCTGCTGGACGGGCACTGCGGCGAGCACAGCGTCGGCAAGGTGTCGCCGCTGTCGGTGTCCTGCGCGGGCCTCGTGCGCACGCTGGTCTCGCTCGCGGCGGACGAGAGCGTGTGGGTGCCCGGCCGGCCGGACGTCGTGCTGTCGTTCTTCTGCGGCTTGCACACCTCGGCGCGGGACGGGCTTTCCGGGCCGCTTGGTATGCTGCGCGGGTTGGTCGTGCAGTTGCTGACGGCTTGGCCGGAGGGGTACCCTCTCGACCTGCGGTTCGTGGAGGAGCCGGGCGTGTGGGACGGCATCAGTGACTGGAACGTGGGCTTCCTCTGCGACTTGTTCGAGAGCCTGGCCTCGCAACTGCGCCATCGCTACTCGGTCTACTGCATCATCGACGGGATCTCTGCATACGAGACGAGCATCGGCGGTTGGAACAGGCAAGTCATACAGATCGTCGGCTGCTTCCTGCGTATCGCCGCCGCACCGGGCCAGGCTCCCGTCAAGTTCCTGCTGGCGAGCCCGGAGAAGAGCACCACGGTCGCCGAGTACTTTGGCAAGAGCATACCTCGCCACATCGACCTCCGGGCGGGCAACTTCCACTCGCAGTCGTTCAACAGCGCGTTCTCGGACGTGAGGGACAGCGTGCACAGCACGCCGACGCGGGAGAAGGACAAACCCGTGTTCAGCCGGAGTACGGCATCGGAGCCACACCTCTCACCCGAGATTGTCCAGCCTAATCGCTTTGGGCGGCTGGCCCGGCAGACTTCTGCACAGAGCTTGCCGTCTGATCCGAGAAAGCGGGATGATGTCGTCGAGGAGGATCGAATGAGTATAGACAGCCCGCGACGGCAACGTGTTTCCTCAGATGTTCAGCGGTATTCCTCGCTAGTATAGTGTGAGAGAATAGTATCGGATGAGATGATAGATACGAAGAGTAGTCAATGCCATATAGAAACAGCAAGAGTATTATTCTATCATCGTCATTCATATTCAAGCTGTCTAATGGCATCTCATTGTGCCACTGGAACGAGCTACGCTATAGCCCCGTCTTATTGTAACTAGATAGAGGCCCTCAGCAGCTTGAAAGTGTCATCACGGCTGCCATTGTACCGCTCCTCGGCCGTCTTCCAGTTGATGACCTTCCAGATGTTCTCAACGTAAGCCGGCTTGCCGTTGAGATACTACACGCACGACAGACAGGGTCAGCAACCACCCGAAGAGCCTCGCTAGACGACCGTGAGAATCATCTTGGGCAGCAACTCACCTGCAGGTAGTAAGCATGCTCCCACATATCCACGCCAAACACGGGGATCTCGCCGCCCACGACGGGGTCCTGGTCCTTGGTCGTCACGATGCGCAGGCCGGTGCTCTCCTCGCGCACGAGCCAGCCCCACCCGCTGCCCTGGATGCCCAGCAGCGCCGCGGCGAAGGCCTTCCGGAACTGCTCGAGGCCGCCCCAGGTCGCGGCGATCTCGGCCACGAGCCTGGGCGCGGCGTCGGGGCTGGCGTCGGGGCTGCTCTGGGGGGCCAGGTTGCGCCAGAAGAGCGAGTGGTTGATGTGCCCGCCGCCGTTGAAGCGGATGGCGGGCTGGAGGGCGATCTGGGCGGGCACGTCGCCGGCGGCCGAGGCGGCGGCGTAGTCGCCGAGGGCCTTGTTCAGGTTGGTCACGTAGGCCTGGTGGTGCTTGGAGTGGTGCAGCTCCATGATCTGGGCCGAGATGCTCGGCTCCAGGGCCTGTGAGGGGAGGGGAGGGGAGGCATGTCAGCATAGCAAGGGGAGATAGATCGTAGAGGATCGGATGGTACATGCTAGGTATGGCCAGGTGTGCTTTGGATCTAAGGGGACACATTGGATGATGATTCACTCACATCGTAGGAGTACGGCAAGGCCGGCAGGGTGTAAGTCTGAGCTCCGGGCATCGTGCAGTTACTGTTCATAGACCAGCTAAGGGGGAAGAAGCTCGCGTGGACGAGGGAGTTGGAGGTGAGACTGGCGATGCAGAGCAGGGCGAGGAGCGAGGAGAAGGGGATGGGCAACGAGGGGAGCAGGGCCCCTCGCCGTCTGGGCAATGTCATCATCGTGATACGTGATAGGTGGCGTGGTGACAAAAGCTACCTAGGTAGATAACTAGGTACCTTGATGGTGGGCGTGTGAAGTGTCTGGACAGCAGGTGTGGAATCGCGGTGGTGGGTTCAAACAGGAGCATTCCCGCGCAAACGTGCTCATAAAGGTGTCCTGTTCCCCACTCAAATCACCCCGTGGATTCCGCTTATCAAGCGTGGAGGCTGACACAACCGTGAGACACTCTGGTAAAATTGCCTACCTTCACACCCGGATGGGATGGACATGGGAAAATCTGCGTCGTGCTTCGGGTGGTTGGTGTCAATTCGGCTTTTGGTTGGCATCCTTCCTTACCATGATGACTTATCACCCTGTCACCGCCGCCTGGACAAGCAACGACACAGCTACCCGGTTGGGCTGTCCGAGCGGATAACTACTTGATTGTGGCCTTCCCATGCGAATCTTTGACGATCAAACATACATATCTCTTGAGAAAATGGAAGCCGGCGCCTGCTGGCCTAGCAGTTCGCGTCTGCATTGGTGTGAGCGACTCGTGTAGCTCGGCGGGTGAGCATGTTTCGCGGATCGAACCCGCTCCATCACCGCGCCTCAAACTCTTGGACTGAGCAAGTTTTCTCGGGCTACTGAGCATAGCATATCGCTCGGGCGGCTCGTGGCTTGCTATCGAGAAAAGTAGAAGAGCGTGTGCTCTTCCTCTCGACCTGTTCAACCTGGCCTGCAAACCGTCTTTCGATTCCTGATACCCCAGGATTACATTTATCCGATTTTCAACGGCCTTGCGTCTCGTCCCAGCAAAAGGGAAGTAGGGAGCTAACGGCCTTCGGTACCATTTAGACGACCATGTGCGGCGGAGAGGACCCGACCACGCTGGCCAACAGGTTCGGCGCCCTCGCCGTCCTCAGCCCCATGCCGTGCACGGCCAGCAAGACGGAATCCGGCCCCAAGCCCGACAATCTCTCGGGCAACATTGTCTTTTACAACCGCGAGAGCCCAGGCAGTCTCGTCGCGACACACATGAAATTTATTACGTCAGATAGTACATATCCTAGCAAGCGCTCGAACCTCCAAGTCGGCCTTCAGTAAGTCCAGATGGGTAATCCCTTGTCCATCTAAAGCAAGCACTTCGGACTCACCAATGACTAGTTCCCTCGGCGATCTCACCCTGCCCACAAGCCTCACATCATCAAGTCGGTCCCCAGTTGTAAATCTCGGCGAGCTGGAAGGTAACTTCCAGGCGTCCTTAGACGTCAGGCTCAAGCAGCCCTTATATCTCCACGTCGGCGACGACGCGCAAGGGAACACGGGCATCATTGGGCGGCGGATTTCATTGCATGCGGCAGAAGGGACGAGACCCGTGGCAGAGGGGATCGTGGGCTACAACCACCTCCCACGCCAAGCAGTGCTGTAGAGCACCCGGTCTAGCATATTCTAGAATCTATCCTTTTGTTTTGCTTTGCATTGTTTTGATGATATCACCCAATCCACATTTCGCACACCACCAGCCCCTGCACAGTAGGGGAAGGAGGCCCGGGGAGCACCTTCCGTCCACTGAAGAAGCCCCGCGGAACGCTCCAGCGCTCCTTCCGCCCCACCATTACGTCGTGCCCCACTGAAGCTTTAGTTGTAATCAATTACATTTCAGGGGTCTGAACCTCCTCGACGCGTCTCCCAGCATGATCAAGCGCGTCGTATGACGTCCCTTTTGGAAAGAAGCCCAGGAGCCTAGATAACACCACAAGACAGATCACAACGGGGTGCATTCCTCAGAACCTCCAACATCTTGACAATCAGGTCAAACTCGCCTATACAAGGAACTAGTTTACTCAATCGATATCCACAAATTCATCTTCACTCTAATTGACCACGCACTGCTCACTCCACCATGCCTCCCAAAAGACAAGCCGCCGCCGCCGCCGCCGGAGGCAACGGCCCTAGCAAGCGTGCCAAGTCGTCCTCGACCAAGAAGACCGCCACCGGCTCCGACGACGACGCCGACATCCCCACAAGCGCCCGCTGGGCCGCCGTCTCGGTCTCCAAGAATGCCGCCAGCTCCTACCACACCGTCACCAAGGACAAGTCCAAGGCCTACACCTACCAGTGCTCCTGCCCGGAGCGCTTCGGCAACAAGAAGCAGCGCGGCAGCGATGATGAGGACGACGAAGACGAAGACGACGACGACGACGAGGACGAAGAGGTGGATCCCAACGGCTGCGGCACCAAGGTCTGCGTGTGCAAGGACGCGCCCGACAAGCACCCGGGCCACCCGTGGCTCGTCACCGACGCCGGCAAGCAGAAGTTTTACGGCCAGGTCACCATGGCGGCGCTGCGGGACCCGGACAACTTTGGCATGTACACCTTCAACGACCACATGGCCTACGGCGTCGTCGAGGTGCTGCAGAACCTCATGATCGACTTCAACGAGGCCGAGGAGGTCGAGCACGGCACCTGGGAGCAGTGGGTCGTCTGCGAGGCCATGGTCCTGTTTCTCAACCTCAGCCAGGGCAGGGATTTCATCTTGTGAGTTTTCTCCGGAGAAGAAGTGGGCGGCATTTCACCATCACCCATTTTATTCTTTCGTTTTTCGCTGACCTGTGGCGTGTCTTCCTCGGAAAACAGGGTCGAGGACGGCGAACTCGCCCGTACCACGCTCTGCCTCATCGGCCGCATGTTCCTCACCATGCTCGCCCGCCTCGAGCGCGAGGACAAGCTCTCCCCGACCTCGGAGGTGCGCAACATCGCGCCGGTAATGGCCGCGTACATCGGCGTCGCGCACGAGATGCGTAGCGACAAGTACGACGTGCTCGAGGACCGCGGCGACAAGACCAAGAAGGGCGGCGCCAAGGGCTTCAGCTACAACGAGGCGCGCTTCGACGACCACGTCGCCGCCTACGCGAAAAAGCACGGGATCAAGCTGGGCGGCGGCGACGACGACGGGCGCCTCGGCAGGCTCGGCGCGCTGGCCGGGAAGTGCGACGCCGGGGCCGGGCTGCCGGCCCCGGGCGCGGACCCCTGGAGCTGGAAGGCCGCGTGGAGGGAGTACGTCAAGGAGTACGACGGCCTGCCGCTGCCCGGGCGCGGCGGCTGCGTCAGGGTCGGCGGGGACCGGCTCGACATCACGACGTGGAGCAGCAAGGAGAGGAAGGCCGCGTCGTTTGGGGGCAAGGACCCGCTCGGGCCGAAGGAGCTCAAGATGATCAAGGAGGGGATGGTGTTGATGATGCGTTAGATGGAGACAGAGTGAGAGAGAGAGAGAGAGAGAGAGTGTGTGTGTGTGTGTGTGTGGCGATGTACGATTATTTTCCGGGGCTCGACTTGTGTTCATAGGAGCTATCTGAGCTGTACAATATGGAGTGGCGTATGGTTTGTGTTTCGTTCGCATGCGTGTGCACGGGCTGGCTACCGAGAAGTGTTCTGTTTCCATTTAATCCCAAAAGACGCCTGAAGTCCATCATTGACACGAACTAGGCCGGATTAGGGCAGTGCGCTCTCTGAGCTGCTCGGTAGTCGAACCGGCAGCTAATAAAGCTTGCTTCTAGCCCGCCCACGAGGCGCCCCGCGTTGCTGGATGTCGATTACATGCGCTCGTGGCAATGGAGGAGTTGCTCCGGCAGCCTCGTGTCTACACATGCCCCGATGTAACTCATGCTGCCAGTAATCATCGCATACCCCCGCCCGGATCCCGGGTCTTACAAACAATCCTTTGAGCCACCCCCTGTACCAACAGCACAATGGCTCTTGGCGGAAAGCCACAGCGTCATCAAGGGCTTGAGGCCACATCGATGACAGCTTTACCATCGCCGTACTCGAGGAAGCAAATGCCATAGCTAAATAGGTAGACTTCTTGTATTAAGGCACGGCGCTCTCCTGTATCCCGCCAGAAATCTACAAGATGAGAGAATCAGCGCTCCCATACTTCCTCAGGCAGTACGCCAACTCCACCACAGCCTCGGCCGCCCAGTGCGCCAAAGATCAGCCCGCTGGCTTCGAGAGCGAGACCGGAAAGGTCGACATCGTATGTCCACCCTTTCATTTCTTCATCTCGTTCCCGTATCACGGCACTAACACTCCCGGACAACCAAGGCCACCGGCTCCATCGGCAAACACGGGACAGCCCATGTCCCCGCCACGGGAAAAGAGCGGCCATCACCGCCCTCCCCTGCGCCGCCAACTCCGGAAGATGAGTCGGACACTGTAGAATAGCCCCCCGCTTAGGGTAGACAGAGAGTCAACGACCGTGGGATGATAACTGCATTTTTGTGTTCGTTTTGTCTGGTTTGGGAGGAAGAAATGGATCCCTATTGCACTTTAGATTTTAATTAACATTATTCTTCTGCGATTCCCTTCGATCACACGTCCCTTTTCATCATCTCAACCCCCCCCCCCATCTACGAGAGCCTCACCACAGTGCCCTCCCCAGCAGCCTTGCGCACCGCCTCAATGATCCGCAGCACGTCCGCCGCCTGGGACACCCGCACGGGGATCTTCTCCTCGTCCCCGCTCGCCAGCGCCTCGCCGAGCAGCTCGTAGAACCTGACGTACGTCTGCAGCGGCTCGGCGTTGGGGCAGGGCTCCTCCCGCACGGAGCCGTCCGCCTGCAGCGCGCACAGCGTGCCGTCCCACGCGGCGTCCTCCTTGCCGAACGCCGGGTCCGGCAGCGCCATGCCGCGCCGCAGCTGGTCCTCCTGCGGGTCGAGCCCGGCCTTGCGGTACGTGCCCTTGGTGCCGCGGACCCAGAAGCGCGGCTGCCGCTTCTCGACGCTCATGACGCCGACGCGCACGTGCGCGAGCAGGCCCCGCGCCTCGTAGGACAGCACGGCGTTGAACGAGTCCGGCTCGTCGTCGGCCGGGCCCGAGCCCCGCACCAGGCGGCCCTCGCGCTGGTCGGCAAAGTGCGCCGAGACGGCGGACGGCAGGCCGAAGAGCGTGTAGACCTGGTCGAGCAGGTGGGAGCCGAGGTCGTACAGCGCGCTGTTGGCCTGGTCCATCCCCAGCGTGCCCTTCCACGTCGTCGGCTTGTCGGCGCGGTACCGGTCAAAGTGCGTCTCGAACTCGTACACGCGGCCCAGCGCGCCCTCGCGCAGCAGCTTCTGCACCGTCAGGAAGTCGGCGTCCCACCGCCGGTTCTGGTACACGCAGACCAGCCGGTTGCGCCGCGCGGCCAGGCGGCCGAGCTCCTCGGCCTCGGCGGCGGTGGGCACGAACGGCTTCTCGACGAGGACGTGCTTGCCGGCCTCGAGGGCCTTCCTGGTGAAGTCGAAGTGGGTGTTGGGCGGGACGCAGAGCACGACGAGGTCGACCTCCGGGTCGGCGAGCATGGGCTCGAGGGCGGCGCGGTGCTTGACGTCCGGGTGGTCGCGGGGCGCGGACGAGGCGTCGGTCGGGTGCCGCTGGACGATGGTGTGCAGCTTGAGGTTCTTGGTCAGGGCGATGAAGGGGATGTGGAAGACCTTGGCCGAGAGGCTGTTTTGTGTGGGATCGGTTGGTTAGTGACGTTTATCGCGAAGATGCGGGGGAGTGATGTGCAGCGGGAGGAGGGGGGACAGCATCGTGAAAGATGCTGTCGCTGGGACTGAGCAATTGGGCCTGCTTACCCGTAGCCGACGATGCCCACGTTGAACACCTTGTCTGCGTTCGCCATCTTGATCGTAGAAGGGTTGTTCGCGAGGTGATGTCGGTCTTCAGTCTGCTTGGAGGTAATGGGTGGTGGATGTTCTTCACTTGTTCAGTTCTTCCTCTTCGACTCTCTCGGCTGGTCTATTTCAAGCAACAGGAGTTTTATGTTTGTTCAGAATTCTCTCCTGCTTCCTGAACAATACTAAAAGTTTACTCAAGCTTCCTAAGCAAAGGTCCAAGTTTTACTCAGGCTTCCTAAGCAATGATCCAGCGTGGTTCATGGCGGGGTTCGAGACGGGACCTCTAGCTCTCGCTGCCCCTCCAAAGGTGCCGAAGTGTGACCGATCGAGGCATGTGGAATCGACCAACTACCAATGCGGCATCTCCGCCACCGCAACTAGCGTCCGCCGCCGTTCGCCGCTCGGTGAGAATGCCGAGACTCAAGTGGAGTGGCGATAATGAGCCAAGACTACGGCCCCAGCCGTGTGGCAGTTGGTGAAGGGACTGATGATTGCCGGGACGAAAGATGCGAGCTATGTCGATAAGCGATTGAGAAACAGTTGGCGAGCGGCTTGTTGTTAATCATCACTAAGCAACCTTTAGCACTGACTCAAGTACAAGTAAGATATAAGATGCAATAGCTCAATACCAATGGCTACTTACATAATGCCATAATGCATTCCATAGTGAATTTAACGCTCCCAAGGTAGAGGTTTCTCAGGTGGTCGATTGTCATTAGGTCATCGTGTCTGAAGAGTTGGTTTCTTAGTTCTCTCGCTCTGTGAACACTTCTTCTTCCCATTGTTTTGAAGACACCAAGTTATCGAGGCGTCCTCCATGTGTGGTGCAAGCTCTCGCTGGCTGATTTGTGGCTTATACTTTTTCTTGCATGTATCTGAATGTCTCGGTTGCTGCCTCGACACACAATTCGTTGAGAACGCACCAATTCATCATTGACTGAAGAGTCTGTGATATTTTAGAATTCTGCATGATAGCTGCAGGGATATGCAGGCCCCCGTCGTGAAATTCCTTGTACCTGACCCGGTTCGTTCGCGAAAGAAAGTCAGGAATGGTTTGCGTTTGTGAAGATCAATGTCTAGCAACTAGGACAATCGTATCCCATCTGCCTCATTGACAATGAGCGTGCTCTCTGCAGGGTTTGGATTGTCGCTCAAGCCCGTGACCAGCGAAGTGGAAATGCATCGTAATCTTTTAGAGGTCTAAGAATCGTTCTGCAATTTTGCTTAAATCCTTGATCCCACACCGTCTTACACATTCGGGCCACTTCTTCGACTTCCGTTGGTGAACTGAAAAGCCCTGACACCCAGCGGCATGGCAAGTTCCGGTGTCCGTTTGTAATCTCGTTTTCTCGGTAATGCATTGGTGTGGAAGCTGCTATGGAGATGTTGCAAGACGAGATGAGTCGATCAAGTGCTATCTTGTGGCCTAGTCAGTTCGTTCTGGTGGCCAGCAGCTTGAAGATGGAAAGCCCCAAAGAGACCTTTGGGAACCCACTTGAAGTGCGGCACAGTCGCTGTCAGGAGAGCCTTCGAGGCCAACAAAACCCAACACGTGCGGCACAGTATCCGCCCCAAAGCCATGGCCGTATCTCCCTTCTCAGTATTGTGAGGGAACACGATCCACTCAAGGCTTGATCCAGCGTGCTTTTCCGAGCTGTAACACCTTTCGTGCTGTTGTGACGGGTGGCTGTTACCTCACACTTAAACTCGTTTTTAAGGACACCAATGCTAAAGAAGGGGGCGGCAGCCTTCATGCTCTCCTCAGTTCGCACATTGAGGAACGTATCGCACTCAGGCAAACTTAATCTGCTACAAATTGCTTGGTTGGTTGAGCTTTTCTCAACTCCGTCGAGTTTGCGCACCACCCAAACTACACACCAGCTCGTGGCGGGGATGTATTTACCAAAGCTGTCTAGATTGAGCGAGCTTCGGAGACGGCAAGCAGTAGCTTGGTAGAAAGATAACACCTCGCTGGCATACGGCAACCCTGTCCGTGGCGTGACGCCCTTGGTAAATATGCAACCACGGTCAGGGGCCAAGGTACGCGAACAACGTCCAGTCCAGCCTCAGGATCCATGATCAATCATCCATCAAGCTCCATGAAACGAAACACTAGATCGCATTGGTCCCTAGATAGGAGCTTTACGATGGACTAGTAGAAAGCTTGTCTGATCTAAGCTTGCATCCCACGCGCAGCCCGCATGCATCCCGCATGAAGCCTGCGGGCGTCCTCCAAATCCCCCAGAACCCCACACCCCATGGGGATATCCGCCATGCGGAAATGCCACGGATGCGGCCTTGCAACAAAGCTGGCGGGGATGTAGATCGCTACCATTGGAGGAGTCCTCTAGTTGTTGTGCGGGATGGTTGGTACTTCTTCTAGATTGAAGTGACTTGAAGGCGTATGGTTCCCCTTGCGGAAGGTGCCGTGAAAGTCCGAGCATGGATAGCACCTCGCTAGAACATACAAGGCCACAAATATAACTCTCACGAGGATGCCCTTGGCCTTGAATATTGGCAATGTTTGCACCTCAGCCCCTTTGCATCGTCATATTTCTAGCTGTGGTTCTTCTAAACACCGCCAACGTGACAATGGCTTCAGAGAGCAAACAGGATCCGGACTCCGGTCATGTCGAGCAACCCATCGGAGGGGCGGTTGACATCCTACGAAATGAGAGTGCCGCTGATGCTCTTGAAGTGGTCACCCAACTGGAGCCCGTTGAGAAGTTCAGCAAGCGCATGATTCAACTGTATCTCATATGCGGTTTCATCTTCCTTGGATCGACCATGAGTGGTCTTGATGGAGCTCTTATGGGCAATCTCTTGGCGATGCCTGCCTTTCAGCGCCAATTTGCTGCTGATATTGTTGGAGTCAAGACAGGCCTGATCTCATCCATGTACGCCATTGGTTCGGTCTGTGCTCTTCCGTTCGTCGGGCCTTGCACCGACAACTGGGGCCGTCGCGTGGGCATGATGATCGGCTGTGTGTTCGTTGTCATGGGCGTTATCATCCAGGGCACATCACACCAGCTTCCACAATACCTCGCTGGCCGCTTCTTTATCGGCTTTGGCGGTAGCGTCGCCCACGTGGCATGTCCGTCCTATGTGGTTGAGTTCTCTCATCCGGTCAACCGCGGCGTCCTCACGGGTCTCTACAACTGCTGCTACTATCTCGGCTCGGTTCTTGCAGCTGCGACTTTGCGCGGGTGCGTCCACTACACCACCAACGCCTCGTGGCTGATCCCTACGTGGATTCAGATGGTCCTCCCGGCCCTGCTGCTCATCGGCTGCCCGTTCGTTCCCGAATCTCCGCGATGGCTGTACGTTCACGGCCAGAAGGCTAAATGCCAGGAGTACCTCACCAAATACCATGGCAACGACAACCCGGACTCGCTCTATGTTCAGCTACAGCTGCGCGAATTCGAAGAAGAGCTCGAGCTCGACGGTGCTGACAAGCGCTGGTGGGACTACCGCGCGCTCTTCAACTCCCGTCCCGCGGCGTACCGCGCCATTCTATGTGCCGTCGCCGTGTCGGTCTTCAGCCAGTGGTCGGGCCAGGCCGGCGTGACGTACTTCCTGCCGGCTATGCTCTCTACGACAGGAATCAAGGATGCGACCACCGTGCTGAACATCAACCTCGGCATCACCATCACGAGCGGTGTCGCAGCGTGCACCGGGGCCAGCTGCATGGACCGGTTCGGCAGACGAAAGATGCTGATCTCTTGCTGTGCCGTCCTCACCCTGCTGTGGGCAGGCATGCTCGGGGGCACAGGAGCGTACTACACCTCCAAGAACACGTCGGCGGCCCAGGCTTCGATCGCCTTCGTCTTCTTCATCGGCATAGTCTTCTCGGCCGCCTACACCCCCTTGCAGGCGCTATATCCTGCCGAAGTCCTGTCCTTCGAGCAGCGCGCCAAGGGGATGGCCCTCCAGAACATGGCGGGCAATGCCGCGGGCCTCGTCAACCAGTTCGCCCTCCCCGTCGCCCTCGGCAAGATCGCATGGAAGACGTACTTTGTCTACCTTGGGACGTGCTTCTTCATGGTGATCTACTACTACTTCCTCATGGTGGAGACCAAAGGGCACACGCTGGAGGAGCTGAATGAGATTTTCAAGGCACGAAACCCACGCAAAGCCTCGCTGGCCAAGGAAAAAGTAAACGAGACAGTCGCCCAAGTGCAGGAGCTCAAATCTGTCTAAGAATAGTCTGGGGAGTGGGGGCTGCCCCCAGTGATGCAGTAGGCTGGGACTTGGGGGTCGTCAATGGAGACCAAACAAAACATGAAGTAGCGCAGAGACCCAAGGCCTGAATTTGCCTCAGTCAGATGATTCCCAGTTATTATCTCCCACTACCGGGCATGATGCTGGGGCACTATGCCAGCATCATTTTTAATGAGAAAGCCATCATGTTCATTATGTAACATTTATACTGCTGTTAGGGCCCTAACAGGTGGCACTGTCTAAGAGATGCTAGCACTGAAAATCCAGTGACAGTATTAGTGATCTCCTCAACAGCTGTTACGGCCAGTATAGATTCTCTGTTACGGTACTTAGGGCTCTGTAGGCCTGACTGAAGCCAAGCTTCGGTCGGGCCAGGTCTTTTTGACGCAGCGTTTAGAGCGCTTTGTACACGTAACATGCCTAAACACCATAGCTACTGTCTGCATCTTGAGCTTTAAGACATTACAGCCTCCCATGATGTGACCAGCGGCTCCATTACAGCAAAAGACTTCCGAGTGCCTGAGGGAAGGGTTGATTGATAGATGGATAGCTCTGAGTACATAAGCGGAATTGTGATCTAGCGATATTGCTTTATTAGTGAAATCCGTTGACGGATACACAAGAATCAACAATGCGTGAAACCAAGGGGCGGAATGTCAACACTGATACAAAGCACAATGTTTATGGATCAACTTGTCTCTGTCAGAACTCTCAGGATGCACTCGCCGAGGATTATGGTCTTCTACCTGCTCCCTAACGACTCCAACCCCAGCGTCTCGAGTTGACGCCGTTAATACGGGGACGTGCACCCATCCCTCAAAATAATCAGGTTAAATCTAAGAGGCCATATCGGAATCATGAATCAAGACCGTCAGAAATAGCACGAGTGCTCATTGAGGCGACACTCGAGCCTCAATTCATCACTTTGGGGCCTTGATTTAACCCAGTGTCGAGACTAGCACTAGTATAGGGTGATCGTCGAGCAAGCGTCGTGATGCGCATGCTGTAGAATTGCAGCCTGCCTCCAAGAAAGGTTTAAGGTTCAGCCCCAAGCCGGGAGTTGTAAGCTCCGCGATTCTCCGATTGACACGGAGCCCGACTAACCAACGTTCCTCTTGCTGTTGATATGGCACTAGTGAAGCAGCGGTTGTAATCAGGGACCTATCCTTTGAATCTGGTCTCCATTTGATGCCGAACGTACCTCGGAAGCCATGATCCCCTCCTTCACAGAGCGGTGATCTAGACTGAGACTCATCATGACACTCCCCGCCAGCATGACGCCCTCCACTTAGCTCCTCCACACACGATCCTTTTAGCTCTCTCCCATCCAATAGGAATGAATCAGATCTTTGATAGAGAGGTCCGAGAGGTCCGGGAAAGCTGGAGCTGCCCATGGGGAAGAAAGATATGGGGAAAACGTGGGGTAGATATGAAGGAAATACAAGACAGAGGAATCCGGGGAGGAGCGCAGTCGAGTTTAATGGACTGGTTGTGAAATATATATATAGGCTTGAGGCCTGCGATACAACATCCGGCTCCAGCTGAATGAGAGGTGTTCTGAGTCTCTGTGTGATATCATCTCTCTGCCATTGTTTGTCTTGGGCGATATTATCCCTCCACAGCAACTCCACCATGGATACGGCTCAAAGAAGCGAAAGCAATGAAGATGCAAAACGCCACGAAGCAGGCGCTCCCTCCTCCGAGCATATCGACGATGGCACTCCGCCAGCGCCAAGTACCGCAATGTACCTGGAGCATGGTATTCAGCCGATCGACGAGGTCACATTGCCCAAGGGCTACTTCTACAGCCCCTTAATCCTGGGCACCTTCTTTGTAAGGGCTTTCCCCCATTCTAGACCAACAGTCTGTCCGTGAGGGTTAAATCTTACTGAGTCCCTCTACTCAAGGCGGCTGCACTTGGCCTTACCTGCGGAGTTAGTGCATTCGCTATGATCGCACCAAATCTCAATCTTATCAACGCCGATATTGGACCCAGTGCAAATATTACCTGGGTTGCTATTGTCTATAACCTCATGATGGGCCTTGGATGCACCCTCGTTGGACGCATAACCGACATATTCGGCCGTCGATGGTTCTTCGTCGGTGGCTCCCTGTTGGCTGTCGTTGGCAATATCGTATGCTCAAGAGCCAGTACTGTCCCTATCATGATTGGCGGGATGACCATGATTGGCTTCGGTAAGTGATCGCGCTGTCTACTTGATCAAGAGTCCTTGGCCCTGACTCGCTATGACTCTTAGCTACTGCCTCCCAGGCCTCGTACTTCTTCGTTGTCGGGGAGTTGGTGCCAATTCGGTGGCGCTTTCTTGTGTCCGGTCTAGTGTATCTGATTGGAACGCCATTCAACATCTTCGGTGCCAAGCTTGGCCCTGTCATCGTCCAAAATTTAGGCTGGAGGTGGATCTTCTACATCATGATTCTTCTTAACGGTGTGGGATGTACTTGCTGGTTTTTATTCTATCATCCACCCACGTTTGTCATGCTACAACATGGCCATTCTGCAAAGGAGCTGGTACTTGGTTTTGACTATGTTGGTTTTGTCTTGTTTTCAGGCGGTATAACGCTGCTCATCCTAGGATTAAGCTGGGGAGGCACTCTCTATGGTACGTACAGCCGCCCTTTTGCCCTATACATTCCAAGATCTGGTCCTTCTAACCTTGCAACAGACTGGGGCAGTGCGCATATTATATGCACTTTGACTATTGGGGGCGTCTTGCTAATTCTATTTTGGCTCTACGAGCTTTTGGCCAAACCGAATGAACCATATATCCCCATGAAGTTGTTTCGAAGACGAGGTTACAACGCTGCTGTCCTGTCAGTGAGTGTTGTTGCTATGGGCTACTACGGCTTTAGGTAATACCTGCCCCCTCATAGCTCAAGTTGCTACTTATCTAATCATGATCGATCTTCCTTTGTAGTATCTTCTGGCCACAAGAGGCTGCAACACTCTACCCATCCTCACCATCTACAAATGGCTGGATGAACCTAGCGGCCTCGGGGATGTTCGCCTTTGGCGATCTCGTCGGCCTCCTAGTCGCTTCCTTTATTCGACGCCGGCTTAGGTTCTTCTTGATTGGTTGTATGATACTGGCTACCGTATTTGGAGGGACAGTCTCTGTGGGCACGCAGCATAATAAGGGGACAACGGTTACACTACTAGCTCTTTGCTGCTTTTCCCTTGGACTTGTCGAGAGTATTGTTCAGGTTCTGGCCGGCATCGCCATTGAGGATCAGAACGATATCGGCACTGCTATCGGACTGTCAGCCTCCGGGCGCGCTTTCGGGGGTGCCTTAGCCACGACGATCTACAGCACCGTCCTGACCAACCGCCTCAAGACGACGATTCCCGCCCTGGTCCCGGCTGCAGTGGTGAAGGCCGGTCTACCGCAGACCTCGGTCCCTCTGCTTCTCGAGGCCTTCCAGGGGCTATTACCTGCAGACAAGGTCCCTGGACTGACCCCGTCGATCATGGCTATCGGGATGGACGCGTACCAGACGGCGAGCGCCCAGGCCTACAAGACCTGCTTCTTGACGAGCATCGCATTCACTGGCTTGGGTTTGATCGCTGTGTTGTTTTGCGAGGACGTGGATCCCAAGTCTGATCATATCGTGGCCAAAGAGCTTCACTCCAAGAGCGATGAGAAGCGTCTCGAGTCAGAGGCGGTCCATGTGGAGAAGCAAGGAGCCTGAAGAAGAGATTCTTGATAATCATGGTGACAGGCCCGCCCTCGTAGTGTTGCTCGAGTCTTGGTGCTGTGAGTCTCATCTCTCAACATTGAAAGTTAAAGGAAAATGCAATTTAGAACGACTTCTTTGGTAGTAGAGTTGATAGCTACCTAGGAGTTCCGACGGCAGTCATCGCAACAAATAAACAGACTTGAACTCAGGGCATAGTCACCTGCTCACAAAAGAGGCAAGTTGCCTTAAAGCTGTCAAATAGTGGCACAGAGTCTCCCAACAGGGCAATCTAAGAACCGCATACGTTCCAGATTTTCGGGCTGGTTAACCGGGTTCCTGGATTGCCTTCCCAGCAATGCACTCAGAGTCGAGTTTTCATTTAATTAACCCCATCACGCGGACCTCGTACAGCAAGTCAGCCAGCCAGTATGACTCGGCAGTTGTGAAACACGTGGGAAAGTAGTTGATATTGGGCTTGTCATACGGTTGGAGTGCTACATATGGACCGCCAAGAACGCGCAACTCCGGCCGGAGCGGAGGATGTTCTTTCGAGCTGAACCCGGTCCCCGGAAGCTGGTGCCGTCTGTCGTAATTGGGTAAAAGGTAAGAAACCACCCGGACACTGAAACGAAAAGGGGGGTTGCTCGTCTGATCACTTCCACCTCTCAGGGTGGTTCCCCGCTACGCAGAGTCCAGGCCCAGAGGATAAATTGCAAATACATTGCCCAGCCCTGGTCAAGGGCCCGAGCGAGACTGTCGTCTTGCCCGCTCAGTGGTTGCACCGACCCATGGCGCATTAATATATCGGTCCTCCCAGTGTGTCATCATAGAAATTCCTGGTTGACCCTGGATGCCCACGGGTTCCAATTTAGCCGGCTGGTGCTCTCCCTCATGTACGCTCATAAGCGATGGCGAGCTTAAATCCATTTTTAGTAGCAGCACGGGGGACAGAGATTGAGGCTAAATCGGCCACTGAACCACAGCGAAGGTAGCAGTGTGACGTTGGTCTGATTCCAACTTCCAGACTGGGTGCGCGGACAGGACGGAGGACGGTCGCCTCGTGGCAAGTCTGGTTCTCGGTTCTGAGAAGGAGGAGGAGGTGGTGGTGGTGGTGCTAGTGATGTGGCTGTCGCCGCCGCGTCCAGATTCTGTCGAACGGCCAAGCCCCCCATTTTCTCTAGTCTCATTGCGACGCTATCTCTCACAAAGAAGAAGAAACCTGGGTAGGGTGGCTTTCTGGATAGCGACGTCGAGAATTGCTACTGAGAAAGCCCGAACATATATCTCCGCCTGCCGTTCGGTCCATTCTGCGAAGGTGATGATGTTCTGGGAAACGATCAACAGACCTCCTCCAATCATCCTTCAGTACCAGTGCCACTGCATGAGCAAAGACACATGATGAGACTCCCTGCGCCAGGTCTAATCGTTGCGGCGGTGTTGGCTACTGCCACGCCCGCACTCGCGGACAACTTCTCGGCCTCATGCGACACGGACTCGATCGTGATTTCGGGTACCGTTGTCACGGCGACATGCAAGACCCTGGTGGGAGGGAAGCGGTGCTCGAAGCTGGACCTCAATATGTGCCTCAAGAACACGTATGGGGCCATCCAAGACGATCCCAGCGGCAAAGGGTAGGTTCTCTGCTTGAACAGAAGCCCCCCCAAACGTATGCAAAGGAAAATTGGCCACTGACTGTTTGGGTGTGATGTGATAGGCCTCACATTGGTGATCAATGCAGTAAGTCGATTCTGGTGGTAGCGAATATGTGGTGTGCAGCAGCAGAACTGATACAGGTGTGTAGTAAACTGCTCGAATGCCAAGTCGAACGATGGTGTGCTGATGTCCGGGCCAACCCTTTTGCACTGTAATTGCGACCCTGGTGCCGGTGCGCCAAAGCCCAGCTGGCCCACGGCGATATTTGACATCAGTGTGTAGACGACACTCTCAAAGCGTCCCAGGCCTTTGTTTCAGTGTGTTGCTGACCTGCGAACAGATACCATGATTGACAACCTGGACGGTTATTTGAAATGTCACGGGCATGTTGCCAGCCAGTGCTAAGCCGGGGGATCATGCAGATGAGTTGGTCAGTCGAATCTCAGTCGAGGGTGTTTGTCATGTACGATTGCAGCAGTTTAGAGTATGAATGGCCCAGGCACTAGGATGGGCCGTAGAATTGACACCTATTCTAGGCAGTGCAGTATTGCGCTCTGCTTGTAATTTCTATTGCTTTGTAGCTCGGGTGGCCAGTCGACCGGTCCCTCGTCCCAAGTCGTGGAAATGCGATGAGACAGTCAACTCGCGGCGATGCAACAGGCGTGTCCAATGCTCAAACTGTACATTGGGCAAGTCCGTGTTCCCTGCTCAACCAATCGCATTATTTGAATTTTAAAACGACGGTCCGTCGATCACAGGTGATACGAACTTGGCACGGTGTGTGGGTTCGTCTCTTCGTCATAATTGTCGGCAGAGCCTTCGTGGCTCATTCGGTGACGGCGATTCAGGAAATGTCGTCATCCACCTCCATTTTCTCTTCTGCTGTAGTCACACCCTTCTTTCCGTCCTTTGATTCAGTGGCATCTGTAGCAGAAGCGCATATGTCAGTACCGGTTCCTCGAGGAGGCGTCCTGGCTGCTGCCACCTACCCTTCATCTCAACCTCGCCGTCGGCTTCCGTCTTGCGCTTCAGGGCATACCCTATTTGCCGCTGCAACTTCTTCTGCTTCTTGGCGCTGAGCGCCCTTCCGGGACCGCTGGTAGGAAGAATGCCTGGGCGAGCGCCGCGCTTGGTCTGCGCCTTTGTGATGGTCGACTTGCCGGCGGCGGACTTCTTTTGACGATCCTTCTTGACTGAGGCGCGGCGGGCGGCGAGGCGGTTCTTGGAGGGCCCGTTGGGGTTCTTGACGGACGGCATGATGGAGTCTGTACAGTGAAGTACTTGTTCGGCTTGTGGAGGCAGACGTGCGTCTACTCAGTCGGCGGGCAATGTGGAAAGGCGATCTGCGAAAAGATCGCGGGGCGACTTGTCGACTTGGTGCTGAAGTCAACTTTTTTTCGTTATCTAATCTTGGTGGGGCCAGTTGAATCAATTGATTGAAGGTATCCAAATGGATCTAGACCATTCGATAACATGGATCGATCTATGGTGGAAAGCTCCAGGGCTGCCCTCAGCACATTTTAGTGCAGTTGACCCCAAATTCAGTGAGGTCTTTGTCGAGCTTCAGTGCTGACTCCTTGTCTACACCCGCTAAAATGAAAGCCTGGGGGTGGAATACCCTCCAGAATGGATGTGTGTTGAACACCAAAATCCATTCCCGTCTTGTATTACAAAATAACAAAGATGTTGTCCTTCTTGCCTGGGTGCTTGATCCTTTCGTCCGGATAATCTTTTCTTGTACCCGGTGCGGGGTGCAGCCTTCTTCCTAGACCCGAGACACACATCATGAGAGTCCCTCTAATCTGTGTGCTCCTCCCGCTCATCAAACAAGGATCTGACGGTGGGACATGACCTTCAACGACCGGTAATAACGTCCTTCCAAATATCTGTACTCATGTGTGCTACTAGGACCTCTGGTGCGTTGCCACTTCAGATCAAATTTGTCTTCTTCAGACCGAAACCTGGGGAAGATGCAGCAGCCTGAGACGCATCGGCACTGATCGCCGCCCTCTCCGCAATGCGTCCCCTCTCACACATGCCGGACGTGTGCCGCTCCGGCCAGAACCCCGGGTCAGCCTTGTGCACAGAGTCACACCATTGCTCTCATGGGTCTCTTCTTCCAGTCGAACGCGGCCCTCCTGCAGCGCAGGTCTCGTCCCATGATTTCTCCATGGGGCAGGTGTTACGGCCAAGAACGGATGAAAGAGGCTTCCTGCTGGCTCCAAGGTGACATCAAGAGGGGCCAATAGTTGAAGAACCTGGGGAACAGTCCTCGCTTGTGCCAGATCGACACATGCATCAGGGTTCTTACTCGTTTCTTACCTCCCCTTGGCACCGTTGGCAAGTCTTGCCACTCCAGGTCGAGACATGGTCGGACATGGTCCGAGAGACTCGTGGTGCTCCGGCGCTCGAGACGGGACACCCGTCTCTTTCGGATTTATACCGTTTGCCTGGTCGTTTCTATCGTGAGAATATTTCCACTTTTTCTGTCCTCTCACTTCGAGTCTTTCTTTCTCTCCGCCCAGGCTCTCCTTCATTCTTTTACAACCGTTGCAAAGCAAGACGTCAGCTCAGATGGCTGGTCACCAGTAGAGCATCCTTTCAGTCGTGTGTTGGTTATTCGCTCTTTTATCTGTTGCTCTTTTCCTATTGCCAGCATCGAACTCAGCCCTCCCGGTCAGGTCGAACGAGCATGGATGCTGTCACGTCTAGCACAGTTGCTACCATCTTGGCTCGGAATCATACTAGTGGACCATCGGTTATCCTTCTTAGTGATGGGAGCGTCATCGTTAGTGATGGCTCTCATGATGACCTGGGGCCTCAGATCAACCTCGTCATCTGGGCCTTGACGGGCACATCCTTTGGCTTCCTTGTTCTGAGGATCTACTGCAAGGCCTTGCGTCAGCGCGGTTACTGGTGGGACGACTATGTTTTGATACTAGCTTGGGTGAGTTTATCACCGTCAGCCTGACCCTCCACAGATGGTTTGATTCCTAACATCGAAGGATAAGATAACCCTGGCTGCTGCATCTGCGTTCACATCAGCCTCTGTGAGCCTGGGCTACGGCAAGCATCTCTGGGACTTCAAGCAGGAAGAGTTGATTCGCCTCCCCCTATTTGGACAGACAGCCGGCTTCTTCTCCATCCTCGCCGCCCTCTGGAGCAAGACGTCCTTCGCCATGACCGTTCTGCGGATCTCGAGCGGCTGGATCAGACGACTTATCTGGTTCATCATCATGTCTCTCACCATCGTCATGGGTAGTAGCGCGCTTTTCCAGTGGATCCACTGCATGCCGGTTGAGAAGACGTATGATTATCGGGTCGAGGGAACCTGTTGGGCTCCCGGGATCATGGTTGGCTATTTCATGCTGACGACTAGTGAGTGCTGTTCTGTTCCCCATGACATTATGTTACTATTTACTGATTTGAGTCCCGCTCAAGTTTGGTCGGGAACCATGGACGTGGTACTGGCGCTTCTGCCCTGGAAGATCATAGGTGGTCTCGTGATGAGCAGGAAGGAAAAGATCGGTGTCATGGTTGCCATGAGCATGGGCGTGTTGTGAGTAGCTTCTGCGAACGCCCGAATGACCTCCCGCTCATATGACCTTCGCAGTGCTGGTGCAGCGTCTCTCATCAAAGCCACAAAGGTCGAAAGCCTCCGGAGTCCGGATCCAGGTAAGTAATCTCTACCCGAGCTATGATTCTGAATCCACTCGTACTAATCTTGTGTTTGTTGCAGCGGACACGATCGACCTGGTGATTTGGGGCATCGCCGAAGGCGCCATCACCATCATTGCCGCTTCCATCCCGATCCTGCGAGCGCTACTCCGCGACCCCAACAAGTCCACCACGGACAACGTCTCTCATTATATGGAACAGAAGCCGTCCCAGGCGGGTCAGGTTTAAGGCCAGCACCTCTCAGTGCACAATATACCTCCTGGTCGTGGATCTCTGCCACACTACGCATTATCATGCATTCATACGGGGCTCGATGTCTCATTCCCCCCCCTTCCACTCTTTTTCAGCACGACGACGAACCTCACAAATGATTTTTGGGAAACGGCGTAACATGGTCTATCATATTTCCTTGGGAGCGACAATTTCTTCTGGTTTTTTGTTCTGTATGATATCAGAGAGGGTACTAGCCCCAATGCATGGATTCTGAGGAGTTACTATGAAGTGATGACGATGGACATGGACAGGGTTTGGTTATCTGCTTTGTGTGGGTGTTGGGGCTTACTCTCATTGTTGGTCGGTCTGGGCGCAACTTGCTTTTTCAGGAGGACGGGTTTGCGATCCAAAACAGTGTGCGAATAAAAATGCATTTGGGAAGATGAGATGGCCGTGTCCGTATAGATATGGGCCCATGCAGCCTACGGTATTGTTGAGTACATACTACAGTGGCTGTGATGCAGTCTTCCGTGGTCAGAACCATTCTCGACATGGCCAGAAACCTTTCTCAAAGTACAAGCCAGTACTTCCTGTGGTTCTCTGATGCGGTGTGTAATGAGCTTACCATGTGCTCTTCTCTAACCATTGTATATTGTATTTCATGCGCTTAAAGAAAAGATCTGCTATACACACCTACTTGAGCCACCACTACGATTGGGTATCTTCTTCCACTGCACCAGGTCTCGCAGCAGGCGCCAGGCCGTGCTGCGGATGCGGAGCCCTGTTGGGCCGCACAACGGAGAACCCCTTCTCCGCCGGCGGAGTTGATTTCCTTCCCGTCAAGCTCCACCCCTTAACTAGATTCCATTCCCAAGGCATCTTCTGCTGCGCCTTGGAGGACGACGGCACTGAAGCCGGCGGTGACGATTCGGTGCTTGGTGTCCCGCGGGGTGGCGGCGCGGTGTAAAACAGGTCTGCTTCCCGGAAGGAGTAGTCGTTCCACCTCGGGCCGAGGGGCATCGTGCTGTCGGCCTCGCTCGCCACAGACACAACAGACCTTGCGCCGTCTTTGCCGGCCCAAGTCGATGAGTTTCGCAGGTCCACGTCGGACAAGGCAGACGCCGATCCGGAGTCTACGGACCCATCCGAGCTGGCTGGCGGCGACGCTGACGGCGTAAAAGGGGAGCGGGATGACGCCCTGGAGCCGAGGGCAGAGTTGTTGAAGAAGCGGGACGCCTCGCCGGGGGCTGCGGGCGTAGGGGATCTCGGGGAGCGGTAGAAGCGAGAGGTCTGTGAGTCGTGAGATCGGTCGAGTCTCCGAGTTGGCCACGCATCGTGACGAGGATCCCATATGTTGCCGCTAGGCTCGTAGTCACGCGAAAGAGAGTATTTCCCGTCAAGCGGTGGTGACGTGCGGAGCATGGAATGATAGTCGTGGGATGGCGGCGAAGCGGATGCGTCGCGACGCTGAAGTTGGCGTAGGCCGATCACGGGTGCATCCTGATAGACAAGCTGTGTTAGTAATACGGTGGCTTACTAGCAAAGAGCGATTGGAAACAGCATCACCCACCCTTACCACGTCCTTGCCTGTCAACAGACGCAATCTCTCACGGATAAGCCGGTACAAATGCCAACAAGACGGTATGAAGAACAGCCCAATCAGCCCCACGGCGTATAGCAACAGCGCCGCATAACAAGCAATGCTCTTCACGTTGAGCAGCTTGGACGGGCGGAAGGTGGAGGGCACAAAACACGCCAGGATGATCAGCCGGAGCGGGATAACCGCGAAGCTGCTCGATGTCGGCGGAAAGGGTCTCAAGATCCGAACAGCCATCAGCATAAAGACCTCGCAGGCCATGAGAACAGCGAGCTGCACCACACCCCACTGCTGGAGTCCGCCAATGGTCAGGCCCCGGATCATGTCGAGCACAAACAGGGTCATGACGAAGATATCATCGCGCCGGGCCTGCGCCCTCTCCTCGGCATACTCGCCGCCGCCAGCTGCTTCGTCTCCCCAGACGCGCTGGTATCGGTGCCTCCGATGGAAGACCATCGCACCTAGAGTGGCCGCAGGCACGCGCACCGCGAGCCAGATGAAGGCCACGATGATAATGAGGAGGACCACAATGGCTAGCGCCATGTGAGCCGCACCTAGGCTCTCAGAAAAGGTCAACTGGTAGGTCGACAGTGCGATGAGCGGCAGAATGATGTATGACAGGACCAGTCTGAGGACACCGTTCCCGACGCGCACAGCAAGCGCGCGTTTACCGGTGCCGGCACCGGGAGCCAACAACGGCAGCCCCAAGACGTTCCGTGGCCTCACGGTCTCGAGCAACCACAGGAACAAGCCGAGGGCTGTGGCGATGCACGCTGTGAGGAGCACCATCAGCAGCCATGTGTCGCACGTCATGGGCGAGCCGACTATCTGGGATATGACCTCGAAGCCCGGGTAGCCGCCGTAGGTGCCGTTGACCTCGTAGAGGCCGTCGCTCACGCCGGGATACGTGGTCACCATCCTTGGCGGGAAAGAAGCCGGTAGACCGTAGAAACTTTTGAGGGGGAGGGCCAGGTTGGCGAAGAGGGCGAACCAGTTGAGTTGCCCTACTACGGCAGGGTAGAAGCCTGGAAAGGCCAGGCTCAGACCGCCCGTCAGGAAGATGAATTGCAGGAAGTGTAGGCAGTTGGCGGTCAGAGGAAGGAGGGCAGGCGCAGCGACAGGCATGTTGCTGACCGAGACTTCGCTTTTGTGCTCGGGTTGCGGCTCTGATGCCGCGGCCACGCTCCGCAAGACTGAGACGAGGAAGACGAAAATGAAGACGGATAGAGGCCCGTAGCGCAGACCCGGCGAGATGGCAGGCGTCAGCAGCGACGAGATGCATGTCGCGTCGTCAAAGACGGTCGTGTTCAGGTGCGCTTGCAGTCGAATGGTCGACAACGCGGGGAGCTCGCCAATGTCGTCGCCTGCGAGGAGCGTCATGCTCACGCGGCTCGAATTCAAGGGCAACCAGACGGGTCTGTGGTCGCCAATGAAGTCGTCGCAGTCGAGCCGTGCTCTGGTCGTGTGCGAGAAGGTCTCGTGTCCGCTCAACGCGGTCCAGTCGAGCTGTACCGTCGCCTCGGGCCAGGCGCCGTTGTCGACGGCAGCCGAAGCCGGAGTGTCGCGGCAGGTGATACCGCTCTGGTGCCGGACCAGGCTGATCGCCAGCCGCGATGTCGGGGCATTCTCGCCGGGGCTTTCGAGCCACGCATTCAGATAGAAAGGAATGATCCCGCTGCCATGACTGTCGTCGCACAGCGACCACTGGAGAAATGCGCCAGCTGCTGGCGAGGCCAGAAAGACAACGAAGAGCCGTACAGCAGAGGCAGCCGTGGTTGTGAGCAGCATTTGGCCAAGAGGAGTGACAAGTCAGTTGTTCACACTGATAGGAATGCCGCGTGTGTGCGCCCCTTGTCGTATCCGTCGCATGTCCCGCCTACTTTACCTCATTAGGTTCGACCTTTCTTCTGATGCCAATGGTCGAATCTTTGTGAGGGAGTAACTTGAAGAAGAGACTCTGCTTCCCAATCGAGCTTTGTCAACATTGCTACCAGGACTAGCTCGTATCTCAGCACTCGCAAAGCCACCACCACACAGCCGCATTAAAGCGCTTACGCGTGCGTTTGTACGGAACATAACTATTAGCACTTCGTATCCAGTAAATTTCTTCAGGGACCACCCAATCTGGTGCATAATATTCAAGGGTGGAACTCCTAACTCGTCCTAACTTGGATAAGCGCTTACCTTCGTAGGTGAGGCCAGACCAGATTCCGAATAAGGGATGATTCAGGGGCACAGGGGCTACAAGTACTCCCTTAAGGCGGTCACAACAATACGACCGGCAGAATGAGATACACCGCCTCGGATGTGCTGGGTTGGCACCTGGTGCACTCACTTAAAGAGTTATGTGGTTTGCTGTTGATCTTCCTTGCTGGGATGACTAATTCAGCCTTTCCAACTTTCAACTTTAGGAAAGCTGATCTCTCTAGATGAGAGTGGTATTCTGTTGTCTGGGAATAGTCAAGGGACAGGCTAGATGGGCAACAGAGCTTAGAAAAAGTATGTCACCCAGTGGTATCCCAAAGTGATGGAGCGGCGGAGGTTCACTTAGCATGGCTTCTAGTAACCTCTTATCAAGTTCGACAGCCTGCGTCTCATCTTTTGGCCCTATCAGCCTTAAGGCGTTGAGGCATCCCAGACAAAGGAAGCTCATCCGCAAATCTATCCTCCAAGAGTCTCTCTTTTATGGTTATCAGATCTGGAAAAGGGAATGAAGTGTAGATGTATCTGTGGAACCGGCATCCTGCCGATTCTGATATCAGGACCATGCTTCGGCGTACGGCGGTGATGATAAGCATACCGTCGCGTGCTTCCTTTGACAGTAAGCACGCGCGTCTTCTGCGGGTGAGTCCAGACCAAGGGTCACTACCCCGGATTATCGACATGGGATGGCATTACGCGATATCACCCTTTGCATTAACTTTATCAGTCTGGAAGCTTTGTTCCGAGTGGTTAGTCACTGGTGCGGTGGCTGCACGACCGGCCCGGTGCAGCTTATCTGAAGGGGGTTCCATCCCGGCTCCAATGCCGGGTCCATAATTATGCTGGTCATTGAACCTCTTTTGATGGGATGGCCAAGATTCTGGAAATGCGGGGTGGCGCTGGGCTACGAGCGGCAATAATGTTCAGTGATAGAAGTGATGAAGAGAAGTGCAGGGGCTGGTGGAGTGTGGGTGCGGAGGTGGACTTGATGGGGACTGACCACCTCGATATAGCGATTTAGACTAGCAGTAGCCCTTCCACCCCAAGATAACCATTCTGGAGATCGGGTTCTCGGCTGATCACGGGATTACTTTGCCCGGCTAACTACATGGGTACCATCTTAAAGTATGTTTTGACTGTTGCTCTGCATTATCTCCTTGCCGCTTTGCCAGTATAGTCTGTCATCTTGCGTCCTTTTGTTGAACCCTGCATAGATATCCTGTAAAGCGAAGGGAACGAGAGATGAGCAAGGTCCTGTTGACAGGTTGGTAAACATCTACGTGCAAAGCAATGTATTGATCCATTCTATTTGATACTAACCTAAGGCGAAATAGGTGGAAATGGCTTCGCCGCCACTCATATACTGAAATGTTTGTTAGAACACAAGTAAGTCACGCTTCTCAAGGAAAGTACAACGACACCAACTAACAGACATATCCGACCACCCAGCTACCGTGTTGTAACAACCGTAAGATCGAAAGAAAAAGGCGATCAGGTCCTTGCGGCGCATAAAGGTATCTCACAAGAGAGACTGTCATACGTTGTAGTTGAAGACATTGCCAAGGAAGGCGCTTTTGACAATGTAAGTCGACTTCTCCTTAGCAATCCTGAAAGCCAACTGACTGGACACAATCCCAAGGCAGTACAATCCGAACCTGCCTTCGACTTTGTCATTCATACTGCGTCCCCATTTCCAGGCGTAGTCAAGGACCCGGTAAAAGACGTCTTAGACCCGGCTATCCGAGGCACAGTTGGTATCCTGGGCTCGATCAAAGCCCACGCACCCAAGGTGAAGCGTGTCGTCATCACGTCCTCATTTGCAGCCATTGTCAACACCGCGTCTCCTCCCAAGGTTTACGACGAGTCGTCGTGGAATCCGATCACATGGGCAGAAGCTGCGTCAGACCCCTCCAACGCATATCGCGGGAGTAAGGTGAGATATCTGCTCGCTCACCCAACGTACAGGCTGCGCAGAACTGACAGGACACCAATCCCTGATATAGGCATTGGCAGAAAGAGCCGCCTGGGATTTCGTACAAGAACAGCAACCAGGTTTTGAGCTCGTCACAGTATGCCCGCCACTCGTGTATGGACCCGTGGCGCACCATCTTGCCAGCCTTGACACCCTCAATACATCCAACACGCGGATCCGAGACTTCATTCAGGGGAAGGTTGCAGGGCCTCAGCTGCCGCCCACAGGAACATTCCTGTTCGCAGACGTGCGGGATCTTGCCCAGGCGCATGTGAAGGCACTCGAGGCTCCCGATGCGGCTGGGAAGCGTTTCTTCATTACCTCAGGTCACTGTTCAAACAAGGCCATAGTGGATGCCATTCGCAAGGCACACCCCGAACTCGAGGAGCGACTGCCTCGTGAGCCCATCGACGACTTCCCTGCAGATGTCTACGGTTACGACAATTCAAGGGCCCGGGAAATCCTCGGAATCAACTTCCGGACGTTGCAGGAGTGCATAGGGGATACTGCTGACTCTCTGCTCAGATTGGGTGCTTGAGTTGGGACGCAGTCCTTGGATACAGTTGCGCATCTAGAAGAATTTCAAGATAGATGATAGAAAGTCAGTACATGGCGATAATGCTTATCCATTCTGATAGAGTCAACACTGCATTATTGTATTTTGATGTGCTTGAATCACCACTGGAGTAAGATGGTTTCTTCAGGCTGATAACCAGACACCATCTTCCGCTACAGAGTTAATACTGTCGCTTTTTGCCACTCATCCGGGGTATGTTGAAATCATGCTGGCGACAATTGGCCACGAGGCAGATTCCCGACATCCGAGGACCCCCTTTTCCTCATCCTCCCCGTTACAGAGGTCAAGCCCGCTCTGCGTCCTTTGATCATCCCGATTCTCGGAGATTGACGCAAACTGTGGCCAGTGGAGCGGTCTTCTCCGATAACGCTTTCCCCGCAGCCGAGTCGGAGATCCACCGCCAACGGGACCTGGCGCCTTAGGTGCCGGCATTCAATGATATCATCTCGGATTGATAACGAAGCATTCGGCCAGTAAAATACGCCTGGAGCTGTCGTGTTCTTGTGCCAAGTGCAGTGTATAGCAGGGTATTCGTGCGCATCAAACAGTCAGAATGGCGGTATCACAAAACAAGCATGTCGTCTTTGACGTCGTAGGTATGATCGTGGCTGGTCCCCAACTGTACCCCAATCCGAATTGTGCGGCTTATCCAGAATCTCGACAGGAACCTGCGTATCCTACGAAGCTTTCTTCGACGCCCTGGAGGCCCGGCTAGGCGAGCGCTTCAGGCAGCAGAGCATCGGCAGTCGCATCTTTGGCTACGCCTGGATGGAGGCCGGCGAGAAGGAGTACACCTACCTCACGCTCGCCGGCAAGTACACTAAGTTCTTCGACATCTTCCGCGCGATATTCTACCGGACTTTGCACCAGGCGGGCATCGCCGAGCCGAGGAAATTCGCGACCGACGAGGACCGCGAATTCCTGCTGGCCTCATACCGCACGCTCAAGCCGCGCGAGGGCCTGAAGGAGTGCTTCTCCAAGCTGCGCGAGGCGGGCTACACCGTCTGGGCGCTGACGGCGGGAGATACCGAGAGGGTGGGCGGATATCTCGCCGCAGGCGGCGTGGATTTTCCGTCTGAGCATTTCGTTTCGTGCGATACCATCGGCATAGGCAAGCCGTCGCCCCAGTCCTATCAGCACATTGTCGACAAGTTCCCCAAGAGCGATCAGCCTATCGACCTCTGGTTCGCCGCCGCGCACATGTGGGATTCCGCTGGCGCGAGGAATTGCGGGTAGGCTTTTTCTTTCCTTTTGGGTCGTTGTGCAGCCTCTTCTCTGAACTAACTCGTCGTTGTAGTTTCAAGGGGGCTTGGGCTTCTATGTGGGAGCAGGAGCCTTGTCTCGAGATCTACGGCGATATGGAGGTCATCGCTGATAGCCTGCCTGCGATGGCGGATGGCATAATCAAGTACTCTCCGTCGAAATAATGAAATATGTCTTGTGTGTAAAGTACTATATAGATTTACTCAGTTGCATACTCTGAAATAATATGCAAGAGTTAGAAGTCCAAGTTACGAAAGTAATGCAAGATAATTACATATGCCTCTGACAATTGTCCAAGAATACCGTATAGTCAGTGGTGTCAATTTGATGTTTCACTTTCAGTCTGAATTAGAACGGTCTCTTGTGTCTAGGTCTAACTCGCTCACAGAATACTAACAGATTTCAGCAACTACGGCTTCTATAAATCTCCTACAGCCTTGACTTGACCTTGCTTCCATGGTCCCGTTCATGACCTTCCAAGACATCGTTCTTCGTACTGCTCAGTCTTTCTTTCGTGATCTTGAAAAGCGACGGCATTCCTGTCTCCTCATAAGGCTTTCCGTGCAACAGCATATCCACCATGCCCTTTGCGGAGAGCAAGATCAACGGCATCCCGTGCCCGGAGAACCCAGCAAGCGCCATCTGACCTGGCTTGTCCGGGATCTCGCCTACATGAGGCATAAAGTCGGAACTGTATCCCATGACTAGAAACGAGTTAGCGCACTTGCCACGCATCCAACCTAGACACAGATCAACTCACTTCCTGTCCACACCTTATCCGTGTACGCTCCGCTATTCTCCCAGCCGATGAATGTCCTTTGCATTAAGCCGTCAAAGTGACTCTTGGCCGGCTCGATAAGTTTGCTGTCATCCCATACGTTGTACCAGTGCGAACGGTCAGACCAGAAGTTCGGCTTGGCACCGCCGACAATGATGCTCCCGTCATTTCTCGGGATGAGATAGTCAAATAGGCCCTTTCCGTATCGGATACTGTAGGTCTGAGGCAGGAACGGTGCTTGGCGGCCCTTGGGAACGACGATACGACTGCAAATTCCTCTTACGGGGATGATGCGATCCTTGAACTGCGGCGCCAGCTTTGAAGTATACGCATTGGTGGCGTACAGCACTTTCTTCGCCTTGATCGCACCTCGCTCTGTCGTAACCAGCCAGCGTCCGTCGGCAAGGGGTGTCTCGGATACGCTGGTAACGGGGGTGTGAGTTTGCAGGTTGGCGCCTTTGCTCACAACCCCAGCAAGCAGATGCATCACCATCTTATACGGCCAGATATGTCCCGCCGTGAAGGTGAAGCAGTTCAACGCGCCCTTGACACCAGATACCTGAAGTTCATCAAAAGTCATTAGCAACCCCTGATGTGTGTAGAATAAATGTATGCTGGTGGACTTACACGCTCCGCATCCTTTCGTCGTGTATAATGCACATCCTTCAGGTTCGCAACTCCCGACTTGGCCAAGATTTCAAAGGCCTCTTCGGTCTCTCTAGCCAGACCTTCATCCACCGTCACATCACAAGCTCGGGTCAGCGTGAACTGGCAGTCGATTTTCTCCTTCTCTACGAGCTCTTTGACAGCAGTGACTTGCGAGGCTTCAAAGTCGGCAACCTCGACAGCCGCGCGCACCCCGAACTTCTTGATGTAGGTGGGGATGTTGAAGTAGACATCCGGTTTCAGGTGGCCGCCTGCCTCAAGGTGAGTCCTTGCGCATCATCAGAGACTGTGGACTTCACAGACGTACCATTGCGAGCAGTAGCTCCCGAGCAAGCCTCTCGGGCCTCAAGGATCACAACCGACGGAGGCGACGGGTTGTCGGCGTAGATGTAATGCGCGAGGGCCGCACCCGCGAAACCAGCTCCGATGATGACAATATCGCTTTCAGCAGGCAGCTCTGGAGTGCTGCGGTGGCTATCGAGCTCATGGAGCTCTGTCCTCCAGAACGACTTGGTCGATCCGGGAACCGGCGTGGGTCCGTCCTGCTGAGCCATGGTGGTGAACGCAATCTGCTTGCAGATGAGCAACAACAGCCCTATCTCATCTCACGAGCGATATGTCTGTCTATCTCTCTCTGATATACAGGCTGCCCGAGATATATCGTGTCTGGCACTAGTCGAAATTTTGGACCCTGAAGCCAAGAGATAGAGGTTCTGTGGCATGATTATCGAACCGGTCCGATCGGAGCTAGGCCGATGGTCCTGCCATCCATTCCCATTTTCGTTAGCAGGACTGTCACTCTCCACTGCGATTCCGAATACCGGCCCGGCTCCGCATTTTTCTCCTCACCACTCGGTTCTGTCCATAAATTCTGTTATCAAGGACGGGCAACTCCGACGTTGTATCCCAGGTCGTGGCGAGCGGGGAGAATGGATCACCTAGCCCGAGGCTAGAGGCGTTAGGATCGACAAAACCTGGGGTTCTTATCTTGAGCCTTGAAAACTCGGTTAGAGGAATACGCGCCGCAGCAAGTGCCTAACCAACATCTCCAGGGGCGGCCCGTGGACTTTGGATTCAAAAGCATCCAAGATGCCCACTTTGATTGACACATCCCCAGACTGAGACTTGGACAGCCTCGATCTATCGTCGTAGGCAACCCAACTCTTTCGTGAGGATATCAAGAGGCTCCCCTTGGTACAGGGTCTCCTCCCATTCTACCGTCTCTCAACCACAACCGAAGTCCAGCAACACGCACGAGATCACCAAATAGCCTCTGCCAACCGGTGAAACGCGATATCATCATGGCTACCAATCCTACCGACGCTGCCGTGACGCGGCCCGACACAGAGACGGCCACGGTCAAGGATCTTGATCACGCTGAGAAGCCCAAGGATCTTGAGGCAGTCATGTCTTCCGAAGTTGGTCACACAGAGGGTGTGTAAATAGAAACTTCCCTTTGTTATGGACAAGTTGTCGCTGATGGCTCAGGAACAGAGTATACCGAGGAGCAATACAAGAAGGTTACGCGCAAGATCGACCGCTATCTTATGCCAATGATGTCAGTCCAGCCCTCGACCCTGCTCTGTCTCGGTGTGTTCCACTCAAAACTAACTAAACCAGGTTCTTCATCTACGGCATTCAGCAAACGGACAAGACGTTCATCAGTATTCAGGCAGTGAGTAGTTCGTTGTCACCTTTATATTGTTTCTTTGCTTACAAGCCGCGCAGCTCTTCGGCATGGAAACAGATCTAGGCCTGCACGGTCAACAGTACCAATGGCTCACAACCATGTGCGTCCCCAACCTCGCAGCCGGTAGTTGAACAGATACTTACATCCATCGCAGCTTCTATCTCACGTTCCTCTTTGGCGAATTCCCATCAACCTGGTTGATGCAGAAGTTCCAGATCGGCCGTGTCCTCTCCATCTACGTTATTTGCTGGTGTGCGTACAGACTTCAACCCCTTATGCGGCTCCCTTTCGCAGTGATAGAGGCTAACCGATCCCCCAGCGATCTGCATCCTCTGCATCAGCGCGGTCCAGAACTGGTCCCAGTTTATGGCCCTGCGAGCCCTGCAGGGTCTCTTCGAGAGTAACGTCTCCCCCGGTTTCCTCCTCCTCACGGGCGAGTGGTACCGGACCGAGGAGCACGCCCACCGATCGCTCTGGTGGCAGGCCTCGGAGGGTCTCTTCTCGGTGGTCTGCAACCTGATGCTCTACGGCCTCGCGCGCCACGTCACTGCGAACAACCCCCACATTGCGGCCTGGCGGACCATCTCCCTCTTCCTCGGCTCGCTGACCTTTGTCGGTGGTATCGCCTGCTTCTGGATCCTGGGGTCTCCGCACCAGGTTCCGTGGTTGAATGAGGAGGAGAAGAAGATTGCGTAAGTGGGAAGACTCTTTTCCGAGTGAATCGTGCATTAGGAAAGACTGACAATGGCATCATCAAGTGCCACTCGTGTTCTTGACAACCAGATCGGTGAGGAGTCAACCAGCCGGAAGTGGCGGTGGGATCAGGTCAGGGAGAGCTTCACCGACCCGCAGGTGTACTTTATTGTCTTGAACACCTTCCTGTCCTGCATTCCAAACGGGTACGTTACGCTTGTGATGACAGAAAAGGAGCATCTACTTACACTCAATTCTCTCCAGTGGTATCACGACCTTCAGCTCCCTGATGTACCAGACCTTTGGCTTCAACAACTGGGATTCTATGCTCTACGGCACTCCGAGGAACGGTACGTCGTCGAACCACTCCCTAAAATTTCAGAGAAAGCCCCTTGAGACCGCCTCTCGCTAACTAGACCTTCTTCGTAGGCATCTACGTCGTCTGCTTCGTAGCGTGCGCCTACTACCTCCGCTACTTCCAGGACCAGCGCCTCTACATCATGATCGTGTCCTGCATCCTCCCCATGGTCGGCATGCTCGTCATGTCCCTGCTGCCCAACACCGAGGAGTACAAATGGGTCAAGTGGGGCATGTACATCATCACCGTCGTCTTCTCGCTGGCCGTCTTCCTGGGCTGGAGCCTGAGTAAGTGATGCTGCAACCTATCTCACACACCCCCGATTCTGTGTGCTAACACCGCTTTCCTCCCTACTACAACAGTCACGTCCAACATCGCCGGCGGCACCAAGCGCACCGTCGTCTCCTCCCTGACGCTCATCGCCTACTGCGTCGGCAACATGGTCGGCTCGCAGGTCTTCCGCACGTCGGACGCGCCGCGGTACGTGCGCGGCACCGTCGCGTGCACCATCTGCTTCGGCCTCGAGGTGCTCTGCATCATCGCCTGGCGGCTGTGGTACATGCGCGAGAACCGGCGGCGCGAGCGGCTCGCCGCCGAGTCGGGCCTGTCCAAGGAGGAGCAGATGCGCATCGGCCTGCAGCTCGGCGAGCAGGACACGACCGACCTGGCCAACCCGCACTTCCGCTATGCCATGTAGAAGCAAGAAAAGGGGTTGGGGGTGTTGCCTGAGGAGTAGCAGTTGTCGTGTTTAGCGGAAGAGAATGTGTTGACAGGTTTGCCATGCCGTGGGTCTGCCAGGACATTCAGTTCAGACCAGTTCAGTTAGGAGTCTCCGTGGAGGGACTTTGTTTCATTTGATCAAAGTAGTATTGAACTCTACCGAAATGTATGACGTGACGTGAAAAAAGAACATCAGCCACCAGACACTGAACGCCGATATGACCAGACCCCATTTTACCCTTGTATTATGTATATGCATTCAGAAACATCAGACCGGAGTAGCCGCCTCACGGCTGTCGTCTTCCTGGTCGCCGCCCACATCCAGTCTACCACCCACACCTCCTGGAAACTTCCCCCCTCCGATGGTTCGAAACGCCTTCTGAGCGAATTGTTGCTTCCTGAAAGGATAGCAGGTTCGAAACTCGAAGCTTCCACAAACCCCCATCGATCAAGGCGCAACCCGATCGCTGTTCCGCCCCAGCGTACTCGGACTCGCCAGGCCCCTCTCCTCCGCGTCGTTCCCATCGTCCTGCAGCAGCTTTTTCCTCGCGGCGTGCTCCTCGTCCTCCTCGTCGCTGACGAGCCCGTCGAGCTCAAACTCCTCCGCGTCCCGCACCTGCCTCCTCTCGGCCGCGGCGGACGCCGAGCCGTTGAGGCCGCGGGCCTGCAGCGCAGGCGGTACCCGGTGGTTCAGCGGGTTGGCGCGGGCCTTGGCGGCGAGCAGGTCGGCGTTGGCGCTGCGGTCGTAGACGTGGATGAGCATGTTGACGAAGAGGAAGAGCAGGAAGGCGAGCGAGTAGAGGATGAGGATGTACGAGATGGGGTCCATGGAGGAGCCGGCCACGAGGGCCATCTGTTCCTCGGTGGCGCCCTGGAAGAGGAAGCCGGCGGCGAAGAGGAGCTGTTTTTTTGTGATTCAGTCAGTCAAGGAGCATAGGATGAAAAGGAGACCTTTAACGAATGGTGGAAACATACGAATGCCGGAATGTACTGGAAGCTGTGCGTCTCAAAGCCGTCGGCGGACATGCCGAACTTGTCGCTGAGGACAAAGGCAACCTCGATGATGCGGGTCAGGCCGGCGGCCATGAGGGTGTAGCCGAATGTGGTGTGGACCATGGCGCTGGTCATGAGCTCCTGCGGGTGCGCCGACATGGCCCAGCCGGTCATGAAGATGACGAAGCCGGGCACAAAGTTGCGCTTGGGCGAGCCGTCGCGGTCGCGACTCAGCCAGACGCCGGCCAGGCCGGCGCACCACCAGATGACGCCCATGGTGGTGTGCTGCCAGTCGTTCTTGACCCAGGCGGTGCCCCAGCGGTGCTCGGTGAAGGTGTTGACGCAGCCCCAGGCCGCGATGACGCAGCTGTCGTAGAACTCCTGCGAGCGGCCGGTGCGGCGCAGCCACATCTGGCCGACGAGCAGCAGGATGGTGAGCAGCACGCCGTAGGCGATGAAGGCGCCGCCCATGATGAAGTGGGCGAGGCACTGGCCGAGGTGGTCGCCCTGGCAGAAGCCGAGGGCGGTGATGCCGCCAAAGATCATCTGGGCCCAGGAGAAGACGGGCAGGGCCTTGCCGTTGATGCCGTGGGCGATGCGGAAGATGGGCCGGATGCGGCCGTTGAAGCCGCGCTCGAGGTGCAGCTTGAGGTAGGCGCCCATGACGACCTGGGCGAAGAGCATGATGTTGAGGACGTGGGCAAACTTGGAGTGGACGTTGCCGTGGATGAACTGGCGGCCCTTGTGCATGTGGCCGAGGAAGTAGGCGAGGATGGCGATCGCGGTGCCGAGGACTTGGAGCGGGACGTGCCAGCGGCTCTTGATCATCTATCAGAGGAGGAAAAGGGGGCAGTAGAGTCAGTTCCATGCTTCGTTGCCTGTATGTGGACTACGAGAGGCGGTGGTAAACGATGAGGGCCCAAACTCACTCCCAAGACCATTCCGAGAGGAAAGATGATGCCGAAGGCAAGCATCTGGAGCAGAATGTGTATCCATAGCGTCGTGTCCTGTATCTCCATCAGTGTCCGAGCAAGCCGACGGAGTGGTGGAAGAGGCAATGTACAATCGGTTCTAGGGAGATGGTCTCGCCTTCGGGGATCTTGTCTTCGTCGTGCTCGTGGGCGGCAGCAAGCGGTAGCATAGCCACAGCAATGGCAGCGCAGGCCACAACGGCCATACTGCTGTACAGGCCTTGCATTCTCTGGACCGCCATCTTGAAGAGGTCGAGCTCAGATTCGCAGGAAGTCGGCTGGCGGCTCAATTGGGGAGGGTAGCCCCTGGGATGGGAGGTGTCGCCGTGTCGGGCCTCAGCGGAAAGGGTGATGTCGTCGTCGGATTCAAAGGAACTGGAGTCAATCGCTGTTGTTGCTCTTCTTGCCTCTGGATATCCCTGCAATCCGCAACTCTGCCACAGAGAATACGGGGAGGACAGAGAAACAGCAAAAAGGCCAGTCAGATGGTTTGACGATGGGACGCGCACGATCGTGGCACTAAAGGAGGACCCTCATTTGCTGAGATAATTCCCCTAGTGATGGCCAACCAGATTCCAGTGAATGGATGCGCTTTTTGCAGCGCATTGTGAGTCCCGGAACACCCGAAGAGACTCGAGTTAGCGGCGGGAGCGGGGATTCATGGGTCCATTTAGTGGATAAAGTTGAAGCTTGAAGCGCTGTAAAATCTTGGAATCTTGTCACTAACTGCCCAGGTGGTGCCTAGCATGCCGCAGTGGGGTTATAATTTATCGCCTAGCAGAGACCAGACACGCGTTAAGTGTCAACATGAAACCTTGTCATGGGATGAACCCTATGAATAGTTCTGAACCGGCCTCCTTGTTTTGTGTGCAGTACTACTTTGTGAAGCTTATTATGAAGCTTCTTCATCTTCATCATGGCATCCATTGAACGAAAGTCCCTAGTCGCCAGTGATATCAACCCCTCTCCCCCTCTTCCGGAGTACCTAGGTAGAGATGCGGTCATTTTCTTACCACCTGCCTGCTCTGGAAACAAGACCCGCCCCGCCACAGTCTCGCAGCTACAGCGAAGCCACACGCTGATCAGTTTTGTCTGCTCTGTTGTATGGCTCCTTGGAAGCTTTGCACGAGTTACAAAGCAAAGATGCCGGGTCTGTTTGTGCTCTTGCTGATTACATATACAGTGGTGTGTAATGAGATGGATGTGATGCTAATTGATTGATTGGCATTCTCCATCCGGCCGGAACCCCGGCTGACTCGATCTCAACGCCGCCCCGGCCATCTCCCGTCCTTCACCCCCCTCCCCTCCTCCTCTCCTCCTCTTTCAGGCACTTGCCGCCGGCAAGATGCCCTGCGGGTAGTGGAACACATCGTTCGGGTCCAGCTGCGCCTTGATCGCCTGCAGCTTCGCCAGGTGCCCGCCCCAGTAGTTCTTCTGCGCCGTCGCCTGGTCCAGCTGCGTGTCCGGGTAGTTGACGTACCGGCCCCACTCGCCGTCCTTCATCGTGCCCGTCAGGTTGCCGATGAAGCTCTGCAGGAACGGGAACCCGTCCGCCGGGTAGGCCCCGAAGTTGACCCGGTCGTAGAACTGGTACAGGAACAGGTAGTCGCGGTGCGCGTACGACGTCGAGTTCCCCGGCACCTTGGGGATGGCCGAGTTCTTGCCGCCGTGCGCGTCGACCTGGATCCACCAGTTGCGCGTCTGCTTCTTGCCCGCGCCGAACCAGTAGTCGACAAAGGCAGCCAGCTGCTGGTCGGTCAGGGCCTGCGAGTACAGGCTCGACGAGTAAAAGGTCTCGTGCTAAAGGGAGTGAGACGGAATTAGCTGTCTGGTTTCATCCATCCCGGCCTTCCATGGACTTGTGCGCAAAAGGAGGGAAAAGGGCTCACCATGTCGTACGGGTGCGTCTGGTTCAGCGCCACCCCGTTGCCAAAGTGCTTGACCTGGTCCAGCCACGTCCCCGTCTGCGTGTACTGCAGCGTCCCGTTGGTCGCGTTGAGGAACGGCTGCAGCGCCGCCACCAGCCCGGCCTTGTCGCCGTAGTACAGGCCCTCAAAGTTGGCGTAGATGCGGTTGAGGAAGAGCCGCATGTTGAGCTCGGCCGGCATCGTGTTGGCCACGTAGTCCTGGAACGCCTTGAGGCCCGCCGCCGCCTTGTCCTGCTTCCAGGGAGCCGACGCCACGAAGATGGTCACCTGCTCCGGCACGGCAAAGGTCTGGAACTGGAACTCGGCCACCACGCCCATCGAGCCGCCCGCGCCGCGCAGCGCCCAGAAGACGTCCGGGTTCTCGGTCGCCGAGCAGGAGACCACCGTCGAGTTGGCCAGGACCACCTTGGCGCTGACGAGGGCGTCGAGCGCGAGGCCCTTGGTGTGCGAGCTCAGGCCGAAGCCGCCGTGGAGCGTGTGTCCTGCGACACCGACACTGTCCGAGAAAGTCTTTGTCAGTCCTCCGGCCCGCATCAAGGCCACTCAGCATGCCACCACCATAGTTTCCTAACTCACCCGGGACAAGTCCCATGGCTGAACGCCCTCTTGCCCTGCGCATACAGCTCCGCCGCGACGTGGCCCAGCCTCGAGCCGCCCTCTATCGTCGCGATGCCCGTCTTGTTGTCCAGCGTCACCTTGCTCATGCGGTCCAGCTCGATCGTCAGGTGCCCGTCCTCGCCGCCCAGGCCGAATGACCCGTAGCTGTGCCCGCCGCACTTGGGGTTCGCCTTGACGCCGAGCTTGACGGCGCAGGCCACAGCGTCCTGGATCTGCTTCACCGTCGTCGGCACGGCGATGGCCACGGGCGTGAAGTTGAGCCGCAGGTTGAAGGGCGCGACGTCCAGCGACCAGTCGTCGGAGCCCTGGCTGTCGACGCTCACGCCCGAGCTCGACAGGCAGTCCTCGAGGGCGGCGCGCTTGCTGAGCGGGGACGCCAGCGAGAGGGAGAGGCCGAAGGCCACCACCGTGGCCAGTGCGGTGCCGTGCAGCATCTTGATGTGGCGTTCTCTGGAGTCTTGTGCGTGTATAACAAAGGGGTAGGGATTCCCCAGGATCTGGAGAAACTGGTGGATAGGGGCAACGAAACTTCTGGGGAAAGGGGGAAGCAGGAGACGCGGAGTGATTCGGAGATATACTCCACGATCTGTTGAGCCGACAAAGTCTGGGGTAATGACAGACAATGGCGGCCACTTCCGTCAGGCAGCGCTCACACACGATCCAGGACGACGTAAAGAGAGTGTCGGACTAGATGTGGCGCCATTCCCTGGTCCAGGTCGTAAGGATGTCTGCCCACACTATTTAAGATCTTCACGCTCCTCCCTGGGTCACCTTCCGCGCCTCGCGGGGTTGATAGAAAGCTGGGATGGGGGTACGGCACAGCAGTCTAGAAGGTCCGACTGGCAGTACCACCACCCGGATTGCGTCTTGGCAAACGGGAAACATGCATATCCATCTTGTCGTCCTGCTCCCCGGGAGTTCGGTTCAGTCCGAGACCATCGGAGTGTGTGGTACGAGGCTTACTGTTACAGATACCGCATCTAGAGTGTGCTCCTACCGCGTCAAATCACCTTCGTACTTATCAGCCGGGTAAAACAGCCACTGGAGGGAGAGGATCACGGGCACGCCCTATGAGCTGTTTCTCGCGCCATTATGATGGGTGGTGTCGATATGGCCCCCGATATGATATAGATCTCTCGGCAATATCTTGGCTCGCAGCCTCAAGTCGCAAATTGGAGTGGCGCACATGATGCCCGTAACGCAACTCCATCACATTTCCAAACCGCAGGTAGGCTTCTCTATGTTAATGAGCATGCGGATCTACGGTACAGGGAGCCGGTAGTCTCGGTATTGCACTTCCCTCGAACGCCGCTCGACCAGAGTTGAAGCGGAGAGCCAAAGGCGGAGGCACGATGGACCAGCTCAGCTCGACCCGGATCGTGAGAACGGGATTATAGAGGTTACCTTCTTAAAGTAGCTTGGGTTTCTTCCATCAATACCTCGTTACAATACAGTGCCTGCATATTATCCGGAGGTCACCGTCGGGTCTCCGGCCACCGACCCATATCGGATATCATTCCACACGGAAGGCCCCTTATTAGCTTGAGTAGACGGAACATTTCAGCTCCTGGAAATGTATGTCGAGAACGGATAACTCAGTCGGTGATTCTGAGTGGAACGGCCGGAACTTCGGATGAGTCCAAGTGGTTCCCCAGACCTGTGATGGAACCCTTTTGCATGGATTCTCGGGAGACAAGAGCCTTTCTCCATGTCCTTTTAACTCCTAAGATCCCATACCTGGGAGACTCCTCCGAGATCAGCAAACTCCACGAATGGTATCATAAGCTGATTTGTGCGCTTTAAATCAGTGGCCTTATGGACATTATCCGGGATCTCCATTTACCCAGGGCCTCCTCGCCTATCTACGGAGCGGGTAATCACCCTGACTCGATATGTCTTTATCCGCAACGCGTTCCACTCAATTGGGTAGTTTCGGAGCTTGAAAGGTAATGTCGCATTGCTCTGGAGTATCGAGAGTCCACATTGAGAGGGCATGAGGTGCCGAAATGGGCCGCGAAAGTAGAATCGTGTGAGAATAGGCGACGACAGCGTGGCCATATAGACGCCAAGAAGTGACCGATCTGCTCTGATGCGATGGCCTTTTTATCAAGCTTGTAAGTAGCTGATGGTCGTTGGTCGTTGCGATAGTCGCGAGCTCGATCACCAACAGCCTACATCCCGTCGAAGGTTCATAAGTTAGGGTCACGCGCCGCCGCTCATCGTTCGACAGACATGGCGTCCATCAGGTCATGGCTCTCGGCAGTCATCTGCCTTCTGCCGAGTGCATCCCTGGCAGCAACACTTCTGGCCTCGCACTACAGCGGCACTATCTACACCCTGGACCTGGAGGTCACGAATGGCAATGGCACCCTGAAGGTCAAGTCTACAGGCAAGGCCGGAGTTACTCAGCCCGCATGGATCACGTTTGACTCTGAGGACCGCATCCTGTATGTCAACGATGAGAACTGGCGAGGCCGTCCAGGCGGCATGTCGGCCTTGTCCGTCAAGGAAGATGGGTCGGTAACCCTGGCGGCGAGCGCGCAGACCTCAGGAGGCCAGGTGCACAGCACCCTGTACGGCGGCAGCAACGGCAGAGGGTTCATCGCGACAACGGAGTAGTCAGTACATCTTGCTTTTCATACCTGAAAAGGACGAAGAACGCGTGACTGACCACAAACACAGCGATCTGTCCACCCTCACAACCTACCAGCTCCCGCTCACGGCCAGCACCCAGCCCGTCGAGAAGCTGAAGTTCACCATGTCGGGCCGCGGCCCCAACGCCATGCGCCAGGACCGCCCGCACCCGCACTCCGTCTGGACCGACCCCACGGGTAAGTTCCTGCTGAGCGCCGACCTGGGCGCCGACCTCGTGCGCATCTACCGCATCGACGCCACTACGGGCAAGCTCACCGAGTGCCCCGCCGCCCAGACCGGTCCGGGCGACGGCCCGCGCCACGGCGCGTGGTGGGCGCCGAAAGCCGGGTCCACCGAGGGACTCATGCTGTACGTCGTCAACGAGCTCGCCAACTCGGTGACGGTCTGGCAGACGGCCTACCCGTCGGGCGACGGAGGGTGCCTGTCGCTCAAGAAGACGCAGTCCGCGCCGACCTACCCGGCGGGCAAGACCGCGCCCCAGGGGTCCAAGGCCGCCGAGGTCCGCGTCGCGGGCAACTTTGTCTACGCGTCGAACCGCAACGACCGAACCTACGGCGCCAAGGAGGACTCGATGGCGACGTACTCCATCGACGCCGCCTCGGGCGCGATCAAGTTCCTCGAGCAGACCAGCGCGCACGGGTGGTTCCCGCGCACGTTTGTGATCAACAAGGCCGGCGACATGGTCGCCATCGGGGGCCAGACCTCGGCCAACGTGGCGGTCGTTGCGCGGGACGTGCAGAGCGGCAAGCTTGGGGAGTTGATTGCCACGATCCCGCTTGGGTCGCCTGGCACGGTGAATAACGAGGATGGCTTGAGTGCTGTGATCTGGGACGAGTGATTACTCCAAGGTATTCTAGCCGTCACTGCGGATTGTTCAGCCTGATGCTGGAGGACTTGAAGATTATATATATACTCTGGGCTCAAATGTACATATGCAAAGACTATATCTCTATCATCTCTGACAGTGCTGGAGACTAGTGTTACGCCATCCCTTCAAGTCGCCTATCTGTGAAATGGTGCTTTCGATGCTGTTGGAACGCACTCCCAAGAATAGACTCCTGCAAAGCATATGCACAAGTCTCAATGGAGAAAACCCGGGTGTCAGCTGGCAACTGTTCCGAGTCGTAATCCTTCTAGGAGTGACGGCTTCGGTGTGCATCCTGCAATATCGGCCACTTTAGCCGGCAGCGGGCTGACTTTGAATGGTCCTGGAGCCATCATCCACGCAGGAGTAGTTATCTGACTTGAGTATATTCACTCGTGTCGGCACAGACTATCGCTACGATGATACAACCTCAGCGTGAGACGTTACACCTTTGAAGCCTTGCTTGGCATTGAAAGTGAAGGAATAGAAATAGTAACGAGTTTCCTCATCGCTCTACGGCCTGCGTTCATTCACCTTTTCTAGGCCTTAGAGATAAAGGAAACATCTTTGACGAGAGAGCACAACTGTCCTCAGAACCAATTTGAACAAGCTCAACTGAGACTCATATCACCGACTCACCTCCTCATCATGCACCTCCCAAGTCTACCCGTGGCTCTGGCCGCCCTCTGCTTGATGGCAACAACTACCTCGGCCGTCAAGCTCGTCCCGTGGCAAGTCCGCAGCCTGGGCACCTACTCGCCCTCAGGCCGTCCGGGCTCTACCCCCTTCTCGTCTCTAAGCTTCACCATCCTTGACAACAACACCGTCGACACGGGGCCCGTCCTCAGCAAGCAGCCCAGCGAGATCAAGTGCCGCATGGAGTGGTCCTCGCGCGCGCAATCCGACGACGAGCCCCCGCCGCCCAAGGACTGGTTCTACGGCGTCGTCAACGACAACTGCACGGCCGTCGACAACGGCCGGTGGACGTTCCGCCTGCTCAAGGCCGGCGAGTCCGAGTGCGCGGGCAAGCGGCCCAGCGCGACGACGTGCTTCGACCTCGAGGTCACGCAGGCGGTCCGGGCGACGGCCGGGCGGGACGAGGGCGACTACGAGGCGGTCCTCGTGGGCAGGGCGCACTTCGAGACGGGCGTCAACATGGTGGGGATGTGCGCGGGCAGCGGGTTCTGCAACTGGGCGCTGGCGGACGACGCGAAGCCCTTCTACGTCGAGCAGGAGTTTACGAATTGTCGGGGTTTCTGTGGCGAGGATTAGAGAGAGGCGCGGGCCCGTAGGGAGGAACAGCACCCTCTGGCTGTGAAGTTGACGGTCAGCTTGATGCGATAGATTCGGGAGAAAGGCTTCACTGGGTTGAAGGATGCACGATGAGGTCTCTCTTCGCCTCTGTTGGTACTTGACATTACCAGAGACTAGTAACCCGGTTCGTTTCATGCTCCGTCTCGCTGTCAATCTCTGCAACGCAAGATGCCCAGCATGGCGACGATATTGCCTCGCGTCTATGAATACAGGGAAGTCATTGAAAGGATCGCCAAGTTTAATAACTGTTAATTTGCCTCAAACTTTCATGGACTGTCGTCCCAAATGTAGCATAGTGCAAGTGAGAATTTAGAGAAAGTGGTCCTGGGCCAGACAAGAAAAGGCAAGTCGTCCTGGACATCTCAATCAAGCATTGAACCACCAGGTTTCATATCCGTTTTCGGTAGTTGTCGTCGTCGGCCATTCACTCAGCCCGCGGGACACTTCGCGACATTTCTCACGCCGTTGAGCTTGACCCGACATCGAAAGCTTGGGACACTTTTCTTCCCAGATTCCATCCTACATGAAGGTCCGCATCCGCAACAAGTATCGCCGAGCAATCTCGCGCGTCGCGTGTGCAAGGAAATAGCCCCCCATAAACAGGCGAGACAGGGTAGCAACCGGGCGTACCGGGGAATGGGCCTCCCCATTAATACGCGCGGGTGCGCAAGTTTGTCTGTGTGTACGCTTGTACGGGCGACCCTGGTCCTTGCCCATTGCCATCCCTGGCGATCAAATCGGAACACCCTAGAGATTCGTTACAGGCGGGAAAAGCAAAAAGAAAAGAAAAACTTGCAGGATCCTGGCCAAAGTGCGACGCTGATGGTGTATCCACTCTGTCCTCCGGGTGCTGTTTGCTCACTCTCCACCCCCAGCCTGCAGAGTAGGCGACAAGAATGGAACGTGCCGTACGAGATGGTAGGGTAGGATTATTGCTTTACTCGGTGACTGGTTGCTGACCCCCTTTGCTTGGCGCCTGCAAGTTGGACGGAGCAGTCTAGACTCTGGTTGCGACGTTCAATGTCATGTCAGAAGCGAAGGATTCCTCGCGAAAGTCATCTCATTCATGGTCAAGATTCAAACAGACACGGGAGCAGAGTGATATCACAAGATGATGGCTATTCATGAAGTTCCAATTAACATTATGTCGTTGTATATATACCACAAAGAACTTTATTTCACACAATAAGCTCTCGTTTGTTTTTGAATGTGCAGGTTTGACATGATTCCCATTTTCGACGATCCCCTCCATCCAAGAAATGCAGGAAATGCAGAAACAAATCCACCAGGCCGACGAAAGCTAGAACAAGCTAGCCTTTCGTACAACCCAACGCTCGTACACCCCGAAACTTCCGCTCTCTATCGGACGCGCGAGAAAGCAAAGCAAAAAAGATGCACAAGATGCCAACGAGATGAAGGGGCATCACCGAGAAAGACCGCCCGTCAGAGCGATCCTCCTCAGGTCAGCACCTCCACACCACTGCTCAAGGACGGCGCGCTTAGAAGGCAGCGAGGGCACCGAGGGCCAGCATGGCGACGGTGCCGATGGAGCCGAGGACGGCAGCGCCGGCGGTGGGGACAGCGGTGGGCTTGCTGGTGGTGGTGCCGTTGGAGGCGCCGGTGGGCTTGCTCGGGGCCGAGGTGGTGGTGGACATGCCAGTCTTGGTCGCGGAGGCCGAGGCCGAGGAGGACACGCTGGAGACGACCGACGAGGAGCTGGCGGCGGAGCTCGAGGACGAGGCGGCGGAGCTGCTGGAGCTGCCGGAGCCGCCGGAGCCACCGCCGGTGGAGCAGGTCTTGCCCTCGTTGATGGCGGCGCAGAAGGCCTGGGTGGCGGGGAGGACCTTGTCTGTAAGAGAGGAAGCGAGTCATGTTAGTCATGCTGAATCTTGCTCATAATACACTGTGCATGTATGCCAAAACGTACTGATGGCAACGTCGTCACCGCAAGCCTTGATAACGTCGGCGGTGGCAGCGCCGGTGATCTTGCTCTGGTTGTCCTTGGTGCACTGGCACTTGAAGTCGTCGGCAGCGCAGGTGGTGGCGGTGGAGGCGGCCTTGACGATGATGGGCTGGGCGCACGACGGGATGTCGGTGATGCACTGAGCGGAGGCCGTGGCGGCAGCGGCGGCGAGGAGGACAGCAGTGTACTTCATCTTGACGGTTGGTTGTTTTGGTTGAATTACTAAGACAAGTTCAAAAAGCTGGTGGTATACAGAGACAACGAGTGTTGTTTGTTGGAAGCTGAAAGCGAATGTGGGTGAGGAGAGAAAAAGAGGAGGAGAAACGATATTGACCGGGCTTGCGAAGGAGTCTGGGGTTTATATGCCGGCCTTTGCTCGAGGTGGGAATGGTACGCTACACACTCATCAGAGATCCTCCTCCCCCGAGTCGAGGTGAGAAGCTTGTGGCACAGGCCAGGAAGACGAGGAGGACCTTGAGCTGGGATGATCGGTAGGGACCCACTGGTTGGGTCAGGGGAGGATGTGCGTTAGGAGGGGGGGGCGAATCTTTGTCGACCAGGGCCATCGTGTGGTCCGAAAGCAAGGTACTCCCGAGATGATGCTCGGTGATGTAGTCATTTCCCTTCCTTGGTCGGCAGCGCGGGTCAGCAACCAACATCGTCCACTGCCATTGAGCATCTCCCACTGTGCGAGTGAGAGCTTCGAGGTACAAGGCCGTCTGGGTGGTGGGTACATCCCCAGCTCGGCCTAGCTACGTAGCATGAGCGCCAGGGTGCGGACAAGGTGTGGATGTGGTAGGCCATGCCGCTTTGCGTTAAGGAGGCTGTGGAGTATTCCCCGAACAAGACACAGGTCCGACAGATCTGCCCACGGCCTCCACCTGGGGGTGGGCATTAAATTAGGTGGGCCGCAATTGGCCCGGGGGGACAAACAGTGAATGCTCGATGGCTCGCTGAATCTCTGTTGCCCATCCTGATGCGCCTGTGAGTGGTGTGCGGATGCTACGGGGGCGGCCACACTCAGCATGGTGGCTGAGCGTTTCCTCCCGGGGTGCTTCTCCTTCCCTCTCTGCCTCTCTCTTTTCTTTTTGCTGGTAGCCAGCCGTTAGACATCCTGGAATTTGTGTCGCAATGGCTGCTGCAGGGGTAATCTCGGGCGGTAGCCAATCTCATCCCCTCGCGCTACCATCGATTCGACCCTGATCCTCGCAGCATCGGTTCGATCTCTTGCCTCTTGTGTATTACAGCACCCTCGAGGCCCTGTCCTTCTACTCTAACTGGCAGATTGGCAAAAGGGGCTCAAACACTTGCCTAAGCTGTATTCTGCGCTGTCATTTCCTTTCATCAGTCGGATCGATGTCGCTTCGCCGTAGCCTTGCTTTGCCTGGATGCACCGAGTCAATTGCAAGCCCAAGTAGCACCAGGCCGCCAACAGCCCGCTGCAGGGCGCTGCCGGCTCGAGCGGAACGAGCTGCAAGGTAACTGTGTACGCATATCGTCAGTGATCGCCAGGTACTTGCAGTCGGTACATCTCTATTGGGACAGGCGTTGGTCGAGGATTCAGCTTGGCTGGACAGCGAGTGTCCTTCGGCCCAGTTTTGCCCTGCTGTCTTGCTTCTGATGACGACGACGCTGGGGAAACCTGGGGCATCGGTTGCCCGTGGCCTTGGCAACAGGCGCTTTCTGACCACACAGTGTCCTGAAACTGTCCTCAGACGGCCCTGTTCCGTGTGTACTTGTAGCTCCCAAAACCAACACCAACGACTTTCACTGGACCAAAGACTGAAGCAAGCACAGATGAAATCGCTTCCTGGAAACCCAATTGGCGTCTTGGAAATTGAATAATGACTCGGCCGAGACACCAGCGACGTCAACTTGACGTCTCAAGACGGAGACTGGTCGACATCTACACTACCTTCTTCAATTGACACAGTTTGGTCTTCCGCCAAACCATCAAGCAAACAAATCTGATCTGCAAATGGTGAACGATGCGGGAAAATGCCGGGGCTGGGCCTCTGCTTTGTGGTAGTGGTGGTGGTGGGCCAGTTATTTCCTGGTCTCAGGTCAGCATGAGCGCATCCGATCCAAAGTGATCGACTGAGGTCCGCGGGGAGTCGTCCATGGCGCCTAGTCAGCAAAGCAACAGAGCAGTGTCACCGAGTGTCTCCTTACCCGCCCCCCCTGCCCCAGTCGGTACGTAATGGAGGTCTACCTTCGAAGCAAACCGGACACGACCAGCCTAGCCTCCTGCGCCGTCCCAGAGCTCCCCCATCATGAAAAACTGTTGCTTCCCGCTAGCAAGCGTTCTTCGAAAGAACTGACAACAAAGTAGCCATGATTGGCAGGTCGATGACGGCGCTACGGCCTTGTGCCCCTGCACTAGAACAACTAGCATGAGGGCAAGCCAAATCTCTGTCGCCCCGGAAATGCAGATGTACGGACCAGCCCACCCACTGAGCCACTGTGCCATCTTGAGAACCTGCTGTGCCATTAGGCGCATCCCCGCCAGCGGGAGGTACTTTAAGCTCGCTGGGCGTCGGAGCTGATCTGGTGGCGGTCCCCAGTGCCAAGAGACGGTTTGCACTGGCCACTTTCTGGGGGTGGACACCATCTCCAGGCTTGCGAGCAGGGCCAAGCACACCAAAGATGCTTGTGAAGAGGGAGCTCCGCTGTTGTTGGTCTGGCCCATCTGCCCTTGCAAAGCTTGACCGGGTACATTGTTGGTGCTGATGGAGAAGGCCAAGAAGCCCAAAAGTCCCAGGCGCCACCAGCCCGCATCCCGAATGGCGCTACGAAGGATTAGCACCAAGTATCACATCTTGAGCCGAGGCCAGGCACCTTGCGAACGTGATTGCTCTGGGAGGGGGAAAAGCATATGATTCCGTTTCCCCAAGAAGCTGGTTGGAGTGAATGTGGGAGAATCCGGGGTACAGCGATCAGCTCCTGGAGTTCTGTCACATGCGTTGTAGAGCAACCTGGCACGCCTGTCTCGACCCCGGGAGATGAATCGAGTACCGCCGACCATCGGCAGGGCACAGCCATCGTCGTTTATGCATTCAAGGATGCATGTTTCACTCAGAGAGCTGGATTGCGCACGACAACCATCGAGATCCAGACATTGATTCCATCTGCTGTTGTAGTGTTGCTATTTTCATCCAGGATGAGTCGCAGGTTGAGATGCCCAGAAGGACCGCATCCTGTGACCGGTCCCAAGAGGCAATAATTACGTAGTGAAGAGCTCTGGATGACGATGAGGCAGCGTGTTGCCAGAGATCAAGATTGGGTACGCTGCACGCGGAAGAAGCCAGGCTTGCCAGGCCTGGTAATTGCTGGCAATTTGGTCCCCTGCAGACAGGTCCACTTCCACATCCGGCCCGCCACAGGTGAGAAGCCGTTTCATGCAGAAGCGGAGATGAGCTGCGAAGGCGAGGACTGCCGCCAATTCTATTAGTCAATGAAAGCTCAATACTATCACAGCATGTCTGACTGTGCTTCGCCTACCTACCTTCACGGCGGATGTTAGCATCGCTTTCTCAATGGCCTAGGAAATCTGAGAGCCCTGTCAGTAAATCTGTCAGTAAACAAACATGCACCCAGCTTTCCTTCTCCCCACCGAGGAAGAATGCAAGGAGACACATAGCGCTAGACATCTCAGCTGTCAATTCCCGCATGTCAAGTCAGGCCCGAGGAATGGCTCCTCCATCTTGGAATGCGACCGTCGGACGGACACACATGGGCACGACGGAAGACCGAGACAACAAAGCTTGGCCACAAGCGCCGTTGTGCCATTGTCGATGGCCGCTTGGCTGAGCTTGAGCGCCTCATGTCTCTGATGTAGCCATTTGACGCTCCCGAGCCAGCCGGTCCCGTCACCAAAGCCCCCAAGATTCACTGAGCAAGTTCGTCGTGTGCTTCTTTGCCATGTACGCATTACGGAGTAGCGTTTTGATGATGCCAAAATGGTCTAGATGCTTCGGCAAGAGTGTCTCCTGTGCATTGATCATGGCGGATATACGGTTCGAAAAGTCTAGGAAGAAAAATAACTTGCCCTCTCTCCAGACAATTCCTCTTCGTCTAGGCCGTGCCGAAGAAAAAGAGTCATTTGATGCTGTTCCATGAATAATCAGAATGCCACAGCTCGGAGCTCATTACGGGGCCAGAATGGGGCAGTCCTTATCGATAAGAGATATGTCGCGGCTTCCTGCTCTAAACCCCGCGTGCGCGCGACTGCCCCTCCATTCTTGAGTTGCTGTGATCGTAGAGAACGCAAGAAAAGACTCCGAGCATTGCCATCTTGCCTGCGATGGAGTACGAAACGAAGACTCGTAGGTCTTGTCTGCCAGGAGGGACAATTTTGTGACTCTTCCGAGGCTAACCACGTCTCAATCTAGCTGGCTACACGACCGGCGAGCAAACCTCGTTTGGCTGGCCCACGGCCCGAGAGCGATGGCCCATCATCATTGTCCGTAACATCCAAGTCTTTCTCTCTTCTATACCAAATTGCATTGCTAATTCATCTTCTGTGGACCGCCAGACGCAAGCTATTGATGACGCTTACCGAAGTGTGTCTCAGTGCGACGATGCCGACAAGCGCGCGGAGGGCAAGAAGATCGTCGAGGAGCTCGCAAGTCTCAAATACGAGGTCCAGCACGACCGGCAGCTCACGTACGTCGACCGTCGACTTGAGACCAAGCTCGTTTCCTGACTTGATGCGACTCGATACAGACCGATAAGAAACGACGGACATGACGATGTCGCCATTTACAACAAGGAGCTCGAGCAATTGGGCAATCCTTCCTGGCTCAATGTCCCTTGGCTGTATGCCGAGTGCTACTTGTTCCGGTACGTGATGATTGAACTGCGAGACAACTTGATCCAAGGAGCGGAGAACTCAACCCTTTGTTTATTTAGACGCATCAACACCTCCTTCACACTCTCGAAACAATGGCAAAATTACGATGTCTTTGCCCGACAAAAGATCAAGACCTTCCGTTCTTCCCGGCCAGCCGTCCTCGAGCTCGCTACCAAATATAGGGGTCTAGTCAAGCAGATGGAGGAGAGCAAGGGGAAAGCGCAGGACGAAGAAGCCGACAAGATCTTGTTTATGGAGATGTGCGAGATCTGCCTCTGGGGCAACGCAACCGACCTGTCTCTTCTGACCAACCTCACCTACGAAGACATCCAAAAGCTGCAAGGATCAGAGGCCCGCAAGGCTGCCGAGAAAAACATCCTGGTCAACGATCTCCCTACAGCCTACGAGACACTGAAAAGGGCCAAGGCGGAGGGCAAGAAGGAGCGTCGCGTCGATATTGTCCTTGACAATGCCGGCTTCGAGCTGTACGTTGACCTCATCCTGGCGGGATACTTGCTGTCCTCCGGCCTGGCCACACTGGTTGTTCTCCACCCCAAGTCTATGCCGTGGTTCGTCTCGGATGTTCTGCCGAGCGACTTTGCCGCTCTGCTCAACGCCCTAGCGCAGCCCAAGAGCTTCTACGAGACTCCGTCGGAGGACGAGGTCCACCAGGGCAAGACGCCCGAGCCGCTGTCCGAGAGCGACGCCGCGGACCTGTCCTTCCTGTTCCAGCAGTGGAGCCAGCTCTACGCCGAAGGCCAGCTCATTCTCCGCCCGAATCGCTTCTGGACCCATCCCGGCAGCTTCTGGCGACTTCCTCACACGGCCAAGGACCTTTACGAGGATCTCAAGACCAGTGAACTGGTTATCTTCAAGGGCGACCTGAACTACAGGAAGCTCACCGGCGATGCAAGCACACCCTTTGTCACCCGATCTGAGACTAGGCTAACATTTCACGTCAGGCGAGGTGGGATCCGACAACCCCATTCGTCGAGGCGATTGGACCTCTCGGTCCTGGCTCAGGTGTCAACGTGCTGGCCCTGCGGACGTGCAAGGCCGATGTTGTGGTCGGCCTAAAGCCCGGCGAGGACGAACGGCTACGGAAGGAAACAGAGAACGGCGGCGGCGACTCTGGCGCTAGGAAGTGGGCGTGGAATGGAAAATGGGCTGTCGTCCAGATGTCGGACGGGGCGTAAAAGAATAACTAGAAGGCATAGAACGGCATGTGAAAACACGGTATGATTCGATACGCATTTCAGATAGACCACTGCCCCTTGGGTGCATCCCAAATAGATGTATTCTTCAAAGGTACCTCTTTCCAGACTTCCAACCCATCTACTCGTCGAATTCTTGTGGTCTTGCGCAGACTGTCTTGGTCTCTTGATACCTGGCGAAGGCTAGGCTGGTGGAGCGCGCGTCCGGCATGTCGCCCGACTCCCCGAGCCCTAGCCTAGGACAAGACAGTCTTTACCAGACTTGGAAGTCTTGGTTCGTCAATCAGCTTTATATCCACGACATCTGTGTACAAGCGACATATGCCAACGAGCCTTTCACAGCCGAGCCCGTGCTGTTCTTCTCGAAGTTCTTGGCTACGCTAACTTTCCCCTCCCGTCAGAGGAACCCAGAGACGGAAATGTCACCTTTTTCGAAGGTTTGGCGTATGGGAAAGGTCCTGATAAGTAAACCTGATAATGTGAAGACAACTTGACTGTGACAGGCGATCACAATGGCAAGAAGGGCTGCCATGCTCGACATGGCAATCTCTTGATAAAGAGCCCAGTTTTCATTTGATCATGGTAGAGTAGCTTAACGAATGAGACATGATGTTGAATATAGGAGGTGTTGTTATCAATCTGGTTGGTGATAGGATAATAGTTGAAATAGGAGTGAAGGAGTGTATTGCAAGTTAATATGCTGGAGGTTTCCAGTGAAGATGAAAGAGAAACATAAAGCGGTAAGGACTGGATAGACAAGCAAGAAAAGGTGAAGGTCGAGCAATAAAAGTAAAGTGCCAAGACAAGACAGAGGGGCAGATTTCTCCAAGAGATACCATCACCCTTCTTCCATACGGCGAAAAGGATCACTCCTCATCGGTGTCGTCCTCGAGGACAAACGAAGCCGACCCGGTAGTGTACTTGGGCTCCTTGTACACCTTCTCTGGCTCGACGGCGTACTGCTTCTTGACGTCCACGCCAGCGGCGTCGTACTCGTACGCCGCCTGCCAGGGCACGCGCATCGAGTCCGGCACATCCCAGCCGCGGGCCGAGCTGCGCAGCCAGAGGCGCACGAGGTGGCGCCGCTCCTCCCCGGCGCCGTTGTTGTCGGTGTAGCTGTCGCGCGCGTGCAGCAGCGCCCAGTTGTTGAGCAGCAGGACGTCGCCCGGCTGCGCGCGCACGCGCAGGCTGTGGCGCTCCGCGGTCTGCGAGAGCGCGGCCAGGGCGGCGAGCTGGGCCTCGGTCAGGGGCGGGACGCCGCCCGGGTGGCGGTCGGCCGGGTGCGGGCGCGCGGTGTTGGGGTGCAGGCCCAGGCGGCCCGGGTCGAGGGACATCATGATCTTGTCGCCGTTGCGCTCGACGAGGGGGCAGAGGATGTAGCGCTGTTCGCGGCCGGAGCTGTTTCGATGGGAAAAAGAAGGGAAGTGTTAGTTGTCTTTGTTGGGTGATGGATAGATAGGGGGCCGTGAGGCCGAGGGTGGAAGTGTAAGTCATATGGACGGGTCGACTTACACCTGGATCGGCCACTGGGACTCGCAGAGAGTCTTCAGGACTTCGGGGTTGTTCTCGAGGAGGTCATTGTAGATGGTCGCGGACGAGGCTACGCGAGTATAGCCACCCTCTTTGGCGCAGTGTCGGACCTGGAGGGAGAGGATGTCGCAGCCCATGTCCGTGTGGAAGGGCTATCAAGGGATACAAGTCAATGGAAGTACAGAAGAACACGGTTTTCAGGAACGGTAACTTACAAGACTGCCGTTTGTGTGCAGATCGTGGCGCTTCTCGTACGGGCTGGCCCACTGTTTGGCGTCGGTTACGTGCACTTTAACGCCGTTAGCATGGACAGACCAGCCTAGATCGTTAGAGTGACGATTTAAGATGGCTTGGACACTTACTGACGACCTTTCCTTCCTTGTCCTGGAGCCCGAGCTGGTCCCCGATGTAGCTGGCGACGCCGAGATAGGCCGACAGGTTGTCCTCGGCCGACAGTTGCGACGTGTCCATCCCGCGAATCAGGGCAAGACCGGGCCCATCGTGCAGGGCAGCGGAGACAGAGTCGAGGCGTTGACGAAGGGACTCTGCCAACTGGAAGTTCTGTGGACTAATCTTGTCCAACCCGACGCCAAGGCCTTCGAGTGACCTGTTAGCAGCAAACAAGGGATCCGCTAGTGGAGAGAGGATCGTCTACCTTTGAGAGACTGGAGCGCGTTTCCGATCTCGAGCGCCTCCGACGGATCGAGGGAGAGGACATAGGAATCCTGTCCTCCCTCCTGAGAGAGGGCGGCAGGCTCCCAGGCTAGAGGGCCCTTGACTGGATCAGCAGCAACACTGGCGTGTGCCCCTTCCCCGTTACGCAGACCTGTACCCACAACGGGAGTCTGGTGTTGAAGGGTAGATTGAGACATTTTGTTTCAATGGGCAAGTAATGCACTGGTTGTAGAGATAGATGGAGTGGTAGAGGAGAAGAAGTGATGTTTTAAGACTGTGTATGATTGTTTCTCTGGCGTTGAAGCTCTGGTCTCTTCATCTTTCCATCGAGAAAAGCAGAGGCAACGAGCCGGTATTTAATCCCACAACCCATCACACCATCACAGAGATTCTTGCCATCACTTTTGGACATACACGAGGAGGTGCACAGACTCGAACGACAGCTAATGCAGATGATACATCATCCGAAAGCCCAGCAGCATCCGGAAGCTCACCGGTCTGATGAAAATATCGACGAGACACTCGAACAAGGAACGCCAGCCTGACGCTAGCCGTCATCGGCAAGATGCAACGCACCTCAGACTCCATGATGAGGAGACCGGAAGACGTCCGGATGAAGCAATGGCCCCTCGGCCTACTCTTCTTGGTGATGGACCTCAGGGAAAGGTTCGCCCCCCTTTCAAAGTGCTCCGGTGGTTGGTCACTAGTGTCCTTTGGGAACCTGGCCCACGATAACGCAGAGATTAAAGCAGGGTCGCCCCAGTTGAAAGCTTCTCGGCACGTCTGCGGCCTCTGAGGACACCAGAATCATCATCGGCGATGATCCAACCGAGTCGTGCAGCAGACTCGCTCGTCTGGGCCTCGGGCCGGTGAGCTAACCCACGTAGATGCTACCGGTTTTCTTTCAGACGACGTTAGCCAGCATCAAGTGATCAACAATTCGCTTGTCATTCCCCTTTCCCGTCATTGCCAAGAGTCTGGACAGGGAGATATAAGGGGAGTCTCGCAGCATCTAATGCAGAAACCACCACCTACCCCATTTTTTGAAACCGGTGTTCCTTTTTCTCTTCGCGAACTGCGGGAGTTCTCCATCGCGGACGCAATCGTACTTTATGAGGTGTCTGTGATGTGACGAGAGAAGTACCACAGCATCGAGGCCGGTGTAAGGAAGGCGAAATCAAGTCGGCAAAATGTGCAAGATCCGCCCATCTTGCATCTGACGCCAGAGAGGGAGAGTCCTGGATCTCCACTTGAGGCAGCGGCTACGAAACTGATGGGCCTAAGACATGTCTGGCCAGAATGGGGAGGGGAAACCACACATTCTTTTTTCCGGCCTCTTGCCCAGTGCGGATGGGGGAAGGGGGGTCGACGGGTGATGCAAACAACTCACCCTGCAGCAGCAGATGGACATCGTGCCCTAGCGAGACGGATAGATCCTGCACTGCAGGAAACCGGCAGCGGACCGAGCCTTGAAGAGATCGCAGTCTCGATGCACGGGGCATCAACGACACAGGGCGAGGGGAATGCTTCCGGTCTCGTCCCTCACGCTCGACTGGCACACCAGAGGCTGCGCCACTCCACAACTGCAAAGCGGCTCACATCCGTTCACTTAACTTGCATTCCAGGAGACGTGTCACTCCCTTCTGGGCCGACCAGCCAGGTCAGCTACCCCCCATGTCACAAAGTCTAAACTGCAGGCGAGTGCCGCTGGACGAAAGGCACATGGCCCTTGATGGCCCAACTGGGAAAGAGCTTCATCAAGGACTTGATGACGCACGTCGGTCCTGACGTGCATGCACTTGATTAACGACGCGGATCCGATTGGTGGTGCTGCCCCTCCTCCGCATCCCACGCTTGAGCTACCGGTCTCGCTTTCCAAGGTGCAGCCGGTCTCATCCGCGAGGATGTTGGGCCGTCATCGCGAGCGTGGTGTGGTGTGGTGCAGAGACAGCATGGAACACTACCCAACGCACGTCGCCGTCAGCCAATCATGGGCCGCCCTCTTAACGCGCTCTGCGCTCTGCAATCGGAGGCTGACTGAGGATGGGTAGGAAATTGGCATGGTTCGACACAATGGGCATTGTGGCTGCAGCGCAGAGATTTCCATCCAATCCCATCATCTTAGAAACCGGTCAAGATGCACGAACCCAGACAACTCCATACGAATCCATACAAACCCCTGTCCAGGCCATCACACCCCCCCACTCCAGCTCACATCCCTCCCTCCCTTCAAACATTGAACAACCCGGTTTCCCTCACCGGATGAAAACTCAGAGAGAGGGAGGGAGCGCTCCCCTCCTCCTTTCGTTTCGTTCATCTCGACCACCGCCTACGACGGCATCACCAAGAGAGTGCCCTCCCATCGCCGTGTCCCACAAGCTCACATTCGCTGTTGGTGCTGTTGCAACACGGATAGACAACAACGGAAGCTGGGCAAGAAGAAGAAGCAATCTCTCGGCGACGAGAACCGTGGCATCGTGAGGACCTCGAGGGGAAGACACGATCCGTGGTGCTGCTGCTGCGACCTGCCTTACCTGCCATCATTGCCTCTTTGTGAGTGGAATTGGCTGGTAGTTAACACTCAAAGCAACCCATTCTTGATACTTTCCTCCCCCTTCCACTACCTCCGCTTCGTTCAACGTCCAGGGCCAACGAACCGTCGCCTCTTTTCGCCGAGATCACCCTTTCAGGCACAGCCACCACCTGTAGGTAGGCCTCCAGGTAACAGCAGCACGGCGATTCACCGGCCGTGCCGCCCCATTACGGACCCATCCTGCTCTGGCTGTGGTGGTTCGAGAAATGCTGTGACACTCCTGCGTTGTGTGGGCCGCGTACCAAAAGCACGACCGACGCTTCGTCCAGGGACGGGTCGCGACTGGAGAACTGTCGTGGTCATTCCCCTTCACATCAATTTCCCCTTGTCACACACACCGTCGCTTTGAGGGCTCCTGGGCATTTTTGAAGCTCACCGGCCGAAAAAAGAGGTTCCCTCATTCAACCGGCAAAGGCAGGGGTTTGTAAGGTAGGGTAGTGGCAACAAGGTTTCGTCTTGGAGGGAAGCAAGCAAGCAGGCGAGAAATGGCCACCAGAGCAGTGCCGGCGATGCGTGGTCTACCGGCTGGTGCTGGTCTCCAGGGCGTAAATATGACCCTTTTCCTTCTCCTCCTGTACCTGTGGCCGCTGTCTCACCGAGCTTCCTGAGAGGGGTGCGGTGCCATGCTTCTGCAATATTGACGCGTGTCTTGGGGTGCATCTTGCTTGCAGCTTGTCAAAAATAACCTACTGATCGCTACCCTTGCCCACACACAGGTGCCCGAGTCCAATCCCCAAGCAGGAGATCAGCTGGTGGTTGCATCCAACGGCGGCCCAGCACGAGCGAGGCCAGTGACATCCTTCGCTGCTCGTGACGGGGGTTCGCCCTCCCTGATCCAGCTCGACAGTTGCATGCTCCCCGCCCGTCACAAGCTCGATTCCGGGGAGCTCGCCACCAGAGACAAGGCCCATGACTGGATAATCAAACCACCAGCTGGCGAGGTACCCACCTCGGGTCACTGGAAGATCAACCTGCCCTATCGACCTGCTTCGTCCTCTGTGAAGCCATCACCGGCCTTGTCGGCCTCATTCTCACCGGATGTAATCAGTGGGCCAGGCTCGAACCACTTGTCACTGTCGCCCTTCTCAACTGGCTTGGCCGCCCCAGCAGCCGCAACCCTGCCCTTTCACAATCCCGGCTTTGGCTCGACCATCTCGTACGTCCCCGCCCCCTTTGGAGGAGGGGTGGACCAGTTTGATCCGACGTACCCAGAACTTGTCTCCCACTCATACTCGTTCAATTTTGGCGCGCAGAGCGCGGAAGCAGAAGCAGCAGCCGCCCTCGCAGCCATAAAGCCTCCGGTCGCAGACCAGGAGTCATTCACCGGTCATCGTAGAGAGTGTGACCCGCACTCCTCGCCCGAGCTCGTGTCGCACTCCCACCGTCCAATCGATGCGTCTCCTGCTGACCCAATGGGCTTCGCCACCTTCCATCACCCCCAGCCAGCGCTCGAGTATCACCATATTGAGGAGCAGGACCAGGACCAGGACGCGGACCAGGAGGACGACGACGTCGACGACGACTGGTCGACCACTGAAGTAGTGCCGGTGACAGCGGCGGGGTTCAGCCACTCGCTGCGGCCACAGGCGGTCCCCACGACCGCCCGCTATTTCGGGGTCGACGAGTCGGAGATTTCTCGCCTGGTCTACCCACTGCCGGACCATTCCGTCAGTGCCAGCTACTGCCAAGGCTCATATTGCGGCGAGGACGACGACCCGCCCGCCTCTGAGCACTTTTACACCGCTCCTCCAGCCCGCGGCGGCGGTGGTGGTGGTGTTAGCAGCAGCCGTTACGACGCCGAGATGGCAGAGGAGAACGGAGAAGCCTCGACCGTAGCGTCGAGAGGCGAAACGCCGTACGAAGACGACGACGACGACAGAACTAGCGTCGACGAGGATCCGTCGGATGACAGAACTAGTGTCTACGAGGATCCGTCGGACGACAGAACTAGCGTCTACGAGGATCCGTCGGACGACAGAACTACCGTCTACCAGGATTCGTCGGACGACGAAGGCGCGGAGAGACAGTCGATCACGGTCGCTACCCCCCGGCTCTCCGGCGCAGACTCCTCGTTCAAGAGCGACGGCTCTCGAAAGAGGCGCCGCTTTACCGCGGACGAGCGCGAGCAGACGAGCAAGACTCGAAGTCGAGGTGTCTGCCTCCGATGCCGAGTGCAGCGTATCCGAGTAAGTGTCCCACGGTCTCGTCTACAGCAGCTTAGAGTTTCCACCCCATCTGACTAGCTCTACCCTGCTCCGTCTTAGTGCAATCCCAACCCGTTCGACTCAGACGACGAGACGTGCGGATCCTGCCTGCGCGTCTCGACCAAGTCCAAGAAAACGATCCACCACATACCCTGCAGGCGATGGAAGCTGACGGAGACGGTCTGGTACCGCCCCGGCGGGCTGGGTCTGACCCACCGATGGGATGGGACCAGGGTCCGCGACGTCAAGGACTGTGCCGACAAGGTGCAGCACACCATCGAGGTCAAGGTGCTGTGCCGCGATGTTCACAACACAGGCTACGACTTGTGCAACGAGCCGCTCAAGTACCAGGTGCGCAGGTTCAACCCAAAGGACGGCGACTCGCTGGACCGCTTCTGGACCAAGAAGCTCCGCAGTGGGAAGGTCGAGAAGCGAAAGGTCCCAGTGCCGCCGTACGCCTTGATCAGCATCCAAAGCACTACAGCGTATCTGCAGAAGTACATCGATATAAACACTCTCAGTAGCATGAGAAAGGCAACGTCGTACTCGGAGCCGCTCGTCAAGCACATGTTCAATGCGGCGATTCAACACTTTGGCTTGTTGCCAGCTGTATGATGCTCCGCAAGCCCTGAGCCCATTGCGAGTTTATCGCTAACACAGTGTTTCCAGGGAGACAACAAAGAGAAGCTCTTTCTCAGAAAACTCTTCCAGTTTTGGTTCAGCATGCGTCAGTCTTCCTTAGAGTCAGGATCCTCGTTGCTCTTCTGCAATGCAAGCTAACTTGGCCCATCTGGCAGGCGTGGCAACTGGTTCGGCATACCTCGACGGCGACGACAAGTTGAACCAGGACAGAGTCAACGACAACGCGTATCCTCTAGGCGAGAAGATCTCCCTCCCCAGGATGGTCACCGCCCAGTGCGACGGCCTCCTGGTGGAGAAATTCCTGAGGCCGCTCTCCAAGGACGTGCTCAGACAGCTGGAGCAGTTCATCATGCAGAACAACAAGTCGCGCTTCTTCACCATCTTCGTGGCGACCTTCATCCTCCTGCACGAGGTGGCCTACTCGTCCGCCGACCGGTACCGCCACGCGCGCGAGAACGGAGTTACGGTATGTTTGCCACGTGCCCCGTCCTAATAGGCCAAGTCCAGCATATTCTGACTTGGAGATTGTGCGTTCCCTTAGGATACCAGATACACTCTCCCCAACTTCGTTAATGAGCTCCAGTTCGGAGCCAACATCGTCCTCCTGCACTGGCACTACTACAAGTGCATCCTCGACCCCTTCGCTGAGGATCTTAGGAAGTCGATGCTCTCGGACTTGAGCCGGGACCACCTCGAGAGTGTCAAAAGGGCATACCGCCTAATGAAAAAGCGGCCAGGTGAGCACGGTTTGAGTGTGGTGGTCACAGCGAGGTGCAAATCACTAATATTCAAAATCACAGAGCAACCCCTTGTGGATGGGCGGGCCTGGGAGGACCCGATGCACTTTGCCTCGCAGATGTTTAAGAACAACTGGGAGCCAATCGAAGGCTTTCCTGGATTTGGGTGGTGATGCGGTACGTAGTAGATTGGAATGCCTGGATCTCTTGGCAAGCTCTTGATGAATAAAAGGTAAAAAGAAAAAGGTCAAAAAGAAAAAAGAAAAGGGAAAAAAAAGGTCAAAAAAAAAAAAAAAAAAAAAAAAAAAAAAAGAAAAAAAAAGGTCAAAAAGAAAAAAAAAAAAAAGGAAAAGAAAAAGGGTCAAGTTTCCTTCAGATGAGGTTGTTCAAGGGCATTTGGGATTCTTTGATTAACGATACGACTTTGATGACTTCTATTTCCTTTTTTCTTTTTTCTTTTATTATATGGTAAAGTAGTCTGTTAATCAAGTTGCAAATTCCCACCTTCAAGTGAAATACTGGACTTCCCCGTCGTTTGTCTCATGTAAATAAACAGTGCCTAGCAACCGATCTGGTACAGACCATGTCAACGTTGATGCCCGTACCCAACAAAAACACACACCATTGACTCTGGGTGAGTGTTCACAAGACTAGTTGCCCAAGTAGTTAGTAGAATGCTAGTTCTGATCTGCGTCCGCCTGGGCTTGAGACCAAGTCCATGATACGGATCGTGTCTTTATCAATGGGAAGCGTTTAGTGTCTCTGGAACACAGGTATCGTGTCCACTGTGTCTCTTCAGTTGTGACCAGATAACACTGTAGCTCATCTCTCATCTGAAAGAGGTTGACCAGATGGTTGAACTATCTTTGAACAACCAACCCTAATGGCAGCTGCTGAGATGGGCTCGCTTGATATGAAGCTACTTCTTCAGGCGGAGGCTTACCCAAACATCCCAGAATGCTTGCTGACACACAGTTGAGGCACCATGCTGGAAATGAACTGAGAGGCAAGTTGTGGCTTGAAACTGACACCTGTGTGTGTGTGGTTGAGTGGTGTGGCTGTTGTCATTATTTTATTGGGCATGCGCCACGTGTCGATAAGCTTGTCTTATCGGGGGACCCTTTCGATCGAGCTGTCCTCACTCCTCCAATCATCCCCAAGCAGGATAAAGACAGATTCAAGCAAACACCTTCTCTCACCAGCAGCACCACCCGCCTGTCGCAAACCCACTAGACTGCACAAAGGGGCTCCCACAGCCGACAGTCTTGTTTCTTCATCCGGTAGCGACATCATCCTACCAAATCCCACCACCCATCAACCAAGAACAAACCACATACAAACCACACACAATGTCCGACCTCGACACCTTCACCCTCCTCCCCCTCAAGCTCGACCCGCAGTCCAAGGCCGTCTCCGCGACGCACCCGGGCGCCAACCCGGCCCTGGACACGGAGCTCTCGACCCTCAACGCCCTGCACCGCGCCCTCCTCTCCCTCGACACGCCCTCCTCCGTCCCGCCGCCGCCCATCCCCGTCAACCCGAAGCGCACGGCCAACGTGGTCAAGCTGCGCGACAGCGGCAACGGCGAGTTCCGCAAGGGCAAGTACGCCGAGGCGATCAAGTTCTACACGCTGGGCCTGCAGATGGCGCTCACGCGGCCGCTGTGGGAGCCGCAGCAGCTCGTGCGCGAGGAGGTGGCGGCGCTGTACAGCAACCGCGCGCAGGCGCACATGGCGACGCAGGGGTGGGCCGAGGGCGCCGTCGACGCCGAGGCCAGCGTCGAGGCCCGCCGGATGGGCAACGCCAAGGCCTGGTGGCGGCGGGGCAAGTGCCTGATGGAGATGGGCCGGTACGAGGAGGCGCGGGAGTGGGTGGGCCGCGGGCTCGAGATGGAGGGCGAGGAGGCCGAGCTCGTGGCGCTGCTGAAGGAGATCGAGGGCCGGTTCGAGAGGGTCAAGGCGTAGGTTGGCCCTGGGGGAGGGAGTGGGCTTTCTGGCATATCGTGGTGATGGGGGGACATGGGAGGAATGGGGGTTATATCGTCAGCTTTGAAGGGAGGTGGATGTCACAGACGGGGATAGAGTTGTTGGAGGCTGGATGCAGCGTTGAGGAGGGCTTCTTATGACCACTCCTAGCGGCCGTACATCGAAGGCGTTTCATTATTGCTCTCGCGAAAGAGCCGGCGTTGGGACATCATACAGTATTTCCGTACATTTCAAAAGCAAAGGCTTAGAAGGCTCGTATTTATGACATTCTTCTTGTCTTAAATATACATCTTGGGGGTTTTGAGGAATTTGGTATCACTCAACAGAAGCAATGGGTCCATGAGCGTCACATCTTGCGCAGTGGAAACGACTTGAATTGCTCGCCAGATATAAACACGTTCTTGATGACTCTGTTCTAGAAATGTCGCCTGCTTCAGGGATCCCGGTCTCTCCCCTTCTGTCACTCTCGCAACCACACAAAGTATATGCCCCGTGTATCCATGATGATTCGTCTTGTCCGTATCTCTGCCTGTAGCAACACCACCCGAGAGGCCGTGAACTCATCTTCATCTCTGGGGAAGATGGCGGGAAAGAAAAAAAGAGGCCGTCAAACACACTCCCGTCAACCAGCCGTGGTGATCCAAAAGAAATAATGCATGTAGTGAAGCTTCCTGCACCCGCCGCCGGCCGGGCTGTCCGATCCTCGTGACAGCCGTAGAGCCGGAGCCCATCTGCCCAAGCCCAACCTACTCGGGGATATCATCCACACGCGCACCCATCATCGTCATCATCATCATCTCTCTCTCTCTCTCTCTCTGCTCTTCCCACCAACTCCGTACGCTCGAACAGTATGTATAGCACTCTCCTCCCCTCGTCTAGGCCTTCTCCTTCTCCGCGTCTCCCGAGGCCGCCACGCTGGCGCCGCGCTTGCGCATGACGGCGTCCTGGCCGACCATCCGCCGCTCGAGGGCGCGGTCGAGCTTGGCGCCCAGGGCGAGCTTCTGCAGGTTGGCCGTCTTCTCCTCGTCGAGCACGACGCGCTGGCTCGCGAGCGCCTTGTTCTCCATGCGGTCGAGGCCCTTCTCGATGTCGCGGATCTCGGCCGTGGCCGAGTCGGTCGTGCGGACCGAGGGCGCGGCCATGCTGTAGGTGCTGTAGCGGACCGAGGTGCGGGCCTGTTGCGGTTGCGGCGGCGAGGGCATTTAGCTTCTGGGTCCTTTTCGTGATGCTTTTTTTTTGTGGCAGATGGGGTTTTCTCCTTCTCCGTGTTGGGAGGTTTGAGAGATCGTGTGTGTCTGTGTGGGAAGGTGGTTCGATGTTTGGGAAGGAAGGGGAAGAGGGTTGGAAGGAGGAGATTAGTGCAGGATGATCTGATGACGAAAGATATGGAATAGGGCTATCTATGCTTGGAAGCAAGCGTACAAAGTGACAAAAGACAGTCCTTGCTGTCAGGCCAGGGAAATCAACAGGTGAAAGGGAACCGGCGTTGCATCGCCTCTCTGGAGAACTGGGGACCGTGGACATGGATCCCAGCTGGAGAATTGATGGGCGCCGGCGTGGCGGAGGAAAGGTTACGTACGGATGGGGCCATGATTGGCCTGGATGAGTCCAAGGAAGTAGGCATCTTTGTGGGCGTGTGTGTGTCTATGTGTCGTCGTCTCTCGCTTTGCTTCGTTCTCGTGTCTGCTGTGACTGATTGTCGGAAGACAAGTTTTCCTCGTTGCTCGCTCCAACTAGCAGAATTGCTGGCGGTAGAGTCTGGTGTTTCAGGATCGGGGGACAGGAACAGCCGCCGGGTCTCGACTGAAGGGGCGCGGCGGTAGTAGTCGGGTTCGTTCGACTCTAGTTGCTCGGCGGTCGCGAAGAGAAGGAGAGAGGCTGGCAGGCGCGGGAAATCTGACAGCGCTAATCTTTGCGAGAGACAGAGAGAGAGGGAGAGAGAGAAGGGATATTTGCTTCTTTCTGCCCAACCAACTTGGCTTGGCCCTGGCTGTAATATCTCGCTTTGTGATCTGGTTGCAAAAGTACGTTTCAAGATGGAGGGGGGGGCGGCGAAGAAGGGGGTGAAAAAGAAAAGAAGTGCCTGGCGGTGGTTTGAGGGTCTGTCGCTGTAGCCAGTCTAGTTAGTAGTGACTGTAAGTACTCCTTAGCCAGTGTCTTATGGAACCCACCCAGCTATTCTGGGCAGCACCATGGGTCTCCCGGGGTCTTTTTGGGCAATGGATGCTGGCTCGATTGTGACGGGTATGCGCCCGTTGGAATGGGGCCCTTGTTTTTGTCGCTCGTGCATTCATCGGTTGTCCATTGTTTGTCCCCATTTGGATCCCTCTCCCCACGCATTGAAGTTGGTTGACTTGAGAACTGGTCAATCACACAACAGCACATGCAGGTGACTTGTTGAGCACACTTTATCAGTCTCAAGCAACTACCTACCTAACTACCTCAGCTACCGAGACTGTACTGCTTTGTCTCGGCTCTCTCCCCCTTCAGGATCCTCCTGCGATTGTCTCTCTCTCTCTCTCTGAATACACTTCCTATGCCTCTTTCACCGCCAAGGCCTGAAGCCTGAAGCCTGCAGTACTGTCCCTCCCTGTCGTTAGCGTGGCTTACAAGGGGCGTTAGTGATGCAAGTACAAGTAGTGGCACACACCATCAACCCCCATTCCCATTCCACCCATACCACCACCCCTGAAACCACGCACCCTCTCCACCAACCGCGTGATGGCAAAGGCCTGGCCCGCGGGGCCTAAGGCGCCTTAGGCTGCCTAGCTGCGGCCCCGACACGTGCTGTACAAGGTAAAAATGATGAACATCAGCGGGGCCGACTTGCAGTCCATGGGTCCTGGTGCTGGGATTTGGGGGGATTGTCTGTTTCTTTAGCAGAAAAAGGGATTAATTGGGATGTCCAAAAAGAGCCGAACACACACACACACATGGGCCCTGGGCTTTCGTAGGCTCGGTTACTTATCTCTTCTCCCATTTTCTTTGATCAGCGCGCAATGCGAAACAAAAACAGGACCCCCTTTCGCCCCTGTCCCTGGTCAACACTGGCGATGATGATGATGATGATGATGACAGTCAGCTAGACTGGGATCGAGAGGAGGGGGGCGGGCTTGGCCTTGCAGAAGCCAAAAGCAAAGAACCAAAAACTGTTGAGAAAATGGGCAGAGATCACCTCCCCTTGCTTGACTTGCATCCGTATCTCCCGTTCCTGCGTGCCGTCGGTGCGGGGCAAGACTTGTCATGGCAAACCTTCACCTACACCCCCTTTTCCCGCCACTCCTCCCCCCCCTTTCCCCCCCCCCCCCCCCCCCCCCATGATGCCATTCGCGCAAGCTTTGGGCGATGACTCGGACAAAGGTGCGCACCCCATTCCTCTCTCGCTTCTCAGGCACCACCACCGGCCTGGCCAACCTGCAAAATAAGCATATGCAGCCACCCCAGGCAAAAACCACGTGTCGCTCTGGATAAAATGGCATGCAGGACCTGCATCTCTGCTTCAATGGTAGCGAGCACAGCGTCTGTGCGTGCGTCCTTTGCTTGTATGTATGCACGCACGGTCTGGTCCAGACTGAAAGAAAATGTCCCGAGCATTGCTGCCTCGTGGATATTTGCACAAGAACGCCAATGGTGCTTTTGACTATTGAAAAAGTCAAAGTACAGAGTAGATCGAATGAATATCACCTTTAGGTACTTCATTACTGCCCATCATTCAGGCAGTCTAATCGCCCGACCCCCTGTCTGTAGGTCCTCACCTGACCTTCTGCACTACTAAATTTCTAAGAAGTTAAAATCCTCTAGTAAGATCTTAAGAATATCTTTTTTTAAAAATTCTATAAAATACCTTATATCTTATTTTATATATATGATTTTTTTCTTAAGAAAATAATCTAAAGTAGCTAAGTTATTTTAAAGAAAAGCTTCTAATTCTTTTTAAGAATAAGAGATTATTAAAATTTAAGTTTAATCTTTTAGTAGAGATTTAATAGAGATATTTTTAGATTAATAGAGACTTATTTATAATATTTAGATTTAAGATATAATAAGTTTTAAATAGAAGTATCTTTTATATATATAGAAGATTAGATAAGAATTTATAAATAAAGAGTTAGATAATTAGATTATTTAGAAAAGAAAGATCTTAATATTTATTAAGACTTAATTATTCTTTTTAAGATATTAATTAGTTTTTATAAATAATAATTAACTAATATTTATTAATATTATATAAGCTTTTTAATATTTTAATATTAATTATAAATAAATAAAATTATTAAGCTTATTCTTAATAAAGTAGTTATTATATAATTATCTCTTTAAGAATTATTGTGACGATCCTTGATCCCAAGAGGTAAGACTACTTCGTAGGATCGGAGGCGTGTGGGTTTATGTAAGCAGTAAGTGATGGGCGCTGCTGAGCACTGGTGGTTGATCGTAGCTAAGATAGCTTCAC